TCACAGGGATTCGAACCGCCAATTTAGACCACAGCGCCACCCGCGTCCTAATGGACGCGTCATAAACTTTCCCTTTACCTGAGGCTAGCATTTGGGAGGGTTTTTTGAGGACTCTGAAATTCAGCTTATTTCGTCTATGCAACTGCCTTTCTGCAAGTTCAATATAACTGTTAGGTAACTAGAATCCACTTTTTATATTTCAAAAAGCCTCCAGCACTTTCTTGGTTCAGTATGTGTGTCATTCACTTGTGATCGCTGAGGTTTCACATAATGATTATTCAATGTGTCAAGCTTTTTCTGTGTGCTGTGTAGGAACAAGCAAAGATGGAGAGACATAGGCATGTTTTATTTCCTCTTGGCTCAAATGAAGAAGGATCTACTGAAAGCAGAATTCAGGACACTTGACTATTCAGTCAGGGGGAGGAGGAGCTTTTTTCCTAGAACCTTAGGAGCAAATGGATCATAGAAAGGATAAGCGTGCACTCACAGGTCATTACATTCCCTACCCGTAAACAATTTCCGCTAAATATAGCAGCATGCAACTTTTTATTAGAGTATATTTTCAGCCCTTAATTTTTCTGATGTCTGTTTACTGTTATATAAGGAGAAGTTTAGATCTGCATCAATCCATTCCATGAACCTCAATGAAGCCATAGCATTTTATTCTGAACGAGTCTTTAAAAATAATATCTAGGCCTAGGGTCATCGTCCATGGAAGCCCGTGAGCTGCCCTAGGCCCCAAAATTAGTTGGGGTCAAAGATGGGCCTTAAAATGGATTTTATTATTTGGGAACCCCTTAAAGCCTAAATAAATACAGCTTGGCTAGCTGAGAGTAAACACATACGTATTTGGGTGCATCTGCTCACAGAGACCAGTCCTGTTAACATCCAAACTCACACAAGCCCAAGCCTTGAGATCGGCAGCAAAAGCCCTTCTCAAGGTCCCACTCATCAGTAAAGTCCATCATGTGGTGATCTGAGACAATCTTCTCTATAGTAACACCTTGTTTGAAGATACCCCCCCCCCAAAAGGTGGCAAATCAAACTTACTGATAGATTTTTTTTTGTTGGAAAGGTTTGGAGGAGAGATTTCTCTCGTAGGAGTTAGCACAATGGCAATTGCTCCAAACACATTAAAACTTGGTTAGATCTGCCCTCATCCACTTTAAACAAATGTTCTCCACAAAAATACCTAGGCTAGACTTAGTCAGAGTTAGCTTTGCAAACAAGTGAAATTTTTACTCAGTTTCAGGAGTTACAGCAAACAGGGCTGTGGCTTTGAGCCTCACATTGAGCAAAAAAAAATAAATCCTGCATTGCAGGGGTTTGGACTAGATGGCCCTCAAGGTCCCTTCTAACTCTACGATTCTAAGTTGGCAGTAAAAATAACAAAGAAAAGGGTTCCAAACAACATAAAAAGAACTTTTGTTTCCTTACAAAAGAATCATGCAGTCTTTGCATTAGCAAAGGTATAGGCTATAAAAATCTCCTTTTAGAGATACTTTTCTTTCACGCGCAGCATTTGCTGACCTGGGAGCCAAGCCCATGGATCCTTTCTTCCAGATAGGCAGAGATAAGGGGGGAAAACAGAGACTGCTGGTAGCCTGCCAAGCCCCATCCACTGGCAACTTGACTTCAGCACTCAGGTCAACCCTTTCATGCATGCAAGTAGCTTTTATTTATTGCGTGTTTCTTGCTTTATTATTGCATTGTGAGCAGCTCTAGCTCTGTGATCGTAACTGGGTGAAGGATGGTATGTAAATGAATCAAGGCTTTTTTGTTATTGTAGTTAACTTTGAAACCTATGTCTCACTTCGCAAAATTTCAAAGAGAACATTATTTTTGTCTCTGAATAAACTTTGGGTAGAGACTTGTTCAAGCATTTGACTCAAAGCACTTTTGTGTGTAGAAGCCACCCATACCGACCTCACCCCACAGCATCCCAGTTGGCTACAGACTTCAGACTTTGCTGTGCAGAGTAGAACAGCAGAACATGCGAAGACCCCCCACCATGGGAACTAATGGCCGGTTTAGCATGAGCTGCCTGCTTCTTTGAATGCATGGAGCCAAATGCCTGCACAGGTCTAGAGTGAGACTGGAATTCTATATAAACTTGCCTGGATCAGAGTTCAGTGGGTGTTATTTCCAAATAAGATATAGATGACATTGTGCTGTGTGACTGAAATGACTGACCCCCAGACATACCGTATTTTTCGCCCTATAGGACGCACCAGCCCATAGGACGCACCTAGTTTTTTTGGGGGGGGGAAGGAAAAAAATTTATTCCCCCCCCCAGCTGCGGCTTCAGCGCGCCCCGCGCTCCGGGCAGCAGGCTGCTATCTGCAGCCTAGGGAGCCCTGCGGGAACTCCCGCAGGCTCGCTGATAGCTTCCTGAAGCCTGGAGAGCGAGAGGGGTTGGTGCGCACCGACCCCTCTCACTCTCCAAGCTTCAGCAATAGCCTGTATTCACCCCATAGGACGCACACAGATTCCCCCTTCATTTTTGGAGGGGAAAAAGTGCGTCCTATAGGGCGAAAAATACGGTACTTGAGACCTTGAGGATTTCTTAAGCAAACAACTCCATCTTGTGGCTCACAGCAATCATGTACAGATACAGTGGTAAATTAGTTCTCGAACTTAATCCATTCTGGGAGTCAAAAGCCAAGGCGTGGCTTCTGATTGGCTGCAGGAGCTTCCTGCACTCAGTCAGAAGCCGTGGAAGCCACATCAGACATTTGGCTTCTAAAAAACGTTTGCAAATCAGAACACTCACTTCCAGGTTTGCAGCGTTCGGGAGCTGATTTGTTTGGGAGTCAAGCCGTTCGACTACCAAGGTACCACTGTACTAAGAGATCATACTTGTACAGTTTGCACTATTAAGTCCAAGTCTACTCAAAAGTAAGCCCCATTACTTGGAACATCACAGTTATCAGTAGATCTGTAAAGACGGACAAATTTCAGGCAGTCTGGTGAGCGTTTCATTTCTTATATCAAATCTGCTTCTTTATCTGTATTGAATTCGTAAATACCACTATTAACCCACCAATGGTGTACTGTTTCATCGTATATATGATTTTTCTTGGGTGATGAAAGCTCAGTTAAGCTTCTGTGACATGCATTTTGTTCTTGAACTTCAGCACCTTTCATTTGTTGCGGCATTTCTTTTTTTGTTCGTATTGTTGATCTTGTTTTGTTTTGTTTTCCTTTTCTTATATGCAAAAATCAATACAAACATTTTAAAGAGAAATGTAAGCCCACTGTGTCTGATGTGGCTTACTCTTAGATAAGAGTGAATAAATGTGCATAGTAACATTGTCAAAATATAACGTGGGGTCAGGGGAGTAATAATGAATGCTTAATGCTTTCCCCAATTACAGTACTCAAGAACATTTCACATACATTACCCTGTTCATCTTTGCACCAACCTTGTAAAGTAGATCTGCGTTATCCCCTCCCCAGATGGAGGGGAGAGAGAGTAGCTTTCCTAAAGGTCACCAATAGAGGTCATGACTGAGATCCCCATGGGAGGCATACTGGTTGTTGCTTAGAACAACTGCTGTGCCGAAGTCAATATATCAATATAGCCATCTGGTTTTTGGATGCAGAACTTGATTTATATCACATAAAAATTTCACCTCTATTTAGACTCAAGAAACACTTCTGGGTACATTAAACAACACCCCACATAGACCAATGACAAGATCTGCTCTGAACTGTTTTAGATGTACATGAAGTACAAAATACTATTGAAAGCACTTCTAAGAAGCAGCAACAGTACTGAGACATGAGGGGATTTCAAGTCTCATAGGCTTTGCAGAAATTCTTGCCAGCAGCTAAGTATTGGGATCAACAATTTTTTCCTGTGACACTTTGAACTTGTTTAATTCCCACACAAATCATAATTGGAAATTATAGAAATCATTATTATTCTGCTTAGGGAGTTACTTGCTCACTATGGTCACAAAGAAAACACATCAAAGATGCTAACTGGCTGGCAGCAAATATATTCATACATGTGAAATTAATTCCACAATAACTCAAGCTGTGGCACAGAGAATTCTCAGTGCAACTTCTAGCAACCAATTAATGCCAGAGTAACTCTGTCTTACACTATGCTGGTAAAGCCGTGGTTAGGGTGCAAAATGAATATGGTCGTATCTTGGTTTTTGAACAGCTTAGTTCTCGAATGTTTTGGCTCCTGAACGCCGCAAACGCAGAAGTGAGTTTTGCGAACTATTTTTGGAAGCCGAACATCTGACAGGGCTTCCGATTGGCTGCAAGAGCTTCCTGCAGCCAATCAGAAGCCGTGCTTTGGTTTCTGAATGTTTTGGAAGTTGAACAGACTTCCAGAACGGATTCCATTCAACTTCCAAGGTATGACTGTATTGGGCTATTTTACTGCGGAGATAAAAATTCAAGGAAGTGTTTCTTTGTGAAATACCTCATCCTCATTTCTGCAGAAATATGAGAGAAAGATCCCTGCAAAAAAAAGGGGGGATTCTCCTTATTCAGCCCATGACATCATCACACATCCAAATCTGATTGACATCATGGTGTCATGCAGCCATCAAACTAGCTACTTGATTCGATTAGCTGAATCACAAAACAAACTCTTTAAAAATGTAAAAGTAGCTGTCAAGTGTGACAGTGAACAGGAGGGACACTGCATTTTTTTTTTAAAAAAGACAACGTTTGGTTGGACTGTGTGTGGAAAACATTCTGAGATTTATAAATCTTTTTCATACCAGGAATATTCACCCATAAAGGTTTATGATGTTACATAGTAAGTTCTCTCTTAACTTCCCATGGCTACCAATGAAGAATCGGGATGTTCTTCCTTATTCCATCCATCCTTGAAAATGAACAACTTCTTAAAGCAGCATTAGTATTTGATCTGCCCCTGAATCTATACAGCCCCTATTCTCCTGCAATTCCTACCCACTTTAATGGTGAAATCAATAAATCAAAGTGTGTGTTTTTTAAGTCAGGAAGAAAAATGCTTATTTTTCTAAATAAAGTCTATTTTTTATTAATTACCCTAGTGTAAAAAAAAAGTTTGGATTACAAGTGTATGAACAATATAAAAAGTATAAAAACAGGTTCCATAGATTTCTACTACATTAATACAAAGTGCATAACTACATACAATTCATATTGCATTACTACATAGGAAGGAGGAGTAAGGAGGCTGAGGGAAAAGCAGTCTGCTGTTGTAGTAATAAATAAATAAATACAGAAGTAGACGAGATGATCCATATCATAGTACATTGTTTCATACTGTAGCTGTAAATGCACAGAACCCTTGACGCTTACTAAAAACAACAACCCAGAAAAGAAAAAAATAAAACCTTAAACGTGTAAATTGATGAGGGGAAAAATATCTGGGACTCCTATATGAATCCTTCAGAGATTACCAACCCAGCAAAACTGCCAAGTAGCTAGTCAGTTACAAATAAAGACCTATCTTATCCTCCCTTTAGAATATTTCTCCTATTTACAAATGGGGGGGGGACACAATTAGGGGAACCCTAAAAACAAGGTAGGAAGACAATAGCTCAGATTTTGTTTTCCTAATGCATCAGTTTAGGATTTTTTTGTTTAATAAAAAGTATAACAGGACAAAGTTATGTTTGTAGTAGTGCACTGCACAAAACAAGTCAAAATTCTCATGCTATTTAAATAAATGGAGAAATCCGTATGAGCTAAATACAGCAGCATACTTACTGCGGAAGCCATTATTTGCCAAAGCTGATAGAACTCTTTCCTTGGTCAATTGGCGTATTTTATCAGAATCTTGGGAATCTCATCTTAAAACAAAGCAAACAATATTCTAATTCTTATGCTGGCTGAGATTTCAGGGAAAAACTGAATTCAGCCAAGTGCCTTGTCCTACGGCTAATATACTACAGTGACAATGCTTAAGAAACTCCTTTTTCCCCTCTCACAGTACAGACTGAGAAAGCATGGGGGGAAACATTGGAGTCCTAGGAGACGCCCGCTTGCCCATAGGTACTAGGGCAGAATTTAGGAAGAAGCAAATCCAAAATAGGGGACAAGCAGGCAGTGGGGGGAATTAACTGTGCAGTTCTGTGTTGAAGGCTGGGGACAAGAGGAGTAGGAACAAGGACCGAAGGCACTTCTGGGAGATTAGGAGGGAAGGAGGGGTAACAGGAAGGACTTGCAGCCGGGACCAGAAGATCATAGACAAGGACTGACACTGACTACAGCTTGTGACGGCTCTTCATACATGAAGGCTATTATACGCATTTAGTGTCGTGAAGTTGGGAAATAGCTCTAACTAGACAATACTAGGTGGTGGTGGTTGTTTTAAAAAAGAGAAGCCACAGTAATTTACGCACACATTTACAGAGTATATATCTGAAATAAAAACGCTTTCTCTTATTTGCCAACAATGCCGTGCATACCTAGAACTCTCTCTCTTTAGATAATACTTTACAATAAGGATGTGGGTGGGTTTGTTATTATTGCAATTTTCCTTCCTTGGGTGCGTAACCAAGCTAATCAAACAGTGCAGAAACACAGAAGAGGAATCTTAAACCTGAGCTTGTGCTAGAATGGGCTTGCTTTTGTGACTGGCCTTCAAAATTATTAATAATAACAATAAAAATATTTGTATAAAATGAAGAGTGATTACCGCGTTGTTTGCATTCTGCTGTTGGATTGGGATTATAAAACCTCCTCTTACCTTGCCAGGCACAAACTGACTGCTGTTCCCAGTTGCAATTTACTAGTTTTGACAGATTTTTACTCAGTCCTTATCAAGGTGTGGAACTAGACAGGTAAAGATAGCAATCACAAATTATAATATACACTTAATTGGTCCCATACCAAGGTACTGAAAAGAAGGACTTAGTATATATACTGTGTTATCATCACAGCCCTACACAACTGGCCAACATTTGTAAAGGGCGTCCCTTCAATACCATGAAGGAGCCCCTCATCTCCCTGAACGTTGTCTGTAATATTAATGCATAAATCATACATGAACTGCACACTGGAACAGGCAGGGGAGAGAAAAAAGTTAACTTGTTCCAGTACCAAGGTAATGAATGGGCCAGTCTCAAAACTTTATTGTTTGCCAAAGACTGACTGCATGCTCAGTCCCTTCACATACAGACTTTTACTAGGCCAGAAAGATGAGCCCTTGGCCTTGGGGTTCAGGACAGGCAAAACTTTTTATCCCTGTTAAAGCATCAGTAGTAAAAATTAAGAGCTCCCCACCTTTACAACATATACAGAGCAGGGAAGTCTTGTACAAACTTCAGCAAACCCAGGTCCATGCCTAAGAGTAATAAGTATTTTCCTCACAGGGAGAAAAGGTTACTGGCTAAAAGTTTTAGCATGCCAAAATGTGAGCACTACTTCTCTTTCAGAAAAACACACTACATATTTTAATTCTCTTTTATGGCCTTTCATCTGAAGAAGAGTTGTGTGGGGAAAGAGGCTGAACCAAGATGACTTGCAGCAGCATTCAGCTCAATTATGGATTTTAGAGCCTTTTAAATATTATTTACAGTCATTTGGGGGTGGGGGGAGAGATATGAACAGGTTTCTGAATTAGTGGAACTGAGGCAGAAAAAAAATGGAATCCTCAAACCGTTCAAGGTCGCGGGGGGGGGGGGGAGTCTTTTGGCAGCATAGCAGGCTTCTAAAGTGAAGAGAAAGTCACTTTCAAGCCTTTCCAGAGAGAAAAAGAGGTTCTTTTTTACACCAACTGCTGTGGAAGTCACCACTCTTCCTGGTTGGAGATGGTTGGAGACTGGGGACCTTGTGGCTCTGGCTTCTCAGTTGTGGACTTCTTATTGCTACAGCAGGGTTTGAAGAGGTGAGCATCTATAACAACTTCTCCAAAGCGGCCTGTGTAAATAATTCCACAGCAAATTTTTTGCCTTCAAGAGAAAAGAAGATAAATTTGGATTTCATTTCATACATGTCTCAATTTTGACAAAAGATGGACTTGATGTGGCATACAAAAATATAAGTGATAATAATAAAAATCAGCTAACAGATTAGAATGAAACCATCACAGCAAGGTAAAGCAGCATTAAATCTAAGTGGTGTTCAATGAGATTACAAAGGCTCAAAGCAGTTTAACCAGAAAATCAGAAAAAAAATGTTACTCCTAAAATTCTTGTCTGAACAATGAAAGGTTTCACAGCTGACCATCACTGCCTCCAGTGGAAGTGAGTTCCATATGCACTGCATGAAGAAGTACATTCTTTTCTCTGCCCTGAATCTTCCAATTCAGATTCAATGGATGTCAACAAGTTTCAGTGTTACACAAGCTAGCAAGCATGCCTGATAGCCACGAATAGCCTTGCCCTCTGTGAATCTGTCTAATCCCCCTTCAAAGCCATCCAAGTTAATGGCTATCACCACACCCTGCAGCAGCAAAAGCCATAAATCAATGGTGCACTCCCAGACTTCTCGATCACAGATTGTTATACATATCTTTGCTAGGCAATACAAGCCTACACCATATATGCAGCAACTAGCTAATCCTAAAGCAAGAGGGATACTTGGAGATCAATACAACTGCTGGCTACTGTCACGGCATCCATCATTTCCCTCTAAGAGAGGATTAATGGGGGGGGAGCGGGGGGGGGGGGAGAGAAACAGCCCCAGGACTCTGGCTTTGCTTTCAAGAGAACAACAAGATGCCTTGTGACCCACTTCATGTTCTGCATGCTATCCAGTTACTTTATTTACATCCCTAAACACCATGTTGAGTCATCAGCTGTCTGCAAGTGCTCCCTAATTGCTAAACCGAACGGAAGCAAAAGAGCCTTGTAATTAAGATTACATTTATTGCAATTATGTGCATTTTTAACCTCTGCCTCTTCCTGTGTTTTCCTCCCGCTGTCTACTTTCCCCTTTGTCTAAAACTAAGACTGTGAGCCGCCTTCAAGCAGGGTCTTGCTGTTATCATTGTTTTAAAAAGTTTTATAAAGAGTCATGTTTGTGTAGCTAGTTGTGCTTCGGAAATAGTGCAGATTTCTACCATGAATTAAAGGAGTGTGCCAATTCTGTTTCAGGCTTCCTTTTGTTTTTACCTTTTCCAGTAAATGGGATCTAAGAAGGAGAAGACATGAGGGCGGCTGGAGCCAGCAGTCATCTCAGTGTCTGAGCCATCATCAGACTGATTGCTATAGCAGGGAGACTGGGCTGGAGAGGCACTTGAAGTAGTGCTGTGGGCATCAGAGTCTGTAAGGAAGAGGGAAAACAGTGTATTTAAACTAGTTTTGCATACGTCTTTTATTTCTTTAGAATCTCAACTTTCAAAATCTCAAAGTTTCTGGTCCATATGATGAAGAAAACGTACAGAACGTTTCCACGGACTACTGAGACTACCCAAGTGTCCACCTACTCTCAGTGTCCGGGGTGGGGGAACTTTTGCTTACAGGCCACATGTGGCGCACCAGGGGTCCCAATTTGGCTCACAAGGCTGTTTTCCCCAAACCACACCCATCCACCCGGCCCATGACACGATATGTGACCTCAGATGTGCAGCAGGTACTGACATGGCTCCAAAGAAACATTTGGGAGCTTAAAGTTGAGCTCCCGATTCTCCCTTTGTTTAAACAAGACAGAGAGGGCACATCTTGTTTTCGGAGGGGGAAGTGGTTTCCACTGACATCTTCCCCTCCATTTTAACAGCCGTTTCAATGGAAACCACTTCCCCCTCCTGCAGCAAGGTTCAAAGAGCCACGTAGAGCTGTTTGAACGCCCCCCCCCCCCACAAACAGCCCTGTGATGCTCTTTGTATCTCTGAAAATGTACCCCATTAGGGGTCGGAGTAAGAAAGATCTGGCCCGGCAGCCTGAAAAGGTTTTCTGCCCCTGAGTAATGCTTACACTTCTCCTAGGTTCTCTTCAGGGTTCTTAGTATTTAATCCCCCATGTACTTATTACCCCAAATCTTGCAGAGAACAATTTGATAAAACTTTTGGAAGTTTCGAAAATGTAATTTACCTATTGTGGGTGAGGAAGTTCCTGGATCCACCCTCATCACTTTGGTGGCTAAGAGTGCTTTTTACCAGTTACAGCTAGTGCACCAACTACCAACACTCTCAGACAGGGACAGCTGGCCAAAGGTAACTCGGGACTTGATTTCGGCAACGAGTTCTACATAGGGCTACCCTTGGGCCTGGCCTCGAAGCTCTGGCTGGTGCAAAATGCTGCTGCTAGACTGCTGCTAGACAGACTACTGCCAGCACTTAACACCTGCCCACAAAAGGTTGGCAGTTCAAATTCAGGGTTTTTTAAATTGATTTATAATGCCCTTAACTTGGGTTCAGGACCTCCTGGTCTCTTATAGACCTGCCTGGATCACTGAGATCTTAGGGGAATCCCTGCCAGTGGTCCCCATTGACTGAAGACGCATGGCTCCTATCTACCAGGAGGCCTGCATTCAGTACTTTGAAGGCAATTTGGCTGAGATTAAACGGCTCCTGCCCACTTCCTGTTGAATGTCAGATGTTTGACAAAGACTTTTCCAGTTCAGCAGGGATTTTAAAATGTGTCTGATTATTAATTTTAACTGATCTTATGAACTGTATGCTTTTAATTTTTATGTACACTGCCTAGAACAGCCTTCGCTAAGCTGCGGTCCAAAACATCTTGAGTGCACCAGGCTGGCTTAGAAACTTTGGTAATTAAGTGGTATATAAATAACTTAAATAAGTAAATATGCTGCTGCTATTTTTTAAAATAATGTCTTATCTTGCTCTTCTCTGGATTGCTAAGGGTGGTGTCATCCCATTTCCATCCCCAAAACAACTGCAATATGAATTATTCCTTTGGGGTAAGATTGTGTACATACACAAAGGGTGGGAGATAGTGACCAGTCAAATGGGAGTCACATGTTTTGACCCATTTATGATAAAAATGGTTTAAAATAGATATATGTCTATCCCTTAGGTCCCAAATTCAGCCAGGTTTGGGAGGGATTTTCAGCTTGACTGAATTTCCAATTTTACGCTGCAACTAAGCCACTGGAACTGCAGAAACGATACTTTCAAAGTCCTCCAGTAATGTTCCTTTGCTCAGGTCCAAGAATAAGCAAGACACATACTGTAAAAAAATACAGTAAGGCTGTGAAACTAGCAGGATTTAAAGCCAGCCTCTTAGAGAGATTTAGGAGGGAGTATTCCAGGGTAGCCAACATGGTGGATTTTTGAATTTCATACTGCCTCTATACACCAAAGGCCCTCTCCTGTGATATATAGTACAGCCATTCAGAGTCAAGGCCCACTGCACCAAATCAAGCCCATTAATGGAAAAAGCAGATAGGATTAACATACTGTGTCTCTTCAACTCTTTCTGCAGCTTGCTTATCTGATTGCTCTTCATCCTGCTGCCAGAAAGGGTTTTCATCTTCTTTGGCTTCAATGTCGTCTTAAGACTCGGTCCAGCTCTTGCATCCACCACCTGGAAAAGGACAGCAAGAAAAAAGTTTGTTTCATCGACTCTCATCTGATGAATTGTAGCAATAAGCAATGGTGCAAAAACTGCAAAACCTTTTTTAATGGGGAAAGCAGCTGTGTGCTGATTTGCACGCAAGAGTTTGCTTTACATTGCTCAGGCTCTACTGTGCTTTAAAATAAATAATAAAAGAATAATAATTGAAACTCAGCACCCAAGACCTTTCAGGTTCAGTGCCAAGTAAAGCTGGATGTTCTGAACTGTATACATTATACAAATGGAGCAAAATTTGACTAAATTGCAACCCAGAAATCCACACCCGCCCTTTGAATTGTTCCAGTGCATTGGGAGATGATGCTTCTGCCCCTTGCTTCTTATCTATCAGCTCCTACACCTAATGTGCAGAATACCTCTAGTCAGAAGGAATAGCTAACCAGTGTCCTTCAATCTGGTGCCCTCCAGATGTTGCTGGACTACAACTCCCATCAATTCCTGATTAGTGGCTAAGCTCACTGGGGATCAGAGGAGTTGTAGTCCAATTGTATCTGGGCCTGTTGTGGCTTATGCAACTCTCCCTCCCAGTCCTATTTATCGAATATATTAATGCCTTATGAGTCATAACATCCATTAAGGCAGGCAATGGCAGAACCATAATACCAGCTGTTCTACACATGCTGTACACACAATGGCTATTAAGGAAATGCTCAGGACAACAACTTCCACCAACCTAAGCCATCGTGATCAGTGATCATGGAATGTGTAGTCCAGCAAGATTTTGAGGGCAACAGGCTGGCTTCTCCTACCATGATACAGGATGAAAGATGACAAACTCACATGATTCCAGTTCTTTTTTGATCCTGCTGGCAGTTTTTTCCATCTTTTCACCAGAAGCACACAAGCATTGCAAATATCTCCTGAGCGGGCCTCGTGCAGACTGTGAAAAGAACACAATATAGTTCAATTGCTTGGTTATACTAGAAGGAGATCAACAGAAAGGCACACAACTTGGCACCCCTTTGGTTTTCAGGCTTCACTGATTTTTGTAACAGCCTTCAGCTCAGAAAACCCAACACAGTACTGGAACGGCACCAACTCTTACCCAAAGCAGTTCTGGAAGTCCTTTTCATAACGCTTGCTGTCAGTGAAGCGAGAACTGGAAGACTTTGCTCTGCAAATGCAGCAACCTTCTAAACTCCGGTACATCTTCGGTTTGTGGAAGCCAAACATCTTCTCTTCCCTTCTTTAGCCTGTAGGGATGAGCGAGGTTGGGAAGGAAAAGAAAGGAGGTGATCAGGCTTCAAAAAGGAACAAGAGTAGGCAACATTTAGAAGGCAGCTGTGGTCTCTACCCCCCGCATCTGCCATGTACAACTCTGCAAACCGACACCGCATCGCAGTCAGAAATGCCCAGTGGGAGATGATCCATTATTCATGATCCCTGTCCCACACCATTTCCCATAAGGACAGGTGTCTCAGACACATTTCCGTTTCTCTCGATCGCCAGGAGCGTGTGCGTTTGTGTCGCCCCCTCGTTCAACACAGAGGACACCACAGGAAATTCAGCCAGGCATGTAACAAGGTGACCCAATCAGCTGCAGTTAATGCAGGAAAAAAGGGGGAAGTAAAAAGGTGCATTCTAAGTCACCAAGTTTGTCTCAAAAGTTATTTCAGGTAGATTTATTGGCTTCAAATGTGGAAGGGAAAAAACAGGCATATACCACTCAAAAGAAAACCAATCAAAATGGGAATCTATGCCCACCAAGAGCGTTCCTGATTTTTTAAGAAATAAAAACCCAAAACTACATTTCCGTGCTATTATTGCTACTGTGCTATAAAAGTACAGGGTGGCCCCAAATATCGATAGGTATACTTCCCTCAGGACCTGCACAAGTGCCCATCTCTGATGACCCTTTGGGGCCTCCAAAGATCAGGACTGTATCCAAACTTCTATATCCCCTGGCCTTGGCGGGTGCTTACATGGGTCTTTCATTCTTGGCCCATTTCAGCTGTGCATGTTTTATAGCCATAATAATACAATGCAAAGTATCAGACTTTAATTTTTGTGCACTGCCTCGAGACTGAAGTGGGAAGCAATACAAAAATGACTCAATAAAATAAATATAAAACAATAAGTATTTTCAGGCTCTACTACCACCAACCCTTTTCTGTCGCAAACAGTAAATCCAACCTCTTAGCTGCTATGTATCTCCTGCCAAGCATGTTGGGCAGTATCATCCTCCTTGCCGCTGCACGGCAGATTTCACAGAAGTGCAATATTAAATAAGAATACAGAAGCACAGTTATTTGCCAGGGGCACATTCCTTAACATGTACCATCTCAACTGAAGGGACGCTGACCTCACTGTTCCATCAACTGGGAAGCCCAGCCACCGCCTCTCATGCCTTGAACATGCAAGGAATGTGCCTCACGACTAAGCTATAGCATCTCATCCAAGGACTGGGCCTGGTCATACAGAGGACTGGCAAGAGGGTGGGGGCCACCGAGGAAGAGACACAGATGCCAAGGACAAAGTTGGCAAGGCTTTCTGTTGTTGACAGGTCTAATTTCTGTGCACCTGTAAGAAAAGCTTCCATCCAGTTTCACGAGGCTGGGTTTTCATCTGGCCAGGAATAAGCCTGCAGTTCACACCAGAATCTAAACCAGAAAGCGGCCTGTGGGTGTGGCCTTTATTTACTTCTTTAATTTATATACCCCCTTTTCTTCCAAGGAGCTATCTCGCTTTCACTAGCAACTACTCCACAGGCAAAGAATCCCTTTTGTGCCAAGGGTGCCGCGTGTCAACTGTTGGAGCAGGGGCAAAGCCAGTGGTGGGTGGTGCCACCCCTTTTCCTCTTCTGGAGCTCCATTCTCTCTTTCACTTCTTCCCCACCCAGCAGGCTACTAGGGAGGGGCAGAAGTCCACCCTGATCACTTGCAAGGGGCCTCTTATCCTACCTTCCCTCTGGAGCCCGGACTCCCCCTCCTTGCATGCAATTAAGCCCTATGTGATGGCTGACTCCTCCTGGAATTTATGGTCAGTTGTATCAGAGATGTGGAATTTCAGGGCCAGGGACTGAATGTGGTCCAGGTCTCTGCCTGGCCCTTGTAGCTCTCCCCATCCCACACCCCCTCCCAAGTCACAGCCTTTGGCAGCCCTGCTTTACCTCCCCCTTTCCAGTGTTTCTGCCCAGCTGCGATGTGACCCTGAACTCCTGATAATGCCTCTTGCTTATCTGGGAGGAGGAGGATAGAGAGGAACACAGGAGAGCGAAGAAACCAGCCTACTGTGCAAAAATCAACATTCGCATTTCTTGGTCAGCTCATGTTTACCTCTGGTCCCATCCACTCCCAATTTGTGAAGGAGGCAAAGCAGCCACCTGGGCTGGGGAAAAAGTCCCCACTTCATTTTATACCTACCCTCTTCGCTTTGTTTTTGGAGGGGATGGTTTGGCAAAGACTGGGAGCTGAATCAGGCGCTGCTGTCCACAGTGAATCCGCACAGCTGCTGCCCCATGGCAGCAATTCCAAGCATGCTTTGATCAAGAAGCAAGTCCCACTGAAGTCAGGAGGACTTGTTTCCAACTAAGCGTATTTAGGAACCGGAAGCTGCAGATACAGCAGAATGCTGTGGCACAATTGCTGCCAGGAGTGAGACCCTGTCAGCATGCAAGCCCTTTACTCAGAGGTCTGCCCTGCTTGCCAACTTGCTCCTGGGCCAAGTTCAAGTATATAAAGCCCTTAACAGCTTGGAACCAGTTTACCTGCAAGATTGCCTGGGAACTGCAGCCCTGTGACAGGTAAACTATAGTTCCCGGGATTCTTTGGGGTGTAGGCAGCCATAGGCTTGCTTTGTTGCACAGGAGCTGGGCTAGACAGAACGGGTTGGAGCAGAGCAAGAAATAGGAGTGTAAGAAAAAGCCGTACCAGCACTTGAAGACCATGCACTTTAAATTACTAGCTAATACTGAAGGCTGAAATTGATTTAAGATACCATGCCTCAGTTGCTAAGACTTCTACCAAGTGTTGCTCTACTGAGCTCTGGGCACACTTTTGCTAGGGAATTTAACTCATACCTTTTAATGACAGGACTACTAGAGGGCAAATGGGAGTCCAGAGTCATCTCTGCAGCCACCAGTACTTTTCTGCGGTTTCTTGACAAAACAACTACTTCCAAAATCCTTAAACTCTCGTCCACCCAGTTACGGAGAAAGGTTGTAGTTGAAGCACAGGCTCTGCCTGCAGACAGACCCCAAATCAGCCTGTAGCATCTCCACGAAGGGCTGGGAAAGGCCACTGTCCAAAATCCCGGAGAACTGCAGCCAGTCAGTGTAGAAAATACTGAACTGGATGGGCTAAGCATTTGTCTCAGTACAAGGCAAGCTTCTTAAGCTCCCCAATGCCTGCAATCACCCTACAACCTTTTGCAGAGACGCAGCTATTTTGGCAGAGTGACCATGCAAATAGAACAGATTCCCAGGCTTCTTTCAGCCTGAAACAAGAGGTTGAGGACTCTCCTTCCCTGGAGGTTTTTAAGCAGAGATTGGATGGTCCTCTGTCAGGGATGCTTTAGCTGAGATTCCTGCACCGCAGGGGGTTGGACTAGATGACCCTTGGGACCCTTCCAACTCCACAATTCTATTATTTTTCCCCCCACCTATGTGTACCACAAAGGACAAGAAACAAATATGCCGAAGTACATTAAGGGCATTTATCTCTGGAAAGTAAGGATGGATCATCTTGGGAAGCTATTAAGCACTGCAACTAAAAGCCAATGGACTTCAAAACAGAAAAGGTAGTAAAAGAAATATTTGGTTTCTATGGTGGTTTTACGGTGGAATGTTTAGTCTCCCAAAGTGCTTTATAATCCTTCTCTCATTCATAACAGCCCAGTCGTGGCCCATTCTATTTTTTTATGATTGCACACACATGAGTAATGCCAAGTTTAGATTTCAAAGTGATCTGCAGGCAACAAAAACAAACCATAACTAGGAATTTGGGTTGAATGCTGGTGCTCATTTCAGAATCCAGATCCAGCCGTTTAGGGGCAATTCCAAAACTTACTATTGCTTTCAAGTCTGCAAGAGTCACGCTTACATGAAAGGGCCTTATATACTACCCCCTTCTGACAATCTGCTTTCTCACAAGGCCAATTCATCTGCCAAAAACCTTCTGCAATGCAATCTTGTGAGATGATAAGCCTTGTGAGATTATACAGTTTGCCTGGGAGAAAAACACCCATGTGTGGAAACACCTGGAGCCTTTATTTTGAGAACGAAGGGTAACAATGAACAAACTGAACCACAACTGGAGGCCACGGAAACAGAATCTGCTGCTTCCCATTGGCAAGTGATGGCCCTTCTTCCTTTGGCAGATGACTATTTTTAACTTAAGCCTACACTATGCAAGGCCAATCTCCACCAAACTTCAAATCATACTAGGCAGGACATAGCGCTGCCGGTCATTTATCTACCTGCACTTTTATTCCCATTTCTCACTCAAAACTGGATGATAACAAGCACAGCCCCAAACTGCTGGACGTAAGATCTGCAAGTGGATAAAAGGAGCAGAGCCCCTGCAGCTAATATCATGGACAACCTTGGGCTCAGGAATTTCCTTCCCTCCCACCAACCCTTTACTGATCTTCAAGCCACAGTACAAACCTCCCATTTGACAGAGAATTCCTTGGCTCCAGGCGCGGAAATTATTTACTTCGTTATCTTCCAACAGAAGGAAGTTTACAAAAGATATGCATCTGTACAGGCTTATATATTCTTTTAAACCAGTATTTCCTACCTCTTTTAAAAAAGTAGTAATTGTAGGGGGGGGGATATTATCACAAATTAAGTTTGCTCCAGAAGTGTAAGACCCATCTTTTTGTAAACTTATCTTCTTGGAAGTTAGTCATTTCTCATCTTTGATCATTCAGTTGTGTTACATACTTTCTTTAGCTATTTCTTTACAGGAGGTGTTTTCTCCTTTTTCCAGTTCTGACTATTCTTGCATAAATTAGTAGACTTGTAATAGTAGAATGTCAGGGTTTTTTTGTTTTGTTTTACTTCTGTCTGAATAGCACAAAGGAAGGTATTTGCAGGAATTCCTAGTTATATTGCACCCTGCTATTTCTTGTATAATGTACATTATACAAGAATGTATAATTCATTTGGCTTCTCTATCCATAATTTTATTTTCTTTGCTTTTCTTTAAACTACAAAGTCTCAGATGCTGCAACCTTTCTCGACAGGGGAATTGCTCCATCCCCATAACCATCTGGGTTGGATACATGCAATCCTATTCACTGACTGTCCAATAAAACAATATTTTACTATGCCTGATGCAAATCTAAATGCTCTCTATGCAATACTTGTAAAATTATGTTAAGCAATGCTTCTTAAACACACACAGTCCATCTCAATATGGGATTGTGATTCTCCCAAATCCATCAATGACTATTAAAAGGTAAAGGGACCCCTGACCATTAGGTCCACTCATGGCCGACTCTGGGGTTGCGGCGCTCATCTTGCTTTATTGGCCGAGGGAGCCAGCGTACAGCTTCCGGGTCATGTGGCCAGCATGACTAAGCCGCTTCTGGCAAACCAGAGCAGCGCATGGAAACGCCGTTTACCTTCCCGCCAGAGCGGTACCTATTTATCTACTTGCACTTTGACGTGCTTTCGAACTGCTAGGTGGGCAGGAGCTGGGACCGAACAATGCGTGCTCACCCCGTCACAGGGATTCGAACCACCAACCTTCTGATCGGCAAGTCCTAGGCTCCGTGGTTTAACCCACAGCGCCACCCGCGTCTCCTTATCAATGATTATTACTGTATTGTTTTTTCCCATCCCTCAAACAAATTAGCAATGTCAGCATACTAGTAGGTGAGGTAAAATCCTGTAATATATATAGAAGGCTTACTATTCTAGGACTAAGATAGATTGCATACCCAACTCTGCCTTCCCTTCAAGCCACTTCTATTTCAGCAGGATTCTGATCCTATGCTGTGGGTTTGCTGCTTAAGAGTCTACACCAACCAGCAAAAGCTTTCTGGGATTTCAGACAAGAGGCCTTCCCAGACCATCACAGATGGGAAATACCAGGGATCAGATATGGAGCCCTGCACATGCTCTGCCACTAGGTGGATCATGGCCTGATCCAGCAAGACGCTTACATCCTTCACCAAGAGTGTACACTCAGGACCATGCAACACAACCGTGTTTTAACTTCAAGAGACCTCCAAGGTGGATCAATGGATTTCTAGTAATATAAATATATATAAAAATTCAGACTAGCCCTGCTTTAAAAGGAGCATCCCAAGTAGAGAATGCGCCATTGCAGATCAAGAAACCCATGTGCTGCTAAAACTCTCACCAGGTTCTTCACTGGCCCAAGTTTGCTCTTTCTGTTGCGAAAGATCACCAGATTACCAAGCTTCATTATCGAAAACTCCCTGGGTGGTCACAGGAAAGCCTCTCTCTCTCTCTCTCTCTCTCTCTGCCTTTCAATCAACAGCAAGTTACTTCACAAGGTTGATCCTGTGGGAATTAAGCATGGACTGCATGGCTAGGTAATGCTATTAGTAGCAAGAACAATTTCTTAAAACTCTGGACTCACACAGTTTGTTAAAGATAACCGCCTCTCTCTTGCTTATTCAATGAAGTTTAAATGGGTGTAGAATGATTATCTGTGATTGCTTGAGCAATACTTCCTTGCAATGTATTGGTGTGGCCTATAAAACACAGGGTGGGCCACTTTTCTCCTGCATTCCTTTGGGAGTAATCTGCGAGGGGTGGGGCAGGAGCTCAAAGGGACAAAAGTGGAAAAAATGGGTGGGTCCACTCCCTATTTCTCTCTCTCTCTTTCCAGTGCCCCCTTCTCTTCCCTCCTTCCCTGGTGGGCTATCCGGAGACAGATTGCTCATCAGAGGTCTGAACTGCTTGCCTGCAGAAGGCTGTTGAAATGAGGTGCAGGTTACCCACACTTTATCTCCACGGAGTAACAGAAATGCAAAGCAAGCCAGGTCTCTCTGCTGAGATGCTGACAATTTAATTTCTGATGCTAGAGAACGGAAAGGGTTGCATCCAATGACACTGTCCTCCTGGAGCAAGGTCTTCTGTCTGCATAATGGGGCTTCTTCTCCCTCTCAGTGGTGCCTCCCCACACACCCTCCAAAGCAGATTCTGGGAGCGTACCGGGCAAGGAAGTCCCACCACGCTGGTGGAAGTCCTTGCACTAATGGGACAACTTTGTTGGATGCAATCCAAAGATTATAAAAGGGATGAACCTAAGCAAACACAGTTCCAAGTACTTGGAGATGAGGAGATAGATAGAGCTCAATTCTGTATGTGTTTACTTGAGATGAAACTCCAGTGTGTTCAAAGAGCCTTAATCCCAAACTTAGAAGAGCCTATTGGACCACATAGCCCTGCATCCTACTCTCACAGTAGCCAACGAGATGCCTCAAGCAGGATCTGAGTGAAAGAGCATCTTGCCCATCTGCAAATCCCAGCAACTGGTATCGAGAGGCCTACTGCCTCTGACAGCATAGCCTTATCCCCCATGAACTTGCCCAATCCTACCCAAGTTGGTGAGAATCACTACCCCCTTCGGGAGTTCCATAGTTTTAACTACACACTGTATGAATAAATACAGTGGATGCTCAGGTTGCGAACGTGATCCGTGCGGGAGGCACGTTCACAACCCACAGCGCCGTGTCTGCGCATGTGCAAAGCACGATTTAGCGCTTCTGCACATGTGCGAGCGGCGAAACCCAGAAGTAACCCATTCCAGTACTTCCAGGTTCGGCGCGGTGTGCAACCCAAAAGCACACATCCTGAAGCATCTGTAACCTGAAGTATGACTGTACTTTCTTTTACCAAAGAGGTCCTTTAATTTCTGCCCATGATGCCTACTTTGCTGCTAATACCTGAATAAGAATAACAGCACTTTCCACACAACACTCAAAATGACATTTGAGTTTCTGTTGTAGTATAGAAAGTCGCATGTGAATGCTCCTCTCTGTGCGAGGGAGAAAACTAGATGAGAGCTTCTTAAGGACCCCTCTACACATTTTCAAATACTGTATTGTAAATGAACAGCAAAAGAGGTGGGGAAACACAAAGGGACTTTGAACATCATGTTTTAAAAGACCCTCAACTGTCTCCGTCCATACACTGAAAGCTGTGTGCGTGCATATATAAAGTGATTAAAGTAGGAAAGAGTTTCCAAGCATTTAAGCCATTTTTAAACAAAACAAAACCCTGTGCAAAAGACCACCATGCCACGCCACTGTGTAGAGGCAAGCCCTGCCTCCAAGAAGGACCACCCACCCACATCCACCTCAGCCAAGGACGACCTACTTTTCAAAACAGGCTGTAATGATCAGAGAGACACCAAGCTCTGAGGTCTCTCTTAGGCACAGGTGCAAGGAACTCTGCTTGCCCAGGAACAAAATATGTATACACACTCTCTAGAAGCAGCAAAGAAGACGAAGCAGCAGCAGCAACATTCACAGCTATGCTTATGCAAGAGGAGAATGTGCCAGTCTACCTGCCAAACTAAGCCACTGCCATGAAGTCTCTCCATGTATCGCCCAAACGTGCAACTGGACGAGAGGATACTGTTGTTGTTTACTGGTAGGATCTGATGGTTAAATCAAGCCAACAATGGAGGGAGGTGGGAGAAGAGACTCACTCATGCATAGGCATTGCAAATCATTGCACACATGCAAAACAAATAAAAGGCAATCAAAAGCTGTCCACATTTCCTGTTCCGCTTTCGACTAGCTTTGCAGTAAGGGGCTGCCATGGAAGGAAGCGTCATAGCAGTGGCGTAGCGTGAGGGGTGCAGGGGGGGCCGGCCGCACCAGGCGCAACATCTGGGGGCGCGCGCTCGCACTCGAGTGCTAAAATCGAGTGCTAAAATCCACGGGTTAGGGGGCGCAAATTGCTTGCCTTGCCCCGGGTGCTGACAACCCACGCTAAGCCACTGCGTCATAGCATTCCCCCCTCCAGAGGCCGCCTAATCTCCGAGTGCTACTGGTGGTAGTCTCTGCGCAAGGGGGGGGGGCTGGAAGAGAGTGAGCGAGAGATCGGGGTCATCACAGCTACTGGCACGGATTTTCCACACACACACACACACACACACACACACACACAAAATATATATAAATTAAAAATGCGCGAGAGCACGGCCTGTCAACCTTTCCCACCTCCCGCGAGCACGCCTCCCACGCAGAAAGAGGGAAAGTGGCATCCCAGGCGAAGTGACTTGAGTTTCGAACGCTTTTTTATTAAAACTATAATGAGAAACAGCAGGTTGCGCTGGCGCTCTCACCAAATTTGTGTGTGTGTGTGTCTGCGCGCGCGCGCGCACACACACGGTGGGAGATGGAAAGCAAAGGAATGGACCCTCATTAAGTAACCAGGGAAAGTTTTACCCCTCCGCATTCTCGCAGAACAAAAGAGACGATAAAGGTTCCCACCCGCCCCCTCCATCCCATCGCCGCCGCGACCAGCAGCACTTCCTGCTCACTAATGCCGCCCGCCCCCCACCGGCGCCCCGCTAAGCTCCTGCGTGCACATCGGGTGGGTGTGAGCGCGCGATCTGCCCGCGATGGTAGGAACTGGTTCCTCCTCATGGCTTTGCCCTGACGTAATTCAAACATGGCAACAGTTCCGACTTCAAAGCGGGATCGGCGAGACCTCCCATAAACACGCGCCACGAGGGGAGAGCGAAGCGCGCTTGAACCCCGCACAGATGCACAAAAGCGTGTGCCAATAAAGTAAACGTGACATTTATTCCTTCCAGCTCTCTCACTTTCCCAGTTAATTAATGACCGAGCGACATTACAGCCCGGGACAGGCAGCAGCAACCAGAGCGTGTGTTTGCTCCAACACTCCGCTGGGTCCCTCGAAGGCGCTTCCTGCCTCTGAGCCACCTAAACACGCCTCCTCCGCCCTGCACGCGGCGTGGTACCTTGTACTGGGGGCGCGCGCAGTATCTGAAGTTTAACATCAAAATAAAATTTTAAAAAGTCCTCAAGAAGCGGCTGCGACCTCGTGCGTATTTCTCTGCTCCGATTTCGGATGCAACACGGTTCGTGCCTGTTTATGTGCCGAAGGGATAGAAAGGAGCGCTGCCGCCGCGCCGCCCCCCCCCCGCCCCGCCTCTCGCGCGCCGCGCCGTTTGCAAAGCCCAGCAGCCACATGCTCTATATAAGCCCTTTGTTTTGCCTACATGCGGCAAACAAGGTAGTAGCCGGGGCTGTTTGCTTCCGCGGAGTGGAATTCGAAAACAAAAGATTACACTTATGAGACGCGCGGGAAAGGGAGGAAAGGTTCCAGGTCGACTTTAAAGGAAAACAAGACTCGTATTGCACGGCGGCGCGGGCGGGGAGGGGCGGGTGTGCAGCGAGGCGACTGTTGAAAAAATTAAAGTTCCGATCAAAGTTGTATACAGTACTTTTAAGAGTGTCTGCTTTCAAAGTGGCAGGATACCCCCCCCCCTTTCCAGGCCGCATTACCACCCACCCAACTCAGATGGTTAATGACAGGGCAGTCTGATAAACAGCTTTTTAATTTTTTATATTAAAAAACCCGAGATTAACACCACAATCCTAACCATGTCAACTCAGAAGGAAGTCCAGTTTTGTTCAATAAGGACCCTGGTAAGTAGCTTTAGGATTGCAATTTTAAACGACTTGCGTAGCTTGGAGCACGTGTCGTGACAGACTGCACAAAAACAAAAGATCCCTTCGTTTCAAGCAACTCAGTTGCGGCTGAAACTGGAGTCACCTCTAAAAGGCATGGACAAACCACCCCAAGGGTAACCCGCCCCGCCTCTGTCCTGCTGTCTTTGCCCTTTCCTCCGAGGAAACATACCCCGACACCGCCATGGCTGTTACCCGCTTGCCATGCAACGCGGTGCAACTTTCCCCTCGCGGAATCGATCTACAGGTGTATCACTCGCAGAAAGGAACGCGGACCCCGGAGAACGTTCGGAAATGGAACGCCCGCGTCGCCAACATTCCAAACCTCGCCTCGAATCCTAAGCCGGTTTAGCCGACCTCGAGGGATTTGTTGCAAACCTTCTTCCCCCTCCCCCTCCCTTTTGCTTCCCATTGTCGCCGGTCCCGCGTCCATAGCTGTAACGGACAACACAAATCTGACCGCCGCCAACACGCCGTGCACAGCGAATTGCTGCCCCAAATCCCACATTTTATTACTCGGAAGCAGAAACCCATTAACTTTCATTCCACTGTGAAGGGTAGCCGGGATTGCAGCAATCACCTCGCTTCCTTTCTGTTACGAGAGAGGAGCGAACAAACAACTTTTTTAAACTGGGAACTCCCCGCTCCGGGGCCCGACGGCGGTCCAAAGCACTAACTGCATTAAAAACACCCAGCGATTTCCAAGTTCTCTTGACGATGGGGTCGAACAAACCGGAATCAATTGGTAGGGGTAGTGGAACAGATAGAGAAACTCATCCTACAACTGTTTTCCTTCATGGGGGGCTGGAGTCCTCACTCCGCCACATGCTCGACCTACAACAATACAAGCAGCGTTCCGCTGCCCCCGTTTCTTCCGCCACAGGATACCCCTCCAAAATGCAAAGCATTCCAGAGAATAACGCCAGCTACACACCGTCTCACCTACAAACACCCCCCTTGCATGTATATACGACATCCTCTTGATAACTAGTTTGCTTGCAGAAAGGCAGGTTAATTAAAAAATTTAAAACGCACAAATAAAGAGCACAAAACTTGTCCGACCCCGCTCCCCGTCTTTCAGATGTACGGCTACTATTTTAAATCTATATTTTCCCAACTGGAAACGACGAACATTTAAAAGGATTTACCTCCAACGAATCAATAGCGTGCTGGGTTGCGCGGAGCGATCTTCCTCCCCCCTCCTCCTCTGCACGGTCTCGTTGTCTCGCTCCTGCGTCTGGAGAGATGCAAGCTCTGGAGTCATTGGCTTAACTTCCAGGCAGTGTGCGCATGCGCGGTTCCCACGACTCCGTACTCCTCAATCGAGCTCTTTTGCATGCGCGTACCATTGTCCTTTTAAGGGAGAAAAGGGCCGAGCGAAAAGCATGGGAAGGAAAAGCACGGGGGAGGTCCCGGTCATTGTGACGCCAGAAGTGACGTCGCACGCACGCGGGGCTGGATGTGCGGGAGGGAGATTCTAAGCGAAGCTAAAGAAGGAACGTCTCTTGCCGCAGTTGCTCATGCTCTCGCTGCCCATTCAGGATTTTCTTCGGTTAAAAGGACATAAATCTATGAATAAAGGGCAATGAATGAATGAGCTCGCTTCCCTTTCTCAGCCCATTTTCTACTCTTCATGCACAGATGAGAGGCTTCAAGGTTTGGTTTGGTTTGGAATGTGAGAGCACCAACGCTTCCTGTGTAGGATTTCCTCCCGGATACACACCGGCCATCACTGATTCTCCTGTAGCCTCCCGTTCATTCGATGATGAGGTCCATTTTGCCCTAGTTTTATAACAGTCACAAGCTCCCAGCCTTCTCACTTAGGTGTGGCGTGGCGGCTAAAGTGTTGGGACCTGGGATTTCAGGTTCGGATCCCGGCTCAGCCAATGAAGCTCACTGGCTGACCTTGGGACAAGTCAATCCCTCGGACCAGCCTACTGCATAGGGGACAAGGGGCAGACCATGTGTCACCTTGAGCTCCTTGGAGGAAAAACAGGATGCAAATGTAATAAAATACATAATTGTGCATGTAGGCAAGTAGTGTTGGAGCACAGACTTTGGATATCTAATTAATAGCTGCCAGTCTGTGACATCGGTCACCCAGTCCTGATTCACTGTCTCTTAATTTTAATACCAAGGAGAAACCATTTCTAAATGTAGATCTAGCTATTTCAAGTCTCCTGTCTACTAGCATCATACAGTCGCTTCACCTGTTCTGCAGCAGGTACATTTGTGAAACACGTTTGCCAAACAGTTTAAAAGCCCCTTGGGGCACAAAGAACTACCTGCCCAGTCTGGCCATCAAAAGCGTTACATATGGACTTCTAATTCTACCAAAACTATCTAGGGCTGAAGTCATACCAAATAAACTGAGATGGTTGATGCTTTATTACCACTTGTGCTTCTAATGTGTGCATTTCCTTTAACAACTCAGTTGGTTAAGAGCATGGTGCTGATAATGCCAACGGATTGGGTTCGATCCTTGTATGGGCCACCTGCATACTTCTGCATTGCAGGGGGTTGGACTGGATGATCCTCAGGGGTCCATTTCTAACTCAACAATTAAATCTTTCCAACAAGTATTTTCATGTCCACTACCAAGAATTGTTGTGTTTCGGTGGTGGGAGAAGTCAACCTGGTTAGTTTATCACAGCCATCATGTTAAGTACGTGGGTGGGGAAAGTGTGCTTACTTTGGAAGGCAAGGACAAGGAGGCTTGTGGGCAAGAGGTATGGAGTAAATCCCAATGAATGCAGTGGAGTATACTTCTGAGTAGACGTAAAGGATTGCAGTCTCTCAAATTTCCAAACGGGCCCACTGGTCCAAAAAGTTGGCAGTCCCTGACAGACAGGTTTGGAATGCATGCTAGTTACAGAAAACTATAGTATTATTGTAACTATAACATGGATAGGTAGGGTTTACATAAATTGTGAACAATTAACTGCAGAGATTTTCCTGTTGGCTTTTATTCTGGAACATGGAGTTCAGCCTAGTTAACATTATGTTTAAAAAAAATGAAATTCGAGCAGAAAAAGCAAATTTAATGTAACCATTAAAATCTAAACACCACTTTTTAAAGGCAATTGCACTTAGTAGGTAGCAGACCAATTCTACAAGCATCATCAGCTTAATGGAAAATTTGACAATAGTAAGACTGTGTTTAAATATTAGGCAGTCTTTTGGTCAATCAACCAGTCAAATATTACAAGAGTGCCAACCCTAAAGACTTGCAAATAAAATTCAAAGTGAGAAGTAATAGCAAAGCTAAGGTACAAGATGCCTTTTGTTCAGCTGGTATTAATTACTTCTGCAATATTTTCCACTTTGGTCTGGTGCAGGCTACTTCACAAAAGTAGTAACTGGTAACAACACAACCAAACTTGCACTATGTCAATTAACAACTGTAATGGGAAGGAAATTACTGTCTCTATTCATCCCCAAATGGATTGTCTGCATTTGCCATTTTAACCCCTCCACCCTCTAAATATACCTGCCTATTGTTTCATATGCTGGCATCTTCCATTTTGTGTACATGACAAAGCCAGCGTAGATGTCGCTGTGACAGGAGTGCAAAGATGCTAGGCATATGGTCTTGGGAGAACACATCCTTGAGACTCTGGACAGTAGAAAATGAACTTAATGGGCCTAAATGAGAAAAATAAATATTGACAGCATACCCCAATCCCTAAAAATAGTGTTGATGCTATACCTCCACAGTTCAGCCTATTAAATTCTACAAAGTATTTTTATTTTATTGGCCTTAATTAAAATAAAATAAAATATTATAATAATAATTTCCATACCATCCTATACCCGCAGGTCTCAAGGTGATTCACAAGATAAAAACACAAAATACATAATCAAAATATAAATGGAAACAGCCAAATAACCTCCCCAATGAAGCATCACATGACACATTGTTGTTCTCAGTTTTATTTGTAAATACCATTGCATGAAAAGCTGCATTTAATAGTAATCCAAACCCTGGAAAAAAACACCCACGTCAGTTTGTGATATGTATGCTAAAGTGCTTGAAATAACAATACTTTTACTGATATTCACTTCCTGAACATTATCCAGTCCTGATTAATTTATGAATAACGTGAAGATAAAACAGCAACATATTCTGAAGATATTTAAGGGTGGGGGGCAGAAGAAGTTCTTTAATAAACTCTGTCAGGTATATTTATACATTTCAAGTGTAACATACAACGTTTCCTTATGAGAAATGCACCTTCACTTGATTGGGAAGAGGAAAATCAATGTTAATTATGACACTGCACCACCTCTTAAAACTTGCTCTAAACAAAAAAGCAGCTAACAGCCCCATCCCAAACATTTTTACTCAGAGATCAATCCCAGTTAAAAAATAATGGCATTTACCTCCAAGTAAATGGGCTGCTAAAGTGTTAATTGGAAAGATGAAGTGGTGGGGTTTCCTCTGCTCTGAGACAACCACACTCTGGTTTGCCTCAAAGACCCATAAACTGTGTTACATTACTGATCTACTTTGCAATTCTACTTCATAGCTTCAAATGTTCTTACTATGTTAGCTTAGCAATGCTATAAAGAACGTACAGTGCTTTGAGAGCCACTGTTCTTCAACACAGAATTTTTACTTGGTAAGTTACCAGAAAGCCTTAGTTGCCTTAAAATGTTGGGTTTCTCAAAATCAACAAAAGCTCATTAATACTGATGTTCAAAAGGTACATTAATTTCCAGAGAACCACGACTACTACAGTCTTCCTCACTCTTTTAAAGAAACTGGAACACTTTCTGAAAACCGCAACAGGGGTGGGGAACCTGTTTCAAGTGATCAAAATTGTTTCTTAAACAAAAAAGTTGCACACAACAGGAATAAAACAAATGTAATGGAAGAACTGCACTCCTGAAGATGTCAAATAGAATTAATCTACCAGAGATCAATCTCATGCTTCAGAAATACCTTAAGGTTGTTATAATACTACATATTTATACAGTGCATTATTGCCTAAAAGGAAACTTGACACCCAGAGTATCCCTTTCACACCAGTTCCCATGAAATGCTTTACAGAAAGAAATTATATCGTGAAGCAAGACGTCCAGAGCCACATGCTAGAGGTGGATAGAGACCCGCTGTGAATTTCAGGCAAAAAACCTTTTATCGGGTGTCTCTCTTTATCAGCATCAATGGTTATTTTTCCCATGTCATGAAATAAATGTCAAAGCAGAAAGGGGATAGTACAGAAAACCAGTAGATGGAAGGGGAGATGGTAGTCAGTTAAGGAATCCAGGTCTCCAATTTGACTCAGATTCTTCTGGAATGAATGCAGCATCCAAGTAACATATTGCTTTTTATTTACTGTCATTTAGTAAAACAAGAAGTGGGACTTCTTCCACGACTGGGGCCAGTTTTGAGACATGTAAAAGCAAAGCACATTGATATCTGGACAATTCCTTTATTCTCCTGTTCGGTTCTGTACCAGATCCTCATTTTTCTTAGCTCAGTCTTCTTAGCTCTAAGTACAAAGGAATTTTTCAGAAATATCAACAGGCAAAATATAGATAAAACTACAAACAATCCACCATTTGTTTCTTGGGAAAAACAGCAGTGAAGGCCAAATTGTATTGGCTATCTGGAAATTACAGGAAAACGAGGAAGGATCAAATATATCTAGTAACTGTACATACTTGGATTTTCAATGCAATAACCATTTCTCTTCTAACTAGGGCAGAGTAAATGAAAGGGAATGAAAGATCAAATAACTTCTCCAGTTTTTAATGGGGTTGCATGTTACTCCACAAAACAGTTAGCTCTGGAAATATTTAAAATCATGTCCGAGATTGCAGGAACGTGTCTTCCATCAACATCGGACTGGGGTTACTTGGTGAGGTAAATACATGGTTAGGGTAAAAAGGAAGCTGGTTTTGCTTGAGAAGGATTATCTGGAAATTTCTCCCCACCCCCAAATATGTGCTCTGAAATTTTGGTGAATATTTTCAAATGCATTCATGTTTCATAGTCATGTTGGCAGGGCAAATTTCATGCACTGGGATTCATGTGCTATTTCACCAAAAGTTGTGGCCAAAGGTGCCACCTAATTTTTCAAAAGAGCAGAGGTATTGGTGAAATATCTTGATGCGTGCAAGCCACTTGTTGGCTCAGAATCTTCTTACGGTTTATGGTTAACATTCCCAGCTTTCTGCTCTTTTTTTGGATAAGAAATTCACAGGTGAAGGGCCTTTGGAGGTCCCAGGTATCATTACCAGAAAAAGGGTGGAAAGACACATTGCACATCAAAATACAGGGTTCTCAAAGTCAGGGCTGCTGCTGAAGTACAAATTGGCAGCAGTTCTTCCATCCACCATGTTCTCCCACAAATGCCTTCCCTGCCATTTTTCCTCGACTTGTGTGCAGGATGCAAGTTTCTAATAGAAGCAACTCTCTGCCATTTCTCCCTTGCAAATGCCCCTCTCCCCCTGCCACTTTGCACACTGATGGCAAACCCCAGCGTTGGGAGCCCTGTGTTTGTCACTGAACACACTGTCTCACCCTTAATATCACGCCCTAAGAGAATTCCCTGTCAGCATACTACTTAGGAAGATAATCTGTTAAATGAAATAAATAGAGGCTTTGCACACTATTCTCTTTGTTGGTTTCTTTCCCAAATACAGTGTATTTTGCTTTCTGGGTTTTCCACCTGCTTCAGCCTTAAGGGGCCCTCTCTCTTGGACTCTCTCAGTTGAGGGTGGGGGAATAGAATATTACACGATACATCTGCTATCTGTGCTGCCTCACTATCCAGTACTAACTTTTGCAGAATACTACTTAAATTGGTCTGCTTAAAGCAACTTGTTTTGCTTCTCAAAATATTGCATCTATCCACTTGTCAGGATAGCCTCTAGATTTGGGTATCTGTTGCCTCTGCACAAAACCAAGGGATGTCTTACATTACGAGGTGCACAAACCGCTGTTCCAGTGGGATGCTTTCACATGCCACTGTGGCATCATAGCAATGCTGAGTTCACACAGGAGGACCCGATATGCAGCTACTTCTCTGTGCCACCATTGCTCCCAGGTAGGGCTACGCTGGTACCATTGCCAAGCCCTCCCATGCACCTACTGGCTTCCTCTGTTACCCGAGTGCCATGGAAAGGAGAAATGCTGAAGTAGCTACCGGACCACTAAGGCAATGTAAGCATCATCCCTTAGGGGAGCCTTTACCTAACTGCATGGGAGGTTATTTCTACATGGCTACTCCACACATCCTGGTTGTCTTGCCTAGAGCACCTTGCTATATACGGACCCTTTCTGTTTACATGGGAAGAGTTGTAGCATTAAAAGGTTATAAGCAGCCTCCCATTGAAGTAAGACAGTTGCAGGGCAGGGAGGCTGCTGACATTTTAAACCTTCCAAAACAATCATGCAGAAAATGTTTGTGATAAGAGATTGCCTTCCTCTCCCCTTTCAAATATGTCTCCTGAAGCAGGCGCTGCAACAGAACTCCAAACTCCAAATGGGGAGTGAGGGGAAAGGAGAGAGGGAGAGGGAGAGAGAGAGAGAGAGAGAGAGAGAGAGAGAGAGAGTTGAAAGGCCAGTTAACCACTCAACGCTCTAGTACAGCTTTTCTCCTCTTTTTGTAATCCAGTGGATCCCTGTTCAAAGCTCAAGAACTTCTCATGTCCAGTGTGAAGACTTTCCTTTGCACCACTTGCACTGACTGACGAAAGTCAGGGAGGGGATCCAGAATCCTATGATTCACAGCTTATTGGATGCACACAAACAAAGGTTTGGATCTAAACGGAATAACGAGACCCCTCGACACATACAGGGAACAGAGCAAACAATATACATTCACAAGAAGAATACAGCAGTGGCTACCCCAGAGAGTCTTCAGTTGTTCCTCTGCAATATGCAAAAAAGCCCCCCGCGCTACGTTTGTACAATATTTACAGATGGAGTGGCTTTTTCCCATACTTGCAAGAAATGCTTCCCTCCTTCACCCAACCCTATAAAGTTGTTTTAGGCTACATTTCCTTCCCTCCCCCAACCCCAAAAACACTGATTCTAAGAAAAGTTCCATATTGGTAATATTTCTGAAGTAAGGTAGCCTATTTACACACATTGAACACACGAAAATACTCTATTTTATACTAAACCTCTGGTTTTGAAAACTACAATACTGCAGCGTAGCTTGTTTGCGGCTTTGGGGCAGACCAGTAAGGAAACTACACAAGCAAAGAATCTGCCCACAACCCCTACTCTCACCTATCAACAAGCTGTTTTTTGAAACACACAGTGGGGCAATACCAGCAGCATTTGCATTTTAACAGATCCATCCTCTCCCAAATTCAACATTTGCCTGGGAGAAGAGAGAGGCAGAGCGGGTCTGCAAAGCCATACACTACACATCCACCCCTTTGACGAGTGACCCTTCCAAGACAATGCTGAAGTCCTGCAATGTCTGTAGGACTCTGATGAGAGAATTCACCATCATGCGGTCACGCAGGAGAGCGTTCTCTTCGTACATCCGAGTGATGGCTGGGCACTCCGCCAGTAAGGGAATCCACTGCGGGATGAAGTGATCCCTGCAGAAGAAATTGTATCATCAACCAATTTATGGTACATCCATATACTTTATGCAGACATAACATTTAATTAAGGGTTTCCTTCCTTTCTTCCACTGCAAATCCCTCAACCATTATTACAGATGGGCAGCCAAACAGGGCCCAAAGCCATGGTTTGATGCAGTGCTTCCAACAACCGTTTTCATTAACCATGGTAAGCTTACATCTCCATTGCAAACCACTGTTCAGGCACTTTCCCCAACCTCTCGAGTCTTTGTGCAAGGTGAAAAGCAAGCCTTGTTGGTATCTCCCAAAAAGTTTAACTTGAGAAGCCAAACGATGCTTTCACAGCACACTGGCATATTAAACCAGGGTTACAGCAACCAACACAGATGAGAGCAGCGGTACTTTTAAAGATGCTTTGCTAGGTAATTACTTGCAGAATGTTGGTTTTGTTGGAAGCTACAGGGTAATATCAGTGAATCACAGAATCATGGAATTGTAGAGTTGGAAGGAACCACGAGGGTTATCTAGTTCAATTCCTTACAATGCAGGAATCTTTTTGAAGAAGCATTTAAAATCACTGTATCCTATCCCACTAAGACTGGAATGGCGAAGCTGTGGCCTTTCAGTTGTTGGATTGCAGCTCCCATCAGTCTCAGAACAGCCAGGAATACAGGATTATGGGAGCTGGAGTCCAGAAGCATCTGAAAGGCCACAGGTTCCCCAAACTTGCGCTAAGAGTTCCCAAAAGTAGCACCTGAAAACATCGGGCTAGAAAAGAGATCAGCAGAAAAGCAAAACTGAAAGTAATCATGCAGCAGCTGCTGTTAAGAGCACTTGCACATTTTTCCAAATCAGAGGATAATATTTGATGTTTGATTCAGCCTCTGAAAATTACGTTGAATGTGGCCAAACAATGGATGGGATCTGAAGGGCTCAATTGTTGAGTTGCAGACCCATTTCACTTGCATTATTGTTGCCTCAAAACAGATGGCCTGTTTCAAAAAGAAATCAAATGCCACGGAGAAGCAAGGAACAAGTTATTTGTGTCAGTGTCAGAAAGACTCATCTCCAAGAAATCAGAGTGTTTAACTGCTGATTCTCCCAGTGTAATGAAACTGTTTGTTGAGGACTCTATCTTGCTCATGCAAAGTGGCTGAAGCTGGCAACAAGAGAGATCAGCATCTTTTGTGAACTGGGTGGGTACCTTTGGATGAATCAGAAGCCCCTGAGACTGTAAACTGCTCTGTGATTCTTGGATGATAGGCAGTATAAATTTAATAAATAAAATAAAATAATGTATCTGTTGTATGGACTGAGAGAGATGGTTGTCAATTAACATACATTTCCTAATAATCTGTGCACATCATATAAAAGGCAAAATTGCTGAAGATGACAAGCTATTTTACAGCTAGTTTACAGTAAGTGCTATAGCAGCTTCCGGTAGCTGCCAGAAATCTGCTCAAATATCCAGACTAAAGAACTCAAAAGAGATCTAACAAATGTATACAGAGGAGGAACTTAAAAATAGATTCCAGTCAAAAATATTAGAAGTATTACTGGGAAAATCCTGGCTCCAAAAGCCAGCTTTTAATGATGCCACCGTGATTCTGGGCAAGCCACATTCAGTCTCAGTTGCCCATTTTGAGGGGCTGGAAATGGTCTACTCTACATGACCTCAGAGTGTTGCTAAGGAAGAGAACAGCTTTGGAGACTTTTGCATCTTAGAAGACATTTGTGAGCAAACGACATACGTACCGAGTTCCAAGGCAAACAAGAATTTGGAATTTGCCGTCCTTCCCTATGTTCCGTGGTGCCGTATTGATGGCATTTACATAGTGGCAAAATGTTTTGCAGGAGGATTTTTGAAGAAGAACATCCTCTTCATTGTCCCCAAGCTGGTCAGTAGTCTCAAAGTAGGCAACTGCCTTTTCTGAAGGTGGATGATGGGGGAGGGAGGGGGAGGGAGAGGGAGAGAGAGAGAGAGAGAGAGAACAAAAGCTCACTGAATGTAGAATGCAAATAATCTCTCAGCCCTTTCAACCTGCCATTTTGTTGAGTGACACCCTCCAGAAGCTAGGATTCACAAGTGCAAATAACACATAGCACTGAAACTATGTAACTAGAGGCAGGGCTGTATTTGTGCTAAAAAAAAGTATTAAACTTTTATGTACAGCCAGCTTGATCCAAAACCTGCACCATGAAAAACAATTCTGAATCAGTTGTGCAAGTTGAGTGTGATTGCACAACTTCTTCAGTAACTAAGCGTTTAGAAGCCACAGATTAATGGCAATTAGGACTTTGAAATTACTATTATATGAGGAACAGTTAAAGTAACCATTTTGTCATTATGTCTGAAGTGATTTCCTGAGTGACAATTTGGCCTAGGCAGTTCCAGAATCACAGCTAATTTATTGCCTCAGAGTGCATTCCTAACACATTAACACACAGTATCCATGAATTCAGAGGTAATGACTGCCTTGAAGGCATTTTGCACATTCTGTTGCTTTACACTGTCTTGCAAGTTAAGGGTCACTTGGCAAATACAGGCCTGTTCAAACAAAGGAAGATATGGACCTGCCTAGAAAAATCCAATTTTCATTGCATATGGAATGTCTTTGTGAATTTCAGGGAGTGGCAGCTGTGGTATTGGAAGTAGCCAAGTCAACGATGTGTGCCATTTCCCTTCCCCATTTAAAATCTTACCAGTGTGGCAAGATACCTGTCCATCAAGAAGCATGACCCACACTATGAAAGCAATGTGACAATAAGGCAAGAGATGGTATAAGACTTTCCCCCTCTTTCTGAGCTGTTTATTACTTTAAAAGCAAAACAAAGTAATTGCCAGTTTGCTAGTCTGTAAGTAGCTCCCCCACTTGTTGACCAAGGTGGACTACTCCACATTGTCCAATGGTCTAACAGTAGGGCTGGCCGAATGGTTCTCTCAGCAAGTAGCCACCAGTTAGAGATGGGCGGCATTCAATTTCACTGGAATGACATGAAGTCCAAACTTGTGGACTTCAGGAAATTGGGCCCATAAACCCTAATTGAACTGAATGTGCCAATTACCTATGAAGTCCCAGATGAAGACATTCTTATGGAAGATGCGAGCAGACTTGAAACCATGGTGGAAGACCTGCTCCAGTGCTGCAACCAGACCATTTTCTCCACATAAGAGAACAGTGAGGCTTCCCCTCTACAGAAAGAGAAATAATGGTTATGAACACTGGCATACCAACACAAGCTACTTCTGATTCCCCCCCCCCCCTTAGCTATGGATGCTTTTTAATCAGCTTTCAAGACTTGTTATGATGAGTGCAACTTGGTTTTCCATGTCTGCACCTTAGGCGGAAATGTGATCTGGGTTCAGAGATGGGGAACTTGTGAACTGCAAAAGCTGCATTTCATGAGTCAGTTTTGGAGCCAGTAGATACCAGGGTGAGGGAGAGCGTTGTTGCTGATGCAGCTCCCTTTCCGGATACTTGCAAGATTTACTCTGGTGCGCAAGGGCTAAGAAATTAATGGCAGCCAAGAACAATTGGCATTGCCCCAGATTCTTTATTCCTCAAATATACTAATAACAACCTCAGTATTCTGAGTACTGGTCCCTATTCAGCCAAAAATACACCACCCAATCACAGGAGAGAGATGTCAGTGGACTTGGGGGAACCTTGAGTTTGCAGAAGTACACAAAAAAACACCCCTCTTTACAAAGCATCAGAGGAGGGGTGCTGGGATATCAAATAGCCCAGTAAGGACTGAGTGTGCTCAATGACCACAAGATGCTAACTGGGTGGGTTGGCTGGGGGCAGATAGAGGGGATGGAATACAGGACTGATCAACACCAAACATTTAAAGTGAATTCAGTACCCATTTAAAGCCCACAACTTCTCCCAAAAAGTGGGGGAAGCTGTAGTCCCCCCCCCCGAGACCTACAATTTCCAATACTCTTTACAAACTACAGTTCCCAGGATTCCTTGGGGGAAGTCATGGGGTTTTAAAGTGCACTGGATGTGTTTTAAACATGTGGTGTTGATCTGCCCAGAGATATGGAGGAAGGCATGAATGAAAACAGTGAGCAGATGCAATCCACACTTCCAACGTTTTGTTGCAGGAGCTACTTGCATGTTCTTCTAATTGAGAAAGAAGGATCTAGAGTTGGGTAGAGATTTGCTACAGCAGTGAGCTATGGCCAAGTCACTGCCTGTTCATCTCTGTGCTGCAAAAGTTGCTTTATGAAGTCTACATCCCATTTGCTCACATGGGAACAAATATCTGAACATCATGTCAAATGCTGGGGTTGTTAAATTCTGCTTTTCCTTTTCTGTAAGCTAGTTGGCCTGTTTTTTAAACTTTGAATGGATTCAGAAACCCTTTGCATCCACTGCAAATATTGTGGGCAAAAACAATGTGGTCCTGAACTGCTTGAAAGACAGATACCATCTTAATTTCATGCTTTCCACCAGGAAACTCTGAACACATTTATAAAAAAAGAGTGGGGTGGTAATGGCAGTTGCTGAATGTCTGCTTCAGGAGCAGGATCACATAACAAACAATGAGCAGTTAGGTGATGAACTCCAAAGCTTGCCACAATGATGAATCTGAATCCAGAAATTTCGTAACGTTATAATTTGATCAAGATTCTGCGCCTCTTGTCACCCCAGCAGCCAGTGGAAGAGGTTTGCTAACATCCCCTTTGCAAACGTTAATATAATTGCAATTGTTTGAGAAGGTACCTCTTTTTCAGGTTTGTGGAAATGCTTCACAATATTGTTCACAGCCTCCCCGATCCCCTCCTGGATCTGTCCTGCATTGGGTTCTGCAGAAAAAAGGAGCGGGGGGGGGGGAGAAAGGAGGGCAGAATTCAGTCTCAAGAGATTCAAAGGTTCAAATGAAAAAGGGAATTGTTAAAAATGTCATCATTGATGGTGTTACCGCAAGAAGTTATGTCTTACTTGTATTTTTCCCGGTGAGAGAAGTGATACTCAATCTCCGGGCTGTCGTTGGGGATTTCTGTTGCGGTGGGGTTCGGCACTGCTTCCCGAGATCTTCATCCGATGCTGTTGAAAGCAACTCTCCTATGAGAATCCTCTCCAGGCTACCATCATCAACACCCTTCCCCAACCATCTTCCACATGGGAACCTAAGGGGTCACAAAATGGAGTTGGAACTGGCTTCAGTGTTCTAGTCAGAAAGGTATAACCACACAAGCTCTAACATACAGTTAAACCACAAGTTTTGGGATTTCTTGTTGCATCAGTTCATATGAATGGGGTCACTGTAGGGCTAGGGTAATCCCACATTAAAAAAACTTGTGAACTAATTTGCAAGTATGATTAAGACTGCAGTCTTATACCCACTTACCTGGGAGTAAGCCCCATAGAATTCAATGGGACTTACTGTACTTTTGAGTAGACATGTATCCGCAAAGCAGTAAGTGAAAGTGATCGTATTCATATATTTAGCATCTCAACTTTAAATAAGATAGAGGAGTTTAGCCTTGCTTGCCTTTAATATAATGTTTTCCTTCACTCTTCCAGACTTACTTGTAAGTGTGCCCTGTGATTTCATTCCTGACCATGACACAATCCACCAGCCATTTGGCTAACAGTCCTGAATTGTCATGACCTATCTGAACAGTAGTTAGCTTCCCCAAGTTCTGACACTGAAAAGAGAAAAGGACAAGCTTAATTACTTTTAGTATAAACACAACCAAAATCACCCCATTTTATTTCATTTCTCAAATCAGGCAGCAAAATATGGCAGCCTTTGCTCCCTCAGAGCGGTCTCTATATTTCAAAGCCCCTGGATGTATATTGCAGATGATCCAAGCATAACTAAACGTTATAATCAGACCAAATGCGATCTGGTCCACATATGAATCTTCTTAACTTAAAAGACTGCAATATCAAGCAATGACCTATAAGTGTGTGAATGAACCACTGCTGATCTAACAGCACAGATACAATGCTCATTTCAGCCTTATGTATGTCAAACACTATGCTTTGCAATGGAGTCAGTTTATTTATCAAGCGTATAAACCCAAAGACTCTAAAGCAACATACATAATTCTGTCCCCCACTCATTTTATCCTCCTAACCACCTTTGTGAGCTAGGTTAGGCTGAGAGATAGTGACTTGGCACAAGATCAAACAGTGTGTTTCATAGCCAAGTAATCATCATCTAATTTGGGGACCCTACACCCTGCTGCCCTACACACCTCTGGTAAACAAGGACATACCAAAATGAGTGTGATAAATGTGAGCTGAGTCAAGAGGCAACTCACCACATGAGCCATAGCTGCTCTGCTAGATTTCTAGAAGACAGATTGCTGTTGCTTCTCAGGAGGGAGAGGGGAGGACAGCATGGTACAAATGTACCTGGTGAGGCACTTCTGACCATGGCCAAATGCCATGCACCAAGCAGGGATCACGCACTATCAGCTGTGATGGGGGGAAAACTCCCTGTACTCTCAGGGAACTCAGCCTCTTTTATTATGAAAATTGGTGCCGCAATACAATACCAGCCACCATCACAAAACGAAGCTCCGTGTGAGCCCTTAATCATTTCCAGTGTTTATAACTCTCAATGAAAACATAATGGGTCCCCAAAGAATCACGAGAGAGTGCCATCTTATGAGCAATGCAGAGAAACGGCGATCTCTTCGCCAGCATTATCCTTACCGAGCTTTTAAAAAGGAAAGTGACAAGGAGCTATAAAGCTTCCCTGTTCCCCGAGAGACCAGAATATATTGTGGTTGTCTTTCAGAGAGCAAAGCAGGCTCCCTTTTGCAGCAAAAAGCTCCATGCTTTTGCTGGTCATCAAGTTATTTCTGCAGGTTTTTAAAAAGCACCACTGGGTGCTGCTTAAAATTCTACCCGTGTCGCAATTTTAAACCAGGCTTTTCTGACAGCAGCAGCAACCAACATCTGAAAACAGGGCGGAAGTGCAGTGCACTAAACCAGGGGTCAGCACCCTTTTTCAGCCATGGGCTGGTCCACTGTCCCGCAGACTTTGTGGTGGGCCAGACTATTTTTTTTTTCGGGGGGGGGGGAATGAACCAGTTCCTATGCCCCACAAATAACTCAGAGATGCATTTTAAATAAAAGCACACATTCTACTCATGTAAAAACAGGCTGATTCCCGGACCATCCGCGGGCCAGATTGAGAAGGCGATTGGGCGGCATCCGGCCCCCGGGCCTTAGGTTCCCTTCTCCGGCACGAAACTCACCTCAAATGTCATTTCTAAAAGGTTCTTTGGGATCTGCATTATTCCAGTATCTCCCAGTTCTCCCGAAACACAAATCCATGGGTTTGACGTGGTGATTGCATTGCTGAGTTTTTTAATGGGGATTATCACCGTCCTATATGGAATCACTGCAAATAGCAAAGAAAGAACATTTAAAAGGGTGGCTTAATATTATAAATTCAGTACTGCAGGCCCACTAGGAACAACACCGTTGCTACTAAATATGTAGCAGGATGCATACATCAAGGTTGTTGTTTTTTTAAGAGAACAGTGTCACTTGCAGAGATAGGCTGACTGGATCTCCAGGTAAATCTCTGGGATTTGCAGAAGATCAGCAGGGATTTCCAACTCCCTGTTGTTAAGCAACAACTTTTTAAATGAAAACACATTCCTGGGTTCAGAAGCACTTGGAAGCACCCTATATCTCTGCTCTCCTTTGTAAGCCAACACTTTGCCCTTGGCTCCCGCAGGTTTAATCCTCTTCCCTTGCTTCTCTCTCTGCAGCTGCTTTTTGCATTTTAAAGGGAAGCCTCTGCTGGCAACAATGGAGCCTCCTTTGAAATGCAAACTTTGGCAGGGAGGTGGGGAAGGAGAGAGAAGGAGAAACTTCCACTCCTGGAGGCTGCTCAGGCTTCCCTGCAGCTGCTCTTTACATAACAAAGAAGCATGCATGTTAATTGCATTCTTGTAATCAGCATCATTTCTGATTTGAGCTTTAGTTACTGTTCAATTTGGGGGGTGGTTTTAAAATGCAGGGGTCTTCTTTTACAGTATTTTGGGAAAGTGCCAAGTTTTTGAAATAAATAAATAAATAAATAAATAAATAAATATGTGACAAAGTTTTCTGCCTGGTTATTTCCCCCTCCCAGGGACAGTCAATAGGTTGTGCTTCTTACCTTGCCGATTTCAGCATAGAACTAGCTATGTATATGTTCAGCTTTTATCATGCAATAATGCAAGTAGCCACTAGGTGTTGCTATTACTGCACAACCAAAATTAAAAGAGCAAGCAAATTTAGGAATTAGCTGCTATTTTTAGAAGGTAGGGTGGATGTCAGGAGGCAAAAAATCATACTTGCTGTTCTATTTCCATGGAGCTTTGCTGTACACATTGCCATTATTGTAAAGATGCAAGTTTGGTGCCTCCACCTCTCTGGCAAAATTGAACGAACTGTCATAAAATTGGTGCAGTTTTGAGACGTATATGGCACCTGCCTCCCCACATGTGCCTATCAATCTATCCTGCTATCAAACCTGAACTGCCTTTCACTACATTTTTCCCCCTGATGCTCCAATTAGGCAGATGGGTCAAGGGACTGCCATTTAAATTTCTCACAATGCCTCAAATATAGCATCTTTCAAGGGCAGGGGTTGCTAATACTGTCCTCCAGCTAACTGTTTGAATACAAATTCCATCATCCCTGTCCACTAGCCATGCCATTGGGGCTGATGGGAGACGTGGTCTAAAAACATCCGGAGAGTCACAAGTTCTCTGCCCCTGATATAAGCCATAATTACAGAACTGATCACTATTATTATTATTATTATTATTATTATTATTATTATTATTTCAACTTATACACCGCCCTATACCGGAGGTGTCAGGGCAGTTCACTATGTCAAAGGCAACCAATGCCTCTTTCACTTATATATTGTGTAAACATGCAGGAAAGGCAAACAATATGGGGTCAAAACTTTTCATATATTTCCACGAATAATGTGGGAACAACAGTGGAAGAGGACCTCGAACGGGGATGCATAACCTGGCTCACTCCAGATGTTGCTGGACCACAACTCCCATCTTTCCTGACATTTGGCCACACTGGCTATGCTGATCGGAGTTGAATTCTATCACGATCTGGAGGGCTGTGCATGCAAAGGAGGTGTACGCCTACAGTTTGTGCAAAGAGATAGCAACTTGACACCAGATGGGGAGCAGTGCTGATTGCAATAGCCATGTCTTCAGGCTTTGTTAGATGACCACAGTTATTCCTTTATCACACAGCAGCAGCTCAAGCTGAGGATGAGATTCCACCCTACTCACCAATGGTGGTGAAGACACTTGTGAAGCAGAAGTAATTCACAGCGTTGAGCGAGAGGAGGTGATAGAGGAACTGTTCCCGCTCCTCTTCGCAGCGCAGAAAGGCATAACGCTTGTACAATTTCCTGCAAGTAACAGGGAAGATGTTTAGATGCCCCTGAGAACAACAGAACTATATTAGGGAAGTGCTGGATGAGAGGAAAAAACTAAAGGCAAAAGTAGATTAATTGTCCTTGCACCATCTAAACAAAACCACCTATGTTTTTGCCTTCTTCTGTTAATTCTTAGACATAATGAAAAAATGCAATAGTTCCGTTTTTTATTTCATTTCTTTCATATGCCAGTATAGGAAGCATGCAATAATTTAGGTAAGCTTTGCGAGCTTGTTAGGAAAAAAGCAAATGTTTGCACAGCCAGGGCTGGGCTACTGACCGCTCTAAACCAAGTACTTTTAAGGATGATTCAGTTCTTGAATCTGTCTTTCTGTTGATACTAGGTACAGTCTTATTCCTTGTAGCCACCTAACTTGTTTTCAAAAGGGCATTTAAAGTGGTGGGGTGGGGGGTTTGAATTATGTTACAACGCACAGTAGCTTGTATGGGAGAAATGGTTTGTCTTTATGCTTCATAAGTGATTTTATTGTTTAAACTGCATGTTGTCTAGAGAACTATTAAGGACGATGAGGACAACGACAACAACAAGAGGTTTTTAAGGTACCCTGATCCAAAGCCATACAGTGGTACCTCAGGTTAAGTACTTAATTCGTTCCAGGGGTCCGTTCTTAACCTGAAACTGTTCTTAACCTGAGGTACCACTTTAGCTAATGGGGCCTCCTGCTACTGTCGTGCCGCCGGAGCACGATTTCCTGAAGCAAAGTTCTTAACCCGAGGTAATATTTCTGGGTTAGCAGAGTCTGTAACCTGAAGCGTATGTAACCTGAAGCGTATGCAACCTGAGGTACCACTGTATGTGGCTTTAATATATATATATATGTTGTAAAGCAGCCATTTGTTAGCCTTGTACCCACATCTGTTAAAATACAGAGTTCTTTGTCTCCCCATAATTGGTTGCTATCCATGTCTAATGGTTCAGGGTTGTGGAGTGACCAAAACATGTTTTGTCACCTTAGTGCCCTCCAGATGTTTCAGACTACAACTCCTACTATGGCTGTGGAATTGAAGACTTGAAAACACATGGAAGACAGCGGGTTGGTCAATGTTGGGCTAGCGTTAAGCATCTAGAGCAGATATGAATAACTTTTGGCCCTCTGGGTATTGCTGAACTACAAGTCCCATTGTCGTTGGGTATGCTTGCTGGAGCTGTTCATCTAGAACAGGGACGCCCAACTCTCATGAAACCACCAAAAACAGAAGCTTTCAGTACCCAGGTGAAACCAAAGAGCTCTGCAACACATAAGTGCATTTATCCAGAAGCAAGCCTATATATTGAGTTTAATGTACCCAGAATTTTTTTGCCTCAGATGAGGGCCCTAAAAAGGACTGATCCGTGACAACCACGTTGCTTACTTTGCCAGGGCTTGGTTGGAAAGCAGCTGCTTGAGATGCTGAGACAAAAGTTTCTTTTCAAGGGACAGCCGTATCCAGGCTCGAGCTCGGCCAACATCAGTCTTAATTTCACTCATGTTCTGAATGTGCCTGAAGGAAAATAAAGAAACCCACAAGTTAAAAAGAAAGAAAGAAAGAAAGAAAGAAAGAAAGAAAGAAAGAAAGAAAGATACTTCTTATATGTTGCACGATTTTCAGCTAAGTAACTGAGACTGGTGTGAGAAGACTTCAAGCTTGAGAAAGATACTTTCCTTCTTTTTTTGGAACCAAAGTTGGTCAGAGACAGATGCAAAATGATAGTTCAGAGACTGAGGCAATTACCTTCTCCATCCCATAATCATGTGCTAGAATGACCTGCCTGTACACTTACATATTTTCATCTATGTTACTACAGATCAGGTGTTACATGCTTCCTCCCAGTTCTTAGAAAGACTTAATAGGGGAGGAGGTAGCAGACCTCCAAATGAGACTCCTTAGTTGCTGCGCAGGTACCAGGCTGCACCAAGGCCTGCTGGGAATAACTATGTGAGAAGCTTTAGGTTACACAGAAGGAGCCTACACACCATGGCTGCTCCCTCTGCCATCACTGCCCCAGTTCCAAAAGGGATAAATGATGGCATGGGTAGGAGCTGTGTTGTTGCTGCAGCAGCAGCAGCAGCTGAGCTGCAACAGTTAAGAAGAGAAGGCTGCTTATATCACATGCCAGAACTGCAATACGCTACAATATATTTGCACAGCCCCAAACACTGCATTGCTTCCTGCAGCTTTTCAAAAACAAAGTGCCTGCCAGGATTTGCTCCGCATACATCCCTGACCTCAGTTAATAGTTTTGCCTGAGATGACACAAATTTATTGTGGTTCCCAACTCCTCACACAATTAAGACCTAAAGCGAGCCCTTGAAACTCCGGCAGGCTATTTCAAAGCAGTGAGATAATCTCCTACAGCTCCCTTTGTCCTTTGTTAACAACTCCCACAGCCTCCCCTTCCTTGAGCAGTGACTCACTGCAACCATCCAAATAACTACAAAAGAGCCTTGCTTCTGGCGCTCCCAACACTTGCTGCAAAGCACCCCCTCATTTTTTGGCTCAGTCTCTGACAGGCAGCTCTTACCAGCACATCACAACTGGGCATGTGATCAGAAGTCCTTGAGAAATGCAATGCACACACATTATTCACCCGCATCGTGCTGAAACATTCAGCTTAGCTATTTAAAGCCTTCTGATAGGGGACTATATCAAAGCAGTTGCCTCCCTGTTCCCATCTTTGATCATGAGCTCCATTTAAAAGCACCAAAACACTACAGGCAGATAAATAATTTCCCTAACCTTGCCAAAGAAAATGAAGGTGGACATTGACGGCTGTTTCCACTCAGACCCAAAGGGTGGAAACTTTGTTCCCAGCATGCTCTCCTCTGCATGCAAAGATATGCTCAGGGAAGCAGATTAGACACAACAGATGATAACACAAAACTGAAACGTATTACAGCCACCTTATGCTCTGGGGCTGATGGTAACATTCAGACTCTTGGCAAGGATACTTTAAATATTCAGTACGAAGACACAATGGGTTATCCCAGCAAAGTCATTCTGTTAGCTCAAGGACTTCTGTTTTCAAAGAGGACATTTCTTTTTCTGAAAGACTGAGTAGTTCTGGTGTGGGAGGGAGACTATTTATCTGGAATGGACTGAGGTGAGGAGAACAAGACGGGGCTCTCCTTTTAAGCCCTAGGAGTAGACTAGGTTGACAAATGTCTTCTGTCACTTCCAGGCCCTGCCCACAGAAGCCCAAGAATAGATTCTGATTGGCTCCCTAGAGACCAGTCCTGCCCTTGCTCTCCTGCCCAGCTGGCTGTAGGACACGGGTGGCGCTGTGGTCTAAACCACTGAGCTTCTTGGGCTTGCCAATCGGAAGGTTGGCGGTTCGAATCCCCACGTTGGGTTGAGCTCCTGTTGCTCTGTCCCAGCTCCTGCCAACCTAGCAGTTCAAAAGCACGCCAGTGCAAGTAGATAAATAGGTACTGCTGTGGCAGGAAGGTAAACGGTGTTTCCGTGCGCTCTGGTTTATGTCACGGTGTTCCGTTGCACCAGAAGCGGTTTAGTCATCCTGGCCACATGACCCGGAAAGCTGTCTGTGGACAAACGCAAGATGAGCGCTGCAACCCCATAGGTGCCTTTGACAGGACTTAACCGTCCAGGGGTACCTTTTTTTTAAACCTAGCATGCACAAATACCCCATGGTCACAGAAAAGGGTGCCTGCTGCCCCCACCTCACATGGAACCACAGTTTGGCTTCCCCAGCAAGTGAAGGAATTGGGATTTGTTGAGTGAACTTCATGGATGAGTGGGGATCAGAACCTATATCCCCTGGGCCTAATCTAACACTACACCATACTGACATATCACATCACATCCCTGAAGCTGTGCGGGAAAAGATTCCTCTCCCTGACTCATTCTTTCCATGCTCTCAAGTATTGCAAAAAACAACAACCCCAAGGCAAAATATATCTGATGGCCATAGAGCTGTAATATGCATCAGGATTCAGTTTTAGGCTGTGGTATCAACATTTTAAGCCAACATTTTACATATTGAATCTCATACCTCATATCACTGATAAGCGAGACTCTCAGAGTAGGTAACATAAGCCCTGTGTCAGACTTCCTTCGTTCTGGCCCTACGGCAACTGTGGAGTGGGGGGGGGGGGAGGAAAGCTGCATTAATTTGTTAGCGACACATTATCAGGAAGCTGCAGAAATAATCCTAAGCCTCTTTCAGAACTCCACCAGGAGCAGAAGGATGTCATGCAAAGACATTTCTACTTGTCTGCCACAGTTTTACATCATGGCAGCTTACTGGTTACTTTTCCCTTTAGTTAATCCAGAGCTGGACTCTGTAGATTTAAGAAGAATCCGAAAAAAATGCTTCCACTTTTACAATTGTAAAAGCTACACAAGCCTGTCCGTGCAAACATCATTGTTGTGTGTTTTTTTACACATGAGAAATGCAAATGATAAAGTGTTTGGAATTATGCAAGTTATTACCATCATGTAAAAGGCATATTATGCCCAATTGTGTAGTCTAATTTCAGTGCCTACTCTTCAGCCTTTTCATTATCATGAACACACAGATCCCTCCCTAACAGTCTGGCTAGCTCCAAGCATTAAATAGCTACACATCACAAAATTTTATATATTAGAAGCAGAAATATGTCATTGAAATTTTACAGACTAGAGCTGGAATAAAGGGAACACTCTACTTCTCATTCCAATCCTTCCTCCTTAGGTCTTCTTTTTTTTTATCATCGCCCCCCATCCCGCAACCCCTTCTCTCCTCCACTCTTATCCCCCTCCAATTTGCCATCTTTCCATGCTATTGTCCCTCTCCCAGCCAATATGGACAACTCCTTCCCATTTTCCTGGTGGGGGAGAGAGGAAGAGCATCAAGGATGGAAGAGACTAGAGAAGGAATGTGTGGCCTTCCAAGAGGTTGTTAGGACTCCCAACTTTCATCAGCACCAGCCAGTGTGGACAGTCTGTGTTTGTCAACTGATTCCAGCTGTACCAGAAGCAAACACTCATCTTCAAAATTGTGGGAATAAACAGCCTATTTAAATGCCATTAAATACTTCAGAACAAGTTAACCTTCTCATATAAGCTTGCTGTGGGTATACAAGACCACCCAACCCACAAACAATAATCAAACTGCTTCTGTAATATTTTACTGATAAGGCACTCAGCAGTTTTTGATCCAAAGGATCAAGTCCTAGGAGAAATTACTGCAAAGCACACCAAGACAAAAACTGAGTCACTCTGCAAAACAGTGTGCCTGCCAACTATTTGGATCTCTGCAGGTGCTTAACAAATTTTAGGAGTACATTTATTTCTCTTCCTTCTTTGGCCATCACCCATAGTTGAGTTAAAATTTCCTTTATAAGGTACAGCTATTGATGCTGCACAAAGCCACTTGACCAAAGTATTCTGTACTCACTTGGGGATTCTGCAAGCTGCTCCTGTTTCTCTTCCCTCTCCTGGTACTGAATTAAATGGGACCACAATGCAGATTTCCCCTTAAAAACAAAACAGATTTTCAGAAACCATTTGCAGCTTTTCCTGCTACACAGTACAAATATACCTAAATCAGTTTTATGGTGTCACTTTTATATTTCCCTACAGAGCAAATCACTGCATTTTAGCCTGCGAGGCAGGTTAGGTTTAAAGAGAGTGGTTTCCCCCAGGGCCACCTGATAAGCTTCACAGCAGAAGTTTGAACCCGAGAGTCTTGTATCAGAGTCCAACAGTTTTATTGCTATACTACAATGGCTCTTGCCACACAGCAAGTGAAACTATGAATGGAAGAACTATGCAGGCCACACTCTGAAATGCTCCTTTCTATCCTGTAGATTTACATGGGGCTTGGAGCCCTGCATATCTGGACTCCACCATCAGAACCAATCACCACCATGGCATTCAGCTAACCTATAACACTTTGACTGATTGACTTGACTGATTATGATTCTATACGTATGATCTAGTTGAGATTCCTGCATTGTAGGGGGTTGGACTAGATGACTCTCAGGGTCCCTTCCAACTCTACAGTTCTATGGTTCTAGGTATTTCAACCCATTCATCCAATCCACAAAGTTAGAGCTGCACGTGTAAGTACTTATATTCCTTATATTGCATCACAAACTCACCAATACCCATGCTACAAAGGTGCAAGGGCTGCTTTGCGCATGATGCTTTTCCTAAAGAGTGCACTCCCATGTAGGAAAAAGCCCCAAACCCATACCAATTAAGAGACATAGCTCTCGGTGGGTAAGCGCATTTTGCATAAAAAGAGATTCTATGTTCAGCTCTCAGTATCTGCATTTAAAATGATCTTAGGTAGCAGGGGCTGGGGAAGGCATCTACCTGAAACCTTGGCAAATAAATAAAATGTCTGAATTCTGTTAGATACTAAAGACCAAAATGCTTTAATAAGCTTGCTGTGGGTATAAAAACAACACTAGCACTAACAAACACCTTACAGCTGCCTCCAAAGATGTAATATTTTACTGATAGGTGCAGGTCAACCATTTCCGATCGAGAGGATGAAATATACTGTCAATCTTTGTAGACAATATGGACCTAGGTGGACCAGTGGTCTGACTCAGGATTCAAGACTCCTTTAGTGAGATGGTTCCATGCAACAACATGCATGGTTTCATCCAGTCACGAGGTATCAGGGCTAAAGCAGGTAACTGCTTGAGGCTCCAGCAACCCACTGACAGAGCAGACAACAGTCCTGGGCTAGGTGAATCAATTGTCTAGCAGTGTAAGGCGAACATCATACGCTCCCAGAAGCACTCTAAGATGAGTGACAGCTTAGTCCTAAAAGGGGGTATGAAATAGTATAGCAGCTGAGGGTCTTTGTGTCTTCCAAATCACTGACCTGTTTGACCAGTAGTCCATGACTCCAAATTCTTTCCAGCAAGTCACAAAGACTAGCGATGAGCGTATTCTCTTCCAGACCCGTAATGTTGGCCTCTCCATGTCCAAGCTCAACAGCTTCATGGCCCATCTTCTCTACCAGCATACGTTTAGTCTGCAAACAAGCAAGGGATTTACAAGCATCATTACGCAAAGCATGGAAACTCAACACAGTAGCCGTCCAAGGAATCCACTGAGCTGATTTTTATGCTGATTTTAATTGCTCATAGAATCATAGAATCATAGAGTTGGAAGAGACCACAAGGGCCATCGAGTCCAACCCCCTGCCAAGCAGGAAACACCATCAGAGCACTCCTGACATATGGTTGTCAAGCCTCTGCTTAAAGACCTCCAAAGAAGGAGACTCCACCACACTCCTTGGCAGTTGCTGGCAATTGCTGTCTGTTGCTTTATTGCCTTTCTTCCTGTGATCTATTTTCAGGTTTTGCAAGTGGCCCAAATTTGGCAAAAGGTGCTTTAGAATCATCTTAGTAAACAAAAAGCAGAGAAACAGCAACTGGATAATCTATCATGCTTTGCTTTAATTTCTAGTGATGTGAACCTCACTGAGGCTGGTTGAATCGTTATGTGAAATAAGCTACAAAGCAGGACTCCCTCTTAATATGTGCAGAACCAGTGAGATGATCAGATTTGTAGACTCTCCCAAGGGATAATCCTCTGCAGTCTAACACAAGAGGGGAAAATACTAGTGCTCTACATGCAAACCACTTCCTATCCCATTCATAGTAAGTAAACCATAAAAAACAGCCATATTCCCACACATTTTGACAGGAAACTATAGTACACTTGCAAGAATTTGGGCATTCTTTTAGGGCAATGCTGCCACTCCACAGTGAAGGGTTTGAATGAGGGGAGTGGAACCACACCTCGCAACACAGATGTCTTTTTTTCAGCAAACCACATTTTTACCACACACACACTCAAATTACTTACCTTCATTCGACATTCTTTGAGTAAACCTTCTACGAATTTCCAGTTTGTTTGAGCAATGACAGCAGGAGAAAGATCGGAGAGTTTGGGCTGCCTCAGATTTTTCCCCAAGGTCCTTGCTTCTTGCATGTACTTCTAATCCAATGATAATTAAAAAACAACTAGAATGAACACCAAAAACACAGCACAAACACCTCTGCCCTCCTTAATCGACAAAGTAACTCTGCACTAAAAAATGAAACAAAAAATAATATGTGGGGCCAAGGTCATCCCCCCACCCCCTCAAACGTCAAGAAGGTGGAAGTGAGAGGTCAGAGAGGTGGAAATAATACCTGCACAAACAGTAAGTTTTGTGTAGATGGTTTTCAGTAGGCATCAGCCTTATAAATACACAGGTAGGGAGAGAAAGATAGCCTGCAGTTGAACTGCATGGGCTGTCAAACTGGCTACACAGCTCACATCTGTTTTCTGCCTGTTAGTGGAGTCGAATGCAACAGACTACCAAATATATTTTGGTGCCTGAGGCAGAAAGCCCACATCTTCACACACACAAGATATTACAAGATATCCTAGATATTACTGCTGTTCAACTGTACCCCCAGATCTGCTAAAATGCACTGCTTCAGCCTGATGAAATGCAGGGCTGGCCATACTGGGGGGTGGGAGAGATGCACCCTCATATTCTTGGGACACATCTGACACCCCTGATCATTGGAGGATGAAAGGGGGAGCACAGTAAGGCTTCTGCCTGAATCCTTTTGGGGAAAAGGGATTTGCGATCCTCTCCACACTTCTACCTTGCACCTATGACATTGGAGCAGGCATCCCCAAACTCGGCCCTCCAGCTGTTTCGGGACTACAATTCCCATCATCCCTGACCACTGGTCCTGTTAGCTAGGGGTGATGCGAGTTGTAGTCCCAAAACATCCGGAGGGCTGAGTTTGGGGATGCCTGCGTTGGAGGCACAAAGAAGAAGAGCAAGGTGGCTTTGAAAAAGCTCTTGATGATCCTCTGCCCCTTTTCCTTTGCACCCCTGATGGCATAGATGCAAAGGAGAAATGCAAAGGGGGAGGATCAGAATGCTCACAACCCTGAGCAAGGTTCTGCAACAACCATTTTAAGTAGTTGTGTTTCCCCCCAAAATAAAGTAAGTGACTGTGCAAGGATCAAACAGCAACTGCTTTGGAAAAATAACAGTGGAGAGAAAAGGGTGAGGATTAGGACGAGGAAAGGCGGTAGTCATCTTTTAAAGTGTGGTTCCATTCAGATAAGTAGCAGAAAAAGACCACCTATATGGCCTTGGTCTTTGCAAGCCACCTTGACAATATTAATATGGGAATCAGGATTTTAGATGTAACGAAAAGAACTAGCTCTGCGTTTGCTGGGACCTGACTGGCCACGCATCTCAATTTTTTTGCCTGCCCAACAAGCTGTTCTGGAAAATGAGAGGCTGAACTTGAACATCTTTCTTAGGCCTCCTGTTGTAAAACCAACACAAGGCAGGGCCCTGGAGCACTGCGAGAATCATCTGCCTGATCAGAACCACGCTTTATGGACTGCTATAGAGGGGTGCATAGAATTCTACCCAAAAAAGCAGCGGTTAGTGTGAGAAGGAAAGCAGCTCTGGGCAAAATTAAATAAAACATACCAGACAACATTCAGAGAATGATTTTTTAGGTGGTCGTGCAGGAGGAGGTGGGCCCTGATCCCACTCCCAGAATGCCAGTGAGTTCTGACGGATCAAGAACTCCTCCAATGGCTAAGAGGAAGGTGGATGTAACGAATGGCAGAAGCAGCAGATGGAGAAAAAGGAGGCGGCAGAACATGCATGCATAAGAGTCAAAGCAAAAACAGAAAGAAAGAGTAAATACAGTAAAGGGATGAAGAAATTAAAAAGCATGGAAGCAATTCATATAAAACGTCACAAGGAAATGCTTCTGAGCCGTCACATTCGATAGCATCAACGCTCACAAATAACACATTCCTTTTGTTTCAGCAGAATAAGCTTTCACATTTGGGTATGTATAAAATGCAGGGTCTCTCGCCCTCCCTAAAACTGCACTCACTGAACTGGATGCAGAATTCAGCAATGTTGCAAGGACCAAATGGCCTTAAGAATAAAAAGGTAACTAAAAAGAAAGAAGCACAATGACTTTCGTCCTCGCGAAAACCCTGTGTTGTTCCTGCTTGTTTCAAATGGGCAAAAAAAGGTAAATAGGAATAAGACAAAGACGTATGGTGTTTTAACAAGCCACGCAGGAATCCCTAACCTTCAGGTGCAGCTATAAATCTGGCACGCTCCCATTTAAAAGGCTAAGCAGCATGCCACTCGCACACAGGTTGCTGGGATGAAACCAAAGCAAAACGTGCTTGTTTTGCTCAAGCACTTAATCTCCAGGAAAGATTTATTTGTAAGTCAACTGCTAAGTATAAGGCAGAAAAGAACTGCAATCTGGGGCTCTGAGGGCAGAGCCACTCATTGCCGGCAACCTAGGCCTGCTACATCTCACCCACAACTTGCAGGAAGATTTCTCCTACACTGTCATGTCACCAGGCTGTGTGTTTCCACACCACCACCAGCCAATGATGCAGAACATGGTTGGGGAAAAACACACACAGCCGCAATGTCACAATCAGTACATATAATGCAGTTTGACACTTTTGATGGTACCCCCCCCCTTTTGCCCATAACTCACTTCCACCCTGATATAGAGTTCTACGTGTTTATAACTCTGCACAGGAAGGGAGTGCCCTTTCATGTCAAGCATTCCTCCTGTCTACAGAATTGGATGTGGAATCAGAAGCTCATCGTGCACAGCTCAAAAGGAGAGACCCCTCAAAGTCCAGTAAGACCACCTTGAATGGCCAAGGACAACTTACCCAAGGACTGTTATCGATGAGAAGAAGACTTCCATGCGCTTATGGGGCTCTGCCAACTAGAGGCATCTTGAGGAGCCTTATATGCACACGGGGCCCTCAGTACAACTAGAAGCCATAATTAAGTTGATGGAAGCTTAGCTTAGCATTCATTTAAATGCATAATTCAGGAGTTGCTTTGATGTTCAGCACACTGGACAAGCGGATCAGCAGGGGTCTGTAATCCTTTCTGAAAACTGAGCCTTTTGTTAAATTGAATAGATTTAGAGATCTTATGGGATAAGGGAGGACATTAAAGCATGTTCCTCCTGGGAATTAAATCCCTATCATCTCCCATTCCCAGAAGCATTCCTTCTTCTTCTCTGAAGCCATACTGATGCATTTTGGAAGAGCAAGGGAGTGCAACCATAGGAAGAGGCTAACAATTATCTCAAAATACAACCGGCTGAAAGCAATGATTTCTGATTTGAGAGAACGTACCCTTGGGGAATCAAGAAAGGAAGCCAGTCTACATGTTAGGCTTGCGGGGACCATGTGCGGGGAGAGGACAATTCTTTCTAGATAGAGATGGTTGGAAGATGGGATCTCAGCTTTTGTATTGAACCTCTGCTAAGGAGGCCCTGTAATTCTTTTTTCCAGGAACCTGGACCCTGTTATCTGCTCCTATCCCAGGTTTTTTTCTTTTTTGTGGGGAGAGGTACATGCTTTATGCGGAGGTCTTGCTCTTAAGTTTTGACAAAGCTAATGCAGCCAAACCCTAAATGGATAACAAGTATTGGGTGTCTCTGCTATTAACCACAGCGCTTACCTCTCGTAAGTCATTGTCCAAACCAATGTGCTCTGAATGTTGCCGGAGGCGATCTTTCCTGCGCTGTGCTGTAGCGCTTCGACTCACCCACCGACTGAGGTTATAAGAAAGAAAGAAAGAAAGAAAGAAAGAAAGAAAGAAAGAAAGAGTTGTAAGAAACCATTACATGCCAACTCTGGAGGGGGAAAAGGTTAGCACAGGTACTAGCTCAAGAGAAGACTCATTGAATGTAATGGACATGATTAACTTAGACCCATTTATTTTTTAATATTCTAATACAAGCCTCATGACTCCAAAAGGGCCCATTACAAACTAGAGCAGGGGTCAGCAAACTTTTTCAGCAGGGGGCTGGTCCACTGTCCCTCAGACCTTGTGGGGGGCCAGACTATATTTTGGAGAGGAAATGAATGAATTCCTATGCCCCACAAATAACCCAGAGATGCATTTTAAATAAAAGGACACATTCTACTCATGTAAAAACATGCTGATTCCCGGACCGTCCGCAGGCCGGATCCGGCCCCCGGGCCTTAGGTTGCCAACCCATGAACTAGACAGATGGTGACAGAGAGAAAATGAAGAAAAGAGAGGATGCCATGGAGACATTCCAAGTTACTCTTCACTGGCTAGGTCAGAGGTTGCCAATGTGGCATTTACAAATGTTTGTGTGCCCAACTAGAGTCTCCTATGATGCCCATGGAAAGTCTCACTAAATATCCTCTCAAAAATCCACAGCACATGGGAGACTCTTTGGTCTTCCTGCTCAGTTTCTCTTTGCACTGACTCAGCCTCTCCTACCCTGAACACGCCCACTTGTTCATGCCCACATTTTGCTGGATGCCAGCATTGGACGCCCCCACTCTCATCTGTTTCTGAACGATTAAATGAATTCCAACTGGAAGAGACTTCCACAGGCCAACTAGGTGGGAAAGGGTTTGTCTTAGGTATTCCCCTGTCCAGCTGCAGGAGAATACCTACTGTAAGCTCACAGACCCACCAGGCCACACTGGATCTCAGCTCTTCTAAGGGCCTTCTTAGAGAATGTCTACATTTAAACACATTTACAAAAGCCAAAGTCAGCTGAGATCATAAGTGTTACAAATACTAGTGCTCTGACGTTGTTATAGATGCCTGGTAAGGAGAAACAAGTTTTCTTCCAGGGCAGCAAGTCAATACTACCAAATCTTCATACTGGAATGTGCCCCTTCCTGGTTTCCTTAAAAGAAAAAGAGGGCAGGAACTTTCCCCTGCATTAACTCCCCCTTCCCCACACTTTCCTACACTGGAATGAACATACCCCAAACATCACACTCTTCATTAAATCCAAGTCCAAGGCAGGATACAATATAATAAACAAAAGGCATAAAACATAATGGGTGGAATTCAATTAGGTTTTTCTCAGAGCAGACCACTGAAATTAATGAACATGACTAAGTTAGGCCCATTAGCTTCAATGGGTCTACTCAACATAAAACCTGGTTGAATACCACCCAATAAAATGCTGTTATATAAAAATACTAATATAACCTTAATACAACAAATCAGTCAGGACATCTTCATCAGTAATAATTTAGCAAAAGGCCTGGGCAAACAAGCACGTTTTTAACTGGTGCTGAGGCCCAACAGGATCAGTGCCCATTAAACCTGCAAGGGAAGGGTGCTCCACAATTGGGGTGCCAGTATCAAAATCATTCTCCCTCATGTACAGTATAGAGGACACGGCTAAAGATAAAAATCCAGGGTTTCTTACTCCATCTGCAAAAACGTTCAGAGATGTAAACGGCTCTTGTGCTCATTTTGCTGGTTGCTCTACCAAACCAATACATGTGACGCATTATGCTCCTTTGTAAGTAATTACAAAGAATTACAGGATAATCAGTGGAGATTAGTGTATTAGAGAGCTTATTTAATTACTTTTATTTCACAGCATATGTGTTCTGATTCCCTCCAAGTTAACCTGCAGTTTAAAATCAATCAAAGAAAACCCAATGAAGATGTCTGCTCCTGCTTGATTATAACTCCTTTTGTTACCAGAAAAAGAGAATCTGGAGACTCTGATTGGAACTCGAAAAATCAACATTTCGTAACAGGTTAAATGCTTATAGTTCAGCTCCAAATACAAAGCTTGTAACTGGCAAGAACAAAATACAATGTCCAGGGGATAACAGGAAGCGTCAGTGCACATGATAAAGTACTGGAATAATATAGCCTTGTAAATAAGCCCATAGCAACTAGCATGTAAATTGTAATTTTTTTTCTAGTATGCTAAGATGCTATAAAAGCTTGTGTTTCCACAGAGGAAGAGAAGCCCCATACCTGAACTTTGTCCCTTCTCTGCTAACCTACTTGGTTAAAAGGTGGTTTTGACAGCTACCCTGCATTTCCATTCAGGCTGAGGCTGCAGGAGTTTCTCTTCCACTGCAGCCAGTCTACTCACTCACCCACATAGAACTTAGCTACATGAAATCTCTGGTCACCTATAGCTAACCAGTGAGTTTAACACTAGGCTTCTGCAATATATCCTCAAAGTGATTTGGCACAGGCTGCAGCACCTAAAGCTACTGGATACTCTTCACGGGAAAGCCTCACAGAAGGTACGCTATGTAGTGATGGCCAAACTTGGCCCTCCAGCTGTTTTAGCACTGCAACTCCCACCATCCCTAGGTAACAGGACCGGTGATCAGGGATGATGGGAACTGTAGTCCCAAAACAGCTGGAGGGCTACAGTAATGCTGCCAAGGGGAAGGGACAAGCTCATATCTAGGTATCGCTGGGGGTTTTTTTCAGTGACTGAGGGAACGGAATCCTAAATCGGCAAAGCAGCCTAGAGACTACACTGAAGGAACACAAGTGAACAACACAAGCAACGCTGACACCAAACTCTACATACATTAAACATAATAGAAACACCGCCACCCGACCCCGACCCCATCCATCTACCCTCTCTCCACCCCCCTTTCTTTTCTTTTTTTTCTTCTCCCCCTAATGCCTCAACAAATGAAATGGATTTGTAAAAATGTTACATGAAAAAAATATATATACGAGGCAGTACACTTACTTCTGTAAAACAAGAAAATCCTTAATAAAATATTTAATATAAAAAAAAAAAGAGACTACACTGAAAGAACTATTCCCATGCATTCCAAGGGGTTATTACAGTTGCAAAAGCTTACTTGTTGTTGGTAGGCCCAGCTGCCAGCACATCTGACTGAAGCTTAGGGAAGAAGCCCTGTTCATATTTGCCTTGGCCTATCTTCATATCAAGCAAATGAGGATGGATTGCAGTGTGATCAATCTTTGTCAGCCGCTGTTCAATGGCCTGAGCTGAAAATAGCAATTAACACACAAACAATTTCTTTTTTAGTTAACTGAAACCAAGGAACTTTTCTTCCACAGGCAGGATCTATCTCTGGAGCCAGCACACCTGAGGTAAGTTGTGGTCAGTCTATATAGGTGAAATTCCCTTATTCCGAATAGGATTCCTCGCAAGTAAAGGGAAAAGTTGACAGCTATGGCAAAAACAGAGGCCATTAGTAGACAGGACCATGCTTACTATTAGGGACTCCTAAAAAAAATGTTCACCAACAGCATATCGCTTGAGTCATCATTGCTAAATGGGAAAGAGGGAAGCTGCTTCTCAAAACGCGGGCTGAAATATCAGTATGTCCATATTCAAAACCAACTCTGTTCCTTGGTGAACAACTGGAGCAAAATGCTGGAGGTGAAGGAACACAAGATTCCATGCCTGTGTGTTAGTCAAACAAACATTGGGTGTTGGATTCAGATCTGTGGGGTTAAGAGATCAGAAGGAAACTTGATACTACTATCAACTTGAAGCGCATGAGGTTCTGGTGCCACCATATCAACCGAAACTAGCCTCCGAAGAAAAAGCAGACCTGAAAATTTAAAATGGTTTCAAACACAAATTAAACTTTTTTGTTTGGCTATTTAAATCCCAGTGTTTCATTTCTAAACATAAAAGAAAATGGAAAAACAACACAGTTTGACAGATCATATCTAGCCAGCTGCAATAAATACCTTCAGTGACAGTAGAATAGCTTTCACAGGTAAAAAGGAATTGCACAGCTAAATCCCTCCATGGGGACTTTTACATTCTAAATGGATCCAGTCAACATTTTTTATTGTGGAAGGTTTTAGGGGGTGGGCTGGCAAGTTAGATTTTTAATTCCGATTCTCCTGCTGGTTTCCATGAACTCTCAGATTGTACTAACCCAATTTAATGCTTTGTTTTTCTTGAGGTGTTTTGCATTGCTCCTTTTTGTTTTACTGCACTGTAAGGTGCCTCAAAGGTGGTGAAGGGGACTCAAAGGAGGGATATAAATTAAAGCAAATGAATTAACTAGATCAAATAGGGTAAAATACAACTTCTGAGTAGCTAGTATCTTTCTTTCTTTCTTTCTTTCTTTCTTTCTTTCTTTCTTTCTTTCTTTCTCCCTCTCTCTCTCTCTCTCTCCCTCTCTTTTTCTCTCTCTCTTTTGAAGCTTGTACACTGACAACTGATAGACCTGTACATACCTGCTTCTTTCAATGTGTTGCACTTCTGATATGTAGACGTTCTTAGTGAAGGGACCCGGACATTATACAGCCTTATCTTCTCGATTCGGGAATCAAACACTCGCAAAAATGGGTCTTTTTCTTCCCAATGGGACATAATTTTATTGTCGATGAATGTTGCAAACATTTGAGTTTCAATGAAGTGTGAGAGGAATGGGAGGTAAGGCTCAGGTTGGTCAGAGAGAAACGAAGCCTAGAGTTGAGGGAACCCAAAAGAAAAAGTTACACCTTGCAGTATACTTGTTTTCCATTTCAGTAATTGTCCAATTATGTCCCAAGCATACTTTCACAGGGAGCATGCATAGCCCAATAGCAAACAGTGACCTAGTTGGCACGTTACACTAAACCAAATTGAAAAGAAACTATGGTTTAATGCCAATGAGCTCAGGCAGTTCTGTAGCACTCCTTCCCTGCTCAAGCTGCACTATGAATGAAACAGCCTGCAGTCTGGCGTACAACGTCATCCAAACCCGGACTTGTGGTTTGTTTCCTCCCATAAAGCTACAAGCAGTAACCAAGATCTGTTCTCGTCTTAATACTCAAGATTCTTTGGAGGAAACAATTCACAAGACCAAGTTCAGAGGACACAAGCCAGACCATGGTCTATTCGTCTGCAGTGCAGCAGCCTGAACAGGAGAGGGAGGAGGATCATGAGAACTTGTTCACATTTAACCATAGTTAGTTTTAAACTATGGTTTAATGTGACACGACAGTGTCAGAGATAAGAAAATAAAAAACATGATTGCACCAAGATCTCCAATCCAAAATGTCTCACCAGTCTAGAGTTCCTATTTGCCACTTCTTACTCTTATTACACAGAATGGTTACCATAGTTGGCCGAGAGGCACTTTTTTCAAGGCAGATACCCAGGGCCATATATCTCACCCAAGGAAATGATAGCTTTGACTTGGTCACAAAGACTACTCCATAAATATGTATATATATTTGAACAAAGGAAGGACGACTTTGCCATTACTGGCAATAAAGAAATCCCACAAGATTCTGATAAATTTTCCATACCAAATCTATGGTTCAAAAAAGAGAAAAATCCATGTCAGCATCATTTTGGATCAATTTGAGAAGTTATTTCATCAGCTGCCTCCTCAAGTACTCCTCCTCTTACTCAACATGCAACTGAAGTATTTTCTAGTAAGAAAAATAAACCAGTCACCTAACAAGGCCTAGACAAAACCAGGCTGCGTCTAAATCATGGGTGAGGGGACCTGCTTTACCACAGCTCCCATCACCCCTGACAACTGGCCATGTGGGAGTGGGTGGGAGTGTGGATGTTAACAGAGCCCAACAACATCTGGAAAGCCATAGGTTTCCCACCCCTGACCTAAATAACAGCCATCCCCATTTACACTTGCTAAGCAATTTCGGGTGCCAAAATTTGAAAAGAGCTTTTGCTATTTGAATGGGAAAAGAGAATCTAAATATATACCGTATTTTTTGCCCTATAGAACACACTTTTTCCCCTCCAAAAATGAAGGGGAAATATGTGTGCGTCCTATGGGGCGAATGCAGGCTTTCGCTGAAGCCTGGAGAGCGAGAGGGGTCGGTGCGCACCGACTCCTCTCGCTCTCCAGGCTTCAGGAAGCTATCTGCAAGCCTTGCAAGCCTGGCGGGAATTCCCACGGGCTTGCAAGGCTTGCGGGCAGCAGCCTGCAGCCCGAAGCACGGGGCGCCCTCCGGAGGGCGACCTGTGCTTTGCGCAGGTGTCCACAAGCCTTGCAAGCCCGGCGGGAGTTCCCACCGGGCTCGCAAGGCTTGTAGATAGCAGCCTGGGGGCTGGGGGGGGAATAATTTTTTAAAATTCATTTCCCCCCCCAAAAAACGAGGTGCGCCCTATGGGCCAGTGCGCCCTATAGGGGAAAAATACGGTAATATAACTATCGACATGAAGCTGCCTTAATGCCAAACCGTTTGGCTGATCTAACTCAGTATTCTCTAACTCAAAAGTATTTAGGGATCCTTTAAACCAAAGATAGGGGACTGAACTTAGGACGCTGCAAATGAGATCATGTGCTCTACCACTGAGCACCGAGCCTTCAAAAGGCAAGGCAACCGAATTGATTGTTACAAGAAAAATATTTGGCTGCTTTTACTTTGTCAAAATTTTGCATCTGTTCCCTGTTGGTCAGCCACGATTCCCTGTCTTGTGCCGCTTGAATGACGAAAGCATCATAGTCAGAAAACATCTGCGTGAAGCGGTTGGCGAAAACCTCTCGTAGCTGAACGTTCAGTTTGTAGTCCCTCAGCTCCCCGTCTTCACACTGGAGCTTAACATTCCTTTCCTTCTCTTCCAGAGGAATGTTGATGCTCATTTTATCCACTGTCACCCCTGTTCTCTTTGCCAAAGCGTGGAGGCGGGCAATAGTCTCATTGCCCTTGAGCAACTCATACATGTTGATGGTGTTGCTTGGTACGTTCCCATTTTTTTTGTCATTGGCCAAGTCATTGAGGACTAGGTTCTTAAACTTGGTGGCACTCTCGCTACAATGGAGGGTGCCCTCAAGGGGAATTCCAAACTGAAGCAGAACTTCGGAGATTTCCTGGATAAAATCCGGCTTGTTGGGAAACTGAGGAAGTTCCTCTGGTAACTCAATAAAGTGGTTATCGATATCCACGAAGCAGAGGTTAGCCTGGAGGGGGGGGGAAGCCAAATATTATTATTAAGTGTATTAGTTGCCTAAAACAGAAATAGTCTCTTTTGGGGGGGTGTGAAATAGTCTCTTGGAGACAAAGTGTTTGAAATATACTAATCAGCACACTAAAAAATGCAACTTCAAGTATCACATCAACAACGGCAACATAAGAAATACATAGGTAATGATAACCCATCAGCTCACATAAAATATTCAGAAGTCACTTTGAACAGGCAGGGATGCCTTTACAGGGAAATCCTTGGGAAGACTTTAAACAAACAAACAAACCTTTCCAACTGATTGGGGTATGGGCAAAATATTCATGCCAGAGGCAGCTTAATCCAAATATTCTCTCCCACTAAAGTACTAATATAGAAAACCCAAGAATGAGCCATTGGCTCCCCTCTAGTAGTGCCCAAATGTTTGTCGCCTGTCCAACGGTGAGGCTGGCTTCAAAAATATACACAGTGGTTTCACCACATACAGGGGATCTTTTGTTTGGAAATATAAAGTAATCCAACTTTTACATAAACCAGTAAACCCTCAAAATAAAGAGTGGTGCCTTGGAAGAGATTACTATTCCCCACCCCCACAACTCAGCTTGAGTCTGAAATTCATTGCTCATGAATTTGCTGTGCTGAATCCAGTTTGTTTCCCCGCAAGGGAGCTGAGGCCTCAGATGCACCAACCATGACAAAGTAGCATAACAGGAGACCTAGATATTCACAAGGGCAATGGCAACTCATTCTAGTCAGTCTTTGAACTGATATTTAATTGGTACCAGCACTCGGTTGTTTTCTCTAGGGTGTGTTGAAGAAGTCCACTTGCAACGCGCTTCTCACAGGAAGGAAAAGGCAGGAATCTGAACTAAATCCCCAAATTACATTAATTAGCTGCCTCATATGCTTAGAGATATATTTTAAAAACAGGACATGAAGCAGGGAAGGACTGCAAGGTTCAGAAGTTCAACGGGCATCTACGGTGTTATCTTTTCGGTGTCAGCTTAATTACTTTCCCAAGCATTAGGTGTTGAGATTTTATAAAACTACATTCTAGTTTATTTGAGCATTAGCTTTATCTGTTCTTTCTACATATTATATTGTGAGGATGAGGACCTGCATTTATTATTTTATAGACGACCCTTGTGTCAATAATAACATGGGTGAGATAAAATGCCAAAATAAATTGAGTGTAGGAGGAGGATCTACAAGATAAGCTCAACTCCATGCTGCACATTCCCATACACTAGGGAGGTGAGATCGTCTTTTATGCAAGGCAGACTGAAACTGTTAATGGTATCTGATTTTTAGTCTTTTCTTTCTACTCCTACATCCACTGAAAAATGACTCTAGGTAATAGAGAAGGGGAGGAGCTGAGGGGCTGCATTTAATGGTTGCATTTTGAAACAGCGCTTTCAACAAGATGGTAAAACCATTCGGTCTTCTGCAACACGAATACTAGTGAACAAAGGTTCATTTCTGTGTTCCTTTCATTGTTCAGGCCAAACTCCACACTCTTGGGGCTAAAAATAAAACCTTTGTGCACTTGAGATAAAATCCTAACAAGTGGCATGTATATATATTTGAACCACCTTGCTAGAAACAGGAAAAGATGCAGGGAAACAGCTGTCAACAGTAATAAACTAAATTAAATGACTGGTGACGGCCAGCAGCCCTAATAAATGGGATACACACACAAACTGGAAAAAGGCAATTCAATGCTACTGGGGCTTGGCTGGGTAGACGGAGCTCTTCTGTACAACAAATGGTACAAAGCTGGTCAGGGAATATGCTTCTTCATAGCCCAATAGTCAGAAAGACCATTAAAAAAAAAACTTCTGAAGTGCCAGGACATGTAAACAATGACGGTGTAAAAATGTTTTTGTGCCACAACTGCACCTAAAGAGATCTTGTAAAATTAGCAAAAAATTATAAAAAGCATCCAAATCTCTGCTGGAAGTGCAATAAAGAAATGGGGACATTATACCATATGTGGTGGGGGTGTAAGGTGGTAAGACAATTTTGGAATGAGATACATGAGGATATCAAAAATATCCTCAGGAGCTCTATTTCAAAAAAACCAGAGTCATACTTACTGAGTTTATTGACAAACAACATACCCAAGGACAAAAGGAATAGATTTTTGTATATAATCGCAGCCGCAAGAATACTTATGGCAAAATATCGGAAAACAGAAAAAGTACCACAAATGACAGAATGGCTAGTTAAGATTTGTGAGTTTGCCGTGATGGCAAAAATGACTGCAGCAATCAGGTGCTGCTCCAATCAAAAATTCTATACAGAATGGGAATGCATGGGGGAATACATGAAGAAATATGGTGTTAAAGCAGAACTCTTAATAGGCAATTGTTAAGCGTGTAAGGACAAAAGAAGTAATTATAATTTAACAGTTTTCAAGTTACTCTATTTTATCAAAGCAACTAGAAAAAAATATATACAGTGGTGCCCCGCAAGACGAATGCCTCGCAAGATGAAAAACTCGCTAGACGAAAGAGTTTTCCGTTTTTTGAGTCGTTCCGCAAGACGAATTTCCCTATGGGCTTGCTTCGCAAGACGAAACGTCTTGCGAGTTCTTGCAAGTTTGTTTCCTTTTTCTTAAAGCCGCTAAGCCGTTAATAGCCGCTAAGCCGCTAATAGCCGTGCTTCGCAAGACGAAAAAACCGCAAGATGAAGAGACTCGCGGAACGGATTAATTTCGTCTTGCGAGGCACCACTGTATTATGATGGGAAGAACTCACACAGGTGAAGGGAAGCAGTGGGGAGGCGGGGAGGGTTAGGTTGAATTTGGGAAATAAAATAATATATGGAACAGCAAAGGATATAATAGATTCTTATAGAATAGTAATATATTGTAACTAGAAGTTAAAAGGGGAAGTAAATGTCCTTTTAGCGTTTTCATTATTGTAATAGTTATTATTATTTCTTATCAGTAGAAGGCAATGTTAATTTAGACTTCTTTGTTTTGCTGGTTGTATAAAAAAATTTTAAGCCGATAAAAAAAGAGGGGGAGATCTTCTTCTTGGACTGAGTAAAAAGAGAAACAGTTACAGTATTTAGACTGCATTCCTAAAGCCTTACTCTGATGTTCCTATCCAGAGAGGATCCATGTCCAAATACAGAGCCCATGGTTTTGCTACAAATGCACAGAAAAACTAGGAATACCCATGTGGAATTATATATAGCTCACGGCAAGTTTTAACAACAGAAGAAGGCATCCTGAACTCAGGTTGCCAATATTCAGCCCTGCACACAGCCCTAAGGTTCAGGAGTGTGCAATAGTCACCTCTTGGGGAAGCTCCAGTTTGGAACGGTCTGTTCCCTCCTTCGACTGCAGGCCCATCAAGTAAGGGACAGGAGCATCGAGGAAATGCAGGAGAGAGGCTGGGAGGATGGGGACGTAGACATGTTGCCACTGAAATGGGAACAGCAGCGTGGTGATCCCTTCTGCAACCGTCATCAGTCTCTGGTAGTCTAAACAGAGAAAACCAAGACAGAATTACTATATCGCTCCTCTTAAAAAGCCATCAAGACATCAGCATTAGACAGACGGCAAGTGCAGAGCAACTCTTAAACCCACAGAGCACGTTTTGCAGCTATTCGTCAGCGGCACGAGCTCGCTGCTTGTTTAAAACGGATTGAAATATTAACTCCAGAACTATTACACAAAGAAAGCTATGAAATTTTAATAGACACATCCAGCTATGATACAAAATTTAAAAAGTGAATTTAAGATGAACACCAGGAGAACGGCAAAGCAGAATTATGTACATTGCTCTGCTGAATTGCCAGAGGAACAGCAATATGCAGATGGGACAAGAAAGGAACCAACAGCAAGGGGAGCAACGGCTGTCATGCCCGTTTTTGCTCATAATTGTTCATTAGGCTGAATTTTCAGCTCACGTGTTAGCAGGCTCCAGGAAGCGAGGCAGCCTGCAAATCCACCTTGACGGAAAATCAGAACTACACAAACGTGAAATGCACCCTAGGACTTATTTTTAAAACAAGATTTCAAGCCAGTACTCTCAAACTCACCAGTACCCTGTCAGCATTTTATCCCTGTGTATTCTATTAAGTTTCTAGCCAGAAAGGATGTTTGTACAATAACTGATATAAAGTGTTCTTCTTTTGATGCTGCCCGATACTGTTCCAACAATTCCAACCTGATCTTCGACTACTTCTTCCATATTAGAAAGTGCAAATGATTCTGTAGGGGAGAAGGCTCTAAGTGAAGGTTTCACATGAACGTAAAATATATCCCAACTGAAAATCGTCAAGTGGCTCACCAGCATTAACAGTGATTTAATTTCTCTTCTTGAGTCGGAACAGTTGTATTCATATTAACTCTAGTTGGTTAATTAAGAATGGATTCCCACAGTTTAGACTCCTTCACGTCTATTAATTTTGTGTGTGTGCACGCGTGCGTGTGTGCGAGCACACACACACACACAAAACACACAGTCAGATTAACAAGGACAGGTCTTATGCCTTTTCCCACAACAGAAAAAGTCCTATGACTTACAAGCACATGGTCCAAAGAGGTCAAAAGAAATACTGAAATGTTTACTATGAGCACTCCACCAGGGTGCCATATGGAAGGAAATGCACCCTCTTCTTAAGTATTCCATTCCCAAACTTTCAGGTAAAGGGATCCCTGACCATTAGGTCCAGTTGCAGACGACTCTGGGGTTGCAGCGCTCGTCTCGCTTTATTGACCAAGGGAGCCGGTGTACAGCTTCCGGGTCATGTGGCCAGCATGTCTAAGCCGTTTCTGGCAAACTAGAGCAGCACACGGAAACGCCGTTTACCTTCCCACCAGAGCGGTACCTATTTATCTACTTGGACTTTGACGTGCTTTTGAACTGCTAGGTTGGCAGGAGCAGGGACTGAGCAACGGGAGCTCACCTTGTTGCGGGGATTCAAACTGCCGACCTTCTGATCGGCAAGCCCTAGGCTCTGTGGTTTAACCCACAGCACCACCCACATCCAAACTTTACACAGCTTTAAATATGGCTTTAGAAGAGGGAGGCTACCATTGTAAACTAAATTTAGAAGTATTAGCTTGGAAACACAGGTCAAATCCATTCTAAATGCATGTGCGCCATGTCTACACTTTTATACTGCCTCCCATTAGCTGAATAGCTTCCTATTTATTACCTCTCTGCTGGAGGAGCGTTAATGAGCAAAATAAAAACCACTGCCTCTCAAGTATATTATCTCTTTTTATGCCTTATCTACATCAGAGTATATTGCCAGGCTTTCAGCACAGAAAAACAATTTGATCAGTATTCTCCCAGGAATTTAAAATTGCTAGGGGGCGGCACTGGCAGCCCAAACTCCCTCTTTATCTCTAGCACAATGAAGCCTTCTCAAGAGGGCGGAAGCTTAGGAAAATGTACTTTTTGAAAGGGAACAGCAAATAAACAATTTAATTGTTTGTTGAAAATAAATCCAGCTATACAGGTTACAAAAGAACCAAATAATACAAATAACATATAATAAAATTCAACATCAGAACAGATACAGCCGCCTAAAAATAGTCGAGCAGGCTGAACTACTAATCAGCTAAACATTAATCAAGAGACAAGGTGGTGTAGTGGTTAAGAGCGCTGAACCAGGACCTGGGAGACCAGGGTTCAAATCGCCACTCAGCCCCGAAGCTCACTGGGTAACTTTGGGCCCAGCCCTGTCTCTCAGCCTGATCTGCCTCACAGGGTGGTTGTGAGGTCTGCATATGCCATCTTGAGCTCCTTGGAGGAAAGGCAGGATCTAAATGTATTAATACATACCAAAACCTCGAAAGCCTCAGAAAATTAAAAAAGAATTAGCCAGGCACCAGAAGGATGACAATACTGGCCTTCCAAAGACAGGGTGCCACCTGTTACAAAACCACAAAGTGAGTTTCCCCCAGTGGCGGAATGTGAAAATGTGGCTCCTCCCATAAGGTCTGACAAGCAACGATCTTGCACACTCTTCCACACATATCCTGAACACATATCATCAATTTCATAAAACAAAAATGTTCCAGTATGTACGATGGAAAAAGTTTTGGAGAGTTCTTTAATTTTTTAAAAAATGTATATATTACCTTATTCATTTAAAAAACTGTTTCAGATGTCTTTCTTCTTAAATGTTATTTAAAAACATAGTTATTTTGTTGTTGTTGTTTTATTTTTAATTCTACCTTCTTAACTTTCTGGTGGTTGCAGTTCTGGGCTCCTTCGGGAGGAAGAATGGGCTACACATTTAATACACAAAATAGCCAATGTAGTTTCCCCAGACCACATGGCCAATAGTCAGGGATGATGGGGGCTGTAGCCCCACAGCCGGAGGGCAGCTTCACATCTGGAGGGACAAACCTACTTGAATTCATCTATCTGGCACCAACATTGCTGTCCTTTCAGTGCAGGCAAGGATATGTTTATTCTTCCATTTTTTTTTCAATTTTAAAACTTTCCCCTCTATAATTAAAAAATCCTCTCCCCTCCCCCCTAGTTCTTAGTTATGTTTTAATTTTATGTAGTATCTTGTTTTTGTAAACTGCCCTGGAAGAATATGAATCTTTAAATTAAATAACAACAAATAAATGCCTATGAACAGAAAAAGGCTTAAATTGCAAGGCCAGGAGAATTTAAACTCTTCTTTAAATTGCTTGCAGGCACACATCCGAAACAGATTTCCTCCTTTCTGCAGAGTTAACAATTTAATTCACCCCTCTCTGGTAGCAATCTTGTGCTGGTAGCATTTGTCACTTATCCTCAGGAAGCTGTATTAACAGCCTCAGAATAGGATAAGTTTGAAAATGTTGGACTGCACACTTTCCCACAATATTCATGACACACACATGATATATAGGCAAATAAAATACATGTGTGCACACACACGCCTTCAAAGGGGCAGCACAGAAATTCAGATACAGAAGAAAAATTAAAAAGTGAGGTAATTGCTTTTAAAAGTCAGTCCAGAAGACCCTGCAAACTATTTTAAATATGTTAAGAAAAATATTGGTGTGAAATGCTCTGAGCTAAGCAGTCAAAAGGGTTAACACCCAAAAATAAGCAACGTCTTTCCACAGAAACTGCTGTACTCCTGAAGGTTATAATTTTCTTGGAAGACAGTCACAGCCTTTGCAACGATGGTGAATCTTCAGTTGGTGCTTAGACTAAATTTGTAGGAGAATGCAGAGCACTCTGTTAAGATATATGCATTTGGCTTTAAAAGATATTGTTTGGCTGTTTCAGGTCAGTTCTTTTAAAAACATTGTTTCTGAAAAAACCACCACCCGCTATTACCATTCATGTGGGCAAGTTAGACGAAAACTCAGCAACCTGATTGAACTAAAAGTTAAGTCAGCTTACCTTGAGAATAAAGAAGGATCTGCATTTCTAGGAGAACACACGTAAAAACCTGGATGAGGTTCTCCAAACCCAATAACTCAAAGGCCTCCCGGAGAGGGTAGTCGGATAGCGGGAGTTCATTAGGCCCGGGTCTCTGGCAAAAGATAGGCTCATAGACCCCGTAGAATTTGAGAGACCTTCCTGGAGGCGGAAGGGGCACTTCATAAAGAATGTTATGGATGTAGCTCTCCAGGGGTAAAGGTGGAGGTTGCTGGGAGGTGACTGCCTTGTAAAGCTGGATGAGGAATTTCTTGCAGGCTTGCATGAAAGGAAGGGGAGCAATGAGGCAAACGCACTTGGAGACGTAGAGAGTGTCCCTGTTGATATCGTAGGAGTTGTAGCGTTGCATCTTGGCCAGCGACGTGGAGTCACCTTCGTCGAGGCTGCTTGCCAGGGAGTCCATGCTGCACGACGACGAGGCGCAGACGCTGTTGCATTGCTCTGCGTTGTGCATTTGATAAAGCGTCTGCATAGCTGTGCAAATCTGCTTGCTCGTGACCTCCTCGTAAAAGGTGAGTACGAACCCGTAAGTGCGGGAACCATCTTCCCGGGTAATGATGAACGAGTGGAACTGGGGGTCTCTGTTATCGGTCTGAGTCCTGAAGGATAGCCCTTTGGGCATACATAACTGCAAGAAGAGTGGGGAGGGGGAACACAACACATCAGTAGCTCATCTAATTTCACCTGGTATAACCCACAAGGATGTTTCTCTTGTGCAGGCCCCAATGCAATGTCCAGGAGCTCACGCCATTTGTATAATTCCTGTTTGGTTCAAGAGGGTTTGCACAGGAGATGCTTATGGCAGAAGAAGTTGGAGAAAGCTATCTTGTTAAAGCAGTTAATTAAAAAAAAAAAAATCTGCAGTCTTGAAAATAAGATTCCCAGCCTCAAGCACAAAAGGACATAGCCTTTAATTTGTATTTTTTATGAAGCAAACGGAATGACTTTGCACAATTATACTGCAACAGCCATTTGCCACCGTTCATAAATTCATTTACAGCCTCATGAGTTAAATGTGAGTATCTCAATAATGCAGCGACCAAGAGCTCCTCTATTTCCTTTGTCAGTAATGTGGAGTACACATAATTCTTAAAAGGGAGCAAAATTTACTGGTAAAAAAAATTAAGCAAGCAAAAGCTGAATTGTTCAAGGAAACCGCAATCAGAAAAAAGGAAGAAAGGAAAACCCAACCAGGATTCCCCATGGAACAAATAGCTGCAGCAACTTTATACAAGTTACAAAGAAATGTATGTTCTTATTAATTTTGGTAGTGGAAGCATAGGTGTAAAGCAGGCATGTCCAAAATCCGTTTCGGGGGCCGAATACGGCCCGCCAGTTGGTTTAATCCAGCCTCTGTGGCAGTTTATTTCCTGGGGTAAAATCCTAAAAAACCTCAACAACTTCAATCCTAAAAAAAGCCCTTCACTTCCATCAAATCTGGCCCTCTTTGAAAAAAGTTTGGACACCACTGACTGTAAAGGTAAAGGCAAAGCATAACCGTATTTAGCATCCAACAAGGTAAAATCCCATTATTCTCACTCAATGCCGCTAGCTACAGAGAACACTAAAATTACTGATTTACCAGACGTGAAATGCAACTCAACCATTGGCACTGGAAGCAGAACAGTTAGACGTGCAAGTGTAGATCTAGTATTGTCATCACTGTGAGTCATCCAGACTGGGTCCTCAAAATCCCTTTTACAGTTAATGCATAGAACAGTATGGATATGACTCAGTAGCAGGGTTTAATTTCATCTAACTGATAGCCTGTGTTACAATTTTATGGTTCATGTCAACAAAGGCTATTTCTGGATGGCAGCCATGCATTCATTCAAAATGTTTCCAGATTGTTAATGCTCACAGGGCAGCATTTTTACCACCACATCCTGCAATCAGAGGTTTTCCAGGCTAGATTTAAAACTGAGATTGATTCAACAACAACAAAATACATTTGGGGTATACTGGACAACATCTATGGAAGGAAGCATAAATTTGGAAATGCCTCACTGAGGTATGTGATGTGGGCTTGTTTGCCACTTAACAGAAGATTCAAAATATTTATATATAATTTGCGTGTGCCTGGGTGTTTGCACGTGAGAGAGAGATCATGTGTAACACAAGCCCCTGTTGGATGTGTACATCCACAGTAAACACACATTCAAAATCACAGAACTGTAGAGTTTGGAGGGACTATGAGGATCATCTAGTCCAACCCCCTGCAATGCAGGAATCTTTTGCCCAACGTGGGGCTTGAACCCACAACCCAGAGACTGAGTCTTGTTGGGCATTTAGTAACTGCAAAGCAAGGACTGCCTGTAAGCTAGTGGCTACAACTCAAGGTATTGACAATCATTTATAAAGCCCTAAACAGCTGAGGGCACAAGGTGTTGCATGTGCACCTCCTCTAGTGCCGGACAACACAATCCTAATGATGGGGAAGGAATTCTGTTTGTGGTCCTCCTGAGGTATTGTGGTGAGAGGGACTTGCAGAAGGGTCTTGTCACTGTCCAGAGTGAGGAATCAACTCTTTCTTGTCAAAAGTACACTTACAAGTTAGGAAAATGCATGTCTATTCATAAACACACATTTTCATTGATGTTTTTTTCCTGTGAAAATGCTTTGAGATATTATATGGGATGTGATTCACAAATGGAATCAAACCAAGAAATAATACATTAAATGAACATATATTCATTAGACTGTTTGGCAGCTGCAATTCTAGCCAATAATATTCTGCCAGTAGGGAGTAGATCAAGCAAGGGTAGTGATTGCGGCAGGATCTACCATTTTTCAGGGCTATGACTTACTCACCCTTACGTTTCCAGGCTCATAGATCCTAAAATAGTCACATAGAAAGGACTTAATACTAATTCCCTGGGTGGGGGTGGGGAATAAGCAAGAAAGGATAAGAAGCAACAGCTTGGGAACATTTACATTTGCCAATGGATAAGGACATGAGTCACCTGGGATATCCCCCATAATTTAAGTGCAGGATGAAAAGCAGCCATTGCTGTCTGTGAGAAAACAGAGGTTTCAATGTGTGTTACATCCTGCAAGGTTCAGTACAAATGGAGAGCTGCAGTTTAGAAAAGGATTCCCCCTTCCTATCTCCTTTTCCATGAACTAGATTTCTCAGAAGCCATTTGCAATCCGTTTAGCATCCAGCAGTCCCAGAAAGCTCCCCCATGGGCTAACCTTCAAAAAAGCTCATGCATTCGCCTCCAAGGAAGACCACCAATTGCTATTTATATAAAAGGCAGGCAGAAATGCAAGGCAATGACAAAACTAATACTAAAAGAAAAAGAGCAACGAAAGCCAGCAACTGCCTATGGTTATTGTTAGCGGGGGAGAGAGAAATGCTCTCTTAAGTGAGGCTTTTATTCCCCAGCCCTTAAAATGACAACAAACAAGATTTCGGGCAGAAACAGCTCCATAAGGATTATTTATCTTAGCACATTGTTTTCACCCCATCAACATATAGAATGGTGTCATTAATAGGTCAGGAAGTGAAGAAGGCCTAAAGTAGCCTGTTCTGTTTTCGTCTTGGTTCTGATGAGGACTGTAGACCAGGGGTAGGCAATCTAAGGCCCGGAGGCCGGATGCAGCCCAATCGCCTTCTCAATCCAGCCCGCGGACAGTCTGAGAATCAGAATGTTTTTACATGAGTAGAATGTGTGCTTTTATTTAAAATGCATCTCTGGGTTATTTGTGGGGCATAGGAATTCGTTCTTTCTTTCTTTTTCAAAATATAGTCCGGCCCCCCACAAGCTCTGAGGGACAGTGGACCGGCCTGCCCAGAAGGGAAACAGGAGCAAAACAAGTGATGAATGAATGAATGAAAGCCTGTGAGAGAGCATGAAAAGGAGGAGAAGGACAAGCAAGATACTGATTGAAGCAAGAATAGGGGAAATGAGCATGAATGTGGTGAACTGAGAGCTTACAGAAGGGGACAACGGGAGGGAGAGAAAACAGGTAAGAGAGGGAAGGAGGCTTGTAAGTCTGGGACAATAGACTGCTTAAGAGTCAGGAGCATAAATAAACAAACCCTGGAGGTTTTTAAGCAGAGGTTGGGTGGTCATCTGTCATGGATGCTTTCCTGCACTGCAGGGGGTTGGACTAGATAACCCTTGGGTTCCTCCTAACTCTACAATTCTATGATTCTATGGCTGTGCTTGCTGATAAGATGAGCCTTAACCTTGAAATGTAGATGGGATCACCAGGTGGCTCTGAACAGAAGAGGCATGCTGAATTTCTGAATGCATTTGGGACCACAAAGAAGTAAGGGAGGAAGCTTCACAGACAGATTGCTCTGTAATTCCAATAATAAATCCCTTGCCACTATTTTGTACCTAGCTCTAAATTTGAGATCTAGTAAACAAAGCAAAACAGTAGGTTCTGCCAAGCCTGAATTCTGCCCAATACTGCTTTATACAATAGTAATATTCACTGGCAAAACTAGTGCTCCACCAATAACAGTTGACAAAGGATAATCTGAAAATCGTACTCCTTTTGAAAGGAACACTTTCAAGCAGAAAACTGGTTCAGTGTGACAGCCTAAAAGCCAACAAGGAAACAGAAGGGGAAACTAACCCAAAGCTTCTCTGCTTAAATTTAAGGGGCAAGCCTACGTTTACTTGGAAATTAAGCTTCATGGAACTCAGTGGGTCTCGGCGCATTAAAAAAAGGGGGGGGGGACTTCAAGTTGATATGCAGCCTTAAGCAATCACTACACCAAAATCCTACACTGCTACTTTCCCCAGCCTACTTTTCACACTGTGGCTGAAGGAGATAGGAAGAGAGGAAGGCTGAAGCATGCAATAGAAACCAGCCTTCCTACAGAGATGGGGAAAATAATGGAAGGAGGAGCCCTCTCTTTGGAAGGAGTCTTCTCTACATACCATGTTGACTGCATCTTGATCAAAGGGGTTCCACTCTATGTTCTGGGGATAGTGAGCCAAGACTTTAGACTTGAAAGTTCTTCTTAAGGGGCTCTGGTCAAAGTTTTCTCCTGCAACAAATAAACACAACAGTCACAACAACTGGTTTGCAAGACATCTGGCCTGCTCAACATCTGATCAAAGAAGAAAATGCAGAGGGAAAGGACATGTACGTTTTTACTTCATCGGCTTTTAGAAAAGGACGGTCTAAAGGACGTGCACAAGATGCATTCAGCCGTTCCTTCCTTCAGTTAACTTGGTTCTGTAATTTGAACTGATGTGGGTGCATTTTAAAGCTACTAAAAGCAGTGCTGAAAACTCACAATCGTCATTAGGGGCTGCTGTAGAATGGCTGTGAGCCAAACTGGCAACTTAATACTCTTGCCCAAGTTTAATGTATTCAGTCTAATCTCCGGCATAGTGGCAGAAAGATCAGTGGAAGAAGGGCGACACATGAACTTGCATGGTATACAACAGTGTCTGCAATAAGAAACAAATGTGAAAAAATGTGATCCAGGGATCAGCTCCCCATCACCAAGGGAGGAATGCTCATGTTTGTCTACTTAAGAAAAAGCTGGTAGAAATGTCCACTGAGGCACTCCAAAAAACTCCTGCTCAATGAGACCTAGAAGTTTCAGCATCTCTGCAAAGGGCCAAGACACCATGTTAACTGCATCTATGCACTGATCATGCAGCCCTGTTGTTTTTAATGCAGAAAAGCATCAGGGAAAGGGGTTGAAAAGTATGAGGATCCTAGCAAGCAGCCAAGGTGATTTAAACCCAGGAAATGCCCCATTGGCACCATTAGGGAGGAAAGCATTGAATTCTCTCTAGCCACTTGGTAGGATAGTGATAATTATCAGCCCACCACAAGCAGATGCTATTTGCACTTCTGAAAACCTCCATGTTGAACACTGTAATGCCTAACAGGTATGGCGTCACCAGAGTTCTCTAGCAAAAGCGCAACTGGATATAGGTTGCATAAGGAGACCACAGTTCATTTCAACTGGGCTTGCACGGGAGACTTGCCTATGGTGGTGTGCTTTATGCCACCTGCTTCACATGGCAAAATATCTCAGGCTGGCCCTAGACAGTGATAGCACCAAACTTCAGGAGATGGGAACTTCAGAAAGGAAAAGTGAACCCACAACATTCTTCTTGGTTGAGAAACAAGGCGAAGGGCATTCAATTTAGCACCATCAGTTTCAATGCTGGCCCCTCGTTCCCCACCCACCCCAAAGGTATAACACTATATCCAGCAGTAGTAAGCATTAGTGGTAGTAGTAGTAGTAGTAGTAGTAGTAATAATAATAATAATAATAATAATAATAATATTTATACCTTGCCCATCTGGCTTGGTTTCCCCAGCCACTCTAGAGGCTTATAGCATATATAAAAACACAGTATAACATCAAACATTAAAAACTTCCTGATGCTGGGCTGCCTTCAGATGTCTTCTAAAAGTTGTGTAATTCTTTATCTCCTTGACATCTGAAGTGAGGGTGTTCCACAGGTAGGGTGCCACTACCAAGAAGGCCCTCTGCCTGATTCCCTGTAACTTCGCTTCTCTCAGTGAGGGAACCAGCAGAAGACCCTCGGAGGAGGACCTCCATGTCTGGGCTGAGTGATGGCGGTGGAGATGCTCCTTCAGGTATACTGGACAGAGGCCATTGAGGGCTTTAAAGGTCAGCACCAACACTTTGAATTGTGCTCAGAAACGTACTGGGAGCCAATGTAGGTCTTTCAGGACCAGTGTTATAAGGTCCTGGTGGATCCCCCCTCTCTGCTAGTGGAACAGATTTCTACTGTGCAACGGAGCTTACCCTTCCTCTGCTTTAAAGGGTTGGGTTGATGGCAAGACCCTAAATTAACTTCTGTGCCCAGTCCCAGCTGCCTGGAGCTGATGGGAATTGGGAGTCCCACAACATCTGGAGAACTGCAGGTTCCCCATTCCTACTATAAAATCCTAGATAGAAAACAATCAATACTTGTTATCACCTACAAGAAAGATACTAGGTTCTGTTGAGGTGGTTCCACATTTCTTCAGGAACTCCTAAGTCTTATCTCAGAATCCTTGTGCATCACAAAAACTACATAAAAATGCACCTTAGACATAAGGCACCCTCAAGCCCCATAGCTCATGTGGCTAAACTTCAGCTCCCCAGAAGCTGTTATCACTCCAACTCCCATCAGCCCCAGCCAATATGGCCAATGGGAAGGGAAGATGGGAACTGTAGTCTAGCAACTTCTAGTAAACCATAGTCTAGTAAACTGTAGTCTAGCAACTTCCAGGAAACCATACCTGCCCTTAGAAAATGGCCTGTCCGTTAACTGCTGAACTTCTCACTCAACTCAGCAAGGTACAATCTGCTGGTTAGGATCATTTTCAAACTTTACACAGAAGCAAGCCAATGTTTATCTTGTAATACACTTGTGCCAGGGGAAGGCTGTAATATAATATATAATAGTAATTTATTATTCATACCCCGCCCATCCGTCTGGGTTTCCCCAGCCACTCTGGGCAGCTCCCAACAGAATATTAAAAACTCGATAAAACAGCTTCCCATCAAGCAAAGATGTACAATAAACACATCTCCAGCTATGAGTCTCATCAAATTCACCACTTTCATTTTTTCAGCAATATATCTGTTTAGAATATACACCTAAAAGTAAAACATATTTTAAGACTCATAAAAGCCATTCTCAGTTTGTTATTTTCCCAGAACATATACACCTCAACACATTTTCATACATTTTCCTGTCTCTGCTTTAAATTGGACAAAAATGTCCTGCTCATTTTTTGCTTTTTAGAAAAAATAATAGCTACTAACACAAAAAGATGCAATGTGTAGTAAGGCCCAGTTTAGAAAAGCAATTGCAAAAGAGGACTAAATACAACACAACACAGAGAAATACACATGTGTATACAGGCTGCCAATCAAAGGACTGAAAACACTGCAACGAATGGTGCAGATTACTGCTTGTTGTAGAGCAACATTGTATAGTTATGTAGACTTATCTGCTTGGTGCATATGTTGTGGTGTACTGAAGCCAGTGCTTTGAAGTTTGGAAAACTCATATGAGAATTGGAGCAAGCATCGCTCCACCACCCTCACAGCAATAAATATGGATCTTGGCATCTAATATATAATTGTAGGTTTTTCTAGGTATTTGAGACTTGCATATTTTGAAATTTTAAAGATGAACAAAAATCATTTTGCTGGATAACTGTATCACTAGAATTAATTACTTTCTCAGCTGAAAAAAATATAATCCACAAAGCCAAACACTGAGAAGAGTTCCAGTAGTTCTACTTTTGCTTACTTTGTACTGCAAAAATAAAGATGTTTTCAAGCACCTGCAAAGGTGAGGAATGCATGTCTTGGGGGTGTCATAAGTTAATAATTATAATATTAACTTACAAATTGCACTGGCTCAGTAACTTATTTTAATTCACATTTGGCAAGATGTGGGAAATACAAAACTATTCATCAAAAGTAAGTCTGAATGCACTTATTGGGACTACCTAGCTAGATAAATGTGCACAGGATTGCAGTCATGCACTCAAACATGTTCTGAAATACAGAAAATGGTGCAATTTATTTGCTTTCTAAGCCTTTGTAAATATTGCTGTGTCCCACTCACACTCATTCTAAAATCCCATAATAGGCAGTATTATGGCAGTAAGCCTTTACGTCCTAATCCAAGAGAAAACTACTATAATAAATTACCATTGCAGTGGCACTCTATGAGTGATATGCAAACTAATGGAAACTGCAGAGCATAAAAAAATAAGAGGATTTCACCCAACGCAGACCTGCAACAGGGCTAGAAATTATTGAAGAAATAATAATGCGTGTGATGCAATAAAGTTGTATTTTATTAATCTATTGCCATTTTTTCCTCTAGTGAATATATGAAGATAAAGCTGAAGGGAAAACTCTACTAAAAATGAGTCTCCAGAAAAGAGAACTGTGAATGTCTGACAATATATATAAAACAGTATGTTTTATTACAAGCTCTCAGTGTTGTGGAGTCTCCGATTTAGAAGTTTCAAATGTTGCAAAATTAGACTAACAATAAGGGTAAATACTGGCTTACTAGTGTAACGTTTCATTTTTTGAGCGTCCTTTAAAATTTCATCAAGGATGAATGGAGATTTGCACACATTTCTATGGTCCAAGTCCAATACTTTTAGGCACTGTGCTACACTGGTTTTCAAGTCAGATTTCATTGTTAAAGTAAGACTTTCTTAAATGCAACATACTGTGGTACCTTGAGTTAAGTACTTAATTCGTTCTGGAGGTCCATTCTTAACCTGAAACTGTTCTTAACCTGAAGCACCACTTTAGCTAATGGGGCCTCCCACTGCCGCTGCGCCGCCGGAGCCCGATTTCTGTTCTTATCCTGAAGCAAAGTTCTTAACCTGAAGCACTATTTCTGGGTTAGCAGAGTCTGTAACCTGAAGCGTATGTAACCTGAAGCGTATGTAACCTGAAGCGTATGTAACCCGAGGTACCACTGTACTTGTTACTGTTAGTCAGTATCCACCTTCTGAAGTTATTCTTCCATGCATTAAGGACACACGGGGGGGGGGGGGTCATGCCCTGGCTCCAGTGTCCTCGTGGGACCCACCCTGACCTTCACCTGCTAAGCAAAAGGTCTGAAGCATGTTTGCCTGAGCACACAAACATAGTCTTCTCTATGTGCTCAGGAACCAATGTGGAAGAACCTCCTTGCATTCAGCTGAATGTGCATATATTGTATTCATCCTTCTGAAGGGGGCCGGTGGGCAGCAACTTTGTGCAGCCATAAGTCATTCCCTCTGCAAAATACTGCGAGATCATCATTTATTTAGAGACTCTGATGCCAATATGAAAGTTTTGTATGTGCAGGGGGTATGAAAAGAACAATATGTCCTATGTGCACTTCGGGCTCCTCTTTTTGTGCATAGTGAGCATTCCCCAAGACCCTGTTTTTTGGCCAGCCATTGTCTTCTAGCCTAACCTACCTCACAGGGTTGTTTTGAGGATAAAATGAGAAGGGAGAAAACCAGGTATACTACCTCAAGCTCCTTGGAGTAAAGACAGGATGTAAATGCAAGAATGAACAAAATAAACATTTATAATTAGCTAACTCCTTTCTCTTGTCTGCCTGCAAAATCTAGGGCAATTTAGGCTTACAAATGTGTAACTAAATGTTATGGATGCTGCTGTTAAATTAGCACCTCTCTGTTTTATATGGGGAGCTAAGTGGTCTCCATTAAGCTGTAAATTAAAGTTGCATCATATAGTGTTCTTAGATAAGTAGCCAACAGTGCTTCAAAAATATTGCAGACAATATATTAATCAGGATTAAAATATGCTTAACATTAAAATATTTCACTTTTCCCAAAAACAAATGGGTTTGAAAATCTACTGGGAACCTGGACATTGGGAGTATTTGAAATGTGTAATCAATGCAGGAATAGGATGCCGATTAAAAGCAGCAAGGAACAAGGAAACAAGGAAGAAGAAAAGGAAGTCTAAAGTTATTACTGCAGACCATTCCTTAGGAACTGTTAGAATGTGAGAGCAATTTCCTTCTCCCGCAGTTTCCCCCCAGTAGCTGGCATGCCAAAGCATGCCATCTTTGTTCCAGAAGATAAAACATTACTTTATGCATCTTACATCCTCCCACAAGAACTTGCCTATAAACTCAGATGCTTGCCTAAAGGGCAACTTTCCAGATTCCACTACTGTCAGCGAGGCAGGTGGCAACTGGAGATGTGACCTTTCCTTTGACGGTGGCCAAAGTTTTGCAACTCTTCGCCTGGAGAGGTACACCTGGTATCAAAATCTGTAATCTTTTTGGTACCAGAATTTTGGGGGGTGGGGAATCTTGATTCAATTTCTATCTAGTCAGGCAACTGATGTTTTGCTAGAACTGATGCTGCTCTTAATTCAATGCTGTTTTCAAGGGGTTTTTTTTGCACTGAGAGCCGCTCTGGGAACTTGTGTTGAAGGTAGGAGGACAGGATTAAAGCAAAACAAACTTGTTATGACCTTTCACAGGAAATCCTAAAAATTATTCAGGGTAGCTGTAGGGGACATTTCCAAACCGAAGAAAAAGATTGTCTTCTTCTGGCATATAACCACATCTGCCATACAGGATGGTGGGACGGGAAATAATAGATTTATTGATTATTGATTACAAGGAATCAATCAAGATTGAACCAATCAAAGGAAGAGTGTTCAATTGAATTTAAAGTGCAAGATGGGTGTGATTACAGGAAATCTGGAGATTAAATTAGTAAGTATCCGCCATCTTTTTTTTTTTTACCTGATGTTCTGTTTGCAGTATCTGAGCTCCTGCCATGACGATCGGCTTCTAGCCACTGGTATAAGACTACATAACACAACAGAAACAAAAAGCACGTATGAACAAAATGAACAGAAAGTGCAGACACACACAAAAACATGGTTAAGAAAAGGAGACATGCACCATGAAGTAGCAATATTTCCTTCCACTGCTTCTGACAGAAAGCAAAAGAATGGAACAATGCATGTTAAGATGGACAGACACACACACACACACACACATATCCACACAGAGCTCAGCCCACCAGGAAAGTCTCCTGCAGGAACCCAATTGAGACAAACACTAGGTGTTTTTTTAATGTGCTCAATCATTTCAAATTTGTGCTGCTTTTCCAAATGGGCTGTGCATTGTCTGTGATAGTAAACAGCAATGGAACACACTAGGGGTAGTTCAGATATCGCTGCCTCCACACGAGCATCAATGAAGGGGAAGCATTCTATAAAGTTTAAGCAAGTGATCCTTAATCTGTGTTCTAAGAGGTTACAGTGCAGTACAATACAGTTTAGAAGTTAATGCTTGAAGTATGTCAGAAGCCACCCATGAGGCACTGATTCTCCGTCCCTACCAATGTACGGAACAGTGACATCATCCACAGCAGGGATAGGAAGCCTGCGGTCCTCCAAATGTTGCCGGACTACAATTCCCATCACCACTGGCCCTGCTGGCTGAGGATGATGAGAGATGTAGTCCAACAACACGTGGCGGGCTGCACGCTCTCTATGCCTGGACTAAAGGAACACCTACTATGAGAAAAGTACTATGGCAATCAAACTACCATGTAGTGGCCAAAAATACTCTGGGAATATTTACTTACGTACAGCATTTGGCCAGCACATGGGAAAGCCATTTCAGGATTGAGTGTCCAGGTGTTGTTGGAGCACAACTCTAATCACCCATGAATATTCCCCATGCTGGCTAGACCTGGTGGGTGTCTGGAAATCTAAAGGTTCCCTGACCTTGTGAGAAAATAAGGAAGTGCAAGGATTCCCCAAGGCAGCATTCCCTGCAGCCCCAAATGTGTGGAGGGTGGGATACGGTTCTCCATTCCCTGGGCCCTGAATGACAGGGTTAAACAGAAGGGCTGGATACCAGGAGGCAGCATTAACTGGGCGATCTCAAAATTGCAAAGAGGATGCCTGCCCATTGTTCTGGAAGCTGGCGATTGGATGGTGCTTGGAAGTAAGTATTAAAAGCAACACTCTCAACATGTGTGGGTGGCCACCATGGGCAATGCCAACACCTGAACTGCCCCATCTACAAACAAAATATGAGATGTTAAAATCAGCAATGAAAAGGAATTAGTATTTTAGAACAAGGAAAGCTTCTACACGTAATGCCATACTCTCTCTCCCTTTTTGGTATTTATTCTATTTTTCAATAACAAGAAACCAAAGAAAACATAATCACATGGCTGACAGGCAGGGATTATGGGAGTTGGGCTCCTGATTTCTCAACCCCACCATATACAGTGTTAGGCTAGTTGGACCAATTGCACAATTCCATACAGGCCATCTTTACATGAAAATTGAGTAATCTGAGAACCTGAGGTTTCCATTTGGAAAAAAAGTTTCTAGTTCGCAACAGCAGCAAAAAGATGTAGACATGAAAATTTGAGGGCAAAGCCTAGCAAAACCTGAGAAAACAGAGCATTATATTTTCCGTGGTCAGGGACAGAGCTTCAGCACCTACTGCAGCATTTTGCTCCTCGCCACAACTGGCAGAAATGGAACGCACTACCTGTACTAAAGATGTGGGTTAAGCTAGGAGATATATGCATAATTTTAGACACATTGCAAACTCCACCTCTCTTTGCTATACGATTTGGGTTTACTATGGTGCTAAGTTCTGACAGAAATTTATGCAGCCCATGAGATTTGCACATCTTTGCAGCAACCTGAAACCACCTGCTTAGAATGGATGGCAGGGTGGGTGTCTGATTCTCGCATCCAATGAAATGTGGGCTTGTTGAAGGGGGCACATTCAGTGTAGGAGAGGCTGAGCCAATGTAAACAGTCTCTTGTGCATTCCAGATTTTTTGAGATGATGCTTACAGAGACCTTTTGTTTCAGTGGTACTTAGTGGGCAAATAGGCACCCCCTTTTAAAAGAAATTGTCCCTTTCCTTCAGAATTATAAAAAAATACTCCTTGATTTGATTTTGTAATATGAACACTTAAAATTTAAAGGTCAAATTTATTGGCTAAAGCCAGACTAATCATTTGGGCAGCCCTCTTTAATTCATTTCATGTTTTTAAAACTAGAGATCATCTGCTCTGCAAAAAAGACAGAAAAGTGAGAGAGAGACAGAACAGGTTGAACACTTAGAAGTGTCAACCTGCACTGCTGATGGAAATGAATACACGAGCAGTATACTAATGGTGCTATAACGACAGACAAAAATGGTTGTGTTTATATGGCCTCCGAGATCTCATTACCGCAAGCCATTCCTCTTTGATTAGCTTCTACACAGAACTGAGGCATGCACAGGCAAGACCTACAAATACACTTAGGAACAAGACACCCAAATATTTTCAAATAACGCTCCTCCATTCATTCCCCAAGAGCTCAGTTATATCAAATGTTGGTCTACTGGGGTTATAAATAAGGGGCTGCCCCATTTTGCTATGAAGTATTCATGCACTTAACGCAAGGAGTTCACTGCGATTGCTTGAGTCTACAAGTTATGCAAATCCCTGAAGTAAACTGATCAGCAAGACCCATTAAAATGAATATTAATTCACGGAGTACAATAAAACTCTTCATATTTTGATTCGCTGGGTCTATAACACAATTCACAGGGCACATGAAATCCTTTTCAAATTACTCTCTATGTGTGTGTTTTGTCTCCAGCAGAGAATAATTTGACTGCTTTAAACAACAGCTTTTCAAAAATACAATCTGGGAAAGGGTGTTTTATTCTAGACTTCCTTCCCATCCTCCACCTTCTGACCTCAATTGAAGGATCTCCACTGTCTGCCTGGAGAGTAACGTTATACCAACCAACAGCTTTGGTTTCTTAATATAGCTACACATCCAAATGCCAGCAGAATAACAAAGACATTCAAGGGGGGGGGGCGGTGTTGCAATCTGAAAGGTAGACCAAACCTTAAGATTCCGGCTAAAAAATATCCAAGTGAAAGCCACACACAAGCACAAACAACACGGCTGCTTGCAGAATAGAGACCCAGCATACATAAACTGTGCTTTGCCTTGAGGAACTAAAAGCTCAATTACAGTTCGTATCATATGCATAATTTTCAGAGATACGATCACTTCCACTTCATGCATATATCGGCTTCAACGCCCCACCCCCCACTGCATTTCGACTGCTAGCTGCAAGCTATTTTATAATACTCTTGGCACACGCAAGGCTTATACCAAAAGGCACCAGTAAGCAGGTGCAGAACTGGCATTTTCAGAATTCTAAGCATGGGAGAGAGCAATTTTCTTTTCGCCCCAAGCCTCTCTTTTCTCCACGCCAAACACGCATGGAATTGAGACATTTCCTTTCTGTTGCCTCTCTGTCCTAGCATTCTAAGCATAGGATTGCTAACGTTTTATTTAAGGCACACCCACGGAGTGAAGCTTCGATACAGCACACATACCCATTAAAAGAGACAGCACTGTCACCCTTGCAAGAAGGCAAGTTCGTGAGGGATGATCACCTGGAACAACCCGAAGTTAATCTTATTATCTTGTATCATAGGAAACAAGGAATGGACATAGGCAGGCTGCCTTAAACCAGACCAAACTGTTGGTCCATTTAGTGCAGTACTGTCTACACTGACTGGCAGCAGCGCTCCAGGGTTTCAGGCAGAATCTCTGCCAATCCTGCCTGGAGATACTGGGGTTGAACTTGCAGCCTTCTGCATGCAAAGCAGATGCGCCCCCACCAAGCTACAGCCCTCCCCCACCCCTACCTAGAATTGCCAAGTAATGAACCTGCAATCTTTTGCATGCACAGTTAATTCAGAAGAACTATACGGCTATGAGTCAACAGCAGGGTTTAATTTCATTTAACTGATTGTCTTTGTTGACATGAACCATAAAATTGCAGCACAGGCCATTTCTGGACGGCTGCCATAAATCCATTCAAAATGTTTCCAGACTGTTAATGCTCACAGTGGTGGCGTTTTTATCACCGCCACCTCCAAGTGGAGATTTTTCCAATCCAGGAATGACACTAGCTTTTATGAGGCTGCCATCAACACATCTCCTCTGGCTAACCTATGACCTAATCCCCCAAAGCCTGATTCTGCCTTTCCTCCTGGGGGGCTCAGCGTGATCACATCTGGTTCCCCTCGTTATCTTCACAGTAAGGCAAGAGGTAGCTTGAGGCTGAGAAGGATCCCAACTCTGCCAGAGGCGACCTAATGAGCTTTGTAGCAGAGAATGGATCTGTAAACAGATCTCAAACATAAATGCAAGGATTTGAAGTCCAGGTCCAGCACTGTTTCACAACACCACCCACTGCCCTCCCCCAAATCCTAATACAGTGGTACCTCGGGTTAAGTACTTAATTCGTTCCGGAAGTCCGTTCTTAACCTGAAACTGTTCTTAACCTGAAGAACCACTTTAGCTAATGGGGCCTCCTGCTGCCGCCGCACCGCTGGAGCACGATTTCTGTTCTTATCCTGAAGCAAAGTTCTTAACCCGAGGTAATGTTTCTGGGTTAGCGGAGTCTGTAACCTGAAGCATATGTAACCCGAGGTACCACTGTATAACAGGCTTGAGAAACTTGCTTATATTGTCACACCTAATCTAGCCATATATTCTGTTTTCCATTTATGACTAGACAAAAGCCACAGAGAAAATATGGAAGTGGGAGACAAAAGATGCTATCTATCACCATTGGTAATCCTAGCACCTACATGAGCAGTTCAGGTGCATAATGTATAACACTCCTGAAAATGAAATGGATTGGTGCTTAAAATTCTACTACAGAAACATGTTAAATATGCTAAAATGTCGTCCAATCTATATTTGAGGAGGGAAGTTATAGTTACGGAGAAACTGTGCAGCTGTAGCATTGTCAAAGCAAACCATGGATTGCTCTGAGAACTGACATGCTCCTTCCTCTTCTTCTCCCACCTTTCATTTTCACAGCTAACCATGGTCTGCATTGCTGAGTTTGATAGCCCTGGTCAGCTCCAAACCACAGGCTGCAAGCAAGATGCAATGAGTACCTCTGAATACAGCCACTTTTTCAGCCCAATGTGTGAGTGAATGCATTCAATATCCAGAAAATACGTTTGTGGTTTCATAAACATGTCTGGGGGCTCCAGTTACAGGGCAAAAAGCTGGTTATAAAATATGGGAATAAAGCAAAAATAACCCTAGCATGAGGAACAAAGGAAGCTACCTAACAGCTCAGCATTGTCCATTCTGACTGGCATTTCAAGCAGAGGACATTCCCACAATGCTGGGAATTAAACCTGGGACTCTCCCAATGCAAAGCACATACTAACCACTGAGCGACAGCCTTTCCCCAAATGTTATCCAATCTCTGCGTGGAACAATCAAGCAGGATTGCAAAAGGCTTACAGCCTAGAGATGACCCCTCCCCCAAACACCACCACACCGTTTCTTAAGTCTACATTTCAAGAACCGTTTTTCCAAGGCAGTCACTGCTTATTCCAGCAGCCAGCATATCAATGTTTCCTACCCTCCGTTGGCATGTCAGTTAAAATCAAGGGTGTGAGCTTAGGCATGACTGTCAAGCCCTTTCAACTCATCTAGGGGAAAAAATCTATTTAAAAGCAAAATCCTAGGAGATGTCAACAATGTAGTGGGGTGCAACATGTTTGGAGTTATGTATGTGATAAAAAAATTTTTTCCCAAAGAATTAATAAAAAATACATTTTAAAAACCACCAATGTAGTGGGATACAAGAAACCAGGTTACTTCAGAGGTCCCAACCTGGTTCCCGCAAAGCCCATTCATACCTTCACCTGACATATCAAAATGGGATATCATGAACTGTCGGGGTGTTTTTAGGGTGGCTTATTCATGGTTAATGAGTAGGTAGCAGAAGTGAAGTGTTCGCAGCAAGACTACCTACTTATTTATATCATTTAGTTAGTTATTTAAGGCACTTTTATCCTGCTTTTAAATACCAAACCCTTCCAAAGGAGCCTCACATAAAAAGAGAATGTGAAACAACCAATTTACAAAGTGCCAGACAGATTAAAAATACGTTTGTTTTTCAATGATGTTTGTATCGTGCCTTGCTGTTTTTGGAAAGCGACAACACCTCTCTCAATAAAGCAAATCAACATATACGTTAAAAACCACCAGCAACAGAGCTGTGTAAGATACAGCAAACCACTGTTATGAAGTGCCTCCACAAAATGCTCTATAAATATATAGCCATGCCTTTTCAGCATAGCAAAGGGGAAGGGGCCTGGCAGGTCTCTCTGAGGAGGGCAGTCTACAGCGCGGAGGAACCATGGCCAAAGTGGCCATAAACCATGTGATGTCCTGCAATTGGGACATGCAGCAGAACCTGTAATCTTTAATATAACCTAGTATCAGATTATTTCAGGACCTTTCGTTTAGAATTCAGGGTTTCCCAACCTTGGGTCTCCAGCTGTTGGACTACAACTCCCATCATCCCTAGCTAGCATGACCTGTGGTTTGGCAACCCTGGTTTAGATACCTCCACTGCCAGAGAAAGTAAACCTCTTGTACACTAGTTGCTCAGAATCAGAAGCAGGGAGAGGGTGACTGCATTAGGCCCTGCATGGCCACTGAGAAAACAGGATGCAACCTAGACCAGCCTTTGGCTTGATCTAGCACAGCTTCTCTTTAGGACAAAGACTGCTGATTGGCGGACAACAAAGGGGCTAGCACTGGGATTAAGAACCCTTTCAACAACATGCTGGACCACAAAGAACTCTGCATAGGCAAGCGTTTTTTTAATATATATAGATAAAAAAGGTTACCACATATATACATGTGATGATGATGATGATGATAATTGATTGAACCTGCCACTTCTTACCCAAACAAGGTCTCTAAGCGACATATCTGCTTGCTCTTAAAATAAATTATAATAAAAAACATTCTTAACAACACATGCAGTTCATAAAAATCCACCCAAAATAATCTTGGGCAGCACAACTAGCAGCAAATAACATTGTTCTATTCATAGAATCATAGAATCATAGAGTTGGAAGAGACCACAAGGGCCATCGAATCCAACCCTGTGCCAAGCAGGAAACACCATCAGAGCACTCCTGACATATGGTTGTCAAGCCTCTGCTTAAAGACCTCCAAAGAAGGAGACTCCACCACACTCCTTGGCAGCAAATTCCACTGTCGAACAGCTCTTACTGTCAGGAAGTTCTTCCTAATGTTTAGGTGGAATCTTCTTTCTTGTAGTTTGGATCCACTGCTCCATGTCCGCTTCTCTGGAGCAGCAGAAAACAACCTTTCTCCCTCCTCTATGTGACATCCTTTTATATATTTGAACATGGCTATCATATCACCCCTTAACCTCCTCTTCTCCAGGCTAAACATGCCCAGCTCCCTTAGCAGTCACCCTCTCCCTGCTTCTGATTCTGAGCAACTAGTGTACAAGAGGTTTACTTTCAAGAACCTGAGAAAAAAAGAGGTGAGTTTTTACCTGGCACTGAAAACATGCCAGTATAGGCATGAGGCAAACCTCACCAGGGGCTACAGCGTTCAGCAAAGGGGGAGCCACAACTGAAAATTGCCCCCTCCCTTGTCATTGTTCTCCAAGCCTCCTGGAGAAGGGTCTTAGATTCTGCACAACAGGAAGCTTGGAGGGGAAGACTGATGGAAATCTATACACCATCTTCTGAAAGATGACAGTTCTGGGTTTAAACTGTCTGGATACAGAACTGACTGCAGGGATTTGCCTGTTTGTTCCCTGAACGCATTTATGTGCACGCACAATACACATGGGGGAAGCCTCTAAAGCACTGTAAATATTTATCAGTTCCAACAACTGCCCCAGACTTTGCAGCTGTGAGATATTTTTTTCCCCAGATCTGAAACTCTTTGTGTATTTTTAATACAAACTGAGCTGTCAAGTTTGGCTCGCTGCCAAGAAACCTAAATACAGACACTGTGAGCCATCTGCCCATCCTTTGGCTGCCTCCTGACAATTAAAGCCAAAACAGTAGTAGCTGCCCTATAAAATGACACGTTACTCCCAAGTCAGGGGCACAACACAATATGTTGTGCCTTCCCCGAGGAGCACAGAATGGCATATCACTAGGACAGCACATATTTGAAATACTGGTGAAATGACCCCCAAAACTCCCAAGACACATGGACCACTGCAATAAATGTTTATGAAGCAACTTGAAATCTGTAAAGGGCCTAAACAAACTCTTGAGTTCTATACACACAAATAGTCCCTGATAAACAAACAGTCCCTCAACCACAAGCAACAGCAAAATGCAGAGTTACTAAAAACTAAATTAAAGGAGAAGTGCATTATCATTGCAGAGTTGAATGCTCCCATTCCAACTCCAAAAATTCTATGATTACCCTAATCCTTACAAACAAGCTTTTAAGGTAGGCACACTTTACCAACCTTGTACTATGGGAGGCAGGGATCCAACCTCGAGAACAGAGCGAGCTTTCCTGCGGTCACAGGGCAAGTTCAGATCTCCCATTTGTCAGGAGATGGGGATTCCTTCACTTTTTCTTAGCCACTGTGTTGCACCAGCTTTCTATTACAGTGATTATCATTTGTGTTTCAAGGTAATGACTATAATCAGTGTGCTTATAAATAATGGTTGATAGCTACAGTAGCTACTTATGGTCAGGTAACCGGTGCACACAGCTGGTTGTCAGGCGTACCATTACGTAGTGGTGCTGTGCCACAGCTAAAACAAAAACACACACAAAAACGCACTCAAAGGGTCTGCACTCAATAATCAGGTTGTGCAAACAAATACAACAGGCTGGAAAAGTTTGCGCTGTTCTGCTCATGTTTGGAACTTGAGAGGACTCTTCAAAAAATTAAAAGAACATGTGGATAGTTCAGCTGGTATAGCATGAGACGCATAATCTCGGGGTCAGGGGTTCGAGGGCCACATTGGGCAACAAGATTCCTGTACCGCAGGGGGTTGGGCTAGATGACCCTCGTGGTCCCTTCCAACTCTACAGCTCTATGATTCTATGTATCACAGAGTTGTTCTGCCTTAGGTCCCCTTGTGTCATGCTCAGGCAGCTTAGCCACTTATCAGAGATGATGGAGACTGGAATCCAACAACACCAAAAGCCCAAGTTTGAAGAAGACTCAGGCTGGTAGTTGAAGGGCAATGCTGAACTTAGCTATAAAGGCTAGATTCTATCAAAACGTAGATTGCATGCAGCCATAAAACACTAGGCTTTTACAAGAGCAACATGCTGTAGCTTGGTGATATATTTCACGGATTGTAGGGGAGCAGAATAATGTACAAAGAATCCCAAAGCCTCTACAAATTATGCAATCTCATATCATAACTGTCAATCTGTTGCAAATACCATTGTTTGCAGAAGGCTTCAGGGTTCAAACGGGGAGGCATCTCTGCTTTGCGTGACCAAATGCACCTCTCCTTTTAAACAAATCAATCCCTTCCTGTCACCAGACACCCCTGTTGCTGGAGCATCTCCCTTCCTTTCACTAAATTGCTCTTTCAAAAGGAAAGGAAGTGACTGTCAATAACCAGTGACTGTCAACAGCTTGGTTCTGGGTCCGTGAACACCAGGCCCAGACCAGTTTACAATCAGATTTGCTTCCAGTTAAGTACAGTATTGTTTAAAATGTCTAGCTTTGTGTCAAGTCTCATCTTCCTAGGTGCATGTTGATTTAATGTCCAGATAAGCTAATGTGGTAGGCTCTAAAACAGCTGCCAACCAACCTTCAAACATTTTGTGCAGTCTGAGTAGAAAAAATAAACACACTGCAACATGCAGATTTTGGCTGTACGTTTTTAAAAGAGCATTATAGAATGAATAATCCTGAGAAGAGTGTAAAAGTCTAGAAGTGAAAGCAAAAAAGAAGTCAAGATGGATGATAATAAGTCAGTGCTATAAGGCAGCTATATCAACCTGGCATCCTCCAGATGTTTTAAACCACAACTCCCATCAGCTGCTGGGAGCCATGGTCCAAACATCTGGAGGGTGCCAGGTTGGCAAACGCTGCTTCACATGAAAACCATAAAAATATTGGTGCTTGTGGAAGAAGGAAAAAGAGCAATGAACAGAAGCCAGTGCAGCAGGTTCTTCCTTCCTAAGAGTAGAACCTGACATTTGTCCCTACTGAAATTTATTTTGTTAGTTTGGGCTCAGTCCTCCAATCCTGAATCCCAATTCTGTCTTCCGTGACATTAGCTACCCCTCCCAGTTTCATGTCATCTGCAAATTGGACGTGCATCCCCTCAATGCCTTTGTCCAAGTCGTTTATAGAGACATTGAACAACAATGGGCCCAGGAAAGAATCCTGCGGCATCCCACTTGTGACTTTTTCCCAGGACGACTAGGAACCATCAGTGAGCCCTCTTTGGATTAGGTCAGCCAACCAGCTACAAATCCACCCAACAGTTACATCATGCAGCCCACAATTTACCAGCTTCTCCGCAAAAATAACAAGCTTAAAATATGAAGAGGTATCTGGTTTAGCCACAGAATCATTACTGTATATGGTTTCCTGGCTAGTATGTCCTCTTAATCCCTCCATGAAACATCCGTACTAATAGTCTATCCCCAGCCGCAACATTCCTTCTGTGCCCAGATCCTTGTCTCAGTTGGCACGGCCAGCTCCATTGGCACACTAGAAGGAAGTGCAAGGCTAGAATTTACATTCCGAAAGTGCCATCCCTTGGCACACACCCAACAAGAGGCTAAGCTAAAGTGGAAGAGGCCAACATTCTCCAACCAGAAAGCTGCCTTTTGTGGAAGGTGCTGCCATTTGCCGTGCCCCACAGATCAGGCTATATTTGTTTATGAGTCAGCCCACTGGGGAGCCGCAGAGGTCTGGCAACTCAAGAGCAGGCAGGCAGAGTAAAATACTTCCAGCAGTGCCCCGCACCCGACCTTCCTTCCTCCAGCTGATGCACAAGAGCTGCATCCAAGGCAGTGCCCTTATTCATGCATGCGATTGCCTCTCCCCCGTCTTTGCTGGTGACGCCGTGCAATTGCAAGCCTCCGGATCTGGCCGAATGCCAGGTTAGTCCTGAAAGCATTTGGGCGTAGGGTCCCTGCCAGGAAGGAGAATGAGCAGGATGGGGGGCCAGACCCACAGCTGCCGTCACCCCGCCCTCCACGCATGAGGACCCTGGGCTAAAATTAGAGACAAAGGGACGGCAACAAACATGGGAAATGCTGTAGTAGTTAGGAGTTAGGACTCCTAGCTGAAAAGTGCTAGGAGTCAGGTTGCTGGGGCGAGAGATAATCGGCAGAAGTTAAAAGCAAACCTTGGGGGTGAGGGGAAGAGAAGGCATTTCACGGCACACCTTGGAAGTGCTCACCCAGAATAGAAAATCTTTTATTTGATGGTTTGTTTGTCTTCTAAAGAGACCTGCAAATAAGAAGTCTAAAAACACAGACGTGGGCTCTGCGCCATCGTCTATCTAAACAAGAAAGCCCTGAAGCATGTGATCCGTGTCAAGGATAAGCTGCCCCCCTCGGCAGAGCCAGCTGTTGGGTTAGGCAGCCACTCACTGCTAGTTCCCATAGCACCAAGAGGCTTGTGCTGCTGATACTTAGGGCACAGGCTGTTTAAATCAAGGCAGCTGCCTGCGGAAGAACTGTGCGGCAGGAGCTGCCTTGTTCTTCAGGGTCGGACACGGTCACTTGCCCTGCTCCTGGATCTGATCTGTGAGAGAAGAGTGCTTCCATGGAAGAACCACTCTTTATCAAGGGAAAGACACCCAGAGCCCATTTAACTGTTAAAAGAACAGGAACTTGGAATAATTTCTGCTTGAGCTTGCTTTCCCCTCTCTCCTCCCATTTTTTTCCCCTCGTGTGCTGTGTCTCTTTAGATTGTGAACCTGAGGGTAGGGGCCATCTTGCGACTGATTTCTGGTGGGTGCTCCAAGAGGCCTTTGGTGACAGCGCTCTTCTTATGAGTTCTGCTCTTTACACTTGATGAGGTGATTTATTTAATGTATTTACAGTATAAAGGTTAAAGGGACCTCTGACCATTAGGTCCAGCCGCGGACGGCTCTGGGGTTGCGGCGCTCATCTTGCTCTATAGGCCGAGGGAGCCGGCGTTTGTCCGCAGACAACTTCCGGGTCATGTGGCCAGCATGACTAAGCCGCTTCTGGAGAACCACAGCAGCGCATGGAAACGCCGTTTACCTTCCCACAGGAGCGGTACCTATTTATCTACTTGCACTTTGACGTGCTTTCAAACTGCTAGGTTGGCAGGAGCAGGGACCAAGCAACGGGAGCTCACTCTGTGGGGATTCGAACTGCCGACTTTTCGACTGGCAAGCCCTAGGCTCTGTGGTTTAACCCACAGCGCCACCCACGTCCCATTTACAGTATACCATTTTTTTTTTTTTATCTTTGCTAAAGGGTATTTACAGTATACCCTTTAGCAAAAAAATAAATGCATTAAATAAACTAATCCATTAAGTGTAGAGAGCACAACTGATAAGAAGAGCACTGTCACAAAGTAACGTCCATCGGTTTTAATCCAGTGGGAACAGTGTTAGAATGAATGGCAGTTCTTCAGCAACTATTTACAAACACAACATGGTTCTCTGAAATTTCAAGGCTGCAAGCATCATGCAGTCATGTCGTGGGGAAGGGATGGGGAAAGAAAGCTTGTCCCCTCAGGGATATCCCTATCTTGTTTCTTTATAAATTCAAGTTGAAAATTAATAAATTAATAAGGATACTAATACGGATCAGATGGCTGGGGTCAAATAAAAGTTTAATGAGAGGTTCAAAAATGTGTACATTTAAGAAAGGAAAGGAGGGAAAGCTCAGTAAGGAAAGCGAAGATATTCAGAAGGAATACAGAGAGAGAAGCCACTGGAATCTACCAAGACAGCAACAAGCAGAACTGCCACTGGTCTTCTGGAAAGCTGCCCGTCAAATACATAAGCACAATGCAACTTATTTGGCAGAAGGTCCCCATCACTGTCACTGATCACGCAGGAGGCAAACGCTCGTGAGCCCCCAACAAGCATGCCTAAAAAGCCTTCTAAAAGAGGACAGACACACACCCCTTTAGCTGGCTGCAACTGTGTAGTCATCGGCCTACAAAGAGTTGGCAGCCACAACACTATAAACTTATACAACAGGAAAGGATGAAAGAAAAAATCAGATGTAGCACACTTCTACTTAGGGCAGATCCCCACCATGCATTTAAAGCACATCCATTGCAAATAATAATAATAATAATAATAATAATAATAATAATAATAATAATGATAATAATAATAATAATTTATTATTTATACCCCACCCATCTGGCTGAGTTTCCCCAGCCACTCTGGGCGGCTTCCAATTGAGTGTTAAAAACAATGCAGCATTAAATATTAAAAACTTCCCTAAACAGGGCTGCCTTCAGATGACTTTTAAAGATAAGATAGCTGCTTATTTCCTTCACATTTGAAGAGAGGGCGTTCCACAGGGCGGGCGCCACTACCAAGAAGGCCCTCTGTCTGGTTCCCTGTAACCTCACTTCTCACAATGAGGGAACCGCCAGAAGGCCCTCGGCGCTGGATCTCAGTGTCGGGGTTGAACGATGGGGGTGGAGATGCTCCTTCAGGCATACAGGACCTCAGGTATACATGACTTCCCTCAAAGGATCCTGGGAATTGTAGTTTCCCCATCACAAAGCTTAACAACCTACAGTTCCCAGGATTCTTTGAGGGAAGCCATGGGCTGTACAGTATCTGCATATAGTATTTTATTGTTTTATACCAACTTTTTTTGCACACTGCTTAGATATCTTGAAGTCTAATATTTTCATTAAATAAATGAAACTCGTAATCTGCCACATCAGCCCTACTCCACCCTGAGACGGAAAAGGGAAACGGGCACTTCTCTTCTTCAGGGAAAAAGTTGGCTCCAATACAACTTAATCTGAGCCTTAAAAAGCACATAGAGCTCAAAGAGGAAGTAGGAAAGTGCATCACACTTCCAACTTTCTATTTCAGCTCTGGGTATTTTTCAAGGGAGAAAAAGATAACTGCCCTCACCAAGTGGGTAGTGAATACTTAGTAATTTTCAGAACTTTACCTGTTGCATATCAATTCCATTGTCTGGTACCCAGCAACATATACCTTGTTCTACAACTTTCATTATTGCAGAGACCAAAGCATATAGTTTTTCCAGTAGTCTGGGGTGTGGAGAATTCCCTAGATTTGAGTAAATTTTTCAAGCAGTAGTCAAGGGCAAGGCAGACAGATTTTATGATGGTGTTACTTCTCTAAACAAAGCCTGCACAAGCAAGTGAAGGCACATCTTAAAAAGCAGACAGATGAAAACCAAGAGACTGAATTTTCAGCTAGCAGCGGTGTGCAAATAAAACACAATAAAACCCAAGTATCTGACAGCAGAAGTCTTTGAATCACATTTAAGCCCTCAAACGAATTGAGCAAATATATAGATTTTGCAGAGTGGTACACATCCGGCAGCGGAACAGCTCATACACACAGAGGAACTGATTTTCCTTCAGGGGAGGAAAAATCTAGAAAGCTGTCTTCCCAGCCTTGTCACAACAGGCATGTCATTATTGCACACCCCTCCTTTGACCCTTCAAATGGAAGTACTGCCAGCACAATACCTCATCCATGCACGTCTCCAGATGTATGCATGGGGAGCTGCTTCCACACTGTGCCACCCCAAATTTGGGTGGGTGGGGGCATGTTGTTCCAGCCCTCTCTCCCTAACTGCAGACCACATTGAGATTCTGCTAGAAGAGAAGATGCCCAGCAGGCAGGAATGATAAATACCACCAACTCAGTCCATGTACTTGCAGAACTTGGGAACACAGGGAGCTGCCCTAAAGAGAATCAGACGATTGGTCCATCTAGCTCAGTACTGTCTACACCGACTGGCAGCAGCTTTTTGAAGGGAGGGGACATTCCAAGCCCTGCCTGGAGATGTTGGGGATTGAACCTGGGACTTTCTGCATGCAAAGCAGAAAGCTCTTCTCATTATTTCACACCTGTATTGCTGCTACAGGGAGGGCTTCGCACAGACATCTGGTTGGCCACTGGGGGAGCAGAATAATGAATAAGATGGACCCTTGGTTTGGGTGTGGGTGGGTGGGTGGGTGGGTATGCATATCACATTTCTCCAAATGTAAATAACCTAGAAATGGCATTTTTTTAACTCCAATGTGACAAAGAAATCCCACACACATAACAGATTAGTTCACATAAAGCCAAGCTGCTTTCCATGATTTAGATTTGGAAAGATTCCTAACCCTACAGAGTTCACATATGTTCACTTTGAAAATGCGGGCGCAAAGCATTCCAATTACTACTACTACAGGGAAGCCCATGCAGGCAGCATCACAGTAGGTACCAATATGTTCTCATCAAAACACGGAATTTCATTGCCACTCCCCACCCTGCTTGTCAGCAATAAGTATGGATTAAAAAGTGGAGGTGCATGCGTGCAAAGCTATAAGTTGTGCAGGACTACAATATGCCCACAGCGCAACTTTGAGCTAGTTAGTGAAGAAGTAAATTAGGCACCAATTGATGCTGGCTTAAAAAAAAAAAAAGATAAACGCAGCACACATTTTATTAAAATTTTGGGGAAACTAAACCTGTTTGCAGACAGCTTACATGGTGCATGGAAAAAATCCCAATTATATCCAAGCTGATAACATTATCAGGGGAACCATGTGATGCACTCTTGCTGAGCTACACCCATTCAAACTGATAGAAGCTGGGAGAGGTGTGGAATATTTGCATTCTCCACCAATGAGAAAAGGTCTGTTCTTCTCAAGATGCCAGCTTTCCCTGAATCATTTGGATGCTTCTCCATGTATGTGTGAATGACACAGGCTAGGAGTGGGGGAATGTAATTACCCATAGAGCTGAAGACATGTGCAGAACTCAACTATGCACAAGGGTTGTATGTAGAAACAGCTCCATACAGAGAAAATGCATGAACCAAGCCCTACAAAATTATTTATGTTTACTTCAGTGCAACATATATGGAATGCTAGATGGAGGCTTCAATAAAAAGAGTACTCATTTTATTGTCAGAAATCAAAAAGACACCTTAAACACTCCAATTTAAAAAGAATGAATATCAAGTCACAATACAGATGCAATTTTGGGGCACCCCTGACATGTTTAGAAACCTCCCAAAGTTGTCATAGAAACAGCAATAGAAGCCAGATTTACAATTCTCTGCGCATTTAGACCAGACTGAAGTATAGAAAGGTCAGGATTAACTGAAGGGCAGATCTTCCCAAATTTGATAGAGGCAAATTCTCAGAGATAGAAAGAGCAACTGATTGTCATTCAAACAAACAGCAAGTTGCTGGTGTATGAAAAGGAAATTTCCATCAAAATGGAATAAATAATAAAGTCTTTATGTTATTCAACAAATGGCACTGAAGCATCTTAGAGACCAATACAGATTTCCTGTTTTACAAGGGCTGCAAACCTCTCTTAAGATGACACTGGCTATCTGTGTTTACCAATATACACTTTGTGCTTGTACAGTGGTACCTCGGGTTAAGAACGTAATTCGTTCTGGAGGTCCGTTCTTAACCTGAAACTGTTCTTAACCTGAGGTACTACTTTAGCTAATGGGGTCTCCCGCTGCCGCCACGCGATTTCTGTTCTCATCCTGAAGCAAAGTTCTTAACCCGAGGTACTAGTTCTGGGTTAGCGGAGTCTGTAACCTGAAACGTATATAACCTGAAGCGTATGTAACCCGAGGTACCACTGTATTGCGTTTTTATCTGCTGAGCAATTAATATGGGGCACCTTTTTCAACAGTCGCTATGCTTTCAATTGAGCAGTCTAATGAATTACCCAACTAAATATTGAAACCGTACTAGTGAGTAGGCACAAGCAACTCTTGCATCTGTTATACGCATGTATTAACTGCTGTGGCGACTCAGCCACAGTTTCACCAGACAACTGCTCAAGATTCATAGTCTCTAGAAAGTTAGCCCTGCAAGGACTAGATCACAAAGCTATCAACCATGCTTTTCAAAGTGCCAATTTTAATACACTACAAAAACAGAACTTAAAGGGACTAACTGAAATGGTTGAGGCTTTAAATTTTCATAAAATTAAAAGTTAACGGGAACAAGAAACACAAGCTACTTTAGAAACAGAATCTTCTGAAAGCAAAAACATTTCCTTACAAGTTAGAAGGAACTTACATTGCCTAGATGTGACCAACACAATCAGTATGTTAGAGAAGTAGAAGGTTATGCTTTAAAAATGTTGTACTGTACTTCTTTTAATTCCAAAGCTAAACTACATTTATGCTGATTGCAGCTTTTACATTCCTGGTTGTCATGTACAAACTGACAAGCTAAACCTCTATGGAGCAGGGTGGAAGAGGGGGAAGCTGCTCGTTGACATTTATTTGTCAATCTGGGAAGAGTGGAAATTGGCTGTCAACATTTCTAGTGCATGCAGAGATATAACAGCTTTGCATTAATATCTAGTTCTGTGCATCTGTATCAAAACATGCTTGGGGGGGGGGAGGAAAGCTTGGCATATATTATACTAATTACCATTAAACATCCCCCATAAGGAGAAACACTGCCGTTTTAAAAGCAGCCTGGTGCAGGCATAGCATTTCTGGTCTGTTAACAGTGGTTAGAACCACCTTTGCCCGCCTCGCTGAACCAGTGCTGCGCCCAGAGCCTCCGCCTCTTCCCTGCCGGAGAAGCCGCCCTCCAGCCGCTGCCCGCCTCCTCCAGCCCCACAAAGCTGCCAGCAGCACCGTAAAAAGGTTGGCAACTCTGGGAAACCGGGGGGGGGGGCGCCGGAGGGATGTTTGCACCATGTTACCGGATGTACTTAAGACGGCCCTGGAGCCAAGATATTTAAACACTCTGTGCTTACCTCACAGTAAAGGGAGGGCACTGAACTTCAGTGTATGGTGATCTTGGTTTCCTGGTCATCAGATCAGGAAAAAGGAGTGTCTGTTCTGCGAAGGGATCTTTCCCAGCCACAGGCGGAAATTCCAGAACTTTGAAAATATGAGAGTCACTCATGTGATCCATGGTTTTCTTGGCAAAGAATTGGATGCTGAGCTTGCCAGGTCCGGTTCCCAAGAAGGAACCTGTTCCCTTAAGAATTATACACCCAGGAGTTGTGCTCTGAAGATGTTTGTGGACTTCAGCTCCCATCAGTCCCAGCAAACACAATCAATGGTGAAGGATGGTGGGAGCTGCAGTTCACAACATCTGGAGAGCACCATGTTGGCTATCATTGTTCCAATCACGACAAGACTGTGGTGAGAAAAGGGACACATTTTGGGCAATGTTCTACTTTCTATGAAATGGCGTCTGCACACGCACAGATACCAGAAATCACATCTGTGCATGTCCAGATGCCGAACATCGCTTCTGCGCAGGTGCGATTTCCGGCATCACGCTGCGCCAGTCCGGCCCACGGACGATCTCCATAGGAGTGATCTGGCCCATGGCCGGCAAACCTTGCCAACCCCTGATTTACACAGTATGTGCAATTAACATCATATCCATTTAGTAGACAGAACTAAGAAAATGAGTCAAAGTAGAACATCATTGGATTTAGGGCTGTGGAAAGCTCATTCAAAATTTTCCAGAAAACCCAAAGAAATAAATGGGTACACATGGTCATTGCCCTCCATCTTATCCTCACAGCAACAAAGAGTTGTGAGACAGTGACTGGGCCAAGATTCCCCAGTTAGGCTTTGCAGATGAGCAGGAATTTTCACCCAGGTGTCCTCATTCTGCAGCTTGACACTCTCTAGCTAATGCACCACACTAGCTCAGATCGCAAGCGCCTATTTGAAAACCAAAAAAAGAAACTTGACAGTGTGTTTCACCCCTTAAATTAGAGCCATCAGAACAAGAGAGATAAAAGGCAGACAAGATGCTTTAAGCCATATATTATGGAAGACTCAAAGCCCACCCCACCAAGACGTCACAGCGACTGTCTGCTGCTTTCAATGAGTAATTTCCATTCTGCCACATTTGTTTTCCAATAGATATGGGAGTTCTGGAAAAAAAGGTTAAGTGAAGGATCAATAACACACTTCAAAAGCTAGATTTATGGAACAAAGTAATCCATCCTTTCTTTTCCGAACTCATGCCCTCCAAGGACTGTCAAAGCCATATGATGCTCCCATGGGTAACATTTTTGTAATTGCATTTCTGCTTTAGCTAAGTGATGGAGATGATCCATGTCGCCAGCCTTCCGGTCCCTTATTGACTATATGTGAAAAAGCTACAATCCATAGTTTTTTCCACATGCATTTACAGCCTTGCTTTCACTAAGCTGATTTAAAACCTCTTATTGTGGCCAGATTTTGCCGTGCTAAAAAGCTACACAAGAAATACAGAAAGAAACCATGACTTCATTTCCCCCTGCCATGCTGCAAGCAATGCATTGATCCATATCTGAATTCCATGGGAATGCAGCTTTACCTTGGGCTAGAGAAGATCGAATTACATCCGAGAGTCCTCATCCAGCTACCACAGTGGACAGTAGCCTAAGAGAGGCATTTGATGTGTCGGTGCAGAGCAATAGCATGTCAGATTTTCAAGTGCCAGCTGTGAAAGTGAAGAATAGGGTTCAAACACACCCCATAATCTAGCCCTGTGTTTCTCAAACGGTGAACCTGGAGTCACCGGTGGGCCTTGAACCACTATCTGGTGGGCTTCAGTGCCACAGCTTGCCCAGTGTCCTCATCACTGGCCTGGCCTGCCCCCAGTTGTGCCAATATTTTTGAGAGGCATGTAGGGTGGGAAGAAAAAGCCATATCCACTTAAGAGTCTTAAATCAGCAAATTCTGCCTAAACTGGGAAGGCTGAGTCAAAATACCTCCAGAACAAAGGTCCATCCTTAGCTTGAGGAAGGCTGAACCATGAAACTCCTTGCTACATGGAAAAGGCTGCGCCCCCTCCCAAAAAAAAGCTGTTTCCAAAGATGGGTTAGATAGCAATAAATTGCCAATTGATTGTGCCAAATTCTGCCTCCATTTGCCACCATTTTGTGACCAGCTTTATCTCTGCACCACCATTTTGTGACAGGTAGGCCTCTGTTTTTTCTAACCAACTTCAAGTGGGCCCTTGGGATAGAAAATCTAAGAGCCCTTATCTAGCCTAAATCTTTCCTTGAGACAGGATAACTGATACCCAAGGTTTTTTTTAAAAAGCACCATGCTACTATTCACCAATAACAATATGCTCTGGGAAACAGGACCTTGGAAATTCCAAGCTCCTGACTCAAATGCAACACCTATCAAGAGTTTCCTCTTTTCTGTATGTGTTCCACTTACTGTGCCATTTTGATTCAGAGATGAGAATTCACAGATCAGCTGGTGAAAAGGTAGGCAAACTGGATTCCTAGTCTCTTCTGTCTGAACGAGCAACATCCTGTCATGCTCAGGAGTTGGGAACCTGTGGCCCTTCACACACACACACACACGCCACACTACAGAAAAAGGAATTCCTCCCTCCTCCCCATTGAAGAATGGTTTCAACCTTCACAAAGATTTAGCACTGGACTATCTAAGCACAGAAGAATTAATATATGGGCTAATCCCTCCACGGCACATATCTAGACAAATCCGCTTAGACATTTAGCGAGAGCCACATCACTTACTTTCTCATCCATGAGATACAGAGATTTTGACTGAAGGAAGGAAATATTTCAAATTATCATCTTGAGGACGCAATTATTGGGCATCAGCTCCAAGATGCAACTTCCCTTACCTTCAAACGTATTTGTGGTAAACCAACAATGATTTAATAACTGAGTAATTATTAGATTGCTTCAGCATTTGGAGCAATGAACTGTGTGATAGAAGCCGTGTAATTGCACAAAATATGGGAGACCTTTTGTGTAATTGCACAAAAGGTCTCCCGTGCCTTGGGGGGGGGCGAGTGTGTGCCTTGGAGGGGGGGCCGCCCTGCACATTTGTGTAAATGTTGGGAATAGAAACTCCCATTCCCCAGGGAGCCTTTAAATCCAAGGCTGTGCATTTCCACAGCAAATGCTGGGAAACTTTTCTTTGCAACAGCCTCCCATGTCTGGAGCTAAGCCAGTTTGTGTCACAAAAATATTGTACAGTATATTATTAGAGAAGGCACAGCATTTCGTTTTAAGAATCATTGCCTGTATTGCATGGTAAAACATAATGCCCACCTCTTTTGGATGGAAGCATCCTTAAAAATCTGTGTAACTGAACTAAGGACCTATGAGCAGCCCTGCTATGAGCAGCCCTTCTTTAAGGACCTATGAGCAGCCCTGCTAGATCTCCCTTTCTTTTATTTTTAGAGTTTCCCCCCTTGGCATAGTCTTCAGTTAAGATTTACTTCGTACAGACAAAGACTCGCGAGTAATAATTCTCCCCTTCTCCCCACATTCAAGCAGGGTGGGGGGGAGAAAGAAAAGAATTGTGTGCAGATTGCTTTATCGCTCCTTGCTAACAAAGGTTTTCAGAAGCAGATGGCAGCCTGTAAAGTCCTACAGATGCTTTGTTTGGAGTGCAAACTCGGCCGCGTTGCCTATCAAAAGTCAAGCTTCACATTGTGAAGCACTGACCCTAACAAATTCATTTTGTTTCTTTCTGTCACTATGCTGAACCAGACAAATGAATCTGGCATAACAAGTGCGGAGACTAAGAAAAACCTTCAAAACTCCTGCAAGCTGCAAAATGCAGAATGTGCTTGCAAATCTCACTCAGTGCATAAGAAGAAACTGATCTGCAAGTTATCCGTGGCCCACGGGACATTGCAAGAGCCTTAAAATCAAGCTCCTACATTTTTTCAGCTTGTAGAATGCTCAATTAGTTTCTTCAACAGCTTAGTTATCAATTTAAAAACTCAGAATGCTATAAGGGTTTTAAAAGATGTTTGCTGGAAGATGTTATCTATGTGTTGCCTCATTAGCAGCACTGGACAGGAACCATTTGGCCTCAGGACTGTTCTGCAGAGACGGCATCCTAGAGAAAACACCCAGACACTCTCCTGGCAGTTATACATTGCAGGGTGGTGGTGGAATCAAAAGCAGCAAGGAAACAATCTTTCAGTGAAGCTTGTATACCATTACCAATCTTCAAACCCAGTTTAACAGCCACTGGACTGATGCACTTCTATTTTTCTAGAGTTGTGCTGCTCCAAAATGCTGTAACCTTTCCTCATAGAAGAACAGTTCCAGCCTCTCAATCCTCGTGGCTTAACATGAACAAGCAAACGAGGGTTCCTGGAGTGAAGACTGCAGCCACAGCGCACCTCTGCCAGTCCTGATGCTGCAACACTACTCTGGGCTAAGCCATGGTTGTCTTAGCTTAGCATTGCGTGCTAAATGCCCTCTCTTCCTGTGCATCATTCTCTCCCCCTGTCCCAGGACTGGTGGGTGAGAGAATGCACCTACAGAGGTAGTATCTTGGGTCACAAAGCTCTTCTAAGAGGACTGGATTTGGCTCAGGGATCTGCAGTTGTCAACCCTTACTTGATAAGGCTGGGAGCAAGCAGGCTTTTTTAATAGATCCAAGGTTCATACAGACTTTGGAAGTCCTCTACTACAACATCTTGTTCACTGATGGATCTGCTGCAGCGCAGGATACAATGACAGCAGTCCACTACATTACTGCTTCAGGGATTGCTTTTTATTCCTATTTGTACACACAAAATATTCCATGTGCGAACATCAGAGGTATGTGTCGAGGGTGCAGTAATGAGCATCCTCTACTGCCTTCTGCTCTGTTGTAAGCATCCTATATACTGGTTATGTCCTTACTATGAAGTGTAAAGTGCGGCGCTCATCTCGTTTTATTGGCCAAGGGAGCCGGCGTACAGCTTCCAGGTCATGTAGTCAGCATGGCGAACCAGAGCAGCACACGGAAACGCCGTTTACCTTCCCGCCGGAGTGGTACCTATTTATCTACTTGCACTTTGACGTGCTTTCGAACTGCTAGGTTGGCGGGAGCAGGGACCGAGCAATGGGAGCTCACCCCATCGTGGGGATTCGAACCGCCGACCTTCTGATTGGCAAGTCCTAGGCTCTGTGGTTTAACCCACAGCGCCACCCACGTCCCTACTATAAAGTGTAAGAAGCAATAAATACCACCATTCCTAGATGAAACAGAAGTTCCATGGCTATCATCTCAGTGGTAGAATCCCACTTTGAAATGCAGCCACACAAGAAATGAGGAGGAGCCATTTCTGAAGGGAACAGCAGCTGATGTCACGGTGACCAAGAAAAATTTGCCAAAAGGCAAATGGCTGGTGGATAACTGGCCATCCCTTTCACTTTCATGGAACTTTCAAAAGTGGTCTTAGCCACGTGTAGTCAATGTGGTGCTCTCCAAATGTTGCTAGACTACAAACCCCCATTATCCCCAACCATTAAAAAAGGTAAAGGGGACCCCTGACCATTAGGTCCAGTCGTGACCGACTCTGGGGTTGCGGTGCTCATCTCGCTCTACAGGCCGAGGGAGCCGGCATTTGTCCGCAGACAGCTTCCAGGTCATGTGGCCAGCATGACTAAGCCACTTCTGGCGAACCAGAGCAGCACACGGAAATGCTGTTTACCTTCCTGCTGGAGCGGTACCTATTTATCTACTTGCACTTTGACGTGCTTTCGAACTGATAGGTTGGCAGGAGCAGGGACCGAGCAACGGGAGCTCACCCTGTTGTGGGGATTCGAACCACTGACCTTCTGATCAGCAAGTCCTAGGCTCTGTGGTTTAACCCACAGCGCCACCCGCGTCCCATCACGCTCTATTAAATTTGAGCACCCAATGCATTTGGCCCAGTGTTATACCCGTAAAATGCATTTTTGAGTTATTTGTGATTATATAAGCATGGAGTTAATAAATCTTTGTCTGTCTGTAGTAAGATTTAAAAATCTGACTTCCAAGTTTGTTGGCTAAAGGAGTTTCCTTTGGGGGTATTTGATTCCTTCCCTCCCCCCCCCAAAAAAAATACACAGCTGTTGCCACTGAACTAGCAATTTGAAGGGTGAATGTAAATAAATAAATCAATGGTATGGCATCCCTGATTTACCATTATGCATAGAATGATTCACCACTTTGGCAGCCTGGTCAGTTTATTGCCTTAAATACAGACGTGTCCAGGGACTCACAGAAGGCAACGTGATCAACTCGAAAACAAAGACTCCAGCGGGAAAACAATGGTGGAAGGCAATGGCTGTGCGTTGAAACTGAATGAGTCAAGGCCCAACAGAAATCAGCATGCAGATTCCTCCCCTTCCCACACACCCATTCTTCCGGAGCAGAACTGAACAAAATGACACACTACATTCTCCTTAACCTTCATGCTGCAACGCTTCAATCTCCACAATGCCAACTGCCTGCCAGGTTGCTCAAAAGTTTGCATTTCCCTCCATAAATATTTTATGTACAAGGACTATTTGTGTTACCCGTTTCTCTCGACATGTTTTGACAGCCATGCTGCTCATCACATGACAACGACGTTCTATTTAGAACAGCAGCTGCAGACACTGACAGATTGAGTTTCCATCTTAAACAGCACAGCTGAACTCATGACATCATGGGTAATAGGCTAAACACAATTCATGAGATGCTGCGACTAGTGGTTAAGAGCATTTGTTTCTGAAAGTTGGTTCTTTAGAGGCAAACTCAGTCCTGCATTAAATAAACACGCAGACCCAAAGCAGACATAAACAATCAGTCATAGTGAATTTTTGCCTTCCCCATGGTTAAACATTCCATCCAAATACAGTGGTACCTTGGTTTGCATACGTCTTGGTTTGCATACGTTTTGAATTACAAACACGTCAAACCAGGAAGTGTGTGTCCCAGTTTGCAACCTTTTTTTTATTACAACCCTTTCTTTTCCTTTTGGATTACGAACACATTTCTTTTGGAGGCCCCATTGGCGAAAGCGCGCCTTGGATTACAACCTGTTTTGGTTTACAAATGGACCTCCGGAACGGATTATGGTTGTAAATCAAGGTACCACTGTACATAAAATTATGGTTAAGGATTAGCTGCAATTTAGAATGCAGAGCCATGGATTGCAAGCCATGGTTATTCAGTACATGGTTAAGAGTTTCCCTGGTTCTCTGCCTGCAAAGGCACAAGCCTAGGTTTCACTCTATAATACCCTTCAGGGGAAAGACTGGCTTAGCAAGTTAAAACCTAGTTGTATCTTGGAAGATCTTAACCAAAGATATGACAGCAAACTATGATTAGTGCAAACTATGGCTAAGTGTTAACGTCTGCACAATGATCAGAGACTGACGGGTATGTTGCCAGTAGTAGAAAGTCATGAGTTCAAATAGAATATATTCAGTTAGAAAAAGCACTCTGATGGGGGGCAAAGCAGGGGGATAACAGGGAGGAGTAATTTAGTTATCTTCACTCAGTTTCAGTAAGAGTTTATATCAGAGTAGTATCCTTCATATGTATGTTGCATTATAACTCTAATGCAGGGATAGGCAAACTCCGGACCTCCAGACCTTTGGGACTACAATTCCCATCATCCCTAGCTAACAGGACCAGTGGTCAGGGGTGATGGGAATTGTAGTCACAAACATCTGGAGGGTCAGAGTTTGCCTATGCCTTCTCTAATGCAACCAACCTGCCAACCAACAAAAAGGGATGATGGAAATTATAGTGCAACCACATCTGGGAAACAAATATTGAAGAACATATGAGGGCAAACAATAAGACTTACACATTGCAGAGTAATGCAAGCAGAAAGATTAATTTCTGCCCAGATTATATCACCAGGTTTAGTTCTAAAGGCCAGTACAAACAATGGACTTCTCAATCTCCTAAACATGGTCCTGTACCCAAGATCAGCAACTTAAGAAGTGTAGCCACACATGAGAATCATGAACAGGATATTGCTTCAGAGAGTACTTACAGAGAACACACTTACAGGGGAATAACGATGGCACATTGGGACTATCTACCTACTTATTTCATAAAATTTTACACTGCTTTATTGTAAAAGACCTCAAATGAGTTATTTACCATTTACTACTGGGGACTTACTTCTGAGTAAACATGCATAAAACTGTGTTGTAAAAGTGCACATTCAAAATCCTTTCAGCTATGCAACTGCATGGATTCTGAAACAAACCCATAGCTGTCAAGCGTCCCTTATTTGGCGGGACAGTCCCTTATCCCAGCGCCATGTCCCGCTGCTGTCCCTTATTGATGATGTCCCTTAAATAAGCTACTGAAGGTATTGGGGCCCTTTCTATGTCCAGCTGTCCTTTGTCAACAACAAATTGTTGCTGTTTTTTTTGTGTTGAATATATGCTATATGGTAATTTATGGACCTAATAGGTATCTAAAGCCATTTGCATGAAACAAAATATGTATTTTATCAAAGTAATTGTTGATCCCTTATTTTGGCTGCTGATCCCTTATTTTCGAGGCTGCTGGTCCCTTATTTTCAAATCTGTAAGTTGACCAAACAAACCTAGTTGCACAATTGCATCCCTAAGTCACATTTATTTTAAAAATTGATGTAATATTTGAAATATAGGAAAGATTACTAATTACTGCCACTTCCTGTGAACTCCTGAAATACTGTGGGCAGCATCCTTTTAGGCAATGAAGTGCTACTATGAATATTCATAATGTAATGACAATGAGACAAAAGACCTGGCAACCTCCAAAAAGACTTCTCCTTCGGGGAGGCGGGGTGGGGAAATCAGAAGGAAACATTTCTCCTTCCCCATCTGCTTCAAAGACTAAAAAAAAACAAAAAACAGCTCCCTGTTGCATTAGTTCTGATGTGGTCTTGAATCTACCAAGAATACACAAAACATTACAAAGACATTTGTTCCTCCTAGAGGGCACAACAGTCGAATTAATCAGGGCACTACATTTTTTGCGGTCATGGTGAGGACAACCTCTCTCACAAGCATTGCACCTGCTGTTAAGGGCAGAGCTGGCTTTATGTCCTTGTACACCCAAGACATCTGTCCTGAAAAGGTTACTTCCATGCTTAAGAACATGTCAGCCAGGATTCCCCACATTCAAAAGAAACGGTTGGGGGGAATACACATCCCGTCCCCAAACTGAATCTTTAAAGGAATGGCAATTATATTCCAAGTTTGTTTTTATTTTATTTTTAAATCAGTTTGTCTTGGAGATACACACTGTCCCTGGGTCTCCCCTGGGTGGCTTGAAAACAAAACATGCTAAAAATGCAATGTCATTTGATTAAAAACCAACTAATAAAGGCAGCAATATATATTACCAAGGAAGCATAACACATCCTAGATTTAATACAATTTAAAAGCCTGGATAAACAACAAAAAAGTCTTTATAAGGCACTAAAAAGGCCACAGAGAAGACAAGGAAATTCTCTCTAGTTAGGCCCCATCTGCACTATACATTTAAAGAAGTATCTCTTTGTATGGGGTGTTAGGGGATGGGTAGTATCTCTGGTGGGGGACACGTCATGCTCCTTCTGGGGTAGTTTGTCCACCTTTGGTCCGCACCCTGCACTCAGCTCTCACCTGTGGCTCCTATAAGCTGTCAGCATGTGGCAGAAGCCACACCCCAGGAACGGCTTTGAATGGCCCGATAAACCAACTGGGTAGCTGATTGGTCTGAAACACTCAGTGAGTTAGGGACTTCCTATGCATGCAAAGACAAGCTCCAGCAGAATGAGTGGACAAGACCAATCGTGAGTCCAATGGTCAAGAAGGTGGTTTCTGCACAGGCTGTAGAAGAAGTGAGGGGCAGGTAGGGCTCAACAACCTGGGAAGGTAGCCCATCAAGGAGAAGGGAAACTCTGATCCTAAACCTCCGCTGCTTTGCAGGATACCTTTGGGAGATGAAAAGGTGAAGGAGTAAACCCTACACAAATCCAAAGTGGAGTTCCTAAGAAGGTTGGATGGTGCCTTGTACCCCTCCTTCTGGAAACTCCTACAGCCATGCTGGTGCCAAAGGTATTGCCGTTTTCCTTTGGACCACATCAGTGATGCCGAGAGGGGGGTCTTGTCATCTGACCTCCATACTCACTGCCCAGGCTTGTGCCCCAGGAAGCTCACTTTGGTGCTGCTAAGGAGCAGTTTGATTTCACCCCTGGAGGCGCACTCCATTGTCTCTTGAGACAAATGGATGCCAACAACCGCCACTTTAAACATTCAGGACTTCCCCCAATGAGTCCTGGAACTGCAGCTTGGGAAGAAGGATGGACTGTTAAGCCACCCTGGGAACTGTAGCTCTGTGAGGGGAGTAGGGTACTCCAAACAACTCTCATGACCCTTAACAAACTACAGCTCCCATGATTTGGGGGAGGGAAGCCATGGGTATTTAAAGTGGCATGATGCTACTTTAACTGTACATTGCACATAGGGCTATAAACAGGCTGTCACTATAGAAAAGCACTAAAGTACGCTTCCTGCCCCCCTTGCAGCAGACTATGCGCATCATCATAATCACAAGCTAATAAGTAGTTTTGCTTGTGTTGCCCTAAAGTGGTAATTATGCCTTTTACAAGGCACTGGAGTCTCACCCAGGCAGATAGAGAGACATAGTAGGATGATAGGGGGATGGGGGCCTGATCTCTTATGGATCAATGCCATTTACTTATCATTGTATTTGTTTTAGCAATATTAATAAGCTACTTCTAATGTCTGGAGAAGTGGATGAAAAGACTTAAACACACCCAAGAGGAAAAAGGCAGCACATTTTATTTCCAATATTCAAACTTTTAATGCCATATAGGTCATGGCTACAAACATGTGCATTTGAAAGGACAGTGTGTTTTTGACATAAATGGATATATTTTGATTTCAATAAGGCTGGTGTAGGGAAACTTTGGCCCTCCAGATGTTGCTGAAATACAACTCCCATCATTCCTAGCTGTTAGCCATCCTTGCTGGGGCTGATGGGAACTGCAGTTCAGCAACATCTGGAGGGCCAAAGGTCCCCCGCACCTAAACTAAATCAATTTCAAAACAGAACACCCGTTTTGCTAACATTTACTTAAACAGCAGGTTATAGCTGTCCTAAAATAATTCCTCCATGTAACAAGACAGTCAAATGTCCCTTACTGAATGATAACATTCATTGCACGGTGACAGACCTGTGAAAGTCTGAAAAACGAAAAAGGGAACCTAAACAAACTCAGATATGTTAGGAAGGTATTTTGAGAACAATCTGATGGAAATCTGTGCTTTGTGTCCTTCATCAAAACGAATGGCAATTGTGCAGAAGCTACTAATGTAGTACTTTTGTGGAAATATCAAATGTCTACACCAGGCATAGGCAGACTCGGCCCTCCAGATGTTTTGGGACTACAACTCCCATCATCCATAGCTAACAGGACCAGTGGTCAGGGATGATGGGAGTTGTAGTCCCAAAACATCTGGAGGGCCGAGTTTGCCTATGCCTGGTCTACAAAGAAACTGAATATTGAGTGTTCTGGATAAACAGTTTCCAAAAAGCAACATAAAAAACAAAAACCCACTATCTGCCAAGTGCACCATTTAAATTGATTTCCATTTATGTTGTTAAATATTTATCTTCAAAAGTCCCAGAAGGAAATCTTCAATCCCTTTTAATATAACTTTTGATCTGCCATCTACACAACCTTTTATTTTAGGCAGATAGTTACTAAAATTCTATTGAACTCACCCAGATGTTCTTCTAGATGACTACAGATGGGCAACCTGCAGCGACAGGGCTGAATGTAGACCTTTGTTGCAATTTCATGGGGGTTATGAGGATTGGGTAGCGGTATTGTTACTTCTGTTGACACTATACTTCTGCTGATGCAGTCCAGGATTGCAATAGGCATTTCAGCCACCACATTGCAGTAGTGACTCATGGTTAGTCTGTGGCTGCACCCACCAGAACTGACAGCTGTGATGAATTAACCCATACAAAGTCTTAAACTGATGGTCTGAGGGATACCAGGCAGGGATTTCACCAGCTAGAAGAACAGATGTCAGTCATATTAACTACAAAACTCTCCTTACACCAGCAGGTCAGAGTTTCCCAGGTGACTCCACAAGCCCATACATTTCATTTATTTAGTAAAGACATGTAAAGATTCCAGGTGAGGTCAGCTCACAGGTGAGAGCAACCAGTGTGGTGTAGTGGTTAAGAGTGGTAGTCTCGTAATCTGGTGAACCGGGTTCGCGTCCCTGCTCCTCCACATGCAGCTGCTGGGTAACCTTGGGCTAGTCACACTTCTTTGAAGTCTCTCAGCCCCACTCACCTCACAGAGTGTTTGTTGTGGGGGAGGAAGGGAAAGGAGATTGTTAGCCGCTTTGAGACTCCTTAGGGTAGTGATAAAGCAGGATATCAAATCCAAACTCTTCTTCTAGTTAAGGTAACAAGGCCCTGCTGACTACAGATGGTCTCTTCTTTTGCTTCCTATCCAGACCTCCATTTTCCAGAAGCTGGATGTTCAAATTGTGTGTTCCAATGGCCTTTAGATGCACAGCATCTATTTCATCATTGCATAATAATAATTTATCAACAGCAAAGTTCTCACATTCCTAGCGGGCAGGCCTTGCGCTGCCAATGAAAGTATCTGTAGATGACCTAAGATGGCACCTGATGACCTAAGATGCAACTGAAACACTTTTGCAACAGGAGCCGTTGTCAGCTTAAAATCTCTGTCTTGATAATCCTCAAAAAAATCCAGATAAAGATCGCCACTCCCCTGGCCACCTATTTCTCATCTTCCATCAATACAACATGGTCTCAAGTTTCCCTGTTATGTGAAAAGCCCACAAAAGCTATGAACACACAACTCACGATAAGCCTAAAAAAAAGGGATTCTACTACCCAAGAATCCCGCCATAAATTGGCCAACATGTCACAGCTTGTTATGTTTTTTACAAAAAGGAATCTTTATGATAACTCTCTAGACCCTTTTATAATTGAAACTAGGCTTCTACCTTCCTAAGAATTCTTCTTTCTAAATGACATTTTTCCCTTCCAGCAATATTTCTGTGCAACACGAGCACTGAAAAAAGTTCTATATAGCCAGAGACACTATTTCTTCTCAGGAATTTCCAAGAACAAGCATCCCGCCTCAGTGACAAATGAAACTTCAAAAACTCTTTCAAAGCAGGGGCATTTATACCGAGGTTATCCTTGATGTTTATATTACATAGCAGGAATACTGGCAAGAAAATACCTTTCAAGCTCACTCTTCAGATATGTCATTGTGTTAACAGGTTCCCGACATTATTAATCGAGGAATTAGTTTGAAGAGAGATTTAAAAGAGCATCAAAAGTGATGTCTTTAGGATGCACAAGAAAAGGAAGATACCCATTTCAAACTAATCGCCACGTACTTGGTATGCAGAGCAAACACCGCTGGGAACAGAACAACTGAACTATGAAAAAATCTTGAAGAAGCAACTCCACATTCCCCCACCCCAGTCACCTGCTTGAAGCGTCAAGGAGAACCTGTTATTGAACAGTGGTAGCAATGTCAATGTGCCCTAGTAAAGTGTTTCTCAGTAACTATAAGCTAGACTCCACCTCCGGTATGGCTGTTAAAAGGGACCCCTGACCAATAAGTCCAGTCGTGGCCGACTCTGGGGTTGCGATGCTCATCTCGCTTTATTGACCAAGGGAGCCGGCGTACAGCTTCTGGGTCATGTGGCCAGCATGACTAAGCCGCTTCTGGCGAACCAGAGCAGCGCACAGAAACACAGTTTACCTTCCCGCTGGAGCGGTACCTATTTATCTACTTGCACTTTGACGTGCTTTCAAACTGCTAGGTTGGCAGGAGCAGGGACCGAGCAACGAGCGCTCACCCCGTTGTGGGGATTCAAACCGCCAACCTTCTGATCATCCAGTCCTAGGCTCTGTGGTTTAACCCACAACGCCACCCACGTCCCTATGGCTGTTAAAGCAAATGTATATTGCTGGTCACAGAATCAGAGTCGGAAGGGACTCGGAAGATCATCTAGATCAACCCTCTGCAATGCAGGAATATGCAGCTGTCGCATACAGGGATTAAACCTGCAACCTTGGTGTTTTCAGCACCACACTCTAGCCCAGTGTTTCTCAACCGTGGGTCTCCAGCTGTATTTGGACTACAATTCCCATCATCCCTAACCACTGCCCTTGCTAGCAAGGGATGATGGGAGTTGTAGTCCAAAATCAGCTGGCGACCCAAGGTTGGGAAAGACTGCAGCCACCCTAACACTTGCAGCAACCAACAATGGCAAAGTATCATTTTTGTGGCCAGTGCAAAATAATCCCCTCAAGTGCCTTTACCTTAGGTCATTCTAGGTGGTTAACCCTTCGCACATGTCTAACCTGAATTGCAAATTTTAGAAGAAAGCTAAAAAGATAGATTCCATGCCTATTTATGAGCTGAGTCAAGGGATTGAATGGAATTTCAGCAGGGTCATTTTTCCAGATGAAGACAACCCCATGGAACTTTAATGCTTAGGAGAAAGACTCGCTAAATTCACTGTGACTTTGACATGGACGCTTTCTTAATATGATCAGACAGGGAGAGCTCAGATTTCCTAAGTGTGACATAGATTCCAGTAGCCTTTAGCCAGTCTCTTAAATCTGCGACTCTCCAACTAGTGCTTAACTCCAACTCCCATCAGCTTCAGCCCACAAGGTTAACAACTCAGGGATCATGGGAGTTACTGAGTCCAACACCATTTGGATAGCCACTGGTTCTCCATCCCTGTTCTATTGGCTTGGAGACCAGACTAGGAACTTCTGTAATATTATGGGAATTGACTGCACTTATTTTAAATAAACCAGCAAGAGGGAAGGAAGAGACCAGGGATAAGAGAGGAGAGAAAGGAACCTGAAGAGAGCAGCCACATGAAAATTATTCTGTATGTGCTAGTCCACATTTTCAGTCACATGGCTCTGATCATGCGAATTCATACAAGTTACACATACCAGACTACTAAGGACACCCAATTTAGAAGGGTATTTGTGTAAGTTCACCCTAATTCAGGACAGAACAATTGTCCTGGTGATGACCCAGATGCAGGTAAGAAGAGTTCAATGAAAGCAGTACTGCTACTCCAAATTTTGAACTCAGTTCCAAATTCAGACTCAGAAGGTAAAATGAATTCCTAAAACTAAGAACACAGCAGACCGCAGGTACAGGCATTTCCATCTTAAATTACAACATGTCAAGCGTGAAGAAATGTATTACACTGTCTGATTCTATCAGCATCTTTATTGATTCTGCTAAGAGCTCCAAGAATCAACATCCTATTGATGAAAATGGAACAGCAAGAGGTGCAGTCATTCCTCCCAGTCTGGTCGTAGCAATTCATAGCTTTCTGAACAAGAGATGCCACTTTATATGTGGGTCAAGTAATTTTGTTGTAAGACAGCCTGAATAGCAACTGCCTCCAACAAGTGATGCTCTCTGTGCTGACAGCATAAAGTACCACTGACACCATGTTTGTATGACAAGCACCAAGCACAGAAGCAAGCAACAGGGTACTAGACAAGTAGTCTCCAGAAACCTGCAATTACTTCAAGGCATCCAAGTTCAATACCCAGCATCTATGGCAGAGTTCCCCGTCATGGAACTCTTGTGCCCAAAAAGCCCCTGATCCCCCTTCCCTTAAAAATGACTTCCATCTTGGTTATGAGGTGGCAATGGTGGTTACTTTTTGGTTTCCTGAAAAATACCTAGAACTTAAGGAGGAAGTTGGGAAAGTGGTGCTCTTTCCCACTTCCTCTTTCAGCTCTAATCCTAAATTTTCCTTCAACCAAACTTCGACTTAAAGGGGCCTGCAACTCAGAATACTGCATTTCTGATATTCAAACAACATATATATTTGCAAAACAGTTTCCCCCATGCTGTTATGATATTAGCCATCCATTTTCCATCCCAAAAGCATCCATTTTCCATCCCTTCTGGTGACAAGCATGAGCTACCTGGGGAGGGAAACATGTTGCCCAACAGATGTTGTGGGACAACAATTCTCACCACCCCAAAGCACTGGCCATGCTGGTTGGGATTGACAGGAGTCCAACAACATCTGGAGGGCCACAAGGTCCTAAGAACATAAGGTTGTAAGAACATAAGAACATATGTTCAGGTCCCCACCTCTGAGCAACCTGTAGGTCATTTTTTGAAAATCATTAAGTGATAACCAAGGCAAAGCATTGTTGCTAGTTAATACATCAAAGGACTCACAGCAACACGTACACAAAAAGTGCAGAAAAAAGAACACAAAGCACATAATCGAGGAGATTATCTCCCACCAGAAGATACTATGCATCTGGAAAGGCATATAAAGTGAGGAACAGGGGCGATCTTCCTGGAGACTGCAGCTAGAGATGGCCCTCAACTAAAAAAATTAGTTGGCAGCCAGGCTGAAAGATATATGCATCATTTGGAGAGAGTACCACTTTAAAAATAAATTAAGGACAACAAAAAGGGGTGCTTCATTAACAAGTTCCCACCTTGCCTCCCACATTTCAAAAAAATGAGTCAAAAGCATCTGTCCAAGAAGTGCTCTACGATAGTTGTCTACTAATCAAGCTCTGGTGCTCTAACATGCATAGCATATACTGAGTTCATATGTAGTGGCACCAGGGACACCTCTTGGATTGGGGAGAGGTTTCTGGAAAACATCTGCCCTCCACCCCCATCTCTGAGTTCTAAAGACATACTTTTTTTGAATGGTCTTTGAGGATGAAAATGCAAGGTCGACAGTTTGGTTAGAATGGTTGGACCATGCACCCAATGCTAGTTTTAGCCTATTTTAGTCTGTGGTTATTTGGTCTTATTGTAATTAGATACAAAAGTTTTTTGTATTTTAATCATTTTTTATAGATGTATCTTAGTAATTGCAGACAATTTTGTCGCACGACGGTTCTAAAAAGCAGCATATAAGCCTTTTAAATAAAAGAAGCAAGGCATTAATTATAAAATGTGTTCAGTCTTTAAAATGCTGCAAGACTTTGTCCCTCCTCACACCTTGCAAGCATTGTAATAAATTAACAATCACTCAGCAATCTATCCAAGGGTTGGCAACTTCCAAAGGCTCCTCCTTCTCTGCCATTGGACATAAAAAAAAGTGGTGTGGAGGGGTGTAAAATATGCTACGCGAAAGCCATGCCATATGTTGGAAGGAACAGAAGCGATTCCATTGTTACTGTACAGTATTGTTTTATTTTAGGTAAGCTGTTTGGGGGATCCTTCTGGATCGAGAGGCAGTAGGGAAATCAGATAAATAATCACATTTGACACTTGAACCATAAGGATGCAGTATTTTCATTCTCGTTACTTCCTTTGCTCTTCTCCCCCCCCCCCGCCCCGCCCCCGTTTATACTCCAGGGTGCTGCAGCCCAGAAGTCCACAGTCCACTTAATGCATCTGATGATGCAAGCTGCAGACTACAAAAGCTCATGTCACAGTAAATCATTTTAAGATTGGCTTAGTGAAGAGGCTGAAGGAACATGATGCAATTCTACTGCTGAAGTTAAGCTAACTGACCCTGGATGGGAAATCAACAGAAAATTGCATAAAGTTATTTGAAGAATACATGGGTGCACAACTATTATCACTAAAGTTTCTAGAACACTTTTTTATTTAATTTTTATTTTTGCACAGACTGACACTATAATCTTTTGTAATTCTTTCTTCAGGTTTCAAACCATATGTCAGGAGAAAGGACTACAGCTCAGTGGGAGAATATATACTTTCCATGCTTAAGTTCCCAATTCTAATCCCCTATTGAAATATTCTCAGGTATTCTTCCTTGTATCAGGGGAAGAAAGAGACCCCAGTGGGAGTACCCAACTACCCAACACGTCCAATGGTATGGGATTATCGGAACTGTAATCCAACAATATTTGGAGGGCACCATGCTGTCTGCCTCTCATAGATGCTCCAGTGATTCAGCTTTGTAGGTTCATAAAACATTAACTGCAAAATGGACCTTGGATTTCTTATTCAAACAAGGCGTTCAGTTTCACCCAAAAGTTAAGTGCTAATTTCTGTTTCCCCATATACAAATGACAATGCTAGAAGAACATGAACTTCCATTCACTGCCTCAGTCATGGAGGGCAGAGGTCACCTGGTTCAAGATGACGCTGGAATGCTGACTCACTTTGCCTGTCAGCAACTGAAGTGTCAAAGCACGACTCCTTTCCAAGCACATTATAACACAGTCCCCCAAAGTTATGCAAGGTCTATTAGAATTAGAGCAAGATTTTCGTTTCATCTGGCCAACAAAAAATAGATTAAAATAGATCTGTTTTAATCTTCTAACCCCCCCCTAAGTCCCCATATCCTGCTTTGAGAATAACCCTTTGGTGTTTTTTAATTGTCTCACTGTTGTTTTATTTACTATCTAGAATAGCCGCCATCACCAGAAAGGATGTAAATGATAAATGAGGCCAAACCTATGCTCGGGGGCAGGGGGGCAGGCAGCTGAGAGTCTATAGGATTCAGCAGAAGGGCCACCAGAGGGACCCTGGCACAAAGCACAGCTCTCTGCCACAGTCCCACCATCCATGATCTGCAGGCGGTGAAGGCCCAAATCCAGACCCAGCTTCCTCTTCCCCAAGTATGATGCCAAACATGCCCTGAAACTATGCCAACCACTGCAGTTGAATTAACAATGAAAGGGTAGGGAAGAGAAGACTCCACCTCCCACCCTGGCCACCAGTAGCTCTCAGGGATTTGGATGTGGCAGTTGTTCCAAGGACTCACTCACTCATTCCCAGATGGAACCTTGTGCTCATCAGTAGCTGAAATAACTACCTATTCTTGTTTATACTGTCTTCCCTTCCCTTCCTTCTCCTTCACTGCCTCCCATGTCAGATTCTGCTCTGCAAGCCCTCTCATGTAGGAACCTGTAATGAGTATGAGTTACTCGTGCGTAAACTGGTGCCTCTCTAGGCTAATTTGCCTTGTTAAACCTTTCTGACTGCACAGCCCTTTCTCATCGTGGCTGCCTCAGTCGCTGGCAGAATCCGTCAGTGGGCGTTTCTTGAACCTCTTCCAACATAAAAGTTGTTTGACACCCAGTCTCCTCCTCCTCTCACTGCGCGGGAGTCTTCTGCGCAGGGAGGGCGTGGGTAGCGGAGGACCTGTGCCCTCCTCACTGAGGTCCAGTGAAGAGTCCTGGAGCCCTCTCTCCGATTGCGCCATCTGCCCCCCTGTATCCCTGGTGTTGCGCTGATTTGCTTCCCCCTCTACTGAGCTGTTTCTCCCCCTGCTGCTGGGTCCTTCGCCAGCATCATCTAGGAGCCTCCCCTTCGCCTCTCGCTCCGATGTCAGTTCCCTGACAGAACCTGTCCATTAGGGCTTGCAAAGCATCGTGCACATTGAGGAAGATATGCAATAAAGAAAACATTAATATGGACACTTCTTTTGGAAGCTAGTTCTCAATATTTCCCTTTTTAATCCCCCATTACACAATAATAAATCAAAAATAGCTTGCAAATACAAACAAACCCAAGTGTGCCCTTGAATCTCAACCCCGCCAATTAAATTTGCCAGGCCAATTAATCAACTAGAGCTTTATTATTTATTCATCCATTCATTCTGAAATTGACATCCTGCCAACCAGCTAGGAATGGCTCTCATGGTGGCCATCAATACATTAAAAGCATTTATAGCTAAACAATATTTTTAAAACTGTACTTTTAAGCAAACAGCAAGCTCGTCTAGAGCTTCCTTGAAAGGCAACCATTTAGTTGATTAATCTACCAATTAAGTCAATTAAAGCTTGCAGACCAGTTGTAAGCAACTGATGTTTTGGTGGGAGGACCAAGAACATGAATACATGAAGTTGTCTCATACAGGGTCAAACCACTGGTCAAGGCAGCCCAGTCAGTGGCGTAGCGTGGGGGGTGCAGGGGGGGCCGGCCGCACCGGGCGCAACATCTGGGGGTTAGGGTTAGGGGGCGCAAATCCACGGGTTAGGGGGCGCAAATTACTTGCCTTGCCCCGGGTGCTGACAACCCACACTACGCCACTGAGCCCAGTTCTTCCTATTCTGACTAATGAGAGATTCCCCCAAATTCTCGGGGCTCAAGAGAAGTTTTTTCTTGTTCTCACTTAATTAACCAACCACACACTTTATTAACTAACTGTGCAATCCTGTACAAGTCTACTAAGGTGTCAGTCCTATTGAGTACAATGGAACTTACTGCCAGGTTAAGTGGGCAAATGATGGAAAGAAATCTTGAGCAGCAGTCAGACACACAAACCATTCGCTGAACTTCAGAAGCAGCTGGTGATAGAATCGTGGCTTTGACTTGACTTCAGAAGGCCGACTATTATAAAGTTTTGGAATGTAATGAACTTAATGACATCTGTACACATTCTGCAAAACTGTAATATCCAACTTGATAAGCCAACCTGGCAAAGACAATCAGCAAGGAGGAGGCGAAATCTAACAGCATCTTTACTACTCATCAGTTTGAAAGCAAGTTAGCATATAAAAGGTAACTTTAGACCAATGGTTCTCCAACTTAGATACCTGCTGTGCTTCTTTGCATTTAGCCTTCAGGATACTGCAAATCTTCCTTTTGCAGTTCAGGAAACAGCAACAAGACTATTCACACTTACAAGCAGTGAGAACTTCCTAATCAACACCACCATGTAAATGCCCCTATTTTCAGAAAGAGGAATTGGAAATTACTCTAGTTAAAACTCCCAAAGGTCATACTATGCAAATCAACCCTGGTGCACCTTCAATGCTAGAGGAACCAGCAGGGTTCTATTTCTGAAACAAGCATGTATGTAAACGGAAGCCCTATTTGAGATTGAGACCAACACACACATTCAGACTCCTGGTGGGAAACCAAAACCTTATTACAATAGCTTCGATTCCGGCACAGATGTATACATTACATTAGATCATTTCATCACATAAATGGGAATCAAGTTACTAAAAGTTACAACGTGCAACGTATACAAAATGGCAATGTCAAATCAATTGTAAAGTTCAAAAATTGTATAGAAACAATTTGATAATTACTGCTTTTTTAAAAAACAACAACAACAACAACTCAATGAGACTTCAAGTACATAACCCAGATTCAGCTCCAGCAGTGCTTTAAAAGCAAAGTTACATGCAACTTTCGGTAATTGCACCAAAACACAAAGAACTTCTGACTTTTTCTGATGAAGACTATGGGGAAGCAATTTCTGTGCTGCTACATTAACACAATCACCCCTTATCCCATATCTAATCCAACTGAATGCAATGAAGACAGGTGAAATTTATATTCAGGTAAGGATTCCTGTTTATGCACGGATCCTCTCAACAGAATCAGGGGCTACATGTTAAAGATTATGGCCCTAATCATTTGATTGCTTACCAGGTATTAGTACTCTGAAACCATCCCGTTTCAAGTCAAAAATGTCATCCACACAGCAAGTGTACAATTAAGACTTTAAACGAAAACTCGCCACCAGCTCACTCAATAAGTGGCAAATTAGTTTTTTTAAAGAACATGCAAAGAATTTAAATGAAGCTGATCTCAACTTCAAACAAAAGCTGAAAAATTCTTTATATCCATTGCTTTTGAAAATTTAAGAACAGTCCACCATCATGAGTCAGGCTAGTCAAGACAAATATCATAAAAAGCATTTCAGAATTTCCTTGTGTCAAGTTAATAACCCTGAATTAAGGCAAGTACAGCGAAGAAGCTATTTTCATTCCAAAAATTTTATTAAAATTATTAAATTCGGCTTCAGAATTGGCCACAATGTTCATGCAAAAGGTAAGCAGGTAAATAGCTCAAGAGTGGGGAGACCTGTTTACTTCTAGAGGCTGCTGGACTACAACTCCCATCATTCCTGACCACTGGCCATGCTGGCTGGGGCTGATGGGAGTTGGAGTCCAACAATACCTGGAGGACCACAGATTCTCTATACCTAAATTACCACTTTAGCAACAATAGTCAGCTACTTTTATTTCACATACAAATGGATCCCGATTAAGTCTGAATACAGCTCTCCCTTTTTCTTTATTGGCTAGTCGTCATACTGCAGAATCTGGTGAGTTTTCTGAACGAGATGCAAAATTTAATTTTAACCTACTTTATTTTCAGAGATGCAAGTGCCATGTATCAAGCACAGGTCGCTTTTAAAAGGTGTCTTTGTAGTTTCTTACAACCCCCTTTCTATATTTTGAAATACTTTCTCTTACTTCCACAGCTAGCTATACGGAGAAAAGCCTCTGGCATCTCTCCAGCTTTAAACCAGTTACAATTTATTTTTGACAAATCCTATTGAAATCACTCAATCATATGAGCAGTATTTTTAGCAGAATGCAACAAACACTTTCAGGATTAGGGATGATGGAGAGACTCACTTTTATAATCATTCTCAAGCAAACTATTCCAGCTAAAAGGACAACATACCCAGATATCTGATGGGGGGGGGGGAGACTGGTCTGCTGTCTGTAAGCATTTGGATAGATAAAAATATAGGGGGGCTTTGTCAAATTGGCAGCTAATGCAAAATAATGATTTTGACTAGGAACTATTGATTTCACTGGATTGTAGGATGACAGCCTATGGGGGGGGGAGTGGATTTTTCACTAGACGCCGGAATTTTCTAGATTAAGCTTGTGTACACAGCCGTGTCTCTTAACTTTTGTAGGTTGCCTGATACAATGACTAGCACAGAATGAGTAATATTAGCAGTGATGAACCTCCGCATGGGCCCAAACAATATCACAAGCTTACCTGCAATTTGTAATGCATAATTCACACTGTTATGTAAAGAACTAGCGTGGTGTAATGGTTAAAGAAGTGGGACCAGGGCCTGGGAGACCAGGGTTCAAACACCTTGAGTTCCTTGGATAAAAGGTGGGATTAAAATGTAACAAAACGTATAAATAAATACCTCTTACTGCCCTTCCAAAAATAATAATAATATATTTTAAAGAAACCTAAAGCTATGGTACAAAAAAATAAAACAAAACATCTTAAGGTATGTTTTTCCATTTGTAACTATCTAGCCAGCCAAAATACAAAACTGAAATATTAATTAGCATCATTCTGTCTGCTGGCAACAAGGAGTTTTAACTTGGCTATCTAATCCCAGCGCAGAGTGGCTTAAAGCAACCCTTTCCCAACCCTCCAGAGAACAGAAGAAAGCACTGCAGTCTCCCAAAGTAGTTACAAAGGTAGCTTTCCCTGCTCTTTGGACCCAAGATAGCGGTCATTCGAAGGGGAGGCGATTGCAACATTCAAGACCTTCGCAAGCGCACATTATCTAAGGCCTGGTGGCAGCACAGGGCACGGGGGGGGGGGGGGACAGGGAATAAAGCCTGAACCGCGAGGAGGAGGACTGCACTGAAACGTGGGTCCTCCTGGCAGTGACATAACCGAACCTGGCCACTGCAGTCTGGAAGCATCACGATTCTGGGAAGCGGGTGGAGGACGAAGAAGAAGAAGAAAGGGGCAGGGAGAGCCAGGCTGGCTACTCAGATCTGGAGATCCGTGCATGGAAAAGCAATGCGGAAGGCGCTTGTGGAAAGGAGCACCACCGGGGTGTTTGGAGGAGGGCTCCTCCTGAGCTGTTGCGGGAGCGGGCGAGGGAAATAAAAACAAAAAGGGAGCTGCGAACACAATAAGTAAAGTCTCCAGCAATGTAGCCTCGGGCGGCGTGTGCGCGGGGCCTGGCCGGCGCAAAGCGCAGACCCCCGCGCTCCAACCCGGGCGCAGATGGAGACCGCGCGCACGCAGCCACCGAGTCGTCTTTTGCTCTCTCCGCCGGGGTGGGCGCAGCGCAAGCGGAGCAGCAGCCCGATCCTCAGGAGCAGTGCATAGCCATGGAGGGGAGGGGATGCGAGCGGGCTCCGTGGGGAGGCGCTAGGGAGAGAGGGAGCAAGGCAGCGGCGGACCGGGGCCGAGCAGGGACTGTGTGCCTCGCAAGGAGAAACGGGGACAGGATCAGACCCCCCCCCAAGCCCCCGTCTTTGTCTCCCTTTCCCTCCTCTGCTTACCCGCCAGCTCGTCCGGCTCCAGCCCGCTGTCGGCATCGATCCCACACAGCACGAAGTAGTGCGCAAAGCGGCAGGGCGCCGAGCCCGAGCCGGGCCCGGGGGGCGCCGCGCTGCCGCTCATCCCTCCGCCGGCGTCCGCGACCTCTCTCGGGCAGGATCCCAAGCAGCAGGGGCAGCGCCGCTAACGCATCAGCACCAGCAGCCGCGCTCCTTCCATGGCGCAAGTCCGCCCGGGTGGCGGCCTCCTTCGCCGAGCGGGAGGAAGACGAGGACGCGGCGCCAGCAGTAGTGGCAACGGCAGTGGCAGCAGCGGCGGCGGCGCCCCTCGGTCAGCTGAGGCTGCAGCCGGCGCTCGAGCCCCGCTAGGCACCGTCCCGCCGTCGCCTCTGCCGCCTCCCCCTGCCGGTCAGACGCTAAGCCGCGCCGCGGGAGGGAGAAGGAGCGCACCGGCCCGCTTCCGCCCCGCCTCCTCGGCGGGACATTTAAACCACGCTTGGCGCACGAAGCGAGGCTCGGCAACCCAAGGCCGGGATTGGTTTGGTTCTCAGCCGCCTCCCGAAACGCGTGAAATTTTGCTTGACGGACCACCTGAATTGTTTTCCTGCCTGTTGTAGCAATTGCAATGCGCTGTGCTAGATGCTGTATGGTTTTTAATTGTATTTTTAGTGCCTCTCCTGTTTGTTGCATTACCATTTGAATCCCATAGAATACAAGGTATGAGAGGGAATCAGAATACAATTCAAAATCATGAAGAATATTTACTACAGGCTTGCCATGGAACCATCTGAGTGAAGCAAATACTGTATGCACAAGGAAGAGGTAGGTAGCTAACAAAACAACAAGAATGGTCAAGAAGTCAAAGCAGAGAAAATGACTCCTGCTAAGCTGACCAGAGGCACGGCAGATCCGGAAGGCCGAGGGCATGATGGCTCCTTCCCTACATTGCTTGTGCAGCACAAAAGCTGTCCCTTACCCCACATATCTGTCCACCAAAAGTGGCAAGTGAAGCTCAGACAAATGCAGAGACATGAGAGACAGGCAGGCAGGCAAGATAAAAAGGCTGGAATGGATCTGTGGCTTTTGCCTGCAGAAAACTGCCACCCCTGGATCCATTCCAGCCTTTTTTTCTGCCTGCAACTCACTTTGCTCCACTTGATCCCCTTTAATAAATAAAATTAGAGTATGTTTGGGCACACTTGGCACGCCCCCTGAGCACACCCGGTACAGCCCAAAGTGTTGTTTAGGTGCAACATGATTTTAATGGTGATACCACAGGAAAAGGCACTGTTTCTTAATTCTAAGGCAGGGGGAGGCAACCTAAGGCCCGGGGGCTGGATGCGGCCCAGTCACCTTCTAAATCCGGCCCGCGGATGGTCTGGGAATCAGAGTGTTTTTACATGAGGAGAATGTGTGCTTTTATTTAAAGTGCATCTCTGGGTTATTTGTGGGGCACAGGAATTCGTTCATATGTTTTTTTCTTCAAAATATAGTCTGGCCCACCACATGGTCTGAGGGATGGTGGACCGGCCCACGGCTGAAAAAGGTTGCTGACCCCTGTTCTAAGGGCATTATTTGGCTGGCTGGCAAAAGATTTTTAATCATGCTACTTAAGTAACCTTAGCAATGCCAGAATATCTCTGCTTTCTATGGTCAATCTTTTGTCTTGATTTGATCAAATCACTTAATCTCAGCAATTATCAAGTTGAGTGATTTGATCAAATCAAGACGAAAGATTTGTTTTCATACTGCATATGTTAATCAACTTACCAGTGCCAGGTTGTCTGTGCTGTCTTCTTTTTTGTAAATGGTTCCCTGCCCTACTGTTAATACAATCATCTCAGCATTTATTACCCATTTAGAAGGTTACTGTAAAATATTAAAGACACACCTATTCAATATATAAATTTAAGCTTTAATTATCACTGACGGTAACTTTTGTATCCCATTGCCATTCAAATCCCACCTTACAATTTTCCCTTTATTTGCCTGGCTGCTAAGATTTCACATAATGCATCTGATGAAGTGTGGTTAAATTTGTTAGTCTCTTAAAGCACTGCAAGGCTCTTTGCTTGTTTTTACTTTGCTCTGTAAGCTCTCTTGCAATAGGGCTGCCACTGATGTCAGGGAAGAATGCACCTCCTCATACTGGATTGGTTGGTTGTCTGTTCTGTGGCTGTGTGTGGCAGTTCCCTTCCTATGTGTAGTCTAATGTATTTATAGGACTCCTTTAAGGGCTATCACAAGTTGCTGAACATCTACACCCTTGTTGTTGCCTACAGCTGTATGAATTAGATTCTCTGCTGTGTATTAATTCACAGTTTAGGACTAAATGCATGCAAGCTGAGAGCAGTCTCTGGGAACTGGCTCATGGGCACATGTGTTCTGTTAAGTTGTGGGTGAACATATCAAACAACACAGCCATTCTTCAAACAGCTCTTGTTTATTCACAGGCCAGAACAGAACTGAACTGAAGGGTTCAGCCAGCCTGCTTATATAGAGCTCCACTAGAGCACAACAGTAACCATTTTCTGTAACTATCCAATCACCGAACGTCACTTTCAATCCCTTATTTGCATATGTGGACCTGAGTGAAAACTATCTACAGTATCCCCCTGCTGGCCCAGGGTGAGAACTTCAGTACATAACATGTTCCAAAACTGAAAAGAGAATGGTGAACGTGGAAGAGGGAAACAGGTCTGGTGTGTGGTCGGGAAGACCTTAGGTATGTCAAATATGGGAGTGGAGCTCTGAACACAACCTCAAGCTACATTTAATGGCAAGACACATTTGAATGTCTAAAAGGAGCACACCTAGAAAACACCTCTGTCTGAGACATAAGAAGAGCTTTACTAGATCAGACCAAGGGTTCATATAATCCAACATATTGTTCTTATGGTGGCGAACCAGATGCCTATGGAAAGCCCATAAGCAGAAGCTGGATTCAACAACAAGTAGGAGGGGGGAGAAGAGGGGGAGAGAGGGGAAAAAGAGGGGGGAAAGAGAGAGAGAGAGAAAAGGAGAAGGAGAGAGAAACAAGTAGGAGCAGTGGAGTTAAAAGATGCTGGGGAGCAGCTGCTAGACCAGGCAGACAGGTCCTGAAATAGATTGACTTTCCATTTGATTCTGTCTGAATTTACTTCCAGGTGTAAAAAAAAGTAAACCCACTTAAGGGGAAGTGAGCACTACAGTATTGAATATATTGGGACTTACATTTGAATAAACATGCATAGGATTAGGCTAAAATCCAATGCACACTTATCTAAGGGTGATAATGTTGAATTTAATTCTAAGTAAACCTCAGGTGTGCACTGAATGGCTCAATCAATTCTAAGTAAACCACTGGCTCAATCATTTGCACACTTAGGTTGGCCTGTTGTCTTACTTAAGTGGGTTGTATTTTGAGTAAATATGCAAAGCTGTTTGCATCCTGGCCCCTCTGAACAAGCCAAGTTAAGCAGGGCCTCTTGTCTGCATCTAGTCACCATCTTTACAGATATTTCAGATTGCAACATAACTAGAGTTGGGTGTTCTTCATAGCACGAGAGGAAGTATTTCATTTTTAAATATGAGTTTTTCTCAGCAAGAAAGTTGCCCCTGAAAAAAAAGTTTATTTCCAAGGGTTTTGGGCAGTGGCAGAGGAAAGGGCATGCGGGTGGTGCGGGCTGTCCCAGGTGTCATCACTGGGTGTGTGTGACAAAACGAGTTTCATTTTAAATTGGACTCATGAAACTTTAGGAGTGACGTGGTAGCTTAGGCTCCTGCAGGTTCCGCGCTGCCTAAAATGGCAGCGTAGGACCTGCATCTGCCTACTGCCTCTCCCTCAGCCGCCCTACAGCTGAGGCGGAGGCAGTGGAGAGACTCTGAGAGGCTCGCCCCCATGGGTGGCTTGCCCTGCCCCCCGGCTGCAGGACACGCCCCCGCACCAGGCACCCGAGCGGCTAGCTACACCACTGGTTTGGGGTATTTTCAGATTCATGAAGATCAGCATCAGAGGCTCTTGCGCCTTTGTCAGGTATCAGGCACTCAGCTTTTCCTGTAACGGCACTGCCATCTCTCCCTGCTTAAAAAAACCCTATCAATTTTGCACTGTTTTATGCTGTCTCCTTTGGTTTTAATGTTGCTGATGAATATGGAGCTGCTTTATACCAGGACATCCTATTGTCTATTTAGCTCAGCATTGTTTGCTCTAGCTGGAAGTTGCTGCCAAAGTTTCTACAGAAATGTTTCCCACCATCTTTCCTATGCAAAGGATGTATTCTTTCATGGTGCTATGACCATGCTGAAGGAAGAGAGCAGGGGCTTGGCTGGAGACTAATGTATTTTAAAGTCAGTGTCATTCTTGCCATAATTGCAATATACTGTATATATTTTTCTTTTGAAAATAATAATAGTAATAATGGAGTATAGATAATTTTGCAAACAGGAAAGGGAATGTGCTCAGTTAATTAACACACGTACAAAAATGCATGTTTACTTTGGAGCAAGTTACACTATGTCCAAAGCGGTTTGCTTCCCGTCACATCTATTTAGGATTTCAGCCTAGTTTTGGGATTGCACCTCTGGAACAAGAAAATAATAGCATGGCTACTTACTGCTCAACTCTATTTTGGCAGCATCATCTTTTGTATTATAAATTAACCTCCACTCCTGGATTAACCTTTTGCCTGCAGTAATTATCAGCTCCATTCAAACACTCATCTTTGATTCATGGCCAGTTCTTGGACAGATGGAATAAGAAGGTTCAGCTATAGAGACATTTTTTAACCCAATTAATTGCCTTTTTTTATTGCAGTGACTTATTTCCCCCTTTGAATTTTCAGTTCTAGCTTCCTGCATTAATAATAGCATTTTTCCTTAATCTCCTCTGAAGCCTTTACCTTTCAGAAGCTGCCAGCCTAAATTGGGTCAACAGCTGACACATATATTAAAAGTCTTTTTGGTTTTGCCATAAAGGATCAGACCATTTGTCAATCAAGCCCTATCTCATGCACCCTGGAAATAGTTTTTTAAAAACCCATTTTTAATTGTAGTGCCATACAACTGGGAGTAAATCTTTCTGTGTTCACCAAGGCTTAAAAAAAGGTAAAGGGACCCCTGACCATTAGCTTACTCACTGATAAATTCTGAAAGCAATTCTAAACTTACTTATTTGTTAGTTTTCCAGTGATGAGGACCCTGTCCTTTGGTGTCAGCCAAGAACAAATATATCTGACAAGTCAAGACTGCCCCACCCCTTAATCTTTAAGATTAAAGTTGTACCCAAGCAATTCACTTTATATTTGACCCTATAAACCAAGGAGAGCACCCAAGGTGGCTGACACCCAACTCTTAAGAAGCAAAACTTTTGCCTGCAGCCACAATGCTTAATTTGCTGAAATGTAGAAGGCATACTAATGATAGGACTAATGCAAGCTTCTCTAGAAGCCTATGTTGAAAAACTGCTAAATGTAGCCAATTTGAATTCGTTTTAGCCACAACACAAAATCAGTACAAAATACATTATGAAAGCAGTTGTGTTTGGTCACATCCATATCATACATTTAACACACATGGTTTCCCCCAAAGAATTCTGGGAACTGCAGTTTCCCCTTACACAGATGTCCAGCACACTTAGCAAACTACAGTTCCCAAGATTCTTGTGAAGGCGTGACCCATGCACTTTTAATGTGTGGTGTAGACATGACCTTAGTTGTAGACTTTAAACAAAGCGCAGCTAGATGCATAAACCAGCCACCTTTGACACTGTGATGCTGGAAAAAATGGAAATTTAAATAGCCGTTACCAAAGTTCAAACTGAAATATAGACACCAGTTTGTAATCGGAACAGGGAGCGGTTTAGAGCTGCTGCAGCAGCAGCACCTGCTATTATCCTAGGGAACAAGAATAAGTCCGAGGCCATTCAAATGCCGCTGGACTCCCATCAGACTCAGCAAGCAGGACGTAAGACCAGGAAAGAGTTGTACAGTGGTACCTCGGGTTACATACGCTTCAGGTTACAGACTCCGCTAACCCAAAAATAGTACCTCGGGTTAAGAACTTTGCTTCAGGATGAGAACAGAAATCGTGCTCCGGCGGCGCGGCAGCAGTGGGAGGCCCCATTAGCTAAAGTGGTGCTTCAGGTTAAGAACAGTTTCAGGTTAAGAACGGCTCTCCGGAATGAATTAAGTTCTTAACCCGAGGTACCACTGTAGTTGTAGTTCAGCAACATATGGCTGGACACACCCTTGCCCTATAACAATTCCTTATGATAAGGTTGACATATTTCAAAAAGTGAAAATCCGGACCCAAAAGTTGTTGAGCTTTTTTAGGCTTTTCCGAGACAGATACAGATAGAAGCTTAGCAGCAGGCTCATAGGCAAGGCAGGCCTCATAAGCTCTTATTTTACGTTGAACAACATCACTATCGCGTTGTGCAAGTCTGCATAGAATGTGCAGCCTGTTTTCCAGAAGCACAGAAAAGCTCCACCCCTCGCAACTCAGGTCATTAACAACATAAGAATAGTCTGCTGGATCAGGCCACTGGCCCATCTAGTCCAGCATCGTGTTCTCACAATGGCCGACAGATGCCTATGGGAGGGAAACCAGGGAGCAGAACACAAGCACAACAGCACTCTCCCCTCCCATTCCAGCAACTGGTATTCAGAACATTGCTGCCTCCGACTGTGAATCTAATCATCTTTTAAAGCCATCGAAGTCAGGGGCCCCCACTGACTCCTGGGAGAGTTCCACTGTTTGACTGACTATGCACTGCTTGAAGAAGTGCTTTATGTGTCCTACAACTCTTCCCACCTCTGTAAAGGGCTGGAAGGCTATGGAAAAGTACAATGGAAATGCAAAGCCTCCTGACTCAAGTAAATCCTGCAATTGTCATGTAAATGCAGACAAGCCAAATTGTTGGCATCCATCTGTTGACAAGCCCCATCTGCCCCTCACTTCCCTCTACAGCACATGCAGAAAACCGCCTTCTTGACCATTGGACCCACTATTGGTCCACTCCATTGCTGGAGCCTGTCTTTGCATGCAGGGGAAAGCCACTTCCGGCCTGCCCAGGAGGTGGGGTTGCGGGCTTCACGCCCACCCCCCACGTGAGCGGGGGCTGGTTTCAGCCCCCACGAGAGCAGGGGAATCCCGGCCGTGTCTGCCCTATTTAGGGCCGGCGCAGAGGTGGCTCACCCTCTTTTCGCCAGCTAGCCCCCACGTTTTTTCCCGCCCTCCCTCCCTTTAGGTAGGCTTTAGGTAGGTCTCTGACTTTGCTATGGACTTCGGTCTGTCGCCGCATGGGGCATGGTAGGAATTTTTCCCAATTGGCAATTTACAGCCATTTGGTTTTCGCCTACCTCGTAGCAACTCGTCACAACTCTTCGGCATTGGCGGTAGGCATTGGTAAGAAGGGGTTAAGAGGATGTGGGGGGGGAGGAACGCCATCACCTCCCCCCAGTGAGCGAAGGGTGGTCCGTTAAAGGACTCCGGGGGGCGTGGCCCTGTCCAAAGCCTATGGAGGTGCAGGCCAAAGGCACGCCCCCGAGCGGTGACCCGGGGGAGCTCCTAGTCGACGTGCCTCGGCGGGAGACTCCCCCGATATAGTGTTAACCCTTCCCCGTGTCTCCAGCAAATGGGCTGGAGCCGGATAGTCGTTAGGACCAATGCCTAAGCATATGCCTCTCATTCCTGAATTCAATAAAGTTGTGGCCTAATTCGCCCATTTAACCTTAAACCATGGTGTCTCGTGTCTTTATTTATCCTGGTGGGGGGCGGGAACTCGCCACGCAAGTCCCTACTAAGGTTACCTTCACCAGTTGAAGCCATTCTTGGGGTGTGGCTGCTGTTGCATGCGGACAGCTTCTAGGAGCCACAGGTGAGAGCAGGGCGGGGACCAAAGGTGAACAAACTGCCCCCACCTGAGGTACTGCCACTCCCATAACACCCTAAATAATCAAGCTAGGTGTTAATCATCACTCTCAGGAGCAGCTTTTTAGGGTGGGAGGCATGGAGGGAGAAATCAACAAAAATCTGGAGCTCTGCCTTGCACAACTTTCTGCTAATGCAAAGCCACTGTAACTCATTGTCTGTAGTGCAGAGACAGAGAAAGGAAGGTGAATGAAACCCATTGTTATTATAATTAATTAAATAAATTTATATACCACCCTTCATCAAAAGGCCCCAGGGCAGTTCACAAAATAAAATACAAGATAAAACACAAGTAAATAATTAAACCAAAACAACAAAACAATAACACACAACCCTTCCCACAGATACATTTAAAATATGATATGAATCAGCCAAAGGCCTTGTTGAAGAGGAATGTTTTTGCCTGGCACCTAAAAATATATAATGAAGGAGCCAGGCGAACCTCCCTGGGGAGAGCATTCCACAAATGGAGAGCCACTGCAGAAAAGGCCCGCTGGGCCTCACGTGAAGAAGGACCTCAGTATGAAATGGTCCAGCTTTTAAGAATGTACGTAAGTCTGTGACCAGCCGTGCAGTTAGGTAACTTTTAGACTTAGGACTTAATGGTCGCTCCCTCCTTTTGATGGTAATATGTATTTGTTCACTTACCTTACATCATAGTAAGTCAGCTCTACTTAGTTTGCAGGTTCTCCTGCTCGTTCTGCTGTGCAGGACTCTGGCGCAAACACTCCTGTACCACCACCACCACTGACCACCCGAGTACGGCGAATTCTGGGAGTCACATTTGCCTCCTGGGCCTGAATTCCCCTACCCTGTTATCTGAGAACAGGCCTCCTCCAAGGCAGCTGATGTAACAGAAAGGAAATGCCGAATAAATATACAGTGGTACCTCGCAAGACGAATGCCTCGCAAGACAAAAAACTCGCTAGACGAAAGGGTTTTTTGTTTTTTGAGCTGCTTCGCAAGACGATTTTCCCTATGGGCTTGCTTCGCAAGACGGAAACGTCTTACAAGTTTGTTTCCTTTTTCTTAACGCCGTTAATACAGTTGCGACTTGACTTCGAGGAGCAACTCATAGAACGTGGTGTGGTAGCCTTTTTGAGGTTTTTAAAGACTTTGGTATTTTTGAAGCTTTTCCAAAACTTTCCCGACACCGTGCTTCACAAGACGAAAAAAATCGCAAGACGACAAAACTCGCTGAACGAATTAATTTCGTCTTGCGAGGCACCACTGTAATAAAGGATTTTTAATGGTTAAATGAAGGCTTTGCAAGGGTAGGGGGCGCTATGATGTCAAATCTTTGTTCTGTAAATACTAATTGCAGCACATATCTATTGTACTAAAATCTGTGATCACTAGATGGCCTCATAACCTAATAAATTTAGGAAACTCTAGGCATAATGTCCCTACTATGTGAGTGGCATTAAATCTGAAAGGTTTACTCTGACAGGACTCGGCTGTTCCCTCATGCACCACACAAGGATGGCGGAGATCTATTTATTTATTTTAAGGTTGCCCCTGAACATATGTCACAGTACAAGGTTCCAGAACATAGGCCTCTTGTTGCCTTGGTAACGGAGATGTCATTACAACCAAGTAGGCCGGCATTTCCTTCCTTACCAGTTGGGTGCATTGCCACCTCACGGAATACAAGTTAAGGTAGCTTTAAGGTAAGAAGAGTTGATACACTTCACAATGTTTGCCACTGCTTCCACTAGGGTTGCCAACTTCTTTTAATCTGCCCCACTCCCGAGCATTTAATAGGAGCCTGGCACACAGAAATGTAGCCAGTAAGCCTTTTTCTGGCACGGAGGAAAAGTGAGAGGAAAAGCTAAGTCTGCACACTTTTGTACTTGCTTACAACGGAGACAACGAGAGTACAATACTCTGATAAGGGAGGGGGAAAGGACATAATATGAAAATAGCTGGAAATCTCTCAGCCTTGCTCTCATCAAGGGGAACGGAGCTAAGTTTTGGAGTCTAGTTCAAGGAGGCCTATCAGGCAAACCTACTGGGCTTGTACTCCTTATAACACCTGAAACATGGGTGACCCACTTTAGTGACATCTATGGCAGTGAAATGAACTTATTAACCTATACACCAGACAGCTCTGATCCTCCCTGGCTGGCCACCTGTCTCCACTACAGTGGTACCTCAGGTTAAGTACTTAATTCGTTCCGGAGGTCCGTACTTAACCTGAAACTATTCTTAACCTGAAGCACCACTTTAGCTAATGGGGCCTCCTGCTGCCGTCGTGCCGCCGGAGCATGATTTTTGTTCTCATCTTGAAGCAAACTGCTTAACCTGAAGCACTATTTCTGGGTTAACAGAGTCTGTAACCTGAAGCGTATGTAACCTGAAGCGTATGTAACCCGAGGTACCACTGTACAGAGATTGGAGAACTTACTATGTCGCTGCATCCTGGGAAAGCACTGGGTGGAAGATATGATCCCTCCAGAGATATTCTCCTCAGATGTAAATTGGGGGGCCCCAATTTTGGCCAAACTATTTACTCACATAAACATGACTGGTGACATCCCCGCAGGGTGGCACACCAGCATAATTGTACCAATCCCCCCCAAAATGAGACCTATTGGATCCCTGTAACTATAGACCCATAAGTCTCCTAGATGTGGCTTCCAAATTTTACTCACAATATCTATTAAATAAAATTCTGGACTGGGACAGCAAACAAGCCATCATCCATGAAGAACAAGCAGGATTTAAGAAGGGCCGGTGCACTACAGACCAAGTTTTTGTTTTGTTTTGTTTTTATAAAATATTTATTAAAGTTTAAACATTACAAAAAAGAAAAGAAAAACAAGAGAGAAATATACAAAACATCAACAATACCAAGAAAAAACAAAACAAAACAAAAACATTAAAAAAACCCCAAAAGAGAACAGACAAACATACAAAAGAGCCCCATATTTTCATATCCTTATCTTTCATTAGCTTATTTCCTCGACTTCCTCACACCTCCTTTTTTGTATTCTAGTTCAATTAAATGTTCTAGCAAGTCCTTTCCCTCTTTCACAAATTTAGTTCCATAATTTAATTTAACAAAATTTTAAACTTAAATTTACATCTTTACCCAATGTCAGCTATTCATACTTAATTCCTTATAATATTTCTACTAAAGTCATATAACTTCTTTCCAGCATCTTTCTAACATTCATTCATTTTAGAATATTTCTGTAAATAAGCTTTAAATTTCTTCCAATCTTCTTCCACCAACTCTTCTCCCTGGTCTCGGATTCTGCCAGTCATTTCTGCCAATTCCATATAATCCATCAGCTTCATCTGCCATTCTTCCCTGGTAGGTAGGTCTTGTGTCTTCCAGTGCTTTGCGATGAGTATTCTTGCTGCTGTTGTAGCATACATGAAAAAACCTCTATCCTTCTTTGGCACCAATTGGCTCACCATGCCCAGGAGAAAGGCCTCTGGTTTCTTTAAGAAGGTATATTTAAATACCTTTTTCATTTCATTATAGATCATCTCCCAGAATGCCTTAATCTTTGGGCATGTCCACCAAAGGTGAAAGAAAGTACCTTCAGTTTCATTGCATTTCCAACATTTATTATCGGGCAAATGATAGATTTTTGCAAGCTTGACTGATGTTATGTACCACCTGTATATCATTTTCGTAATATTCTCTCTTAAGGCATTACATGCCGTAAACTTCATACCTGTGGTCCATAACTGTTCCCAGTCAGCCATCATAATGTTATGTCCAACATCCTGTGCCCATTTAATCATAGCAGATTTCACCATTTCATCCTGAGTATTCCATTTCAGTAGCAAGTTATACATTCTTGACAAATTCTTAACTTTAGGATCTAACAATTCTGTTTCCAACTTTGATTTTTCCACTTGGAAACCTAATTTTTTGTCCTGATTGTATGCTTCCATTATTTGGTAATAATGGAGCCAATCACGCACTCTGTTTTTTTAATTTTTCAAAGCTCTGTAATTTTAATCTGTCACCCTCTTGTTCCAAAATTTCCCAATACTTCGGCCATTTGGCCTCCATATTGAGTTTTTTCTGAGCCTTTGCCTCCATAGGTGACAGCCATCTTGGGGTCCAAGTTTTTGTTTTGTACCACCTAATCTGTAAATTCGCCAATGAATTTACTAGAAGCAATGCAGCTAGTAAGCCTGATCTTTATTAAAGGAAATAAACTGTTGCAACAAGGTCCCCACTCACCACACGCAGGAGAGAGAACCCCAAACAATGCTGTTCAAGCCCCTATATACAGTAGACTTTTGAAATTGCCCATCCTGTAGCCCAAGACACACCTGCATTCCTGGGTCCCACTAATCAGACACACGGGAGCCGAGAGGAGAGAATCCAAAGTTCCTTTATTTTGCTGCACAGCAAAGTGTTCCAGCTGAGATCGCTCTCAAAAGTCTGGACCCTGGGGTGTCACCCTTAGGAGTCTTTTATAAGTTTCATAAACAATGGAAAACATATTGTTATAGGAAAATCCTTGGGCTCACTTGGATTACCAAACAAAGACACCAGCCGGGAATATAGGGGCTAAACAGCAGCCTGTAGGCCTGGTCTTTATTTTAAAGGACTGTTACAAGAGGACTTCCACCCACCACATGGGAGAAGCACAGAACAAAGGATTGCTCCCACTTTTATAAGTTTTACAAAGATACCTACAACACACCTAAATTTACATCATGCATACATCACAAATGCATCACAAACTGAGCATCGGGTTTGTCCCCATCCTTCCCTTGACCTCCACCTCACACCCATCAAGTAAGACAAAATAAATATTTACAAGTTCCTGGTTTCCCAGGCCAAGTTAATCACACCTCTTTGTCCCAACCAAGAACCTAATCCATTCCTGGATGGTTTGCCATTGTCCATGGGATGACTGCCTGTCTGACACCCATTGCCAGGATGCCAGTGATTACCTTTCCTGCAAGGGGCTGCTGTGTACAGACTCCCCCCTTTCCTAAGCCATTCCTTTCCTGAACAGAACAAAGTTGGAATGGTGCAAATCCATACCGGAGCAATTTTATAAGGCTTTCTAAAGTTTTCCCAGTGAACCAGTAGGTAGATACATTTATCAGTGAATTTGGTAATGTGCAGCAGAGGCCCTTTGGATAAAGATAGGAAAAACTGTGGTTAAGTGTTTTGTGGCGACATTTGCCAAAGTGATTGTGTTGATTTTGGTCAGGGGTTGGCAAGGTTTACCTTGCCTGGGCCAGTTCACTCCCGCAGAGATCGCTCCGTGGGCGCAGACGCAATTTTCAGTGCCGCGGAAGCAAGTCCCCGCTCCGTGCTGCACCAGTTTAGCGCAGCGCACAGGGACTCATCGCGTGGGCAGCTTGGTTCGCCGACCCCTGATTTTGGTAGTCGGGGTGTGTGTGTATGGTATCTGCTGGAGGGGCAACCCCCCAACCTTCACATAAACTACAATATAAAACCAATCACAAATCCCCAAATCCCTCATTGTCTTATTTGGAAGCGAAGCAAGCACCCTGATACTGTTCAAAACTTATACTTGCGTGGCTGTGGCTGTGACTGCGACCCTTCAATTCTGCTGACAGCTCATTTAACTTGTTTACTTCAGCTTATTTACTGCGCCTCCGCATCCCATAGCCTTAATACTGCTCTTTGCTAATACAGTGGTACCTCAGGTTACATACGCTTCAGGTTACATACTCCGCTAACCCAGAATTAGTGCTTCAGGTTAAGAACTTTGCTTCAGGATGAGAACAGAAATCGTGCTCTGGCAGCACGGCGGCAGCAGGAGGCCCCATTAGCTAAAGTGGTGCTTCAGGTTAAGAACAGTTTCAGGTTAAGTACGAACCTCCAGAACGAATTAAGTACTTAACCCGAGGTACCACTGTATGGCAATTGGAAACTCCTTAGCAGGAAATGTCTGTCTGCTTTAAAATGCTATGCATTCACTTTCTCACTTTTACACTTTTGACCTCATGCTTGCAGGAGCCTTGCCAACAAGACTGTCTGTGGTATATTTGTAGATAATCTCGTCAACCAGATGTTCGTATCTTTAGCATTACATGTGGGAGATGAAAGCTGCTTGCGCTTTAATATTACAAGTATATAGGGGGGGCATGCTGGGTCTATTACCTTTACCTGACACCCACTACCACAAAACCACCCCCCAAAACATTATACATATATCACAGAAGGAGGTGGTCTCCAGCAGAAATTTGAGAGTGTTGCTTCTCTCCTGTCTGCCAGGATACCTGATAATGCCTTACTTGATTGCATTTTCTGGGAAGCCTGACCATTCCTTCAAGATGGTAAATACTTAGTTCCTGAATCTTTTACGCATATTGATAGTGTGCTCAGCTTAACAGATACTTGCCAGACTGTATTTGAAAACAGAGGTATAAGCCCCTACAGTCAAAAGACAATTGGAAAGCTTTTCCCATTTCCTTCCTCCTTGCAGTGAAATATTTGAGGTCAATTTGGGAGAGTCAAAATGGCTTCAGGATTGTTCTCCTGTGCTATTTAAGACATGGTTTATATACTTCTGTATGTGTTGGCCTGTAGCACCCTGCTTGTGGTTAACGCTTAGCTGGAATGAAATATTCAACGCAGCAATAGAGAAATTAAAATAATAATTTATTTGTCAGACAAATAAATGAGAGACACAGTGGTATATGGATACCAAAGCTCTGCCTACTCCAGCCCTGATGGCCAGCACTTATATTTCCTCAGCCCAGCCCCCTTGCTCCTCCTTTGGCTGCCTCTGTCCAATCAGCCTGGTTGAAATTCCTATTGGTTGTTTGCTAGAACCAATCATAAAAGATACACCCATTTCCTATTTCCTTTTATGGGAGACAAAAAGCTATATTTCCTTGTATCCATAAATGGCAGACAAGTAGCCATATATCTTACATTTACCTCGACCAGGCACCTCAATTACCAGATAACCTTTGGCCCCTGTTGCCCTATTCACCGCAAACCAGATGGCTAAAGCAGATGGTGCATGGTTTCTAATTTTTTTATCTTAAAGAGATCTTGAGTTCACCTTCTCACCCACCATAATAGGAATCTAACATAAGAATCTAACATTTCTTACTTTCTAAATCCTTTGCATAATTACATTTAAGCCAATATATTTCATACATAACATAGATAGATTTTTAGAAGGAAAGGCCTTTTCAAATTAGAAGGAACTTAGTAAAAGCTAAGTTCTCTTAGTTCTATAAAGAAACCTTTTCCCTAACCAGCAGCTGTTTCTTCCATTTAACCTTTAACCTTATGGCTCGAGTCTTCTGTTAAACAATAAATTTCACTATTTACCAGTTCTTAATTGTGTTTTTACAGCTTGATTGTATTCTGGTCAGTGTGACCTTTTGCTCTCTGGCTCTAATTTCCTTTTACAACCTTGAAATACTTTTTACAACCCTGAAATACTGCTATTTATAGCAGTGGGGCCCTTGAACAGCTGCCAGAGTATTCAAGCTGGTCTTCTCCCTGGCATGAGAGAAAAATATATTTACAAATATAATTTTTTAAGCTCAAAGCAGATTTTGATCAGATGCCTCAGGCCTTGTACATTTATGAACATTTATTTTATATTTGAGACCTTAGAATTTTTGTAACAATTGTAAAAGTCTTTGGCTATATAAAATTGACGTATGTTAGGCTGGGTGGGAGGGGTGGGGGAAACGGGCATGCTCTGTTTTGAGTGTTGTCTGCTCAGTCTTTTTGGAGAGAAATGAATACTGAGCCACTATTGCTATAGCAATAAAGACTTGAACCTTTCCACTCATTGCATTGGCGAGGAGCTGCTACTCTTCTAGACAGCCAGAATCTGCACAGACAGAATTATATATCCAGTGCTTTTTTTAAATAGAAAAAATAGGTACCGGTACTCACCATGAAGTTGTTACAGTGTGTGTCACACTTTTAAGCTACACACACACACACACACACACACACACACACACACAGGTGCCGGTACTGCGTACCATTGAGTACCCCTTGGGGGAAAAAGAGAGCATTGTATATAGCAGTCCATTTAAGAATTTGCATTTGAGCTTGTTTCCCCTCCTCCCTTCCATTCCTTTCTCCTTGTATGTCGTGTCTTTATGTAAACTGCTATGGGACCCCTTTTTTAAACTTAAGAGCTGTGTATAAATGCCTTCAATACACAAACCAAAAGCATTTGCAAAAACAATTTTTTACCCTACCAAGCTTAGTGCATGTCAAATTGTGCCGCATTTGACTTTATTATTTCATTTTTATTCCAACCGTTCCCCAAGGAGCATAAGGTTCTTTCCCCTCCCTATCTTTCTATGCACAATCAACCTGCAAGGTAGGTTTGACTGAGGAATAGTGACTGGCCCAAGGTGGGGATTTGAACCCATGTCGTCCTGGTTCTAGTTACAGCTTGCTTATCCACTAATTACAGCTGTGGGAAACCTCATGTCAGAGGCTAAATGTGCCCCTCCAAGCCTTTATCTCTGGCCCTTGGGACTCTGCCCAGGCTGCACCCCTCACAAATCTTGTTTCACAGTCTTCTTGGGTGTTTTTGTCTACCTAGAAGTGTCCTTGGGCTCTGATATGCCTCTGGGTTGCCTGGCTGGTGACAGAAAGGTATGTGTGTGTGTACAAACTAGCCAGCCCACTCTACAAAGATATCATTTCCATTTGTTGCTCTGTCCATTTTTGCCAGCACTAGCATGTGGCTCCCATAAAATGGTCCAGAAGAGAATGCAGCCCTCGAGCTGAAAAAGTTCCCCCACTCTGGATTACACCATACTGGTGTAGCACAAAGAATCCTTTGTAACATCTGCATTGTATTTGCATTGTTGAACTATTACAGAAAGAGAACACAAGAGAAGGAAAGACTGGTGTTGGGTTGAAATAAACGACAGACGAATGGCAAGGTGTCATACGGGAGGCATCTCTCCAGCAAGTCTCGGAGAGTCCCTTTTATTGAATATTACGGCATTTGCCACATATGTGCTTATTGCTGATTGGTTATGTTACCGGAAAAATCTGAGGGCTCCCTTGGACAAAATAAAGACACCAACCAGGATAACTTGGAGCAAAACAGCAGCCTGTAGGCTTGGCCTTTATTGAACTGTTGCAACAGGGTGTTCCCCTCACTTGCGAGAGAGAGGAAAGACCCAGAAAGATGGTGTGCAAGACCTTATAAAAACTTTTGAAATTCCCATCCTCTAGGTCAAGCCCACCCCCAGAAACATCATGCATACATTACAGAAAGGAGGGGTTGAGGGAGGAGTTGTGGTGGTAACCTGAGTGTCCTGTCACCTGGCTGGTTCCTCCTTTCCCCCTCCCCATGAGTCACTTCCAGGAGACAAAGGGAGTTGGCAGTTTCCTGCCCCCAGAGGGAAGATCTGATCATTGTCCTTTGTTTCAGTCCATGCTGAATCCACTCCCATATGCAAGTTCTTTGTGATCTTGATGGTCTTCTGTCTAGGACCATCAGGGTTGGCATAGCAACTGGGCAGGGCTCCTGTGGATGTGCTGGGCTGGTGAAGGGATTATGGCTGACCAGAACCAAGCCACCCCCCTTTGATAGTGCTTGTCATATGGAGTAAAATAAAAATGGAACAGTGCAAATCCGATGTATGGTTGATTTTTCTATGAATTTATAACAGAAGTGTGGCATATGTAGTGTGTGAGTGTGAGTGTGTGAAGTTTGTACAAACTGAATGATTGGGGTGGGGGGTTCCTGCTACAGTTAACACAAGTACAAAGCAAAGGTTACATTAATACCAGTAGATTAAAGGTTGGGAAAGGGAGCACAGAACAAGACAGGCATGAAACCTCCTAATTAAATTATAACTAGTGATTGATTGATTATCAAGACTTAAACTATTACTAATGATTGATCATGACATGAAAGAACATAACAATCGCGTTCCTAGATGTGGTCAACTATGCATTAAGAACAGGTCAGAGTATAATGTTTTCATGAACTCAATATGAACTGAACATTCTAGGGTGATGAGGGAATGTAGAACGGTTTGTGCAGCATGTGCAGAAGAAAAGCGTAGAAGCAAGACTTCCCATCATGCCACAGTCATGTGCAGAAGCAAAGCTTCCCTTCAGACTGGGGTTATCAGTTTTTTAAACACTGGCTCCACTTCTCTGCCTTTAACTGTAGAATGGGACGCTGAGATGGAATAGGCAAAGATTATCTCCATGCCAAGAGAAGCTTCACCTGTTGAGCTTCTGTATGCCAGGCTGCAGTTAAATATACAGGGCAAGGATAGTTTAAAAAACAAAACAAAAATACTAGCAGAAAAGGCTTGGCTCACAAACGCAGGAGGAACGAAAAACACAATCTGAAATCGTTTTCAGAAGCTGTTAACACAGGGGAAGGGAAGCGGCGGCTCTCTTAAGGCGTTATTGGACTCCAACTCCCATCAGCCCCTCCCACCACGGCCACAGATGAGGCTTGATGGGACTTGTAGTCCACAATGTTCTACGTTCCCGGTGCAGCAGCTAAACAAAGCAATAACACTTCCGGTTGTTAATCGAACGCGAGGGGCATCCCATGCGGGTAAAGGAATAGGACGAGGCACCATAGAGGTTTCGGTGAAGGAGCGGTTCCGGGATACCCGCTGTGCTCCACCCCGCGGGTGAGGGTGTTCAAATGGAATCCCGAAATGAGGATTGTTATTATCACGCTTTCTTCTTCTTCTATTCCTCTGGCCAAGGCGGAGGGTAGCGTAGCTGCGGGTGCAACAGGGAAAGGCTTTAGCAAAAGCGGGGGGCGCTTTGTTTCTGCGAGTGCAAATTGTTGTTGAACGCGAGAGATTTTGCAAACAAAAGCCACTCTCAAGCGGCCCCCCGTTTCTCTGAAGGCGGGTTACATGCTCGGATTTGCTCAGTGCATAGTCGTGGATACCTTATTTCCTACTGGGATTGTCAGAGGGGAAAATAATCATTGGGAGCGATCACCTGCTTCCCAGTGGAATTAACAGGTTTGTTGTATCTTGCGTTAGACCCCTACAAATGAGTGAACCTAAGTTTTCATGTACATAAATTTCAATGGGTCTACTCTGAGTAGCTTAAGGTTGGCTACAGCCCTAGGTTTCTCTGCTTACCAGGTTGTAAACCATTATATATAAGCAGAAGCCATTTTCTTAAGCTAGGAGTTAACAAAACAAACGAAAGCTTCTTGATAAAGTAGCGTGTTTGATATCCCCCTGGTGTTCACGTTTGACATTCTAGAGTAGATTTTCACGGAAAAAACCGCTGAAAGAATTCATGATACGACAAAACAAAAATGCAGTTCACTCAAAATTGAATGTAATTAGACTTACCCTAACACAGTTTCCAGAGATATTGCCAAATTATGAGCCGATGCTATGCCATGTTTGCTCAGAAGCAAGCCTCACTCTGTTCAGTGGAGTTTACTCAGTGGTAAATGTGTTTAACCTTAGTTTGTTCCTAACAAAAAGACAAAGACTCCTGTATCACAAAAGTTAATAACGACATAAGCTCTCATGGAGTATGTTAAAGGAAGGTGCAGCTGTTGAATTTCTGCCTGTCCAACAACAGGGAGAGCTGCAGTTGGGAGCCCTTAAAGCTCTGGCTCTAGGATATGATCTTAAAAAGACATATGAAGCCACTCTTTTGCTGAAGGAACATGGAGCTGGGCATTGCTTGAATGGGGTGTGTGTGTTTGTGAGTATGCTTTCTGTGGCTCCATGGAGGAAAAGGGACAGGATGTACATGTAATAAAATAAACACATCCAAGCTTAAACAAGGGTATCAAAGGAATATTTTGTGATTGGTCTTCCATGAGTCCTGTGGAATCAGTTCCTCTTTAAGCAGGTTATGTGGTCTCTGTTTCTACCCCCTCACTTCTGAACTCTCTTTTTCAGACAACAACAGGAAGTTTCCACCCCCGAAGTCTGTCAGGTTAACAGTGTAATCTCCTCTAAGAGCAGCTGTCAGCTAAATAGCCCATGTTGCTTGCAAGCACAGTATGACTGAGAAGCAATCTTGTGCCAAGAGGGCCTCTCGGACCCTTACACTAGAAAGGATCCTGGGAACTGTAGTTTGTTAAGGGTGTTGAGAGTTGTTAGGAGACCCACGTTTTCCACAGAGCTGCAGTTCTCAGAATGGTTTAACAGTAAATACCTCTTGCCAGGGAGCTCTGGGAATTGTAGCTCTGTGAGGGAAACGGTTCTCGCAACAATTCTCAGCACCCTTAACAAACTGCTCTTCCCATGGGGAAGCCATGACTTGAAAGTGGTGTGATACTGCTATAAACATATAGTGCAGAAAGGGCCCAAGATAGGTGGAAGCTATGGTTATTTATAGAGGTATAAAACTGAGAAGCGGTGACATGTGACTGGAGAAATGGAAATATAATAGTTGGGAAGGAGCGAGCCAAGTATTTATTGTATAGAGCATACAAACTATTGCAGAATAAGGAAGAAGCTCAGTGGTAGAGCACATGGTTTGCATACATAATATTTCCAAGATCCAGTCTTTGGCATCTCCTGTTAAAAGGATCTCCCATGAGCTGCCACCAGCCAGAATAAGCAAGACTGGCTGGACAATAGTCTTAATATAAGGCAGAGTTATACATTTCTAGAATAATACAAAGAGGGTTCCTAATGCAAAATACTTAAAGTAATAATAATAGTAACCATAGAAATCTCTGGACATGAGTAACTTTGGTCCATTGATTTCAGTGGGTCTACTCTTGAGTAGAACTTAGCTGGATACAGCCCTAATATATGGGTTCTGTCATCCTTAGTATTAATTGATACAGTCAACTAATGGCATATATACAGTGGAAATATCTGTTCTTTTGTTTTTTTAGGAATGACTTCCCACTGAGTCTGAAAGCTATAGCTGATGAGTTTTTCTTACCAAACCCTGTCGACACTTTCCACTCCAAGGAAGCATTCCTGATGTGAACTTAAGCTGGGGAGGAACTTGCTGAGAGCAGTAGAGGACATGATTTTCATAGGCTGGAGGCGGCTGATACGCTTATGCAGCAGACACATCTTCAGTACAAGTCTAAAGCAAAAGGATGGAAGCAGCTGTTCGCTTTGGAAGTGCTACCACCAGAAGACTTCAGGGAGTCTCCTGGATCCAGAGATGAGACTGTTTTTGGAGAAGAACACAGAAGTCATCAGCAGTGGGAACCTGACACCAGAAATAAGATTAAGACTTCTGACTCCTCGCTGTCGATTTTGGCATGACAAGGCTGCCTTATGGCCATATGGGGACCCGTACTGGGCAATCTATTGGCCAGGAGGCCAAGGACTAGCCAGGTATAAAACACTTATCAGCCCTAGAAGGCATAAATGCCACATGTTCACCCTGACTTAGGTTTACTAGTGTTATGGAAATAGGGTTTGCTAACGCGGGTGGAGCTATGGTCTAAACCACAGAGCCTAGGGCTTGCCAATCAGAAGGTCAGCGGTTTGAGCTCCTGTTGCTCGGTCCCAGCTCCTGCCAACCTAGCAGTTTGAAAGCACGCCAAAAGTGCAAGTAGATAAATAGGTACCGCTCTGACGGGACGGTAAACAGCGTTTCCGTGCGCTGCTTTGGTTTGCCAGAAGCGGCTTAGTCATGCTGGCCACATGACCCGGAAGCTGTCTGCAGACAAAAGCAGGCTCCCTTGGGCCAGTAAAGCAAGATGAGCGCCGCAACCACAGAGTCGGCCGCAACTGGACTTAATGGTCAGGGGTACCTTTACCTTTAAGTGGGAGGTCAATCAACCAGACAAGAATCAGCTACGAAACTCTTTATTCCTGAACAGGAAGGGTGTGCCCTGCACCTATTGGTTGCAGAGGCAGACCCCAAACACATATAACACATAGCCTTTTATGCATTGAAGTAAACAACTCCTAAAACATCATCAGCTGTATGTTAGTCTTTGAGTTAGTCTGCAGAATTGCCTTATCTGTTCAGACAGTTAACTTTCTATAAATGTTTCATGTCTTCCATGGCTCTTTTATTGTGTTCTTAGTTGTTTTCCTTTTAACTTGCACCTTCTGCATTTCTCAATGCCCTTTTCCTATCCATCTTCTGCTTGATTTGCGACGTATGCATTCCTTATACCACTAGCTAATTCATATTCAGTGCTAGGCTAATGCAATAGACTTTGCTACGAATGTGTTTTTTTTTACTGTTCTTGTTTTTCAAAATATACTCAGATACCTTCTTGATAACCCCGAGGTTGTCAGAGAGAAGAGAGTCCTCGATCTTGGAAGCGGTTGTGGAGCAACAGCCATAGCAGCCATGATGAGCGGAGCCTTGCATGTTGTTGCCAACGACATTGATCCTGGTAAGATGCTCCATTGCACGTGCAGTGCAGTCAGTCTCAGTGCATTGGGAAGAAGGGAGGACCATATGCGGCTCCAGCATGTTCCAAGGTAACATGATAGACAAAGAAGCCTTTGAAAGAACTGAGCATGTCCCATAGCCATTGAGGCATCAATGCCATCAAGGCAGGGCTACTTGATAGTGAAACAGTCAACACAGCAGTGATGATCTTCCAGCTTTGTTAAAATGAGATACCCGTTTTGCAGAAGAGAAATGGTGTAGAGCAGGCGTTAATTCACCCTCTCTTAAAGACATCCAGGATGAGCAGTTTCCCCTTGTCTGTCTGAAGGATAAAGAACCCTACACTGACATATGTCTTCATTTTGGCTGGCTTCCCCAAAGTAGCTGGTGTTCTTTTATAACTCCTCAAGATAAAAGGTAAAAAAGGTAAGACACCCCCCCCCCGGATGGTTAAGTCTAGTCAAAAGCGACTATGGGGTTGCGATGCTCATCTTGCTTTCAAGCCGAGGGAGCCAGCGTTTGTCCACAGACAGCTTTCCAGGTCATTTGACCAGCATGACTAAACCACTTCTGGCGCAACGGAACACCGTGACAGAAACCAGAGTGCACGTGTTTTTGTGTTTCTGTACCTCCTAGATCAGGAAATCTGCTTGCTTTTCACTATTTGTTCCAACCACAGACTGTCTGGTTCTAACCACCACAACATCTGGCAAGTTATTTACTTTGTCTTCACTTCCTTTCCTTTACTCACTGGAAAATGTTGCCCTAGATTTAGAGAAGTCACATGACTCACTCAGGCTAAGCTTGCCAACTTTGGTGGGGGGAGAAAAACCAGTGTGGAAAAAGCAAAACACACAGTGTTCTCGCAAGGCAGAAAGCAAATGTAAAGAGAAACATAATCTTTTTATATGAGCAAAGTCAGAGATTGGTTTGGGGCTGAGCCACAATTGAAGCCAAATCTCATAGTGTTGTCTAGTGGTTGGAGGGCACATAGCCCTCAATATGAACACACTTCAGGAAGTAGAAAATGATCTTCAACGGGTTGTAGATTCCACCCTGAACAGCTAGGTAAGATACTCACCAGAGCATATTCAAAGGACAACGAAAGACAGCTGTTTTGGTCCATTCAAAACACTAAAGAGATTTGAACTTTCCCCCAACCATCAGCCCCGACTTGGGGCCATTAACCATTAAACCTGCCTTACAGAATGAATAACCAGCCTGTTACCCAGTTTAGGATCCAATATAAATAACCAATATAAGAAATACAACACAAATTCCACAACTGAAACCAAACAATGCTACTATGGCTAATCGTCATCATAAACATCATTATTCCACATTTAAAATAACATAATTAAAGAGAATTCTCAAAACAATGTGCTTAAAACAACTAAGAAGCACAAAAACAAATCATATGCAAAAAATTGAAATATATGAAAATGCATCATAATTGCAATATATCATGTTGCAATCTTACACAGAACACATACCTCAATTGTTTACTCTGCAAAACACTATTTCTGCTCTCTGTTGGGGGCCCTTCCTCTTTCACATACCACATTCTTATCCTGTAGCTAATGAAACATCTGGGCTCCATTGGCATTCTAATTCCACCCACACAGTTCCAAGTCCTTTGATTCCTGTCCTGCAGTTAGTGCCGAGCCACCCAGATGCTGCAGAAGCAGTGGATGCTATTTCTTCTCACATATTCCCTCAAGTAATAGAGCGCACACATTAGTATAGGTCTAGAACTTAAACATGTATCCTAACACCTAACCGACTATATCAACTATCCCACACAAGCTGAAGCCACTCTAGATTGGTGATCAAGCTAGCTAATCCCAGAGTCAGGGATATAGATGCTGCTGTTCTCAGTGGCATGAACTCTGGTCTGATGGAGAAAGGCCTCCCTGCATAAGCTAATATTGTGGTTTATATAGGATTTTGTCTAGCGGTCCATGCCGACTTTGGTGTAGGGTTGAGTCAGGTGGTCAGTCAATACACTCAGTTATGTAAATGATGCGACTTGAGCAGCCTTCACCAATCTGGTACCCTCCAGATGTTTTGGACTACAACTCCCATCATTCCCAGACAGAGTACAAAATGTACCAGGGACTTGAATGTGATCAGCCCATGAACTGTGTCCCTAGCAATACTCTGCCCATAGAGACTATAAGATAGCTTGTTAAAAACAATTCTGGCAAGGAAAGTCTTGCCCAACAAAGGATCCAAAAGACTAGAAAGTTGACCAGTCCAGGTGATGTTACCAACTCAAAAATTTGGGCACTGATCTTTTCTTGTTTGTTTCCTTATTTCTCAGTTGCAGGAGCTGCCATGCTGCTGAACTGTGAATTGAACAACCTGAATCCTTTCCATGTTCTCACAGAGAACCTCATTGGTACAGAAGTAGACAACTGGGATCTTATTATCCTAGGGGACATGTTTTACAGTGAAGCTCTTGCAGACAGCCTTCATCAGTGGCTGAAAAACCACATCCAGACTCATAGGACTAAAGTGTTAATTGGAGACCCTGGCAGGCCCTATTTTGTGTGCCACAAAATTCAGAAGCAGCTTCTCAAAGTCAGCGAATATGACCTCACCAAATCAACGCAGCAAGAGAACAATGGGTCCACCAGTACTGTGGTTTGGCACTACCAGCCTTGACTCTCCATGGACCTCAAGTGCAGAAATACTGGACTATATTGCATGTCACTTGAACTACTAAAAGCCCCATTTTGTGGCAGTTCAAATTCTGACTGGTGCCAATACATACTATACTGCCTATATGCATTCTATCAGCATGCATACATTCTATATATTTCAATGACACAGCATGGTTTGTACCAGCTGAAGGTGGCATTTGTGCAGACTGGGACAGGCGTAATAAAAGAAAGCACTTTGCCTTATAATTCCCACTTTATTCAATGCAAATTATGTGTGCATGCCAGTATGTGGCTGAGTTTTATTCTTTAGAAACATAAAGGAAAAAACTTTTCAATGAAGTCTTTTTCTTGCAAAGTATGCGTGTATCAGTAGTTGCTGATGTTGATTAAAAATGTAAAATCCTATCTCCCTTGTAAAAATTTGATAAACCACCTCTTTGTGGCAGCTCACATGGAGCTTTGGTTACATTGGAAACTGCAAACAGATGTACTATCTGCAAGTGGTATGTGTTGTGTCCCACAGGCCTAAATGCAGATCTTGGGTGAGCGGGTTTACTGAGACCTCGAAAGACCCACTTGCAGGGATTCCAAATGATCAGTTGTAAAGCTTTATTATAGAAAACTTACAACACAATACAGATTCTTGCTGATACAACTCAGGACAGATTCCGCATACATGGGGCAGGAGGTTTAAATTTTAATCTCCAGATTTAATCCTCAATCCATCTCCTACACTGTAGACTATCTAAGCGTCAATATACTTATTTTAACAAACATGCTGGAAGTGCTGTCAGCCACATTGTAGCCACTCTTTCAGTATTTACTTTTGTGAACACTTTTGAAGTGTTGGAAGGAGCGGATAGCCACCAGTTTCCAATATTAGTGACCCAATGTCCTTTAACAGAATGCATATCAACAACCAAATCTGCAATAGTGCGTGGAGAATTATAAGGCATGAAAAGACTGAAATGGTCTCTCAGATTGGGCAGCAATATCCAAGAGGCACTATTTAGTCATCACCTGACAAACTTGCATCAACATTTTATGAGCAAATCTCCAAATCTTGTTCATGTCTTCCAGCAAATTGTCACAGAACTCGGGCCCTATTTGATAACTTCTACAATTAATAAATACACACAATCAACACACCTTGGCTGGTTTGACAGTGAGTGCAAGGCAGCTAATACAAGTTCTAGCTAGGGCAGGCTTCCTCAACCTCAGCCCTCCAGATGTTTTTGGTCTACAACTCCCATAATCCCTAGCTAGCAGGACCAGTGGTCAGGGATGATGGGAATTGCAGTCTCAAAACATCTGGAGGGCCGAGGTTGAGGAAGCCTGGGCTAGGGCAATTCAGGATTTGTGTACGAATCTGTAAGAAGAATCCATAGAAAATTTGATCAAATGTAGATTGAAATACAAGAGTCTGCTCGAAAACAGGAAAACTGAATATATGAAAACCCAGTGGCAGGAATAGGAGTAATGGACCAGAGGGTTATCAGTAATGGAACAACAGAAAGTTATCAGACCAAACTCTCACCAGTTTGTTTAAGAAATGCCTTAATTGAGCTGCAGTTCCAAGTGATGCCCTCTGCAGTCTTGGGACTCAGCTAGATTTGTAAAGAAAAAGCAATTTATATGTATTGTATATGTGATATAACACTGTGCCACCAGATAGCACTATGGAGTCCTGTTTTTCTCTACCCGTTTTCCCTGTTTAAATTTACAACTCATGTAACTGAAACGCTTCTTTGATGTGTCCTGATTCAGTCTTGGATGGACACTGCACAAGGTCCCATTCTCAGTCAGACTTTGTATTTGTGGAAGACATCACTCATTATCTTCTAGTTGCCCCTTATATAGAGGTCACTTTTTGAAACCTTTATTCTCACAAGCAAGCAGGTAGGCCCTGACAGAAATGATTTGGTTTCTTTCGAATGTCAGTAATAGCTTAGTAACACAGAGTGACCCTCTACGCATTAGCTGGAGAGAGAAAAATCAGGAAAAATGAGTCCGATAAAATCACTATAAATTGTTGTGATTTGGAGCTTTAATCTTGAAATCCAAGTTGAATTTGAGTTTGTAGGTGTCTCTGGTAACTCTTTCATCATGGATGTTGGCTTATGTTATGGACATACGTTCTTTATTATTCGATTAATACTATTGCTACAAGTCTCCCATGGACTTTGGCTAGAATAATAAACTTGCAAACTGAACCTCCCATCCACCCATCTGTCAGATGGGGGGAATGAGTGGGAGGCATCTACTAGGTTGCACGAATAACTCCCAACTCCCTAGGCCAGCAGCCAAGCTCCCAAAGCAAGCAGGTAAGCATATGTGGGATGGCTCTGCAGCAAGTACCAGTTAGTTTCAGGGTTATACTGACTATCAAGATGACCTTACACATATGGTATTTGGCAGTGACTGCTAAATTTACACAACACTGCTGAGTGATGCACGGAGAAACAAAAGGTTACTTTCGATGCTGATTGGTTTACATCTGTTTCTTTTATTGTCACCCAGAGGAACCCAGATCCACTATAACTCATATATCTTTTTGGCTTCGGTTACTTAACTTAACATGCTATTATTATCTGCCTAATACACATAATGCATGTATTTTCCTTTTATCTGATGATCAATACCCATTATTTCATGTTATTCTGAATAAAAATAATCTGATAAAAAATGTAAAATCTACATCACGGCAATAACCAGGGCGACCAAACTGCCATAAAATAGCATGCAGGTTTTGACTTCTACAGAATGTTTTATCAGAGGAGCGGATGTGGGATAGAGTTGGTTGCTGTCAAAGCCACAAGGATGTATATCTTCTCACAATCTCAAGAAAGAATGTTGAAGGGAAGTTCTGCTTCTGCACATGACTGTGGCATTATGGGAAGTCCTGCTTCTAAGCTTTTCTCTGGCATTATGGGAAGTCCTGCTTCTAAGCTTTTCTCTGGCATTATGGGAAGTCCTGCTTCTAAGCTTTTCTCTGGCATTATGGGAAGTCCTGCTTCTAAGCTTTTCTCTGGCATTATGGGAAGTCCTGCTTCTAAGCTTTTCTCTGGCATTATGGGAAGTCCTGCTTCTAAGCTTTCTCTGGCATTATGGGAAGTCCTGCTTCTAAGCTTTTCTCTGGCATTATGGGAAGTCCTGCTTCTAAGCTTTTCTCTGGCATTATGGGAAGTCTTGCTTCTAAGCTTTTCTCTGCTTCTGTACATACTGTACAACCCGTTCTAAATACCAAGACATTCCCTCATTTCCCTAGGATGCTCAGTTCATCTTAAGTTCATGAAAACATTATACTCTGACCTGTTCTTAATGCATAGCTGACCACATCTACGGAACTCGATTATTATATTCTTTCATGTTATGATCAATCATTAGTAATTGTTTTAGTCATGCTATATCAATCATTAGTTATAATTTAATTAGGAGGTTTCATGCCTGTCTAGTTCTGTGCTCCCTTTCCCAGCCTTTAATCTATTGGTGATTAATGCCTATATGTAACCCTTGCTTTGTACTTGTGTTAACCAATCAGCAACAAGTTGCTTTGTGTTTGTGTCAACCAATCAGCAACGAGCGCACCTGTGGCAATGTTGTAATATTCAATAAAAGAGTCTTCTCGGGGCTTGCTCGAGAGATGCCTCTCACATGACACTTGCTACTCGTCTGTCGTGATTTCAACCCAACAGAATGTGGCAGGATATACCAGACATTCAAACAAGACTCCCACTATGTGCTATGCAGGTTTAAAGTTGCACTTAGGGCAGCTGAGATGGAAAAAATGTATAAAGGTTAGCATTTTCCCTTCCCAATTTTTGAAAATATAAATCAAGCTGTTACCTAGATCTGTCTCGCTCCTTAGGTGAAACACACAGGTTCCTTCGTAGACAGAAAACAAGGAATCAAGAGAAAGTAGGTAGCTTTTATATTAACAAAGCTAGCTGTTAATTTTAGGTGGCATGCAAGGTAAAAAAGCAAAAAGAAGTCAAATTGGGTAGTTTTACTTAGTACTTGGAGTGTTCCGTCAGAGAATGAAGTCCCATCTTTGGGTAGTATAAGTCCAGTTTGCAACCAGCTGTTGAATGGCTGAATTCGGTATTATCCAAGTCATTTAAAAAATGCTAGGTGCTTTTATTAATAATATAGCTAAATGGGATCTCCAGATTCAGAGACAGCATATCTTTGAAAGTCAGTTTGGGAGGGAGGGAAGGAAGCAACAGATGGGGAAGTATTTTGCCTTCATTCTCTGCTGGTGGGTTTCCCAGATACATCTGGCTGAACATTATGGGGAACAGGATGCTGTACTAGGGGCTCTTCTGCTAATTCTATTTTTTTTTGGGGGGGGGGGGAATCCAACCTCTGGTATGTAGGCTTTGAACAGAACAGCAGTCATTTCAAGAGTAAGAACATACAAGGGGGTTCCCACTTAAGCAGAGGTACTGTTGCAGTCACCACACACATTACTGGGATGCACATGAGAGAGGATTCCCCGATTCTGCCCCCATCCCCTTTTGGAGCTGAAAATAGTGCACTTGTCAGCAGAAGTGCTTGTGCTGATCACGCGCAAGTGGGGAGGTGCCAGTACAGGCTTTATTAAATAGAAGACATAAAATGTAAGACCCTCACCTGGTTTAGCTGGCCAGTCAAAGCCATTCTCAGGGTGTGGCCGCTACTGTATGCTGACAGCTTCTAGGAGCCACAGGTGAGAGCTGGGTGCAGGGTGGGAACCAAAGGTGGACAAAAGGAGCATGATGTGTCCCCCACCAGAGGTACAACCCCTCCTCAGTCCTAAGTACACCTACTAGAGAGTAAGTCCGATTAAACATATACAGAGTCAATCTACAATTCAAAATTAATTTATAAGAGTAATTACTTAAGCCAACCTTGTTATGCAGTTACATTCCCTTAAATGCATTCTATTGCTATTAGTAAGCAATTTTCAAGTTCAAAAATATTCAAACTGTGTTGCTAACAGCCACAATGAAAATTAGATTAAATAAAAGACAGCAGGTGTGGGTAGAAGAATGAAGGCTGTGTGGTTTTCACTAAGGCTGAAAACATTGTGCTGTTAAGTCAATTAAAGTTGTTAACACAGATCTGACCTTTGTGCTTTAATCAGGCTCTAATCAAATCTGTTTTCTGCAAAAGAAGCAGCTCAGAGCACACTAAATAGAAACACAAAACCTTTCTTCATTCAGATATTGGGAAGTCCACCTTCTGCCCTGAACATGTTCATTTATTCCTTTGATTATCCAGCACAACTAGTGGAAGTGTTCTCGGAATATTTTAAGCTTGTGTTCTCCCTTGGTCATGAAAGTTGCCACTAGCAGCCTTGAAGCAAGAATGTGGGGTGGGGCAGATATATTAGTAACTTTAATGAGGCTGTTATTAACAACCATAGATATTTCTATTTAGTATTTAGTGTTATATAGGTATATAATATAAAATGATACAAAATGAGATAAAAACAGAGGTTTTTAACTTTATATAGTATACTATGCTGCAGATTGACAAGACACTCAAATCCTATTGAAACCTTTCATTTGAATACTCATTTTTCTCTGAGAATGCACGGGCTGCACATGATCAAACAACTCTTATACAGGGTTTAGGAAGAAATCCAAATTCCTAGACTAGATAGCAGTATACCTTCTAGTTTTCACTACTATGTTCCTTACTGGGCCAGAACGTGGTATCCTGGCTAGGAGATATCAGCACAAAGCCATATGTTAACATTTTCACCCAAAAACAGAAGCCATGAGTACTATAAACACATGCATTAATTCTCTGGAATGAAAGAAAATACATTCACAACTTGAAGATGGTAGGAGCATTTATTTCAAAACAAGAACCGGCATGCTGGAAAAAAAACCTCATGTCTCCAATTATAATGGCTACCTTGAAACATAACTGACCTTCCCCAAAGTGATGGCTGCGCAAGTGACCTTACAAAATGCTTAGATGCAATGGTGGCTGACAAGTCTTGCTGGCTCACCACCTGCTACATCACATTTTCCTGTTAGTTCTTCACTGCCACAGAATTTAACATTTGAACATAATGATTCCTAAATTACAGTTCTGACCTGTTGTTCTTATATGAACACTAACAACTTCCTATTCGTAATCCATCATGTGGAGTGGAAAAAAGAGCAGCAGTCTCATTAATCAAGAAAATCAACACAGCATTAGTGCCATTACCTTTGGCAGTTGAAACAGAAACGAAGCATGTCAGTGGGAGACAATACACTCTACAACACCAGAGACATGCCGTTCCAGGAATGGTTCTTTCTTGAAAAAGAGATGCCATCAACAACTAAAGAAAAATCAATAAACAGTCCATGAAACCTGCTTAAACTTATTTGGTCCAACCAACTGTTCCAGGGCTTCTCGAGAACGATCTGCAAAACAAGGAAACAAGGATGATAAAATACATTGGACAATTCAATTTTCTCTAGGATAAGAAAATGCTAGGTAGGAAGGGTAATGCAAATGAATAATTTAGGGGGAAGAAGGAATGGGTTTCAGAGATCTTTCTACAAGAAATGGGCCTCCAGATCAGTAAACTGATGCTGCTATTTGCTGCATAAATGCTTTGCAGCCTCTTGTAATAAGCTTATTCTTCTCTTCTGGTTAAGCAGGTTAAGACATGTTTGTTTCAACATGCTTTCGGTTTTTTGCTTATATTCCAGTGTTTTCTGCAGACATTCATTAATTGTTTTTACCTATAGCCCACCCTTCACTGAATGGTCCCATAGGTAAAGGTAAAGGTACCCCTGCCCGTACGGGCCAGTCATGTCTGACTCTAGGGTTGTGCGCCCATCTCACTTAAGAGGCCGAGGGCCAGCGCTGTCCGGAGACACTTCCGGGTCATGTGGCCAGCGTGACGAAGCTGCTCTGGCGAGCCGGCACCAGCGCAGCACACGGAAACGCCGTTTACCTTCCTGCTATAAAGCGGTACCTATTTATCTACTTGCACTTAGGGGTGCTTTCGAACTGCTAGGTGGGCAGGAGCTGGGACCGAAAGACGGGAGCTCACCCCGCCGCGGGGATTCGAACCGCGACCATGCGATCGGCAAGCCCTAGGCGCTGAGGTTTTACCCACAGCGCCACCCGCGTCCCAAAGTGAGTCCCATAGTGGTCCCATAGTGAGTTACAAAAACCTCACAATAAAACAGCACACTGTATTAAAAACATAAAATAAAATGACCAAACTAACAAAAAGCAGAATTAACAAAACAGCAGCACAGAACAGCAATGCAGCACGAGGGCAGGTTATTCCACTAACTGAGAGCCAACACAGAGAAGCAACTCTCACACCCTACTGCCCATCAGACTGCATAGGGCAGCAGCACTGCCAAGGGGGCCTCCCCTGCTGATCTTAACACTAGAGCAGGTCAATGTGGTTGTTTTGCTATTATTTCTGGGTTTTACTTAGGTTGCTTTGAAACTGTTGTTCTTATTCTGATCTGTTTTAAACCACCTTTTTGGGGTGGAAAACACCCAATTTTGATTGAACAAAATGTACTAGCATCAAGGCAAAATAATTTTAGCAACAATGTATCCAGTACCCTTTTTCTTCCCCAGGGAGTACTCAAGGATACGCAGTACTGGCACCTCTTTTTGTTGCTAAAAAGTGTGGCACTTACTGTAACAACTTATTGAAAAAAAGCACTGATTGTATCTGATGCAGTTGAATTAAACAATTGCTCTGATAAACAAGCATATCTGAACAGAAGCCACACAGGCATACTGTCAAAACCTAAGTTATACAAGAATGTATTTGGCTCACATCCAAGCATACGAAGAGCAACTGTTTAAAACTACATTTGCTGTGAACGTAATTTGTTTAACTAAGCTGTGAAGGTGGACTGTTTAAGTCAGGACAATGTAAGGCTTTGTTTTAGAACAGGAGAGATAAGCATATTGTTTCAAGATATGGAGCAGGGAGTAGTGGTGTACCATTCTGTCTCTGAAGACTGTTAGAAAAATAGAAACATGCCTCTTATTCCCATTTTAACAAGTTTTTTTTTTTAAATGATATTTATTAAAAGTTTAAGAATTACAGAAAAAAGAGAAAAAGAAAACAACAAAGAATTTGACAAAGATAAAAAGAAAAGCATAAAAAACAATACAACAATACAGCCAAAAAACAAAAACAAAAAACCCACAATAACATTAAAACACACATCCAATGTTCCATATCTTTATCTTTCGTTTACTTGTTTCATCGACCTTCTCACACCTCCCTTTTTGTATTCTAGTTTAATTAATTGTTTCAGCAAATTCTTTCCATCTTTCTCAATTTTTGTTATATAATTTATCTTAACGATCTAACCTTTTAATTAACTCAACAAATCCTTTCCATCTTTCACTATATTATGTCATTCAATTTACCTTAATTTATTTAACCTTATCTTACCATAAAAAAAACAACCTTAAAACTTAAAACTTAATGTACATAACTCCTTATATCATTTCTACTAAGGCCAAATAGTTTCATTCCAACATTTTTCCTAATACTCATTAATTTTACACTAATTCTCAAAATATTTTTTTTAAAAAACTTTCTTCCAATCTACATCCAACATCTCTTCTTCCTAGTCTCGGGTTTTGTCAGTCCTTCTTGTCCATTCCATCTAGTCCATCAACCTGGTGATCTTATGTCCGAGGCTCTTAAGTCATTTCCATGTCCCTTCTGCCGATCTTCTTCTTGTTTATACCTGCACTTTACTTTGCCTTTTGTTGATCTTTTTCTTAATTTCTTTCTTTTCTCATTGGGGGATAGGTCTCGGGGGGACTCCAATCCAAAAATATCTCAATCTCTCCTCAACAGATCAGCCCATTCCCCACGGCCCCATTCCCCACAGTCAACACTGTAATCCAGAAAGTATTTAAAAGCATGTTTCAAAGTCCTTCCAAAATTAAGAGCCCTCACAACTCCAGACCCCCCCCCGGTCCACTCCAGATTCAAATTTCAAGAACAACGGCTTATGCTCCTGCAAGGCCTCGGATCTCTTCATTTGTGTTACTTGAGGTTCAACACCAACCTCCTCCATTATCTTCTGCACTTGCGCTTGCCCTGTCAACACAAGTTCCTGGGCTGGTTCCTGAATGGTTTCTATATGGGTATTCGCCATTTGTCCAAAAATTTTAACTGCAACAGTCATCAAATCCATCTTCTCATGCATCTGCTCCAGCAACGTGCTTGTCTTGCAAAGAGCAAGCACCAAAACTTCTTGTAAACACATTTTTATTCAAGGTCAGAGTCTGGTCTCACGATCCTAATCTTACAGCTGTGAAATCCCCAGATCGACTCCGGCAACAAATTAACAAGCTCCCTCTAGAGGAGACAATTTCTATTTGTATCCATCTTTTGAAAGCAGGACCAACAAAAAAAAATTACTTTTATTTTTCAAATACTTTGTTTCTTTTAAATGCAAGAAGCAACATTGGAGTCAATTTGTTTCTCTTTTTTTTACTATCTGTCAAAAGACGTTCCATTCACAGTCGATGAACTTCCCTATAAATTTCTGTCTCTGACACCCCGTTCCCAGGTTTGAGACGGTGGAAATTTATCTTTCTTTACTCTCTCTCCTGCAGGCTTAAACAGTCAAAAATTACCCCCATTTATCCTGCTTCCAAGAGGGTTTTGGTGGTAATATCTGAAGGAAATTTAGACCTTTATATACGACTTTCCAGACTTTAGCTTACAAAGTTTTTGCTTCAATCTTTTTACAAAAAACGGGAGGCGGACTTCCTGTTTAGAGCCTTCCCGCTTCAGTGCCAAATTAAAATGTTTCTTAATCCAATTTTCCGTTCTACTCACGGGTACTTGTTTAAAGTCCAATTGTCCACAGGAAAAAGTCAGCGCCCTCCGGCAACGGCTGTGCGGCTTCACTCCGTAAAAGTAGCGGTTGAGTCAAAACACCGCGCCACTCACCCCACGTCGCTTCGGATCCCCGAAAAAGGGTTTCCCTGCGAGTAGGGGAGGCGCTCCTGGTGTCAACCGAATCCCACGTTCCCAGGCTTCCTCCGCCTGGGATTTTTAGAGGGTCTCCGCCTTCGCCGCGGCGGCAAGACCCGATTTTCACGGAGCGGGTTCCTCTCGGTCAGAGGAACTCCGCCATTGCCGATGGCGCTGACCCGGAAGTCTCCCATTTTTAACAAGTTTAATTGTGTTGCATTGTGGTAAGGAAAATCAGCAATAGGGCCTGTGCCAATGTCTCTGGAATCAGCCAAAATAGGTGAAAAAATGGGTGCAGGTGTGTGAATATTTGCCACACTACTCAAACTACTGCTATTATTTACTCGTCTGTTGGAGGACACTCATGATACAAGAGAATTGGTGGAATACCAGTCCCTACTGCAACACCTAACCCTGAATCCACTCACTTTGACCTTGACAGAGGTCTCCCCTAGCTTCCTAGTATGCCATCAAGTCTTATTTTTCCACCTGGAGTTCTGCACTACATAATGGTCTGAAGGTACAGTATATATGACACCGTTCTACTGCAGCTAAGCAGGCTATGATACGGGGTACAGTGGTACCTCAGGTTACATATGCTTCAGGTTACAGACTCCGCTAACCCAGAAATAGTACCTTGGGTTAAGAACTTTGCTTCAGGATGAGAACAGAAATTGTGCTCCAGCAGCGCGGCGGCAGCTGGAGGCCCCATTAGCTAAAGTGGTGCTTCAGGTTAAGAACAGTTTCAGGTTAAGAACGGACCTCCGAAACGAAATAAGTACTTAACCTGAGGTACGACTGTATTCAAAAATCTTCAATACAATAAATGAGAGACCACATGGAAACCATTATGAAAGCTGCTCACAGGAGCACATCTAATAACTGAATAATCTGGAGCTACTTGTTTTGTGCTACTATATGATTGTGCTATCTTGAGATCAGCCTCCAGGACCCTCGAGTTAACTTTCTTTGTAATTTTTATTAAATAATAGAATGTTAGACACTCTTTAATGCCAGCTATGTAATTAATTACTTGGGGAAGGACCATGCACCCCTCCACTTGCCTCTACCTCCAGTTCCTTCTCTTTCCTTGTTAGAGGATCCCGCGTTTTCATATCACACAGAGAGTGATTACCCAGCCTTTCTCAACCTGTGGGTCCCCAGATGTTGTTGAACTACAACTCCCATCACCCCTAGTTAGCAAGGCCAGAGCTCAGGGATTATGGGAGTTGTAGTACAACAACATTTGGAGACCCACAGGTTGAAAACCGCTGAAACCAAACGTAGGATTACAGCAAACTTTCCCACAACAGTTACAACCCACTGTCCTCATTCTAGACCAAGGTTTACCAAACTTGGGTCTCCAGCTGTTTTTGGACTACAGTTCCCATCATCCCTGACCATTGGTCCTGCTAGCTATGGTGAAGCATGAGAAAGTAAGGTAGGTACCCACTTAGAGTGAACAAGGATCAGGCAGACACAGCTTTGGAGAAAAAGAAGGTGAGGTTTTATTGCTGAGCAATAAGGACCCAGTTGGAATCTCTTCCAAAGAACTGGGACCCCGACAAACACAAATCCTGAGGTCTTTATACCTGAGCACATCACAGCAAATCACAGATCATGAGACAGTCATGAGACAGTCACGAACGCCAGCAAAAATTAGCCAATTAGCGTGCTTCTTGCCATGCTTACGGCTCCTGGTCAAGCGCAGAGTTCTACTCCCAACTTCTGCTTTCCGTTGTCTGCACAAATGATGCACAATGATGCACAATCTGACCTTTTCCCCAGTTCTGACAGAACAGGGAGTTTTGGAGTTTTTGTGGTTTGGCCCTTCCTGTTCTTGTGGATTACCGTATTTTTCGCCCTATAGGACGCACTTTTTCCCCTCCAAAAATGAAGGGGAAATGTGTGTGTGTCCTATGGGGCGAATGCAGGCTTTCGCTGAAGCCTGGAGAGCGAGAGGGGTCGGTGCGCACCGTCCCTCTCCTCTCCAGGCTTCAGGAAGCTATCCGGAAGCCGTGGGAGCCCGCAGGAGTTCCCCCGGGCTCCCCCGGCTTGCACAGAGCTGCCTCTTATCCCGAAGCCCCGGCGCGCTGAGCAGTCGCGCCGGGGCTTCGGGTAGCTCTGCGCAAGCCGCGGGAGGGCTCCCCCGGCTTGCACAGAGCTGCCTCTTATCCCGAAGCCCCGGCCCGCTGAGCAGTCGCGCCGGGGCTTCGGGTAGCTCTGCGCAAGCCGCAGGAGGGCTCCCCCGGCTTGCGCAGAGCTGCCTCTTATCCCGAAGCCCCGGCCCGCTGAGCAGTCGCGCTGGGGCTTCGGGTAGCTCTGTGCAAGCCGCGGGAGGGCTCCCACGGCTTGCGGAGAGCAGCCTGTTCTGGGGGCTGGGGTCGGGGGAAGCTCGGGCTTCCCCCGCCCCAGCCTCGCACCTTGGGGGGAAAATAATTTTTTTTTCTTTATTTCCCCCCCAAAAAAACTAGGTGCGCCTTATTGGCCGGTGCGCCCTATGGGGCGAAAAATACTGTATTTTAGTCTGCATTTGAGGGGGATTTTGTACCAGTGTCTCTGATTCATGTCTTCCCCTTGTTCAGGGTACAAGGATGTTTCTAGGGGAAAGGTCGGTTCTAAGTTGCTGTTCCAAGCAGTTTGCAGTTAGCTAAGGCAAAAGCTTTCCTTTGATTCAAAAATGGATTATAAAAATACTGTAAGCCCTGATTATATGTGAGCATATATGAATATATTGTTTACTGATAACTGATTATATGAATAGCATAAGGATAGCCCTTCTTTCCTTGCCTCAATGGATGATGGGAGTTGTGGTCCAAAAACAGCTGGAGACCCAAGTTTGGGAAATCCTGGTCTAGATCAATCAGCACTCATTTGGCTCATCTGAATAGTCCACCCCAATAATCTCATTTTAATAATATGTAGTTACACATAAACATTTACCTATGTATTTATTAGTTACTGCTCTATTACTGCTTGTCTACCAACATCTGCTTTTGACTGTGATATCTGCCCTCCTACTGATCTAAGGTTAAATGAAATTCCCATGCCTAGCATTCATTTCACCATTGCCTTGGTGATTATCTGTTGCATTCTTTCAGTGTACAAGGACATGTCCTGGTTAAAACAGTTAGTTTTTATCTACTAGGACAGGACAGTGAAGGTAATACAGAATATGGAGTTCTAACTGCTCAGAATGGATTCAAGGGAGATTTCTACTTCAGCTTGCAATGGAAAACATATTTGAAATATAAAAGCTAAAAGAGCAGCAAGAATATATCAAACCAGCAAACCAATGCACAATTACATGTACTGCAATATTTTAAACCCATTTAAAAGAGCAAAGCTAATTTAAAATCCAGTCCACTCACAATACCAACCAACATAAAAAAATCTTTAAACTCATTTAAAAGAAAATATGCTGAAAATACCCTGTCTCTCGTGCCCACCAGTGCTGGGAAGTTTTTGCCTCTGCACATGAGTCTGAGAATGTTCTGATCAGTTCCCATTGAGTTCATGAAACAGTGTACCTTGACCTGTTCTTAACGCATTGTTGACCACATCTACGGAACGCGATTGTTATGTTCTCTCAAGTCTTGTTATAATCAATCACTAGTTATAATTTAATTAGGAGGTTTCATGCCTGTCTAGTTCTGTGCTCCCTTTCCCAACCTTTAATCTATTGGTGATTAATGTAATATGTAACCTTTGCTTTGTACTTGTGTTAACCAATCAGCAATAAGCACATATGTGGCAAATGCTATAATATTCAATAAACGGAACTCTCCGAGACTTGCTCGAGAGATGCCTCCCGTATGACACCTTGCCATTCGTCTGCTGGTGGGTCTGTGAGCAGTGCCTTTGAGACTGATCTTAAGGCTCAGACAGGTTGACAAAATCTATTGTTGAACTTAGCTAGTAAGCAGCACTTTAATCACCTGTTATCAGTGGGCATCCATGGAACAGAAAAATGTATATCCTTGGACAGCAAGTGAGAACAGCTTCCACAGCAATGTCAGTCAGATTCACACACCGTTCCATATGGATCTCCTATTTGGGATAATGAATACTAGTATCAGCAACTGTTACAGACAATAATGCAGGGGTCCCCAACCTGCAGCCCATGGGCCGGAAGCGGCCCAAGGAAGCCGTTTAACCAGCCTGTGAGCCACCCCTGAACCAAGCCACCTGCTCAGTGAGTCCCGTGCGCTGCATTAAACCAGCGCAGCATGGTAAATTGGCAAAACTGAAGCAGGGAAGGAAGGAAGTCCAGGCGCGAAATTGCGCAGGGTAAATAAGAAGATACAAAATGTTGAATGTAAAAGTTTATGTTTTATTTAATTTTGTTTTGTTTTTGAAAATCAATAAAAAGCAATAAAAAACAAACAGCGCAGCATGGCGCAGGGACTCTCTTCCATGGCGTCGGAAATTGCTTCTGCGCATGCCCAGATGCTGAAAATCACTTCTGCGCAGGTGCAATTTTTGGCGTCTGGGCATATGCAGAAGCGATTTCCAGTGCCACGGACATGCACCAGTCCAGCCCACGGAGGATCTCCGTGGGAGTGATCTGGCTGATGGCCAGTAAGCCTTGCTGACCCCTGCAATAATGGAAAAAACCTCATATGAGTAAGAGCCACCCTGCTGGATCAGACCAAAGTCCCATCTTGTCCAGCAGCATTCTGTTTCTACAGTGGCCAGTCAGATGCCTATTGGAAACTCACAAGCAGGGCATCTAGTCATCTTTGACTAATAGCCACTGATTTAAGCCCTTAACTCTATTAAGAAATTTAAATAGTACATTTAAATTTACTAATGATAATGATTTGTACTAAACATGTTGAAAAGTTACCTTTAAATTCTTTGAACACATTCCACTAACAAGTGCTATTACACCGTCATCAGTAACCTGGATGGGACAAAATCAGAATTTTTGTTGGTACACTGAATAAAACTATAGTAACTGTCCACTTCAAAAAACCAAAACATTAAAGCAATCCTGTAAAAAAAAAACCAACCAACCATAACAACTTCAGTCTGGTTTTCTTCAATTTGTATGTCTTATAAACTTGAATTTTACACAAATGGAAGCCAAATTAATATATTCTCTTTAAATGACAGAAAAATATTATATATGTGCAATAATGCCACTTTTCAGGCCTTTCTCTGACTTAGTACAAACATCACGCTAAGCCAAAGCATGGCTTAGCAACAGAAACAGAGGAAACATCCTTATACCAGACCATTGGTCCATCCAGCTCAGTATTCTCTCTCCTGACTGGCTCTCCTACAACTGTAGGAGATCTCCATGGATCTCCAGGGTTTCAGGCAGAAGTCTCTCTCAAGTCTACCTGGAGAGGCCAGGGGTTGAACCTGGGACCTTCTGCATGCAAAGCAGATGCAGAATTTCCTATCTCCCTTTATCTCTCCGTTAGGACTCTTTTTTGTTTGTTAAAACTCAGTATTTTATATTAGCAGTGCTGCTTAGCAATCCATTTATGAACTCTCACCAATCCCTTCTAGCAAGGAAAAAACCAGATTGCTTCATGTACATCCTGTAGTCTAATGTGAAAGAATTAAAAGTTGAAAATACATGAAAGGAGATCGGCCAGGCGGAACAGTATCACTGAATTTATGTTAATGTAGAGAATGAATATATTAATCATGGATGATTAAGAATAGATGTTTGTAGACAGGTAAAGAATTAATTAATTAGATATTAATTAAAGTAGACCTTGAAGGATGATAATGTATGATCACATATTATTATAATGAGAAGGCTGGAGTGGGCTAGTAAAAAGAGTACTGTATAAGGGTTTCGATTTGATTTAGAATTATGACCATAGGTTGTAATTCCTATGGGGAAGTTGTTGTAATCATTTGATTGGCTACTCAGAAATCATTTGTGTAATCTGAAAGTGTATAAAAAACATGGCTTTGCTGTTAGTTTCTGTGCAGCTGCGTGGAGTCACAGGACTCTGTTTACATTCCAGAGACCTTGCAGTCTCATGAGAAAGGGAGATGGGATGTGACGTTAGTGGTTTCCTGTTTCCTTTGTTCCTTTGTTCAGTTGCTCTCTGCTTCATAGAGAGAGGATGTCTTTTCTGTTCTGCGTAGTTTAGAAATAAAACTCTTTACAATGTAGCCAAACCTCTCGTCTCTTCCCTGTGCTGGTAACCCTGCTGGATAGAATGTGCTTGAGGCTCAGGTCATTAAACACGTCGGAGGCGATTTCAAAGGCTCAGCTCGGAGGAAGACATTTTTATGGGGTTCTTGGAAGCCTCCTCATTTTTTAGGCTGTGCCTATGTGCATTTGTATTTCAGTCTTTCTATCTTTTCACTTAAAGCCTACATCCATTTCTTCTGAGTTTCTGGAAGGGATACTCCAGTCTAGGAACCCCTTTTAAATTTAGCCAAAAGCTGTGATACTCTGTATGAAGGTTTGCTGTGTTTGTAATTGCTTTTAACCTTTCTGCCATTAGACACCCATTTATTACCTTTCAAACTGGAGACCCACAAAGATTCAAGAATAGCAGACAGTTCCAAGCAAAAGGGAGCTTCCTTGGAAAAGTCACATTCCTGATCTGTAATTAGCTGGAAAAATAACTTTCGCAACAAATTCTGGGGAATATATATGTCTCATTCATATATGTATGTATGTATGTATGTATGAAGAGCAGCAACAGTCAAAAGAGAAGAAGCAAACAAGCAAAGAGAGGAACAGGAAGAGTACCGTATTTTTCGCACCATAGGACGCACCGGACAATAGGACACACTTTGTTTTAGAGGGGGGAGAACAAGAAAAAAAATTATCCCCCTCTCTGCCCAGCGCCCCTTCATCGAAGCGGCAGGAGGCGCTGCGCAGAGAGGGGGAGAACTTTCCCCCTCTTGTTTTCCCGCTCTAAAACAAGGTGCCGTTTAAGGTGCGTTCAGGCGGCTACCTTGGAAGCCTGGAGAGCGAGAGGGGTCGGTGTGCACTGACCCCTCTTGCTCTCCAGGCTTCAGGTTCCTTTCGACCTGCTCTTTGGGGCTGGCGGGGGGAAGCCCACCACCAGCCCCAAAGAGCAGGTCAGGGAGCAGCGGAAAGGCTCAGCGGAGAGGCTCCTGCCATAGCCGCGCGTCACCTCTCCAGCCGGGAGAGGGTCGCGGGGCTATGGCTTCTTTAACCCCGCACGTGCTCTCCCGGCTGGAGAGGTGACGCGCGGCTGTAGAGGCTCCTGCCATAGCCGCGCGTCACCTCTCCAGCTGGGAGAGGGTTGCGGGGCTATGGCGTCTTCGCTCCATAGGACGCACACACATTTCCCCTTCATTTTTGAAGGGGAAAAATTGCATCCTATTGAACGAAAAATACGGTAGTTCTGATCAGAAAATGGAGAGGATCAATATGGAAGAGACCTCCAAGCATGGTGTGAAGGACGCCGGCTATTTAATTGGTTTTCTGCGCTAATGTTATGTGATGAATTGCTCCCTCTGATTATGCTTTATATTAATGCACTTGCATCACTGATTGCACCTATATTTAATTACGTTTCTGGATTTTAATTATGCCATGCCTTTGCCACATTGATTACTCCCTCCAATGAATCGCTCCCTCCATCTGAATAAATGAATTGCTCCCCCTCCTGATAGAAGTACCGTAGTTAATTGAGCCTCAAACCTGAGGATTGTATATCGTGTGATTGCTTCCAATATATCAACTTATAAATCTTGGGTGCTTTCTTTTCTTTCACAGATTCACATATTGCTAAATATTAACCTTGCTTAGTGCAGCCACACAGTGCCTGGTTTACTGGTCAATTCTCACTAGTTTTGGCAGGGTTTCCCCTAGCCTGACTTGATCTGCAGTTCCTCTTCTAGTTTCCTCTTTCACCTTATCTTTTCATTTCCTTTCCTTTCACTTCCTTTTTTATTTTAATTTTGTATCTATACATTATTCTTATTATTCTTATTCTTATTATTACATTACTATTCAGTAGCACTACTCAACCCCATTATCTTCTGTTAACTCTGCATTAGCTGTGCATGCAGCAGCCCTTAACCTCCGACAGCCTCAGCAGTAGTGTTTCTGCTACAAATAATCACAACAAGCCCAAACTCTTCCTATGTGATACTGCAGAATCTTTGTCTTACCAGCCCTCCAAAACAGGCAGAAACCTGGTCTTGCCAGGCCTCCCTGTCCCCATACTAGTAGACAGACCATGCGCCTACCAACTGTTGCGTGGTTGGATGCCCAGCCAGGAGCCTGGAAGGAGGCGCTGCCTGCCCTAAGAAGGCCGTAGGTAAGGACCTCTTGGGCATTCGTCCTCCAAAAACCAGGGAGCAGAACCACCATGGACGACCAGGTTCCAGGAACATCTAGGCACCAGGTAAGCCCATCATCCTCTGGCTCTTCTCCACAGTCGTCAATAGTTGGCTCTCACTGTCTTCCCTTCTTCTCCTTCCATTGTTCATATTACATATTACAGTTTCCTGCATAATTTTACTATAACTATTCAAATCAGTTTTCCACTTTTCTATCAATCAAATATTATTTACTCTGCTGAATTTATTTTAATACTGCACTCTGATAATGTAAGCTACATTAAGTTAAAACCTGCACTCTGATAATGTAAGCTACAAATGTAAAATGGGTGGGAGGGGAAGGGAAATGGGAAACACTAGATTTACAAGCCAAATGACAATTTTTGCAACAAACTTCACTGCAATTTATAGATAAGAGACCACATTTCCTGTGGTAGGCTCAAAACACTCATTTTATCTAATGCAACCACACTAGGCAAAATTAAGGTAACTGTGAAAGCAAAAGAGGCCAAATGCACTTTTATCAAGACAGTATCTCAAAATACCAATAGCAATTTAGTGAAGTAAGAGTCAATTCTCAAGAGTATCATTTTAATCATGCCATTTTGCAAAATATCTATGCCAACAAGATACGGTATATATTTGCCAACAATCTTACTTGGGTAGATGAAAAATCCACACTATGTAAAGATTGGCAGTTCTGTCCAAGAGCTTGCAGTGATGTATCTGTAATGCTGGAACATCCACCTATGTTAACTATTTGCAAAAGTGGGCAGTGGAGGGCAAGGGCAAGGACTCCACTATCTGTAATGTTGCTACATCTTTTAAAAGAGACTTCACGTAAATAAGGGCATGACAAGGCCAGTGCTGCAACCCCTGTTGGATAAACAAAGCACATCATTCTCATGTTCATCTCCAGAAGTTCAAATAGAAGAGCATATTAGAAGAAATTATAACTTTAAGAGCAACATATCAAAACACTTTGGGCATTAATATTACAAATTACAGTCAAACCTGAGGGATACTAACCTCAAATATCAATTCTGCTTATAACGTTTGAATGCTGGCCACTTTGGGCATCATATTAGTATATTCATTGTGCTCTACTAATAATGGTTGCAATTCAGTATACAGTGGTACCTTGGTTTATGAACTTAATCCGTTCCTGAAGTCCGTTCTTAAACCAAATCTGTTCTTAAACCGAGGTGCGCTTTCCCTAATGAGGCCTCCTGCTGCCAGTGCCCTTCCACCGTTCAGCTTCCGTTTGTAGACGAGGTAAAGTTTGCAAACCGGAACACTACTTCCAGTTTTGCGGAGTTGGTAAACTGAATAGTTCATTAACAGGGTTGTTCGTAAACCGAGGTACCGCTGTAGAGTTAAGTGTCCTTAGGACCACTGGTGTGAATGGGCATTGAACTATTGTTAGCTTGTTCTCATCTAATCCTTCCTTTTCTATTTGTATGACCGGTACCTAAAATGACATTCATTATTTACATTCATATCCCACCTTTCTACTATAATAGAACTCAAAGTGATACACATAGGATTCTGAGATTGTCTCCCAGACTTGGACTTCAGCAAGGTTGATGTATCATGTGCCTTTAGGCCAGGGTAGGGAACTTGTAGCCTTTCAGATGTTTATTAGACTCCAACTCCCAACAGCCCCTGTCACCCTAGACAATGGTCAGGGATGATGGGGTTTGCAGTCCAAAAATATCTGGAGAGCCAGATGTTCCTCACCCTTACTTTGCAGCACACCCTGCAACCTTGTAAGATACCTTGAAGGCAATCTAATCCAACCCCTTGCTTAGTGCAGGATCCACAATGGAGGATGCAACTGCAACACCCCTGAGAGATGGACATTCAGCTTCTGCTTAAATACCTCCAGCAAAAGAAAGCCCTCCAGCTCCGGAAGGCAGCTTGTTCCATAGTTCTGACTTCTTTTGAAGCTTCCTTTCTAACTGCCTAATGTTCTAACCCAAAACCATCTACTTGTGGGCTTCACATAAGCACCTGGCTGGCCCCTGTGAGAACAAGATGCCAGGCAAGATGCGCCCTTGGCCTGAAGCAGCAAGACTCTTCTTATGTTAAGTCTCTCGCATCTTCAGTTAAAAACACCTCACAAAGCAGGGTTGCTATTTGCTGGGATGACGTGGTTAGCTGCAGCCAGTAAGAGCAGATGGTGCTCTGGGCTAGATGGATCAATGCTCTGACTTAGCATAAGGCAGCTTCCTGAGTCATGAAAAAGCTCAAAACTACAAAGAAAGAGCATGTGTACAGCCTTCAGAGCAGACGTATGGAAGGAAATCCAATCCTCTGGGTATTTATTTACTAAAAATGATAATGAGAATCCTATTTGGGGAAGAAGAAAACCTGAATGAAACTTAATTTCTCTCACTGTCCTCTGAAATAAATATCACATAGAAAACAAACCTTCTGAAGTGACTGTTAGTCTGTTGCCTTTCCAAATGTTCAAGTTGATTTTCTTAAGCTGTTTGCAGTTACAAAGCTGTTGCAAGGCATTATCTGAAACATCACAGTCCCGAAGGTCGAGTGCCTCTACTGCAGGGTGCAAAACCTAAAATGAAAATATTTTTGTCAAGCTCTACGTGGCGCGGCACAGGAATGGGGAACCTTAGGCCTGAGGGCCAAATGTAATCTTCCATTCCTCTTTATCTGGCCTGTCAGGGGCTGGTGGTGGTTGCTCGTGAGTAACCAGGCAGGACTCCAACCTGTCTTCTACAGGTTTTATTGGTCCAACCAAATACAGTGCAGAAACACAAAGTTCATGTCCGTCCTAGTCGCTTGCAGGTTCCGGGAGTGGCCCCTTCCGGTTTCCCCCCAACATAAGAACTTAGACACCCCAAATCTCTGCCTCCCCTCCTTACGTTTCACCCCTCTGCGTAAGCTGGGTGACAAAAATGGCGTGTCTGTCTCCTGGCCAGCTGGTAGCATCTTTGAGCCCTCCCCTCGCCTGGCTATCCCCTTCCCCCTCCGCTCCACTGGAGGTGTGGCTTTCCCCACCGCTAGATGAGGGGCTGCTCCTCAGAAGCCTCGGAGGCTCTCTGTATCCCCCTGCTTCCCTCCCCAGCCCCGATGGCAGTCCCCTGACATGGCCCTTGGGACTCTACCAATAAATAATAAATTCATTTAATATTCATTAAGATTTTAATGAGCTTTTCTGTCCTTACTCACAAAAGACCCTGAAGTACTATCTGCAAAATGCATGTTTGTTACCACAGCTTTAACTTTTGCTCTATCACCTCAAATTTCTTTAAAACAATAGCAGATATGCCTTGTCAGCAACAGATCAGTATTACATCTAATTTATTCCCTCCTGGAAGATCGAGCAGGTATCCCAAGCTTGTCAAGGGGTCAGCAAATAGAATTCTTCTATGGATAATAAAATTACTGTGCCCTCTTTCCTTAGGCAAGCGGTTGATCATTTTGCCAGTTTATTTAAGCTTACGGATTTTAATAGCTTTGCCATTAGAACCTGGCCTGTATATGGAAGATGAGTCATGTTTGGAACAGAACTTTAAACTCAGGCAAAGGTTTCAGCCATGGTTCCCATTTGAGGCTAATGTAACAATTTAGAAGAGGAGTATACTACGCTGATGGCAAATGTTGCTAGATGCAACTCTACTTCATGATAGATTGTCCCTATCAAATCCAGATTCCTTCATATACTGTATCTGAACATTCTTCAAGGTAATATGAGATAATCAAATTCAGCACCAAAGAGAAGAGGAACTAGCCTAAATGGCAGAATGGTACAGGTGTGGGTAAATGCAAATGAGAAAATGCAAGTTTTTTGTTTTGTTTTTTAAAGAAAAAATGCAAGTTTTGTTGAAAGAGAAATAATAATTAACTCTTCTGATGCTTAAGTTTGTTACTTGTTCCTAGCTCCTTATCTGTGTAGGAATTTGAAATATAGCTCAATCAGAAAACTAAAAAACAAAACAAAACTTGACATGTCACTGAACTCCAAAGTAAATTTTAGAATGCCCCATATTATCCCAATGACCTGAAGAATGTCCCTTTCAAAATACACACTACTTTTCTGCAATCAAATTATTTGTGTTTGTTCAATACTCATGAGAACATGGTGACCTCAAATGACAACAGCAAATGAAGAACTAGGGGTGTACGATCAATAAGCTTTGGGACATCACAAATCACAGACCCATACATCCAGGACAGCTTCCTCTGGGAACTGACATTAAATCACATCAACTCCACCACTTTATTGGGGCACAATACACTGTCATATTGTTAAAATATGCAGAAATGAATAATGAACTGGGGCACTACACTCCAAAATAATGCCCCACCACAAATCACACAGCCAGGAAATATGGCATTGAATTGCATCCAGCCCAACACTTTCCTGGAGGTCATCTCATAAAGGACACTGTCACTAATGAACTACATGGCTGAGTCTGGATTAGAACCCTGGTTTCCCAGGTCCTAGAACAACGCTCTATCAAATACACAGCCTTGGCTTTGACTATGGAAAAGACAGCAGGAATAAATGCAAATATAAATATGTATTGTTTGTAAGTCCCAATGATGACAACGTGGAGAGTTGTGCTCAAAGTGCCACCTTACCGTATTAATATTTGAATCACTTATCCACCCTTGGACACTCAATGATTTGATCAGTTTATCTTTGATGTTGGGAGGCAAAGGCTTAATATCTTCCGCATATCTGGATATGTTCCTCGTTAAGCAATGAAGGCTTCTGGAGGGGAGGAGGGGAAAAGAACAAAAAGTAGTCATAAGATGACACACTTTCTTGGCAACTTGGGAAACAATTATGTAAGCCCGATTTCTTAGACTGTAACAACAGGGACTTCTCTTGGGGGGCGGGGCTATTCAGCACCTAGTACAAAATTAGGTAATGAAAAAAAAAAGATGTACACCAGAGGCAGGGGACCTATGTCCTTCCAGGTATTGTTGTATTCCCATCACTCCTGTCTATTGACTGTGATGGTTGGGGCTGGTGGGAATCCAACATGTCGAAGTCCACCTGACATACACAAACAAGTGGAAAAGATATTCACAAAGTTTACTCATATCAAAAAACATTTAACACAACTTTAAATGAGTTCTAATCACAAATATATGTATATTCAGTTCTGAATGGCTTGGAGCAAGCGTGCAGAACCTTTGTTGCTGAACTACAGCTCCCATCAGCTACAGGAAGCATGGCCCATGGCCAGGGCTGATGGTAGTTGAAGTTAAGCAACATCTGGAAGATCAAAGATTCTAAGGTTCCCCACATGAAGCTTAATTATTATTGAGACATTTAGTTTTAAACTGCACTTTGGGAACTTTGAGGTTCCTCAGATGCTCATCAAGGGCTTCTGAGTGAAAATGATCATTGGCTGAAAGGCAGTTTGCTTAATGTGACTGAATTCCCCTACAACGTGTAGCCAGAGTTAGAGAAATCAATAAATTATGACTTCAGGATTAAGGATAATGAACTTTGCTCTGATCAACAATAAGAGTGAAGGTGACATGGAATAAGGGTGAGGGTGACATTGCTGATTCACATACTGCTTTAGTCACAAGAACAAAGTCGCGCAAAAATGTTGTAACACCGCAGACTGCCAATAAGCAAAATTATTGCTATGTAAAATAAATCTTAGGGCAAACAACTATTTATGCAACATGTTAAAATACTGCTTTGAACTCTTGGTAATATTCCACTGTATTTGAAGAGGTGAATCTCTGTACTGTGCATGACATTTACTGTATAACTACTACGCACTTTGTATCATACAGTGGTGCCCCGCAAGATGAATGCCTCGCAAGACGAAAAACTCGCTAGACGAAAGGGTTTTGCGTTTTTTGAGTCGTTCCGCAAGACGAATTTCCCTATGGGCTTGCTTCGCAAGACGAAACGTCTTGCGAGTTCTTGCGAGTTTGTTTCCTTTTTCTTAAAGCCGCTAAGCCGTTAATAGCCGCTAAGCCGCTAATAGCCGCTAAGCCGCTAATAGCCGCTAAGCCGCTAATAGCCGTGCTTCGCAAGACGAAAAGACTCGCGGAACGGATTAATTTCGTCTTGCGAGGCACCACTGTATTCAGAGGACACTCTGGTAAACGTATGCTAAGACCTCTTTCAGCCACTTGGAATGAAGAGGAGCATTAGGCATGAAACAAAAGTTGTCCTGTAGTTCGATTTCCACATCAGTATTGGGTGTGCCAAAGAGTCCCAGTGCCCTGGATGAACGAATGGGTACCCTTCAGCATGCCCCCAGAATCCTCTGCTCTGTGCCCAGGTTCTGCTGGAAGTCACTCTCAGTAATGCTATATAGGCACTTGTAAAGTGTTTGGAAATCTCTATATACTGTAAATAAAATAAGTATGTTGTAGGATTTGATTATTTGATTATTGTACTTCGTATTTTTTATAAATTTTGTGTTTTTAACATTATGAAAACCGTCCTGGAAAAAATATTTGAAGAGCACATAAGCAAACAAACAATGAAAATGAATTCAGGGGCTACTCAGTGTGTCAAGGATTCCTGAGATCAGACAAATTTATAGAAATGTCTCCCAATAGCTAGTAGCCAGTTGAAAGAAATCTCCTATTTAGAAACTGTGATGGCTTTTTCCAATTTGCTCTGCCTGTGAGTTTCTTAGAGGCATCTCTCTGTCCACTGTCGTCTGCAGAGCTGGATCACTATTCAGATCCATTACAGAATATTTTTATGTAAGCAACTGTAAATTTAATTGTTCAGAATACAAGTAACATGGGAGGTCAAAACTGCTTCCAGTACAATTTTTATCACGTACAGTGGTACCTCAGGTTACAGATGCTTCAGGTTACAGACTCCGCTAAGCCAGAAATAGTACCTCGGGTTAAGAACTTTGCTTCAGGATGAGAACAGAAATCATGCGGTGGCAGTGCAGTGGCAGCGGGAGGCCCCATTAGCTAAAGTGGTGCTTCAGGTTAAGAACAGTTTCAGTTTAAGAACTTATGCCCAATTTATTCCCCATACAGACTTCTTAAGCTTCTGTTAAACTGCTTGTGCTGTCAACAGACACATGAGGCTGCTGTGGGAAATACGTTGCTTTTTCATTGTTTCCCTAGGATAAGGATGCTTTTATTAATGCTTCTTATTATAAGAATGCTTTTATTAGTGGATCCTATTAAGACACACCTACCACAATATATAGCTTGGCCATTTTTTGAATAGGATGTTTCTAAGCAACTCTTTGCCTTTCCATTACTTCTTAATTTTTAATGATGCTATATTTTTGCTTTTTCATAAAAGTCTAAAGGTCTAAAGAGCAGCTGCCTGCTAAGATAATAGTGAGCATAGAATTTGATAGTTTATAGCTGATAGGGGATATGTTGGTATATCTGATCCCAGGGTCCGGATCCAGTCACCTCGTACCCACGCCGGGAGCGTGAAGGAGTTAAACAACACCAGGGTGTGGTTTCACAGAGAAAAAGGTTTATTGCAAAGTCTGCACAGAGGCAGCCAGCGGAATAGCTTCCAAATACTGGCGGCCCCCCTATCGTGTCTTACAAGCATTCTTATACCCAGTTGCAAGCTTGTTTCCTCAATTGCTCCCCAATCAGCAGACAGAGATACAATTCATTACCTTATTAGGTTAGCTAAGCCCCCTTCCCCCCATCCTTCTATATTTTGCTTGCATTCTATATGTTTGCATACCTACCATAACTGAAGCAGGAAGCCAGGCAGGAAACCACTGCTGGCCTACATAGCTGGCCTAAACATAGCTGAAGCAACTGTGCAGCCATAACTGGAGCAGTTGTTAACTGGCATAACTGGAATAGCTGTTAGCTGGGGTCCTAGTACATGGAGGGGTTAAACCTTCCCTCTCCCTTCATAACCACAAGGGATTCCACCGAATAAGGAATGCAGATTTAGCAAAAGTCATGCAGCTCACTGTTAAGAACCTAGACTCAAGAGCAGCTCGCACCTGTAGCTAGGATATTTGGTGGTCAACTTGGGGTTTGTCCTCTTAGCCTTATCAGATAACAAACTACGGTAGCTTACGCCTGCATATGGAACCAATAGTGGTTAACACATCAAAATAGGACAATTTGAGATAAGAATAAAGGGGTTGCTTGCATCAAAATATAAAATGTAAAGATGCTTTGACAATATTTGTGCAATGATTAACATGGGCAAGTGGGATGGTAAAATGTTAAGGCGGACGCAATATGTTGTAAACTTTGCATGCTCCTCCATGGTGGGCACGTAAAGTAGGGACTTTTTGGCGGTTGGGGGGGCAGATTATATAAACTGTGTTTTTCCTCATTAGGGTGTGCCTGCATTGGTCACCCATCCTTGTTTAACCATGCTTTTCCTTCAATAAAATTCTACTACTTCACCAATTTTTGTCCAGATCTTATTATTTAAAGGATTTTGAGACCTAAGTCTTAGGAACCAGGTTTTTTTGGTGTGGTTTTTTTTTGTATCTCTAACAGCTGGAAAACCAACAGGTGAAGTTTTTCCAGGTATGAGATAAATGCAGGGTCACCCGAGAAAGTCTTGCAGCTCAATGATATTATTATTATTATATTACAGTATTATTAAAAGCACAGCTATAATGGTCCCAGGGTGAAGTTGGTCACACTTATCAATAGAAGAACAGCCAGGTTTGTTTATTTATTATATTTTTCTATCCCACCTTTCCTCCAAGGGGCTCAAGGTGCCGTACATGGCTCTCCCTCCCTCCTCATGGAATTTGTATCGGGCTGCTCCCTAGCCCAAGGGCTCTAACCACTACTCAAGGCAAGGTGGAATTTCAGCAGGCTTGCTTGTCGACCAAGCCGCACCTGCTGAAACGGCCTCTTCCGCGCAGCTATTTAAAACTGCTCTCTGCACACGCTCAGGGGCACGCTTCTCCTCGTTGATTTGTTGGCACATCCCAGGGGCAGAATCCGGACAAAGGGCAGCAAAGAGGTTAGCGAAGAGGCGGGGAGGACATAATAAGGGTAACGTTGGAGATGGAGGTGAAATAAGGTGGTTTTCCTGGTGCCGGGAGAGGTTCATGGTGGGTGGGGGGGACGCACGAGTGAAGACCCCGCTCGCCCCGCCGGCCACTCACAAGTCGAGGAGGGACCTAACGGCCCCGCCGCTTTCGCTGAGGTAACTCATCGCTAGGCCCCGGCAGCTCGCTCTCGCTTTTCCTCTCAGGCCGGGGGATGTGCGGCGTCAGGGACCGTCCTTTAATTCCTCGCAATTCACGGACGCAGCGCCCTCTATGCCTCAGGCCTTTCCTCTGCGACGGAACTCGAATGAGCGAAAGGGGAGTTCGGAATTGGCAGAGCGACCCTAAGCTGAGAGCGGAGCACTTTGGGAAACGTAGTCTTCGGCGTGCGGTACTGAGGCCTTCGGAGGTAGTTTGGCGTCGAAGGGGAAGGGGTCGTCGTAGGTTCTAAACGGGGGTTTAGCTTAGTCTCCCGCCCTCAAGCCCAGCGGAGCTGAAGCAACGTCAAAATAAGAAAAAATAATCCTATAATATCTACTTCTTCTTCTTCATCATCTCATCTCATTTCGTTTCACTTTTTCCATCCCGCTCGCTGTCTTGGCTTCTTTAGCCGCGTTCAGCCTCTCCGGCCGGGAGAAGCTGCGCACGGCTATGGCAATTCCCCCACCTCCTGTGAAAGCCCACAGGGGCCGCGCACCCTTTAAGGACTCCTGCGGGCTTTTCTACGAGGAGGGAGAAGGGACTGACTGGCCACGTCAGTCCCTTCTCCCTCCTGGGGAAAAGCCCACAAGAGCCATGCGGAGCTTGTGTGCGGCTCTTTGGGGCTTTTCCTGCCTGCATCCCCCCTGCATTTGTAGCACCCTGCTTGTGGTTAACGCTTAGCTGGAATGAAATATTCAACGCAGCAATAGAGAAATTAAAATAATAATTTATTTGTCAGACAAATAAATGATAGGCACAGTGGTATATGGTTACCAAAGCTCTGCCCCCACCCCCCAGCCCTGATGGCCAGCACTGGTTCACACTGATGAGGTAAGGAGGATTCTTGATGCGGCTATCCATCATATCCCTTTTGTAGCCTAGCATAAGTGTATGAAATTTAGATAACCTCTTTCCAGTGCTGAATAGTTTGTTTAAAATGTTAGGATTCATTATTGTTTCACAGGATGTGTACCACTTTAAAAGCTAGGGTGCATATCCTAATCTAGTTTTTACAGCTGTGTAGCAGGTGCTGATAAGTCACTGTAATTAGCTGTGTCAGCAATTGTGAATGATATATAATGTCCAGTATGTACCTTACTCTGCCCTGGTGGATGGATGGGTGATGATTATAGACACTATGTAAAATGGAGTTTTGTTATTAAACCATGCAAAGATATTTTTGTGTCTCTTCAGTGTTTCCATCTGTGTGGTCTACTCTGCACGCACTCTGTGGCATGTTTCAATGCCCAATATCCAGTAGAACAATGTTTACAGACAGTACCTACAGTACCAATATTACAGCACAGTAAAGGAATGCAGGTGTTGCAGGTATTCCCAGTCAATAAAGACAGACAAGGGTTCTTTCTGAGGAAGGTCAAATTTATTCACCTGCGCAGGGGCTACAGCAAGAATATTTCTCAAAGGCTGTGCCCCAAGTCAGTTTCAGGGGCTCTTCTTATAGTGAGCAACAAACAGCTTTCGCAATATTACTCAAACAGGCTGTAGTGAGCAGGACTATCCACCCCCCTGACCATTCCTCCAAGACACCGACAGGACTTGGCCAGGAAAGGGGAGAGATTGCTAGTTGCTGCATATCACAAGCCAAACAGTAAAGCTGCCACCACCTCCTTTCCTGGACCACCCTCGAAAGGGGTTCAAGGAAGAGAACCCCCCTTCGATATTTACCTGGTTTGCCCAGCCCTGAGTCACTTTATTGTGACGCAGGCAGAAATTCAACAGGTAGGTGCCCAAATGGTAGGGCACCAGTTAAGTTTCCCCGAGCAAAGGCACAGAATACAAGAAGTCAAAAAGTCCTTTTCCAAGTTTATTGAACAAGCCACTCAAAAAGTTGCATGTTTCTTAGAAGGTTACAAACAAAAAATAAAAACATTGTAAAATATAACTAGCTAAAACCATACTCACACAGCAACAATAGTTCAAAACACAGCGAATAGTCAAGAACCCTTTCACTGGTCAAATGCTCCGAGGCGAAGTACCAGGGCAAGTTAATAACAGTAACAAAACAATAACAATATATTATTTATACCCCGTCCATCTGGCTGGGCTTCCCCAGCCACTCTGGGCGGCGTCCAACAAAATATTAAAATGCCATGATACATCAAACATTAAAAGCTTATTCTGTCCTTTGCATCTAAATTTCCCAATCCTTTATCCTTTAAAACCCATGTGGAGGACAGGTTAGGGACCAATCATTTCTTTAGGTTAATTACCAATTTACCAATGGCTGTATGATGAGAATATATCTCCTGATTGTCAGGAGACCAGCACAGCTGAACTTTGTTTAGACTCAGAGACCTTAAGATCAAAAGGCTCTTCCTTCGTTCCCAGACCTCTCTTACACATACCAGGTTCCTAAATTGTAAATTGCTTGATAGCCTCCTGTGCCTTTTTACAACCCAATCCACACTCAGGCCCCCAGCTGTGCCAGGGTCTGCAAATCAGATAACATCTCATCCTGCCTAGATTCAAGATGTAATTGACTCACACTTCTAGAGACAGGGAGTTTTAGTTTAAAGAGACAAAACACCCATTCCTCAGAAGGCCAGCCTCACTCCTGCGTGAACCAGCATTTGGCATACCAAGATTTCCCAACTTCACTACACAGGCAGAAAAGCAGAACTTTACTCCAGCAGGCGAAGAAACAGAACTATATTTGGCCTCCTTGCTTCATCTTGTCTGCCTCAAACTGCGAGCATGTGCAGATTTCTTGCTCAAACTGCAATCGTGCAAGTTTAAAAACAGACACCCTTTAGCTTATTTTCTTGTGACTGACTTTCTGGCATAGATTGGATTACATAATGAGGCATCTGATCAAGGCCTGTATTTTAAAATGAGCTTAAAAAATATATTTGCAAATGTTTGTATGTTTCATGCCAGGCATAAAGCAGCTGGCTAAGTACTTTGGCAGTTGCTTATCTTCCTGCTCTGCTGGACAAGGGCCCCCCTGATTTATAGCAGTAACAGGAGACACGTTTCTCAAAGTTGTAAAAGGGAAATACAGGCTGGGAGCAAAGGTTACATTCACCCTACAAATTACAGAATACAATCAAGCTGCAAAAACACTAATTAAGAGTTGGTAAATAGTAAGATTTATTGTTTATTAGAAAATAATACCATGTGCCTCCCATTAGACTCGAGTCATATTTTCCTAAGGTTAAAGGGCAAGAGCTAATGCGGAAAGCAGCTGGCTAGGAAAGGGCGTTGTAAATTGAAGAGGTTGCTTTTGAAACTGTTTTTACTAAGTTCCTTTTCTTCTAAAAATCTATCTATGTTATGTATGAAATATATTGGCTTAATGTAATTATGCAAAGGATTTAGAAAGTAAGAAATGTTAGATTCTTATGTTAGATTCTTATTTCATTGATGGTGTGTGAGAATGTGAACCCAAGATCTCTGTTACCATGAGCCATCCGTTTTGGAGTGAAGGGGCAATAGGGCAATAGGGCAAAAGGTGATCTGGTAATTAAGGTGCCTTGTCGAGGCAAATGTAAGATATATGGCTACTTGTCTGCCATTTATGGATAGAAGGAAATATAGCTCTTTGTCTCCCATAAAAGGTAATAGGAAATGGGTGTATCTTTTATGATTGGTTCTAGCAAACAGCCAATAGAAATTTCAACCAGGCTGATTGGACAGAGGCAGCCAAAGGAGGAGCAAGGGGCTGGGCTGAGGAAATATAAGTGCTGGCCATCAGGGCTGGAGTGGGCAGAGCTTTGGTACCCATATACCACTGTGTCTCTCATTTATTTGTCTGACAAATAAATTATTATTTTAATTTCTCTATTGCTGCGTTGAATATTTCATTCCAGCTAAGCGTTAACCACAAGCAGGGTGCTACAATAGCACTTTCGGCTCATCTCCACAGTGGGGGCTGTTGGGGGAGATAGATTCCATTCGGACCCTCCCTCACAGAGAATCAGCAATGGGAAGCAATTGTATGTAATCATGTTGTGGCAAGAATTTGCCCAGGTGAGGGAATAAAAACTCAGAGAAAGACACAATAAAGAGAAATAAAAAAATTGTCCAATACCACCTTAGAGACCAACTAAGTTTGTTCTGGATATAAGGTTTCATGTACATGCACACTTCTTCATGTGTGCATGCACACGACAGCTGATATCCAGAACAAACTGAGCTGGTCTCTAAGGTGCTACTGGACAGTTTTTTTATTTATTTTGACTGCATCAGACCAACATGGCTACCTACCTGAATCTACAACCAAGAGAGAGATTTAAGTTGAGCTTCCGGTAGGGACCCAGTTTATTCAAAGAAGTTATAGCAATAGCGACAGTTGCTCTGGAGAACTACCCAAAAGGCACATTTAAATATAGCTTTTATAGGGTTTTCAAATACTGTGCAAGCATCAACTCATAGAATGCATACATAAAGGGAGGTCACAGGTGAAGGAGTTAAAAACTGTCTTGCTCTGCTCTGTTAAATTCTTTCTTCCATTATCTCAGGATATTCTGGAGCCTCAGGACTTTCATTTCACCCTGGTTTGTCTTCTTGACAACCAAACCATCAAAAACAGTCCATAACGCAAAATTCCTATAGCTTCCTACTCCTGGGAAGACTCAAGGTAAGAACAGCCTTTCACAAACACTTTGCTCCTAAACTACGCAAACAGCACTTAGAAATATTAGAAAGGGGTTGAGAAGTTCACATAGTACTGCATAGGAATCATGATATTATAGAAATCAAAGCATACATTTACATAATTATATAGAGAATATGTGTAAGGACTATAAACATAAATTTTATTAAATGCTAAATAGGTTTTTTACTAATCCTATAACAATGCTAATACAGGAGAATGGAATCAGCCATGGAGAATGACTGTAATTAATCAGAAATGGATGAATTAAGGTGTTGAAGAATGGCTATACTTACTCTTAAATGAATGAGAAAATTAGGGCTATACAGAAAGACCTACGGACGATGGATCCCTTACAAATTTGCCCATCACAGTCATGGTGAAGGGAGAGGAGAGAAGAGGGGGGGAGGTAAAACTCCATCGTGTTTTAGCTGGCTCCGGCTAACAATTGTTTTAGCTATGCAAGATAGCTTTGCGGGCAGGCAGTGGGTTTCCTGTCTGGCCTCCTACAGAGCTGAGGCTGAAGAGGCTCAGCTCGGCAGGCCGGTAGTGGTTTTCCTGTCTGACTTCTCACCTCAGCTGTGCAAAATGCAAACATTTATAACGCGAAGCAAATAATTTTTGCAAAGATCTGCAAAAGGGAGGGGGGGCTTAGCTAGCCTAATAAGGTAATAAAGTGTATCTCTGCCTGTTGATTGGGGAGCAACTGGGGAGCCAAGCTTGCAGCTTCAGTAAAAGAATGCTTGGAAGACAATAGGGGCGCGGCCAGTCTTTGGAAGCTATTCCACTGGCTGTCCCTCTGCGCAGATTCTGGAATAAACCTTTTTCTCTGTGAAACCCACCCTGGTGTGTGCTTGACTCCTTCATGCTAACGGCAAGGGCACGAGGTGACTGGATCCGGACCCCTTAGGTTCAGATATCCTAACAATGCAAGGATTTGTATGCTGTGCACTGTTACAAGGTTTATACTGGAATTTCTCAGTCAGCCTGAATGAATACTTCCCTTGTAGATTTAGATGGAACTTTTATTACAGAGCATGGATCTGTCTTTATTCATTTCTTCAAACAATGTAATATTTGACTAAAACCGGCTACCAGCATAAGATCACCAAAAATCTCCAAATCCTATTTGTTATGACCATATCTACTTGGCTCTAGTTATTTTTAGACAGCCCAAAGGAAAATGGAAATTTCCCAGTTGACCCAACAGAAAAATATTCTTTAAAATAGTACAACATACACAAATAAGTGTAGGTTTATGAAACCTAAGTCCTAACTCTATAAATCTAGCAGATAATCAGTATAATGCTATCTCAGCACAAACCAAAACCACACTAGTTGAATGATAAATCAAACTAATGAGTCGGGTGTAAGTGACCAATCAGGAAATTGTTGCACTCATAACAAAGGAATTTCTATCAGGAAACAGAGATATTGGTTTCACTTCCTTTATTGAATATGGTTGATGAGGTTTTATGTTTAGAATGATTAATCCAGTGTTTCTCAAACTTGGGTCCACAGCTGTTAAGACTATAACTCCCATCATTCCTGACAACTGATCATGCTAGCTAGGAATGATGAGAGATGTAGCCCAACAACCACCCAAGTTGATTTATGCAATTACAGATGAAGAGATTTAATGCACTCAGAACCTTCAGCTCTCCAGATGTTCCTTGACTAAGCTCTGACCTTGAACTATGCTGGCAGGGGCTGATGTGACTTGGGAGACCAGTCATAAATGGAGAGCCAGGAGTTCCCTATCTTTTCGCCTAGAATGTGCCTAAGCAGTGATATCACTGGAGACAAAAGGATGCTTTAGGTTTGAAATGCTGTTAACCTTCCCTACAAGTAGAATTTGGTGTGAACCTATTGTTTTGAATGGAATGGAGCTCCACTGGGGCTTTCTAGATTCCTAAGGCTTTCTTGAGAAGACCTCACAAGAATGCAAAAGTGCAGCCCTAACAGTGAGAACATTATTCATACTATCACATGCCATCCCAGTCTCCAAGGGCTGAGAAATTATAGGGGTTCCACATGCTTACTCAGGGTTGAGTTTCCTTGGAATGAGGGTCAGCTGAGACTGTGGTGTCTTTAGGATATATACAGTAGTTTATTTACACACACACATATATAGCCTGAGCTTAAGATGGAGGGGCTCACAGCATTAACACTCCCATAAGATCTTGCTTCTCCATCAGGCACAGCTTTTTCCAGCACAAATCAAATAGGTCTCTGTTTCTCAGCTTCTTAACCTACCACCTATTTTGAGTTCACACACAACTACTCTGGCTATTGTTCTTGGCTCCTCCCAATGTACTGTAGCTGTGTTATTCCTAAACAAGTGATACTCCTGTGAATTAGAAATCCAGGTTTAGCAACATGGGCGCAGCTGCCCCCCTCTAAATCAAGTAAATAAATAAAAATAAAATAAATACTTAACCGACCAATTGTGTCGCAGATAACATAAAACTAGGCCACACCCATGTTTAGCAAGCATACAAGTCATCATGATTCAGCAATAATGTTAACCACTCTTAGGCTTAGAAGAGCAGTGAAAGTCTGCTTCTTTGACAACCCTCATATAACGGAGCCATGAAGGACCAATTACCGTATGCCTCCTTAAAATACAGCAGGTTACCACTGCAAATACAAAATGCTTGTGTAACATTCCAAATATAGACATGATGAACACAGAGTTTCAACAGTGAATATGCTTACATTACAGATTTCAGCACTAGCTGTAAAATTGATTTGAAAATTATTTTAAAAGAAAATTAAGGAAAAGAAGGCAAATAGCTATTTCTTATTTTATTTTCTAAAGCAGCTAACAATTTGTCTGCCCTAAATGGCACAATTACATTCACAACAAGTTCCCAAGCATCAGATAAAACCAGGAAGGAATAAAAGTTTGCATTACAAAAATGAGTCATTTGACCAGTTTGCATTTCAAAAGAGTGAATGTTCAAGGAAATGTCTCCAGCAGTCTTAGCACTGCCTCATCCTATTTACTGTTGTTGTTGTTTAGTCGTGTCCGACTCTTCGTGACCCCATGGACCAGGGCACGCCAGGCACTCCTGTCTTTCACTGCCTCCCGCAGTTTGGTCAAACTCAGCCTTCTTTATGGTCCAGCTCTCACTTCCATATATCACTACTGGGAAAACCAGCCTATTTACTAGTGCCAGCTAATAACTTCTTGCCTGGCAAGGACCTGGACCCCAAGCTTCCCCGGAATAAAACACACGAACGCAGGTATATTGGGTTAATGGGATAAATAAGCCCACAACTTTATTGGTTACAGATGTGAGCAGTATTGGCTTAGGCAATTGGTGAAGCAAGACTATAACCTGACTCCTGCACACTTGCAGGAAGTCTCTTTGAAGGGTTCACCACCGGAAGGGGGGAGCCCTCTGATGTACATCAAATGAGGCCCCCCTCAAGGGTCACCGTTGGGGATGTGTCTTGGCCCTAGCCCACGCCCAGGCTTCAGACAGGAACCACACCCCAGGATCCCTTTAACGGGATACCCTTACCGTGGAGGGGCAGGCGGAGGCAACAATCTCCTCTCCCATAAAAGGCTTACCCAATGCCGAACCACACAAAGTTGTGACGATTGCTACTAGGTAGGTGAAAATCAAGTGGCTAGAGCCAAGTATGCCAAGTGGGAAAAATTCCTACCCGGTCCCAACAACCAGGCGACCGACATAAGTCATAGCAAGGTCATAGTTGAACCACATAAAAGAGGGTGGGTGGGCAGGGAGACCCAACAACTGGAAGCAAAAGAGGCAGCATCCCCTGGCCCCAACATTTAACAGGGTACCCATGCCCCCAGGCAAGCTTCAATTGGACAGGCTGAAGGTGACACGGCCGGGGAACCTGCTGACATGGGCAGCTTATCTCCGCCCACTCTAGGGTCACTATGGAGACCTGGTTCCTGCCCGCAAAGCAGCCCCTCCCTAATGGGGAGCTGACCTAACAAGCTATTGGGGAAGGACTGTAGCTCAGTGGCAGAGCATCTGCTTTGTATGCAGAAGATCTGAGGTTCAATTCCTGGCATCTTCAGATCAGGCTGGGATTGTTTCCTATCTGAACTCATAGGAAGCTACTGCCACTTAGTGCAGACAATTCTGAGCTAGATGGACTAATGGTCTGTCTTTTAAAAAGGCAGTATCCTCTCAACTTGGCATATAAAGGTTGATGTTGCTACCACCACCTTCACACTCTACTTTGCTCTGGAGGAGAAGCAGTTTGTATCATAATAAAACAAAATCAGTGCAGCTCAGCATTGTGAGACATAAACACTGGTCCCCAGGACTTAGGTCCTGGACCTCTTTGAAGTAATCAAGTCTGGGCAAAGTTGATGATGCAGCAATATTTTATTGAAATTAAACACTTGTAAGTGAGTGTCCTGAAAAAACAGGCACACACTTCCTTATCAAAAACATGACTATATAAACCCTTTTCCAGAGCACAAGTCCCTATGTGATGGCCTGGGACTCGGGCTCGGAAACAGAGGAGACTCAGTCTGCACCAGATCCTTTGCCTCAGGCATCACCTGAACCAAGTCTGGGGCCTGATCCTGAAGAGTCCCAGTCTGCACAGGTTCCCCTGCAACAAACACCAGCTGGGCCAAGTCAGGGGCCTGAGCCTGCCCTGGCGCCAGATGCGGGGATTACCTGGTTGCCTTCAGCTGGGCCGTCACTTACAGCTGCTCCACTGCCTGTTTGGTCAGGGGTTGGCTGAGGCGGCCCCTGGGTCTAGTAACCCATCGACACAGATCTGAGAGAAGGAGAGACCTGAGTACTTGCAGGAGTGCTGGCCTTCGGGCAAAACAGGGAGGTGAGTCACCGGGGAATCAGGACCGGTCGCTACCCCAACAAAGATAAAAGGCTGTCAGACCCTGCCCCAGGTTGCGGGAGCAACATTGCTGTAAGCCAGATCCTGCCTGAGATCCTGTACCTGTCCTTGCCTGGTTTCCTGCCTTGTGTCCTGCCTTGGCTCTGTCGGACTGATTCCTAGCAGAACCTCCGGATTCTGGACCAGTCCTGAACTGTGTTTCACGGGTTACCCCCGGGCCCAGCACACCCTCCTTCGCCGCCCACTAGGAAGGGGTGTTCAAAGTTCACACCTATCACGTCCGCCTATTGCAATGTAAAATCCAACCCCCACTCCCTCTTTCATCCCCCAAAGCCCCTTAATTGGTTAATTTTCCCCCGTTCCCCAAAGCCCTTATTTGATCAAGCCTCTGTGCCATTACATACTGTTTTAGCAATAAAGCTATGTTCCTTTATTTCACCGAAGCATGTAACACTCTTTGGGTTGGGTCAGTGTGAGAAGTAAAAAGTGGGTCCTAAGACCCTTAATCCTGTTCCTTAAAATACAATCAGAACAAAACTGGTGAAGCAGCAAATAATTTATTGAATACAATATATTCTTTGCAAGAGCAGGTGTCCAAAGTAGGCACATCCAAAAACTGGCAAAACATAAGCTTATATTCACTATACCTGAAGGTTCCCTCCCTTGTCTCCTCATTGGCTGGGTACTGCAAGGGTTACAGCCTATCACGACTGCTTGATTTCCCTACTAAAATTCCCCTATTTGGTCTATGCAATTACTTGCTAAGCCAAGCAAAGATACTGCCTTCTGATCACAAGCTCTACCATCCCCAGTTAACAAGTGTGAGTCGTTCTGGACTACTGATGCTTGTCTACTTGTTACAACCACATCCGGACCCCTAGCAGGTGCAAGCGAGTTCTATACTTGCTGAGGCGTAAAAATAAACCGTTTCTCATCTGCAAGCTGCCCCACTTACGAGGGGCCCCACTTACATCCTAACCACAAGCCGTTCTAAATATAAATATAAGCAAGTCTGTGCTGCCTGCAGTTATATAACCGTTGCAGCATTTTGGTGAAAACGCAACTCCTCAATCATTCAGCTAGTAAGGTAAAGGTAATGGTAAAGGGACCCCTGACCATTAGGTCCAGTCGTGACCGACTCTGGGGTTGCAGCGCTCATCTCGCTTTATTGGCCGAGGGAGCCAGCGTACAGCTTCCGGCTCATGTGGCTAGCATGACTAAGCTGCTTCTGGAGAACCAGAGCAGCACACGGAAACACCGTTTACCTTCCCGCCAGAGCGGTACCTATTTATCTACTTGCACTTTGACGTGCTTTTGAACTGCTAGGTTGGCAGGAGCAGGGACTGAGCAACGGGAGCTCACCCCGTTGCGGGGATTCGAACTGCCAAGCTTCTGATTGGCAAGTCCTAGGTTTAACCCACAGCACCACCCACGTCCAAATCATTCAGCTAGCCTGGTACAAATTCACCTAACCGTTACCTCGTTCAACCCACATTTTACCAGAATATCCTGGCTGCTTATCTCCTGTTTTGCCCAGTCCATAAACTGGCTCAATAGTTCTTTATCTTTGATTCGATAATTTCTTTATCTTTTGTCTTCAGAGTCACGTAGCATCTGGTTCTGCTCACACTTCAGACATATCTCCATTCATACCGTACTGAAATTATCTTCAATTATACCATGAGATCTCTTTTTAGTCCTCACATACTAAACATATACAGTGGTTAAATACGCTTCAGGTTACATACGCTTCAGGTTACAGACTCCGCTAACCCAGAAATAGTGCTTCAGGTTAAGAACTTTGCTTCAGGATGAGAACAGAAATCGTGCTCCGGTGGCGTGACAGCAGCAGGAGGCCCCATTAGCTAAAGTGGTGCTTCAGGTTAAGAACAGTTTCAGGTTAAGTACGAACCTCCAGAACGAATTAAGTACTTAACCCGAGGTACCACTGTATTCAATTATACCATGAGGTCATTTTTAGGTCTCACAACCGCAGGGAGCGCGGCGGTTACAGTTCCTCGCCTACAGAGGTCGGCGCCGACCCAAGAACCGCCTGCAAACTCCAGGAATCTTTTGCCTCCTCAGGGAAGGCGACTTGATCCTGCCTCCCCCGCACCTTCGTGGGCGGGGCCAGGTGGATTTGGGGAGGGGAGAGAAGCGGCTGGTCGATCCTCCTCATTCAGAGCTGAGGTAAATGTGTCAGCGGCTTTTCAGAAAGGGAGCGACTAGAGAGCGCTGCTCAGACTCTCCTCTTCTCCAACCTCGCTCGGGACTCCCGACTCGGTTTTGCCCGGCGGCGAGGCTTATCCGGCTTTTAAAAGCTGGCACTTTGGGGAGTCTTTTTCTCTCCTCCTGCTTCGAGAGCGAGGGGCGGAAAGCGCTTCTGGAGAGTCGCTTCCGCTGCTTCCCGGAGAGTTGTCGCCTGAGGCCCATCGGGGCGTCGCCTGCCTCTCTCTCTCTCTTCTTCTTCGGCCACGGCAGAGGATCGCTATCCCGCGGGCGGCGTAGAGACAAAACGGGTACGGGGGGGGAAGGCTTGGGAGGGAAAGGACGTGAGTGGGTTCAAAATGGCGAGCGGGAAGGGGGGGGAATAAAAACGCCGTCCCAATTAACGCAGCTAATTGCAGAGGGGGTTGGCGGCTGAGGCTGCGGCGCTGAGGTATCCTCCTCTTCCTTCGCGCCGCTGTGGATTATTTCCCAAGCCTCCCGGCGTCTGAGGCGAGAATTGCGCGTTCGCGCTGGTCGGGCGAAGGCGAGCGCTCTCTTAGCTTTCGGTTTCCCCTCCGCGTTTCTCTCCTCACCCCTGTGATGTCAGGTAACACCGAATCCTAATGGCTTTCTCCCTTTCTCTTTTCCTGCTCCCCACTACGACCGCCTCCCTCGCGCAGCAGAGAGAGAGAGAGAGAGAGACTCGATTCCGGGCATCGCAAACCTGGCCAAGGAGGTGGCTGGCGCCGTCGCTGCTGCTTTGCGAGGCGTGAAAATCCGCTTCCCGCGAGGATCCCGAGGATCGCTGCCGCCCCGTGGAGGGAAACGATGTCGAAACGGCTCCACACTTGGCGAGGATAAATGGGCCCGCCGTAAGTGTCACGTTTATTTTGTCATTAGATGCATTTTTATGGTCCGTCGTCCCGTCCCGACGCGCCCCCACCCACCGCACCATCTACTTTTTCCATTTAAAGAGTCCATAAAGTGTGGAGAGAGGACTTGCTTCCCCCCTGGTCAGAGGTAAGTTGTTGATCTCTGAGGGCGGGGGGGGGGAGATTGTTTCATATTTTGTTATAGTGTTGGGGGGAGATAAGCACAGTTCGTTTCTCTCCGACTCCCTTATCGCCTTTTTAGGGTTCTGTAACAGTGTGACTGCGCTGCTAGGGCTCTGATATCCCTTCTTCTCAGAGCCCCCCCCCCAAAAGAAACTCTGAAATTTCCTAGCTTGTGTTGAGTTGGTAGTGCTGTTACTCTGGAGACTTGATTTTATTCCTCCCTCACAGATGTGACTGGGTGATCTTCACAAGGTGCTATTTCCCAATGGTAAAATATTATCTGAATCCAAAGCAAAGTCCGTTACTACACTTTTTTTGGTAAAAAGTTAAATATGTATTTTAAAAAATCAGGCCAGGATTGAATCTTGCTGTTTTTCAAAGATTATCTTTAGCTGACTTTCGCTGTACCAGAACAAATTCCCCTTGAGTAATTATTTCTATGTATATATGTATTCTGTTTTAAGAATACATATTCTTAAAACAGTACAGTACTGGGAAATTCAGTGGATAAAAGTGAAAAACTCTGAATTGACTTTGAAATAAATATAATCTATTTTCTACTTGTGTATCTTCAGCTCAGTCCTAGTCATGTTTGTTTGAAACTTAGGTTGCACAGATTTAAAAGGGACTGGCTCCCTGGTGTGTATAGAATTGGTATACTCAGCTGCTTGTTATAATTGTACCTCTATTTATAGGAATGCCAAAGAGCTATTTTTTGAGAACCTCTTCCATCTTCCCTGTTACAATTTATGAAGTGTCTCAACAGCTAGAAGCACTAAAATTATTTTTCAAAAGTTGCTTCAGCAAGTCAGTGTTTCTTACTGACTGAAGAATATTAAATGTTTGCCACCGTGTTCCTATACAGAAACTGTCCTAGCAGTGTTGGAATGATCCTTGAAGGTTTATGTTTGTAGCACCTAGGTTGACCATGTAAGTCATGGAATTATGCACTTAAAAGTGGTGCACAGAAGAGTAAAATATGATGGAGAGATGGAACTTAATTCAGTGTGGAAAATAACAGTTACATTAGAATTATCTGACTGATAATATTTGATATTAAATTTAATCTATTGTGAATTTTTAGGTTAAGTTGCTCCAATATGCCTAGATCAGGCATCCCCTACCTTTGGCCCTCCAGATGTTTTGGACTACAGTCACCATCATCCCTGACCACTGGTCCTGTTAGCTAGGGATCATGGGAGTTGTAGACCAAAACATCTGGAGGTTGGGGGTGCCTGGCCTAGAGCAGATTCAGAAAAAGCAAGCGACATTTCAGAGTATAAAAACAATTAAAAATAATCAAAAATTACAAAGTACAGTAAACTGCAGTATATACTCGAGTATAAGCCAACTTTTTTATGCTGAAAAGGCCTCCTTTGGCTTATACTCGAGCCAGGCGGGTGGCGGTGATGGAGGGACGAGCGGCCTGAAAGGAGCCCTTTCTCACCGCTGGTCCCCCCGCAGCCGCCCGCCTCTGTGCTGTGCCTCTCCCAACTGCGGCTCCTGTGCCTGCTCTGCAGAGGTGGCGGTGGAGGGACGAGTGGCCTGAAAGCAGTCCATTCGGGCTGCTCCTCCCTCCTCCTTTGCCGCTGTCGGTGGCGGTGGCCAAGGAGGAACAAGCAGCCCTTTCGGGCTGCTTATTCTTCCTCCACCACTGCTGCCGCCACCGCCAGGTTTGTGGTGTGGTGAACCGGCTTATACTCGAGTTAATAAGTTTTCCCAGTTTCTTGTGCTAAAATTAGTTGCCTCGGCTTATATTCAGGTTGGCTTATACTTGAGTATATACGGTATATTGAGTTATTGAGTATTATAGAAAGTACAATGGACAGTTTGTAGCCTTAATAGCCTTTACTGATGGTAGGGTGAGCGTTGCTCCCAGAACAGGGAGGAAGGAATCAAATGACACCGAGGTTGATTCAGAGAAAGAGTTTATTCTGCTCTCCAGATAGCCGAAGGCACTTGCGTGGTCAGTTCACAGCAAGTCCAAAGAAATAAGAAATTTCATGCAGTATATATATCCTCCAGGCACCCTCTCCCCCCTTCCCCAGGAATCCAACCACGTCAGCTTATACATGTAAGTTGACATCCATGACCATAAACAGATATTCCTGTTACAGTATTCCTGACCATAAAAGGTTGTTCCTGTTCCTATACTCTTGGGGCAGGAGGTCACCAACTCTAAGAACACTCCTGGCACCGTTCCCAGACAAGGTCTGTGCGTCATTGTGGTCAGGAAGTAAGATAAGACCCAGATGTGTCATCCCTGCTCCACTTTGGAATGGACAAGGCCATTCATTAGGCGTCATGGACTGATAAAGGAGAGAGCTTTGTTTATACAGCTGGGTTCTTGGCTCAAGTGCTCAAGTTAATGCATTTTAGCTAATGGAGGAGGAAAAATGGGATTTTTGGGCCTGTTTCAGACTGACTGCACAGTCAGATTTTACATTTGGGAAACCCATTCCTTCAAGTTAAGGAAAAGAAGGAAAATAAAACTATTGTTATTACTGGACTGTCTTATCCAGGGGTAGGCAACCTAAGACCCGTGGACTGGATGCGGCCCAATTGCCTTCTCAATCCGGCCTGCAGACGGTCCAGAAATTTGCATGTTTTTACATGAGTAGAATGTGCCCTTTTATTTAAAATACATCTATGGGTTATTTGTGGGGCATAGGAATTCGTTCATTATTTTTTTTCCAAAATATAGTCCGGCCCACCACATGGACCAGCCCACGGCTGAAAAAGGTTGCTGACACCTGGTCTTATCTCTTATATACCCAGCAAATCCTTGTGATCTTCAAGTTCCAAAGTTCTCAGAGGCCCATGGTGCTTTTAGTGTGGCTGAACCTGTATTGAGGAATACGATTTCTGTTGAGATATGACAGGAGTCCACTGTCCACACTTTCCAGAAACAATTGATTTTGTTGTTGTTGTGATAGGCTTTGCTACAAGTGTCCACTTGTTAAGTTTTTAGTCTTGTTTTTAAATGTATTCTTACTGTTGTTTTTAAATGTATTTGTTTTTGTGTGTTTAACTGTCCTTCTGATTGGTTAAGAGCCTAGTAAAACTACTTTAAAATTTGTTCTCTCTCCCCACCCTTCCCAAAATATTATTACAATGACTTTAATTCTGGTTTAATTTTGTTCTGATGTCTTGACTTCCACCCCATTCCTAATTGACTTCCCACCTTTCCCAGTTGCCTGGGTTTGTAAGCAAGTTTGTAGGAAATATAAAAGTTATGGGGGATAAAGGACTGTTCTAATCAAGGCAGCCAGGGGAAAAAACCACGTGGTGGCAGTAGTGAAGACCACAGGAGCAGTGTTCAAAACTAACCAGGTGCTAGTCACTTTTTTGCGACTCAGGAACACCCGCTTGTGACCAAGTGGAGATTTTCAGTCGCAAAGTTTATAAAAACTAATCTGCCTCTGGTGGATTCTGAATATAAAGATTTTAAAGGGTCCTTGCCTGATTTGATACATGAAGATAATGCTTTTACATCTTGCGTGATAGGCAGTGATCTCGCCTTTAGACAATATTTGATTTAGCAGCAAAAAGAGCTGTGTTCTGACCCTGAAGAGTTAACTTTCTGTAAATAACCTAGTCAGTTAATGCGTCTTTCAGTAGAAATGTAAATCAACCTGATGAAGTTTGTGAATTGGTAGGATATTTGTTTGTTTGTTTAGTCCTGTGAAAACACTAGTCCTGTGAAAACAAGAGTCAGTTTCCTCTGGGATATTATTGGCTTAATGCCACAAGTTAAATCTGGTGTTGGCTAGATAGAGTGAAGAAACTCCAAAGCTTTTAAGGTGGAGCCTTACACTCCAGGATTTTGATTTTGATAACAGTTGCTTAAGTTATTTAATGTTTTATTCCTGTGTGATGTATGTTCCCTATTCTCTAACTTGATGCTGATAGGTTCTAGATGAACAATGTGGATCATGAGGATTAGAGCTATTTTAATCTCTGTGTTTTATTTGGTATTATGATTTTATAACTTCTTTATGCTGTTACTATTTCTGTGTAGAACTGGTTTTAGTATTGAGATACGGGCATGTTATAGTAAATATACTGTATTTGTGGCCTACTTAAGATGAAATTCTAGCATCTAGAAATTTCATCTAAGAAAAAAAGGGATATCATGAATTGATTGTTCAGCAGAGCAGCTGTTGTTAATTGAGCTGTGTTGAACATGAACACGTCACTCGGTTGGCTGGTTTGCCAGATTTCCCCCCACCCCCCAGTTGCTATGAGTATTTTGCTGGCTTGGCCTCCCCGAGGGAACACAAACTCCTGGGCCTGCTGTTTGACTCTTTGGTATGCCATCTGTTTGGAGAATAAAGTCTGCAAAACAGTTGGTGCCATCTCCTGGTGATGACAATCAGATATACAGAAAATAAATTTGGGGAATGTCCATCACCCTTAGGACCCAATATTGGCTCTTTGTTGGGTGCTGTAGCCTTTTGTGTGTGTAGGGAAACGGCGTTTCCCCTGCTGAAGCAATATATAGTTGTACTTCCAAAACAAAAAGTATTTTCTTTTTGTTTGCAGCACCTTGCCATTTTACAGCTCTTTTAAAAGGCAACTAAATAAACTAAAACTAAAGCCCTGACTAGTTTTCACTGCAAAGCAACACTAGGACTGTGCTATAAATCGATATATCGTTTGGTACTGGGTTTTACATCAAATCGTGATAACTTGACATTGCAATTTATCGCAAATGTGTGTGTGGTATACAAAAAGCACAATATTGGAAAAACAGGGAAGCCAACTTCCTTCTGTGTGTGCAGCTCTTGCCAACTCCACCTCAGTTGTTCCCTGCCTCCCACAACGGCAAGAAATCGCTGCAGCAGGCTGACTCAAGTATCTCCAAGCTCTCTGAAAAACGGATAAAGAGTAGAGTGTTTTGAAAACTGAACTATGGTACCTATATTTTTAATGTGAACATCAAATTAAACCTGTATAGTGGTACCTTGGGTTAAGTACTTAATTCGTTTTGGAGGTCCATACTTAACCTGAAACTGTTCTTAACCTGAAGCACCACTTTAGCTAATGGGGCCTCCTGCTGCCGCCGCGCCACCGTAGCCCAATTTCTGTTCTTAACCTGAAGCACTATTTCTAGGTTAGCGGAGTGTGTAACCTGAAGCGTACATAACCCGAGGTACCACTGTATTAACAATATCTGCTAAAAATGTGTCACTTATCTGACTTTCATATTAATTCATGCTTATCAAAATAATAAACTGTTGCCCCTCCCCCCCACGTGGCGCCTAGACATTTTGTTTTGGCTCCCACAACTCAGGTCCTAGAAGTGCTTTGGCTGCTAGCTTTGCTATCCCAGTTTCTAACACTGTCCCCAGCCTCTCCTCTCTCTGTTAACTTTCCATTCCAGTTCTAAGTTGCTTCCTTCCTTGCTCTGGTGATCCAGCCCCTATTCTCCTCCCCTGCTTCTCTCTCTCTCTCTCTCTCTCTCTCCCTCTCTCTCCCTCTCCCTCTCCCTCTCCCTCTCTCTCTCTCTCTCTCCCTCCTCCCATGTGTATGTGTGATATGTGTATGTGTGATATTCTATCTCTCCCCTCCCTTGTTGGTGTGCTTGGTTTTGTGAAGCCAGAGAGGAGCTCCTCTGTGGCACTACTCTGCTGCAAGTTGGAAGGAACTCTCCCCCCCCCCCGCAAGTACCATGCTTGGCTTGTAAATTGCTTCAGAATAAAAGGGGGAGGGGAAGTGTGTTCAGCACAGCTGGCAATGTTCTTCAAATACAAAAGGCATCTCTATTGCCAGAGATTGCCAAAATGCAAATTATCCTTGAAAAAAACAAATTAAATTTACTAATTTTTGTTCTGTAAAATTTTATCTGTTCTTTCTGATTTGGCTTGGTTTATAAAAGAAATGCAAAATTTCCTGGCAATAAAAATATAATTTTTGTTTATATTTTGTGTTAAAATGTATCTGTACCATTCTTTTTTGGCTTGGTTTAGAAAAGAAAATTAACAATCAGATTCAATAGTGATTTATATTTGCATATCTTAAAGTGTTACACTGACTTTGCTTTTTTTCTTGTTTAGTAATGTAATTAATTTTTTAGGGGAAATTCTCTTACCTTTTGATATCTATGCTACTGATTAATTTTAGAGAAACTGTGCTAATTTAAACATTATTGGTACAATAGTACTATAACAGTTGTAACAATATGTTAACTCTAAGTAAAAAATTATCAGTTTTACAGAGTTAGACCCATAAGTAGTAGCTGTTGCCAGGATATTACCTTGTTCGCCTCTACATAGCTTCAGCCTTGTTTCAAATACTGTGATATATCGAAATCTCAATGTTTAGCTCGTGCAGTGTTGAACAACCAGATACTGCCCAGCCCTAATCAACACTGAAATATTAAGGTTGCAGTTATCAGTGGAAAGATAATTTAATGGAGAATGTAATGCAACAGTTTGTTTAATTATCTGTACTCTATCAAAAGTTATAGCCAAATAACTAGAAAAAGGAAGCACAGGTTGCTTAGGTTGATATGCAGTGGCTTTCCTTCATTTGAAAGTAGCCAATGAGCATGAGTGTTTAAAGAGCCAATCAGGTGTCATCTTGTTATGGCAATGATCCAATCAGGTCACAGTAGGATTCAGCTATCGATGTTATGTACTGGAGCTGAGAGGAGGATGTTTGTCAGCATGTTATATGATTGCTATCTAGTTGGTTGAGGTTTTTTCCCCTTTCATTTAGTGAGCTTGTAATAAATGCCCTCCCACCAGATGTCAAAGAAATAAACAAACAGCTGTCTGACTTTTAGAAGACACCTGAAGCAGCCCTTTTAGGAAAGTTTTTAATGTTTGGTCTCTTACTGTGTTTTTAATATTCTGTCGGAGGCCGCCCAGAGTGGCTGGGGAAAGCCAGCCAGATGGGCGGGGTATAAATAAAAAATAATATTATAAAATTAAAGAAATGGTGCAAAGAGGACTGGTCACCCAGAAAGCAAAGTAAAATAGTACTATTAAGTGAACAAGGCTACAATTATGAAGAAATTAGAAGAAAAATTGGTGGAAACTAAACCAAAGGTGGCATTTCTAAATTTTGAAGAGGTCTAAGGAGACTTGGACATGGGTGGCGCTGTGGGTTAAACCACAGAGCCTAGGACTTGTCGATGAGAAGGTCGGCGGTTCGAATCCTGTGACGGGGTGAGCTCCCATTGCTCAGTCCCTGCTCCTGCCAACCTAGCAGTTCGAAAGCATGTCAAAGTGCAAGTAGATAAATAGGTACCGCTCTGGCGGGAAGGTAAACAGCGTTTCCGTGCGCTGCTCTGGTTCTCCAGAAGTGGCTTAGTCATGCTGGCCACATGACCTGGAAGCTATACGCCGGCTCCCTCGGCCAATCAAGTGAGATGAGCGCCTCAACCCCAGAGTCGGTCACGACTGGACCTAATGGTCAGGGGTCCTTTTACCTTTACCTAAGGAGACTGTTACTAGAAAATCAGACTGATAAAGGCAAGAAGAAGTGCACAACAGCAAGTGATGATAGAAGAATTAAGAGACTGCCTACGTGACAGAAGAAAATCATCTGGATGTATTCAAGATGACATGGCGCAGTGTAATGTGAAGTTGACTGCAAGGTCTATTCGGCGCAGACTGCAGGAATATGGTCTAAATTCCATGGAAAAAGCCATTGATACCTCTGTTTGAAAAGATTAAACTGGGCTAAAACCCATGTTAATTGAACAGCGGAACAATGGGACAGTTACTTTGAGTGATGAGACCCAAATCTCCTTGCTTGGTAGTAATGGCATGAAATACGTGAGGAGAAGAATCGGAGAAGATTTACATCCTACTTGTACTACACCTAACATGAAACACCTAGTGTTATGATCTAGAGTTGTATGACAACAAAATGTGTGGGCAGAATTGCATCATTAATGGGAATGTAAATGCCCAAATATACATAGCCCAGACCCTAACCCAATTAAAAAATCTATGGAATGGATCCAACTAAAAAAACTGGTTATGTCAGAAGCTATGCAGCAATAAAACCAAATTAATAGAGACAATAATTCAATCTTGGTTTCACATTATTACAGCTGCAGAACTAAAAAAATTGGTTCATTCCATGGGAAGGTGTTGTTAGGTCGTAATTAAAGCTAAAGGTTACCCAACTAAGTATTAACTGACACTCTGAAAATCTTAGTATATATCATTTTTTCTGTGTTTCACATTTCTTCTTTGACTGGTGTTGTAATAAATAATCCTTCATAAATGTTATTGCATTACATTCTTCATAAAATTATCTTTCTATTGATATAATTTTATAGTATTACCCAAAAAAAGTTGGTGTTATGAACCATCAAGCCTCTGAAATACTTTTTCCAAAGGGTTTCCACAATTTTGGCCACTAGTGTATATATAATAACCAGTAACTAATCAGCAACCAATCTTATAAGTCATTTAAAAAAAATATTTTGCAATTCTTTCCCCTCAGTTTCTTAGCACAATTAAATAGATATCCTTTCAGTTTTGTAGAGATTTTAATTATTTTATTGTCTCATGTTGTACTAGAGCTAATGTTTGCTGCTAGAGCAAAAGTGGCTCACTTTACATTTCCTTATTTTGGGCACTGTGACCTAAGCTAATTTTAAACCTTTGTTTTCTCCCCCCACCCCCGTCCCTTAAGATATTTTCGTGCATCTTTTTGTGAAGGATACTTGTGTATTGAGGGATGTTATGCTTTTAAGTGGCAGATCAATCTTAACCAAAATTTGTCACTTCTCTTTGAATATCGTCTGTATTATCTTTCTGTGTAGCAATTCCATATGTATTGAAAAAGTATAGATGTATGGGAACCATGCATTATTTTTGTTTGTTTTTCAGAAACCTTATGAGAATACTGATACTACTGAAGATTAAATAAACTTGGATAAATTCAGAAATAACCAGTCGTAAGTATTGATTTGTTACTTAATTCAGTTGCTGTTCATTTTTTGCAGATCATAGAAACTAGGGGATATGTATATTTTATTGTGCTGCATTACAGTGCCCTGTCATGGCTAATCACAGCTTTCATGAGTTTATGAAGCAGAAACATACACAACCTGTTTTTAATGCAGCTGTCATCATTGTCCCCCCCCCCCACTTATGCTGGAGTTATGTTTCCAGATCCTGTGTGTATACTTGAAATCGGGTAAAGTGGGAAGGGTGCGGTTGAGAGGGGCTGGGAAGCAGCTCTCTCGGCAGACCATGTCTCTCCCACCCACCTGCCTTCAGTGACCAGAAAGTTGAGCTAGGAGGTTGGTGGTAAGCTTGGGCAATGTATCAACACACCTACCAGGACCAGTTTGAGGGCCAGAGTACGATGGCACCGTCACCTGGCGGTGGAGGGACTTGGGAGCAGCGCTGATTTCACTTGCGTCATACCATTAGGTGAAGCTGCTATTGTTCTCTGGCCCTCAAACTGCAGAGGAAGGAACAAGCTGCATCAGCAAGGCCTGGGGCCGATGCAGCTTGTTCCTCCCTTGGCTGCCCACACCTCAGGGGAGTAGTTTAACAAAGCCCTCGCCCTGCCACTGGCTCAAGCGGTGGTAGGGGGCTTCTTTAAATTGTTCTACGCTGCTCTACACTGAGGGGTGCGCGGCCGCCTGTGCCTCAGCAGAGCACTTTAATGAAGCTCTACCTCCGGCTCACTAACTCAGCTAGCAGTGGGAGGCTCCTCCCCAGCTGAGCGGAGTGGTTCAACAAAGCCCGCACACTCCTCTTACTTGTATGTGAGACTGAGAGACACCAGGGCTTGCTCACCATTTAGGTCAGTGTATCTTGATTGCTTCTTCCTTCCCTGAGGTGGGAAGAAGCAGCTGAGATAAATCCCATGCATTGTGATACATTAGCATGTTGCGGCATTTAGCTGCTAATATGTTGAAAGCCAGGTATTGCCCAGCCCTAGTTGAATAGTCACACCAGTTACCCCTTGCCTAGTTAACCTGATCTTGACTGAGACCATGGTGTATGGGGGGAGGACTTTAACCCCTGGCCCTGCTGCATTCCCAACTGGAATTGCCCCCAAGCCAGCTGTTTACAGAACAGCCAGTTCCACACATTAAAGGCATGCTAGTGCTGTGCTGTTGTCTTGTTGTCCCTAGCTTTGCATTATCTCCTTGCATTGAATTATTATTATTGGCAGCCTGTTCCTGTGCTGGTTTATTTGGAAGTAAATTTGTTACTTGCTCCCACATACATGTGCATAGGATTGCTATATGTCTGAGAATTCACATAACTACCTCTATGTATTTCCTCCCTGAACTTACAGTGAACTTTTTTTATTGGTGTGTTGTCAGCCCAACCCACAGGGAATTATTCTGCAGTTCCTACTTTTTAAATATTACTGCATACATGAAAGTATATTTGTTTAAAATCTTTTATTTTCTCCCTCACTTGTCAGATTCCTGAAAAGAAAAGAACTATCAGCACAATGGATTGGAGCACAAGATCTATCCTGACCTCCAACTTTCAGACAAACAATGTTCAAATTCAGGAACAACATCAGTCACAACAATTTACTGCAGCAGATTTTCAAGCAAATGCATCTGTTCAAAATTCTTACTCTGGAAATTATCAAACCATAAAAATACTCTCTAATAGAATGAATACCCTTGCAAATAACTTGCCTTTTCAAAATCCTGGAGGCTCCAAAACTTTACATCCTATTCTGCCTAAACCATCTGTACATAATGACGTTCAGCCAGCCCACCTTATTCTTACGCGACATCCCAATTCACTTGAACATGTTTCCTCTGAGAATGCCCAGATGGCTGCTGGCATGACTCAGAATTCGAGTTTGACAAAGAATGTGCATATTTCCTCCCCTGTAGTCGTACAAGGTAGTACTGAAAATCCTATGCAAAATATACCTCAGAAAACAGTTAATCTGCCTATTGCCTTGGATAGCTACAATAATCGACCATTACAGAATCATTCTACTTCTATGACTACTTCAGTATATTGGCAAAAGAGCAAAAGTAATACATGTTCAAAAGGACTGCCAACGCCGATGCACTACTATCATGTTAATGGACCTGCTACCTCCCAAATAGATACTACAGTGCCTTTTAACCAGGCATCAAGTCAGTACTCAAATTCTCAGCAGAACCTTTCATGGCTTGTTTTGCCTTTACAGCAAAATACTCAAAACCAAATCAATGGCCCAAGTTCAAGCCTGAAAGCAGCTTTGCATTCACAATACTATGCCCCTAATACTGTAAGTCCTATACAGTATGGAGTACCAGCTCATCATAATTCTAAGAATGCAGCACAGACCTTCCCTCAAGATCAAAATCCACCACCATACCCAGTTCCTCCTGCACAAAGAAACCATGGACAGTTTGTACTTCGACAGGCAGTTGCAAATATATCCCATGAAAATGTACAGAACTACCACAGTCCTAGGTTGGATCAAAGTAGTAATCTGTATTCAACTCAGCTTAGTGAAAAACATCAATCTGTACCATTCACCCAAGAAACTAATGCAGTAAGCAACACTCCATATAGTGCAAGTGGATATAGGACTTCAAATCAGCTTCCGAATGAACTGGCCAAGTCATCAGTTGAAGTTGGAGCAAGCCTTTGTAACAGTGTGCGAGTTGTTGGAACAGTTCCTTCTGATGTCGCTTTAACACCACAAACGGGTAGGACTTTGGAACAAGAAAAGAATCTAGCTAATGGCTCAAGACATTTTTCTGAGAACTTGAAGGATAAAATAACAAAAGAGAGACTAGCACTGGATGGAAAAAAACTGCATGAATTGAAGAAGGCATTGTTAAAATTAGATAAGGACTATAAAATGAGATGTAAAATGTACCTATCTTCAGTACAGAATGGTCAGGCTGCTAACACTTCCGTTCACAATCAAAATGCTGTTCAGAGTCAAAATGCTGCCACCTCACTTGCTTCTTACAATACCAATCTCAATCTGTCTTTGCCACTGCCAAAGGATTCCAATCAAGCAATTCAGCCTCTTTCACATGATACCACTCAATCATTTCCTCCTATGTCCTACAGTTCTGGTGAAGTCAAATATGCTCCTTTATCAGTGAAAACCAATAATCACTTAGAGCCAATTCTAAGGCATATGCTTAAAGGTACTACTGATGAAAATATGTTATTTAACGATTATGTTGAAAAAGGAGGGACCCATCATTTGGCCATCAAAGATCATTCATCTAGTGCTCCTATGCTTTCTAGCAGTGATGTATCTGAAACTCATGTGAATAATATTGATGATGTTTCTAAACTGAGGTCAAACATTACAATGGATTCTACCCAAGTGCCTTTGACATGCACAAAAAATGGTCCTGCTTATGAACTGACTACAAGATCTGCCATCGATCAATTGGGGAATTGGTGTAAGAGTAAAATGGAAATCCCTGGCCAGTATTTTACTGACAATGTTCTGAGTTCAAATCAGAACCCACCTGCCTCAAATGGATCATCCTTATCAAAAAAAGAAGAAAGAGAGTGCATTGAGCAGAGTAACACTTGTCTGCAAAAAATTGAAAGAAAAACTGTAGCTGGGAGCAATGAAAATATTTCTGATACATTTAATTCAGCTTCTCTTCAGAAAGCAACTGTTCAAGAAGCAGGCGTAATGCAGAAGTCCTCAGTTACTGGAAATCCTTCTGTAATGACAGACGTTAGTTGGGAGGTAGTAAAAAAAGGTCTTGCTTTATGGACCAAAAATTTGCCAGGAACTTTTAAACACTTATGTAAAAATAAAGATTCAACTGTGTCTTTGTCCTTATCAGAAGTTGGAGTAGATGGGGGAAAAACACAGCAGATTTTGGAAAATCTTCCCAGTTCATTAACTCAGAAAGACCAAACTAAAGTTACAGTTGGATCAAATGAAACAACTACGTCTTCTGCACCTTCCTCTCTTGGAAAAAAACTTGATGCCGTAAATTCCAATTTACTGAAGGGTTCTGAACTCCAAGTTGCCATTGTTACTCCATTGATAATGTCAAGAGAGTGTATTCAACATGAAGTGCAGAAAAAAACTCATTCATCTCTGTTGGAAGAAATGTATCCAATTATTGAAGAAAACAGTGTATGTAGTTTACAGGAGCTTAGTTCCTTAGTACCAGCTGCTGATGAAGGGGCAGGAGGAACTCTTTGTTCATCTTCAAACACAGGTATTACTGTTAAGAAAGAAGATATAGATATGCATGAAAAAACCACCAAATCCAGTGAAGAAAACTTGATAGTGAAAGCTGAAATGAACAAGGATTGCTTAATTCATCAAGTTCCTCAGAAAGATGTAAAATCTTTCAAAAGTAGTTCAGATTTGCAAGAACCAGGAGATGCTGTTGAAGTTGTGCTGAATGACACTGTGTTCGAGATATCCAGTGTGTGTACTCTTGTACAAGGTGATGAGTGTTACAATTCACAAATAGCTTGTATTTTTAATAGTAGCCCTTTGAAGTCTAGTAAGAAAAATGACACTTCAGAAGAATATATGCCGTATTTGCATCATAGTGAGCAGCATTCTGGCCTTTTGAAAAGTGAATCTGAAATTATCACGAGTGCCTCAGAAGGAGATACCTTTTTGCCATCCCAAGACCGCTTATCAGATGCCACTACAGAAAAGCTGTTAGACGAATTGTCGAATTTAGAGATTCCTCAAAGTGGGAAAGCTTCAAATGAGGGGAATGTCATTGATTCTGAGGAAGGAAAAAGCAGTTCCATGCCCCAAAGTACTCCTCTTTCAGAAGAGAAACTTAAGCAGGATACACTCTATGATTGTATTCATAGTGCAGACTTCAGCAGTGATAATGAGGTGTTACCTGTAAATAAGGGAAACATATTCAGCAGTAGTATTGCAGATGGAATGAACGCTACTGCAAAAGAGGATGCCACAAAAAATGCGCTATGTGAAGAAAATCAACCAGATTCTGGAATCAACACTGAAGCTCCTAAAATAGTACTAAACGATCAGCTGACTGAACTCTTGAAAGAATTTCCTTATGGAATCAGTTTTCCAAAGGCTTTAAAAACCCCAGAGAATAACGATTTTGTGACTAAACTAAGTGAGAAAGAAGATGAAGAAAAGCCTCAAAGTTCTGTGGAAACTCCCTCACAAATACAAATAACAATATTAACTTCTGAACAGATGAAAGAAATGTTTCCTGAACGGAGTCAATCTTCCTCTAACATACCAAAAAACTGTGAAGTTGACCAGTTTTCAACAGAATTTAAAGATGACTTGATGGAAGAGAATAAAAGGCATAGTCAAACTGATCAAGCTGTACCTTATGACAGCCAAAATATCTCAGCAGAAACAACAGCTGCAAAACCCAGTAAGCATAAATATTGCTGCCTCCAGGGTTGGCTAGCTTCAACAATGGGAGTGGAGCCATGTAAATGCATACTGCCTGAAAAAGTTGCCTCAAAGCAGAAGGTGGACATTTGTCCACAGTCTAAAACTATATCTAAAGTCAAACCAGAAGCTGATGCAAAAACTGGTCTTCAAGAAAATGAATCTAAAATAGATACTGAAATTGTTCCACTTTCATCTCTAGAAAAACTAGGCTCTCAAGAACTTAATATACCTGTCAAGCAGGAAATGGAAGAATTGCCACTCCATACATCTTCTCCTACTTTGACGACTGAAACAATTGAAATTAAAATACAGAACCACACACGTGAAAGAGATAATGTCTCTGCAGATAAAACACAGTGTCATTCAAGCACAAAAGATTTAAAAGTGGTTGCTGCTAGAACTCTCTCCAAGATTGAAACCTCTGTTAAACAGAGAACATCAAAAGAAAAACTTGTTGTAAGATCAAAGACAGATCATCGAAGGAGAATAGAAATAAAGCGCAACACATACCAAGAAAGATATAAAATTAAACGGGACTCCAATGAAACACGCATTATTAAGGGACCAACTTTGAGTAAGGGTTTGAAGAGAAAAATGGCAATAGGAAAAAAGCATAAGGCTTTGGTAAACCCACATAATAATGCCATAAAGTCCCCAAATATAAACAGTATTAAAATTAAGAGCCCTCAACATAAATCTACCATGCTTTCACCAGAACATTTAAATGTAAGGAAGAAATTAGATTTTGAGAAAAACTATGGATACAAAAAAAATGGGGGGCACACGAGGATAAACAATGAACCAAGTAGGACTGAGCATATTGAACACAATGAAGAAAGTATTCAAAGGAAAAGTCTGAAGCTAAATTTGGAAAAATTTGCGTATTCGAAAGAGAAGAAAAATGTAGGCAATTACAGAAGTCATTTAGATGCATCACCAAAACACATGAGCCATGCTTCCAATATACTTAAAACTCCCTTCTCGGTTAAAGAGGCTGTGCTAGATACTCGTAATAGAGACAAGCGACTTGAGAGATCTCTTTCTGATAAAAAAACATGTTTCAGCAGAAGAACTGGTATACTGTCAATTTCTCTACAAAGAGAACAAAAGAAAAAATATTTGAACCAAGTTGCATTCAAAAGGATTGCACAGAAAACCATTTGTTTGACAAACTTAGATTCACATTCCAAACCAGTATGGCATGTGAAATCCAGTAGTCTTTCAGCATTGTGTGAGGATCAAAAGAACAGCAGCGCATCCTCTCAGCATCCAGAAGTGGAGAAACCGAAAATGCTTGAGTTCAAAATGTGCCCAGAGATATTGTTTGGAAAATCAGTCTCAGAAGAACAACTTTTAGATGGAAAGAATCTTCCTGAAAAAGACAAAACCCCTATCACAGGTACGGTATGATATGATCAAGCCAACCTGTAATACAACTCCTGTTAAATAGGAAGTTGTAAATGCAGACTGGTATTAGTTTTAGTATTTCCCCTGCTTAAGTTTACATTTTAAAATGCGTTTTGTGTGTGTGTGTTGGTGTCAAGGAGCTGTCAGTCGAGCACAGCTCATCCACAAGGCAGGAAACTTGAGACACAAGATGCTTTTAACTTTTATTAACAGAAAGTAACAGCATAGCAGAGTTCCTCACTAGCTTCACAAAGACTGTCTTAGCAGGTAACCAGTGAAGTAATCTTAGAGGTACTTAGCTAACTTAGATGATTAAAATGCATATACGTAACAGTGGTGAGCTTGAGTACATTTCTTTTTAGGGTTAACATGAATGATATGATTAATTAATACTTAAGCATCCAGAAACCTGCTAAAGGACAAGAAACTACGAGAAGGAAATAGCTGGAGGGAATGAATCATGGTTTATGTTGTCTCTATACTAATGCACCGAGTATGGGATTCAAGCAAGATGAGTTGGAGCTTATAATACAGGATGGCAAATATGACCTGGGGGGCATTGCTGAAACTTGGTGGGATGAGACTCATGACAGGAATGTAGGGATTGGGGGGTATAGCCTGCTCAAAATGAATAGAACAAACAGGAAGGGAGGAGGAGTAGAATTATATGTAAAGGATATGTTCACTGGTGAAGAGATCCAGCATCTGAAGCATAGAAGACAGAGAAACAACAGTGACCTTACTATGGATGTCTGCTATAGACTGCTAAGCTAGACTGAATAGTTGAATTGTGCCTTCCTAGAGCAAGTAGTAGGTCCTCTGCGTGGAGAAGATGGGGGAACACCTGGCTTTCCAATACTACATGTGAAAAGGATATAGGGGGCTTAGTGAACCACAAGCTTAACATGAGTCAATAGGGAGATGCAGCAGCAAAAAAGGTAATGGTATTGGCTACATCAACAGACTTATAATGGCCAGATCAAGGGAAATAACAGTACTGCTCTATTCTGCCTTGTTCAGACCTCACCTGGAATGCTGGGTCCAGTTCTGGGCACCACAATTTAAGAAGGATATTGACGCATGCTAGAACGTATGCAGAGGAGAGTGACCAAGATATCAAGGTTCTGGAAACCAAGCCAGAGGAACGGTGGAGCAAAATATTAGTTTTCCTCCCTGTCCGTCAGGATTTCACAATTGAGCTGGTTTTGGAGGGTCTTTCAGAGAAATCTACCATAATTATTTGACTTATTCAAACTTTTAGAAATCTGCCTTAGGTTTTTTGTCTAAAGGTTTTTATTGGCTTCTAACATTGGGAGAAACCTATTGTGTGTGGATGGTGCCATTCTGGTTACATAGAATAAATAAAAATGGGAGGAGGAGGAGGGGAAATAAAGAAAGAACATCCCATTCTTCATCTGTTAGCTATATAGATAATTATTCAACACATCCACTCCAAGGTAACACTGAACAATCCATCTTCTATAGACCAATATTCTCTTCAGTCCTCACACCCAGATGTCATAAGTTCATATTTTTATTCAAAAAGTCTATTAAGAAGTTTCCAATCGTTAGTAAATCTTGACACTGATTTTTCTCTGCTTAAAACACTCATTTCACCATCTTCTCTAAGTCCAGTAATTTCAACATAAATTGGAAGAGTTTCGGTTTCAGTTGAAAATTGACCTTCAAAACCCTCAGTATCAGTTTATGTACTTGCATGTAATATTTTTAAGCTTTTTTACACATCAATCAAGCATGATAAAATGTCACTTCATTTTCTTGAACATTCTGAAAACCCCGCTGAAACAGACCAAAGTTTCATGTAGCTCAGGCTTTTAGGTGCAACAGCCTCCAGGTAAATTCCCTTGAGTATTGACAAGGCGGGCATTTTTTGCAATGTGTTTCGCCAGTGCTTGGCTCTAGAGGGTTTCCAAGTAAAGGAAGTTAATAGATGAGAAATAGCCAGTGAGAGAACAACTTTGTATATTTTGTGATCTATGAATGCATGGGTTGCTTCAGATCATTGTACTACATCGACCGTGGGGTGTTTGTGGTTGTCCCTGACCCAAGTATATTAGTCTGAATTTCATAGACAACTGACTGTTTACTCATCACTTGCAATTATCACTTGCAGCTGTCAAAAGTAAAAGAGAAGACTGGTTAAATTACAACCCTGTTAAGAGAAGAAAAACTGAAGAATGTGAAGCTCAAGGTAACTTCTAAAATCCATATAAGGATAATGCCAAAATTAGGGCCAACCAGAATATCGCAAAATAGTGCAGAAGTTCTGCAGAATTCCTCATCAGAAAATTTGCAAATGAAATAAATGGGAGGCAGCAAAAAGTAAGGTAACTTTTTGATTTCCTGTTATAAATCAATAAACTTGATTTTGTGAGGTTGAATGCTATCTTGAAACTGACTTGGCACTTAGTGAGGCACTTGATGGAGGGAGGACCCTTCATTCTCAGAAGAATAGTTGGTGTCAAAAGCTTCCCTAAGTGCCAAAGTCCAGACTTCAACCAACTCTCCACATTAATATTGTCCAAGGTGGTCTAGTTATGGACAACGTATATGTCTATTGCAGAGAACAGATGTAACTACCGTCTTAGGTGTACCACTCTGTCCTGGCAGCTCCAAGATAGGGGTGGAACTAGCCACAGCACAGGATACCATGCCATACCTATATTGCCTCAATAACATGTCTGTGAAGGTTGTGACTTGTCTCGTATTTTGAAGCTTGAGTGAACTTGGAAAGCCTTAACACAGCATAGCGTGTTAAACCAAACTTATTGGCTAGCTGAATATCATGGTTGAATAGTAATGATGCACTTCTATACTTGCCTACTCAAAAGTAAGTTTTAGCAGATTCAATGGGACTTACTCCCAGTATTGTTTTTTATATATAGCTTTGGAGTTTTGGCAGGAAAAGCTGAATTTCGCAAGTCTGTCTATCTCTATAAATCCTCCAAATTAACAGTGCAATTGTTTGTCACTATTCTGCAGTTAATGATGGCATTCCTCTTGATACTGCAATAAAATTATTGGATGGAATGCCTGTGAAGGATTCTAAAGCTACATTTCAGACCTACAAGAAAATGCATCTGGAAAAAAGAAGCCGAAGCCTAGATAGCACTCCCTTAAACTAAATGTCATAAATGTGAGTAATATCATGGGCATGTCTTGTTTATGGTGCATGTATTTGATGGAATTGGGCCATAAAGTAAAAGTGACTGACAGGGGTGGGCACTGTAAAAATGATTATTGCACACACTGAGATGTTTTATGTTCAAGAAAAGATTCAAAAATTGTTTTCCCATAGAATTTACAAACAATTTTAACAATTGAATGTCTCACATTTTGCAATTAATAAATTCCCCTGACTGTTTAATTCCATCATTTTGTCTAAAAAACGAGGATAGCACTGTAATTGCAGAAAGAAGCCAGTGGATTTTATCCTTCTTATTAAAAAGACATGTAATGAAAATATAGTTTATTGGTTTATCGGTTTCCTATAAAAACTAAGAAAACAATAACAATATTTTCAACTCACCCCCCTCTGAAGAGCAGAGATAGTGTTAAAGAATAATACATTAGAATCAAGACCTAATGAGAATAGACCAAAGTGTCATTCCACAGTGTCCCATGAGCAGTTGATGGACAGAAGCAATGTTCAATAGATTCTGCGTAATCAATAAAATTGTAACATGCCATATAAATACTTGTTTCCTTTTCCAGTTTGATGGTCCTCATTGTGATGTTGTTAACTTATATTGTTATAATGTTGTTAACTGTCCTGTATCTGTAACAATCATAGCATTTTTAAGAGAGAGCAATTTTGTTTTGTCTGAACTTTGGAGAGATAGTTAAAAACATGAACAAAAGCAGATAAGCCTTGGGTATGCACCAGGGAGCACTGGAAACTGTGTGCTGCTATCCAGTTTTGCTGAACTTTACAAACTTTTCAGAAAGTTACTTTTTACTTTATTTATAATTTTCTGTTATTTGAGACTTGTTGATTTTCAGATGTGTTTTTTTAAAAGGAAAAGTTGCAAATACCTCTGTTGAATATCTCCACTTTGATTGAAATGTAATTGTATTTGAAAACCCAGTTTGCATTTTGACCAAAACTTTGTGAGTCAAAATATTATCAGGATTCACCCAGCCAGTTATTTAAACAAATCCTCTGTAAGCTATATTAGCTAAGGGTTGTACTTAACTGTATTACTCAGCTGACTTTAAGGCTTCTTTCAGCCGAAGGGAAACAAAAATGATTTCCCCCTCCTCCAGCAGCTCTTATGCCCCACTGAATCTTCTCTGGAAGATCCTCAACCATCCGGAGCAAATTTCAGGGTGGGTGCTTCAGGGGGTGGAGCACCCACTCTGAAATTGTTTCCTTCCCCGTTCCACTGCTAAAAGCCTTATTGTCAGTTGAACAACACTCTGGAAATACAACCAAGTATGTTTCTAAATATATGCCCTAGAAACTATTCTGATGTTGAATATTCATTTTAAGTGCCTTTTGTATTATTTGGTATATTTGGTATATTTGATGATACTTTATAACATTGTCATTTATTGATTGTGGTTTTTTATAAAAGGTACATGAACTCAATGCTACTGTTTCTTAATGCAATTAAAAGCATACTTATTTTGGCAATGGTTGTTTTTTGTGTATTTGAAAGAATACTTGCTTGAATTTTAATCTGAGTGGTTGAAGTAATCTTTCCAAACATACAACAATATCCCTAGGTTCGTCCAAGGCCCTTGTTTGGGGCCCACCTATTCTGTGAGCTCGTATAATGTCAATGGAGGTGAGTGGGTGGGGCGTCTAGATTCAAACTGCTGAAGCAATTTAAAACAAAAGCTCTCATGTACGACTATCATCGAGCACTTCATGTACTGTTTGCGTTACATCAGCTATGTGATCAGATAACATCTCAATTTTAGCTTCATGTAGCTGCAGAGCAGCATTTCAGCCACTTGCTAGAGCCTGACTTACATTCCTTTCCCACAGGGGCCTTTATAGTTTTACATCCCCATTTGCCTAGAAGTACCAGACTGTTGCAGATATTAATATTGTGCAGTTTGAAGCGACTGGACGCATAAAAAAAAGACTCCTTTTGGAATAAATCATTGTCCAGACCCATAAAAATATTATTAAAACTTATGGCAGAAATCTTTAATAAAAGAAAACAGAATACATCAAATGATATGTACAGACCATTGGTCAGCAAACTTTTTTGGGAGGGGGCCGGTTCACTGTCCCCCAGACCCAGTGGCAGGTGCACATGCAGCGGAGGGGGCTTCTCTCTCTCCCCCTCTCTCCTTCAGCCCCTCCCCTCCCCCTGCCTACCTCCTCCACTGCTGTGCCTGAGGTTGGGAATCGGCGGCGGTGGCGGTGCCTCTCCTTTTCAGGTCAGCTTTCCTGGGTGCCCGGCATGGGGCCAGCAGGCACACCAAGCCTCCAGCCCACAGCACAGCCATGGGAAGAGGCGAGCGGCGAGGCTTCCTATCAAAGCCCAGCCCCCTTCCTCTGCAGGGTGGGGAGAAGCCAGGAAGAAGGAGGGAGGCAGCGCCGCTGCAGCGTGTGTGAGGGAGGGAAAAATCACCAAAAAAATGGAGCCAGGAAAGAAAAAGGGACAAAAATGGCAATCACACCGATCCAAGCGGCGATTGCAGAACTGTTTGAGGGCCAGATCCAGAGGGCAATTGGGCCGGATCCGGCCCGCAGGCTGACCCCTGGTCCAGACTATCCATGCAATGTATTTCGCTGTCCAGCACCGGCTCAGCATCTTCCAAAATATGAAATAATTCAAACAGACCTAAAAGCAAAGGTCTCTCTCCACAGTCTACATTCCAGCCTCCAGACTATTTACTCTTTCCTTCAGGAGAGTTTATTTTATATCCTTCACTGAGTTTTGGAGAAAGACTCAAAGGCAACTCCCTTCAAAATGGAAATTTTCCAACCTAATACCTCTCACATGGTCTAAGGCAGAGGTCAGCAATCTAAGGCCCATGGGCCGGAAGTGGCCTGTGGAGGTGGTTTGACCCAGCCCCCCAATCCACCCCCAAACTGAGCCACCTGCTCTCATGTTGCGCTAAACCAGCACAGTGCGGCGCAGGGACTTGCTTCCACGGCGCTGAAAATCTCGTATGCACAGACGCAGACACCGAAAAGTGTGGGGTTGCGGCCTCATCTCGCTTTACAGGCCGAGGGAGCCAGCGTTTGTCCACTCTGCAGACAGTTTTCCCGGGTCATGTGGCCAGCATGACTAAGCCACTTCTGGTGCAGCGGAACATGGACACCAGAGCAGCGCATGGAAACGCCATTTAACTTCACGCCGGAGTGGTACCAATTAATCTACTTGCACTTTTTGGCGTGCTTTCAAACTGCTAGGTTGGTAGGAGCTGGGACTGAGCAACGGGAGCTCACCCCGTCACAGGGATTCAAACCTCCAACCTTTTGATCAGCAAGCCCAAGGCTCAGTGGTTTAGACCACAGCACCACCCGCGTCCCTAGTGATGACATAGCAGTATACAGTAAATGGCTACTGCCACACCCTCCCCCCCAAGTTTGCCAGGGATTCAACAAAAGTTTTTAAGATCAAGTTAGCGACTGAGGGACTCCATTGGTTCTGTGCAATTTTGTCATAAGAGACCTAATCATAGCCTTTTGGAAACCATTTGCCTTCAAATCTCTTAACTTGGAGGTCTAACTGCTACAATGTCAAGGGTTTTCCCTTGGTAAATTAGACTTGTGTGTTGTACAAACCTTTTTTCTCCCATCCTTTATAGTGCCCATATATATCTGGGTCTATGAAATGTGACTAATTTAGAGAAGGAATTGAGGGTGGTGCCCTCCACCCACCAGCTCCATATATTCAACTCTTGTTTGGTCTGTTTGTTTTGAACAGGTTATGTCCCTCAATTCCTACATTCCAATCATGAGTCCCATCCCACCAGGTTTCAGTAATACCTACCAGGTCATATTTGCCACCCTGTAATAAAAGCTCCAATTCATCTTGCTTATTTCCCATATTCTGCATTTGTGTAGAGACAACTGAAACCATAAGTCGTTCCCTCCAGCCGCTTCCTCCTTGTACTTTCTTGTCCTTTAGCAGGTTTCTGGAGCACTATCTCAGTTTCTTGTGCACCAATGAAGCTATTATCTCCAGTGCCAGGTGTTCTTCTGTCGTATAAAGCGAATGAAATAGTTACATCCCAAACATAAAAACAAATAGTTCAATATATAAAACAAATATTTAAAATTCCATATATAAAAACAGTCAAAAATAATCACAATAGAGATGCAGACTGGGAGAAAGGTCTCCAGTTAAAAGACTGGTTGAAAGAAAAGTCGTCAATAGGCACCAAAAAGGCACCTGTCTAATATTTAATGGGACAGAAATACAATAGGTAGGTGCCACCACATTAAGACTCAATTCCTATATTGTATGGAATAGATCTCCTGATAGGATGGTAAAAGTACAGGCTCTGGAGGGCAGTGTAAACCTGACCTATTTTTTCTGTAATATTCAAACCATACAATGAGATCCCTTAAGGGACTGCAATCTTTCTTTACTGCCCAAGCACCCAATGTAGCCCTTGCTAGATCATCTGATATTTGTCCAAATCCATTAACCAGTTCACTACAAAAGCCACCATATCCTTTCCTTCCTTTTTGAATATGCTGGTGGCTATAATGATCCTGACCACTTCCTTTCCTTTCCTTTCCTTTCCTTTCCTTTCCTTTCCTTCCCGTTTTGTTTTGTTTTGTTTCACTTACAGTTTAATTCATTTCTAACCTCCTGGACCAAATTTCAAGCAGTGATGATTTTCAAGAATTACGGTAGGTGCTTATACAGACTTGTGCATTGTGGATAATGCAATTGTTCTTTGGAACCAAATATCACAGTAAAGTCTGGAATCCTTATAAATCAACAGCATGTAGATCATATACCAAAAAATAGGATTTACAATCACAGAAGCAAATAATTGTTTTGTCGCTAATTCCTTTCCCACAAAATTGTGCTTCTCACTGTTTTAGCAATCCTTTACTGAAGATAACAAGTTGGTTATGTTCACTGTTATTGTATGAAACATCACACTATATTGGGAAGGTACTATCAGTACAGGATTGGACCAGAGCAGACAGTCTGAACAGTAAACCATTTTGCATTCTTCATTCCCTAGCTTTTAAATAACTCCCCCAAAAAACACCAGTAGGGACAAATACTTGTTAACATCATCATTTAGAATACTTTAACTTACGAGGCTAAAATCTAATGAATAAATAAAATATATTGTGCAATCTAGCCCTACCCCACTGCCCCCCTCCCCCCAAAATCAGATACACGAAGAACAAAATGACCCGGAAAGCTGGCTATAGGCACCAGGTTACAAGAGTGTACATGGAAGAGTGTACATGGATCTACACTCAAGTGTGCTACAGAAAAATACCATGAATTTTACACAAAGCCAGTTGATGACTGTCGTTGGCTTAAGGGCAACTACATCCTCGTTGAAACACAGTTTTAAACAAACAGTAAAAGGTTTACAAAGCATACACAGCATGTAAATCATGTACAAATGGATGCATTCAATATTTCCCCTCCCCAACAGCTTTTATTTATTAGATTAATACTTTTCTCTACTTTCAGCTTTAACTGGACTCAATACATGCACAACTCAAAAGAATTAAGGGGGGGGAAATAAGGTTATTGCAAAAATAGAATTAAACTAAGAATCTTCAAGTACCTTACATGACGGCTGCTCTGTACCATTCCAATTGCTTATAAAATGAAAGGTCACAGAACCCATGAAAATATCTTTAATATTTTATTGGATTTAAAATAGATCATTTTAACTGTATTTATAGTAATCTCAAAGTGATAATTTGAACTTTGTAAATAATGAAAACAATTAAAAATTATACCCGCATTACTTGATCTGTTTTAAGCTGATAGAAATCAAAGGGGGGGGGACTATAGAAAACCACATTTAGAACAAAATCACAATTTACATTGTAATAAAGGCAAATATTCTGCATTAAAAAAACCTGCAGCAATGAGTCAGATGTCCAAGCAAATTACAACTAAGCATAAATTAATTGGTTTGGTTTAAAAATATTCTGGCAAGTTTATGGATGTGTTATACCCATGTGCAAAATTCTTACTGGTTTTAGATGCCTGAAATCTTCTCTCTTTTTACCCAAGACTTGCTGTATTTTTCACACCATAGGACGCAGTTTTTCTGTCTTAAAAACTAAGGGGAGAAGTCTGTGCGTCCTATGGAGCGAATGCAGGGGGGGGAGGCAGGCAGGAAAAGCCCCCAAGAGCCACACACAAGCTTCGTGCGGCTCTTGCGGGCTTTTCCCCAGGAGGGAAAAGTCAGTCCCTTCTCCCTCGTCTAGAAAAGCCTTGCGCAATCTCTCCAGCCGTGGGGAGGCTGCGCAAGGCTAAAGAGGAAGCCAGGGCAGCGAGCGCGATCCATCCCCTTGCTGCCGGGGCTTCCTCCTTAGCCTTGCGCGCCTCTCCAGCCACAGGAGGCTGAGCAAGGCTAAAGAGGAAGCCCGGGCAGCGAGCGCGATCCATCCCCTCGCTGCCTGGGCTTCCTCCTTAGCCTTGCGCGCCTCTCCAGCCAACTTTTAAAAAATCTCTCAATCTCTACCTCTTTTTCTTTTTTCGTCCTTTCTCCACCCCCTTCTTTTCCTCTGGATCAGTGTTTTTATCTAGATTAACATTTTAGTTTGGAGGGGGGGATATTATAAAAAAGGAAACTTTGCAGCTTTTATTTTAGTATACAGTAAAAACAGATTAAACAAAACACAAAAGAAGGAAATAGCACAGAAGAAGAAGAGAAAAGGGAAAGCCATTTACCAGAGGTAGATCTTAACCCTTGCCTCACCTGGGAGCTTCTCTGGGCAGGAATTCCCTCGGCTTAAGTGGGGTGGGGGGAGAGTGGCAGGTAGGGGGTACCTATCTAAACACTGAAGCCACATGTCTCTCCAATGAAAATTGCGAGTGGGCATTTTGTGAAGTGGCTGTGGATCTCCTGCCGCAGACGTGTAGAACTGTATAGAGTTGGGAGGGCCACCCGAGGGTTATCTAGCCCAGCCCCCTCACAATGTAGGAATTACAGCTAAAGAATGCCAGGCAGATGGTCCCCTAACTGCTGCTTAAAAGCCTCCAGTGGTGGAGACCCCCAACACCTTCCAAGGTCATAGAATTGCAGGGTTGGAAGGGAACCCCAGGAGTCATCTAGTCCAGCCCCGGTGGACAGCGGGCACGATCCATCCCGTTGCGCAAGGCTAAAGATGCTGCTCAAGGCTAAAGAGGAAGCCAAGGCAGTGAGCAGGATGGATCGCGCTCGCTGCCTTGTCTTCTTCTTTAGCTGCACTGGAGAGGTTGCGCGGCTATGGATCCCGCTCGCTGTCTTGGCTTCTTTGCTCTTTGGGGCTGGGGGGGGGAACCCAGGCTTCCCCCGCAGCCCCGAGAAGCTCTGGGAGAAGCGGACAGGCTGCACGCTTGCTCTTTGGGGCTGGGGGGGGGGAAATATTTTCCCCCTTGATTTCCCCCTCTAAAAACTAGGTGCGTCCTGTGGTCCGGTGCGTCCAATAAAGCGAAAAATACGGTAAGTGTTTCAGGCTGAGATCCAAAGCCTCATTATCTGCCTCTGCTGTGTCAGATATCTTACTATTTCATAAGGGTTTCAAGTAGCTTCAGGGCATTCACCCAATCATTGGTTAAATCTTATCTTAATGGTTTAATTTGTTGGAAAAGAGCCATTATGTGTCCTTTCCCAATATAAGGTGTTGATCTATTGATAAATGTGGGAGAGGGGTTCAAAGTGAAGATAATAATTTATTTTTAATTTAAATTAAAATCAACCAGATTGAACCAAATACTGTTTGAGGTGGGGGATTGTTCAGTTTCTGGAATACTGGCATATGTTATGAAATTAAACCACAATTAAAGCCATATTTCTTGCGGACTATATATTGGACTATATTGTAGTTTGATTAGTTTGCAGCAAAATTTCATATTTTGAAGATTTGATAACAGTGGCTAGTCGCTGCATCAGCGTTGAAGTCAAATGTCATAAAATATCTGCATCAGATGGGTAATGGTATTTTTACGAGACCTTGCCATTGAAACATTAATGATGAAAGAATGAACTCATGCAGAGTGGTTTGTAATACATAGACACTTAAGGGAATTCTTACATTTCAGCAAAGTTTAGAGGATAAAACTTAAGCTTTTGCTTATGTATCATTATTCGTTTACAAACAATTTTGAAAAGCACAAAGGAATGTGGGAGTGAGGAGCCCAGTGCAGCTATCTCCAGCTCCCCATGCCTCCCAGAAGTAAAAGTGAGCAGGCTGTAAGCAGGTTGTGTAGTGGCAGCTGGCAGTGTTAATGCTCTCCTGCTCTCCCCGTGGTTGTATAAACAGCAGGAGCAGACAGCAGCAGAAGAAAGCAGCAGGGATCATCAGAGTGGCAAAGATGGCAGCTATGAGAAGTATCAATCATAAGTAGAAGGCAGGGATTTATGTATTTGTTTCAAATTGTTGCACACTGCCCCAGTCTCCAAGCATTACGAGATTCCAGGGCTTCTTGGAATGAAGGACTGTAGAGACCGTGGTGTCTTTATGACGTATAGTTTATTTAATTGGCAGGAGCTGGGACAGAGCAACGGGAGCTCACTCCATCGCATGGATTCGAACCGCCGACCTTCTGATCCTGCCAACCTAGCAGTTTGAAAGCATGCCAGTGCAAGTACCGGTACATAAATAGGTGCTGCTGCGGCGGGAAGGTAAACGGCTTTTCCGTGCCCCCTGGTTTCCACACTGTGTTTCCATTGCACCAGAAGCAGTTTAGTCATGCTGGCCACATGACCTGGAAAGCTGTCTGTGGACAAACGCCAGCTCCCTCACTCTGAAAGCAAGATGAGCGCCGTAACCCCATAGTCAGCCTTGACTGGGCTTAACTGTCCAGGGGTCCTTTACCTTTATGGTTTATTTACACGTATATACAACCTTGGTCTGAAGACAGAAGTGCCTGGCGTGCTCTGGTCCATGGGGTCACAAAGAGTTGGACACGACTAAACGACTAAACAACAACAACACAACCTTGGTCTATGATGGAGAGGCTTACAGCACCAACACCCCAGATGGTCTTGTCTCTCCCACAGTCACAGCATTGGAATCAAGCAGAAATCAAGTATGGCTCTCACCCTCCGGCTTCTGCCTGCTCCTGGCCCACCTCTTAGCTCACACACACTCTGGCTTTTGTCTTCTTCACTTACCAGCCAGGTGAGGGACAGGAGCCCACCCTCAGGCACAGAGCAACTTTCTTTGTTATACCAGTGACCATGCTTAGGTGGTAACTAACCTTGAGGCTAATTCAACAATAGAATCCTCCATTAGATGTTAACCCTGATGGATCGTGTACCCTAGGAATCAGAAGGGACATGCATTATGCAGACTAACCTACTAAACTCACAACAATATATTTATATACCTCAAGACAATCTCTAAGCAGTTGACAAAAACAATACATGATACATACATATGTTTTTTCACATGTACTGTATATATTCCTGGAGACAGGTTGTATGTCTACAGCAATGACCAGAAGAAGAATGGCTTCTGGGAGGAGCGCAGAAAGAAGAAGCACTGTGGTACACTTGCACTGCACAATCAGACACCTTCATCTCTCCTGCATCTGTCTACAGCCACAGCAGGCACTGTAATTCTTCAACAGTTTGACTTCACCCTCAAAGGCGTAAGACAGACGGGTGCCAGCACAAAATATACACATACAAATTACAGTAAGCCTGGTTGCCTTACTGTTCTTTCTCATTTGCTCTCAAGCAATCTAAATGGCTTTTCTGCAGCAACAAAGGGAATCCCTAAGAAATGGAAGTGATGGTGGATGTCAAAAGGTGAGCAACTTGACCACAATATATGGTTAGAGGCCAGCAGCTGCCTCCTCCTATACCTGCAAACCAAAAAGGGTTATTCACCTTTGCTCACCAATCCTGATGTAAGACTTTGCTTTTCAATCCTGTCTGCTGACTCCTGGGTCTTGCCCTCAGCTCTGATTTTCAGTTTGCCCTTTGGTTCCAATTCCTCTTTCTTCCTCAACTCTGACACCTGATTTTTCTCAACTCTGAATGCCCATGTTGTTGCTTGAATACAGTCTCCTAGCTCCTGGATGATCCAGCTGCCTGTAGCTTAGCCTTAACACTAGGGGTGAGGGGCATGAAGCGTCATTCTATCCCAGTGCAGTCACCCTGGAATGGATGCAGACTGGCAATACTGTGAAGGAGGGAATGCAGTAAATCTTTAAAATACTGGTAATATCCAGCTAGAATTACACAATTACATTCCACTGAAATAATGCCTACAAAAATATAGTCATTTTGATAGGGTATCAGAGACGAATGCTACTGGTTTCATGAGGCCCCTTTGGGGGCTGCTTGAAGAGCTGGATTTTTTCATCTAGCCTGGTGTATGCCAGGGAAACCCTGAGAAAACAGGAAATAAGAAAGTATGATGTCATTTTGCCATTTGCCCAAATGGGATACAAGAAAAAGCCAAGGGCCCTTCAAAAACAAACAAATGGCTCTTTTGTACTGTGAATAAGAGGTCAAAGTGGCTTGAGAACAGTTGTCTAAGTGTTTTTATAAAAAAAACAAACCACCCCACATTCAACAAATAAAAACCTATTGGGGACTCTGAGATGCTCCTCTTCTTCAAATTACTACTGAGTAACATTATTTTTTTAAAAAAGTATTAAAATTGATAACTGATATTAAGCTAGTGAAATAAAAAAAAATTAAGGTCTTATGTATATAATAAAGGTTCATAAATGTACCAAGCAAACACGTACAGGAGCTGCACAGGAGAGCAGCCATGAAGCCATTTTGACTCCCAAACTGACCAGGTGTTTTCTTTGCAAAGTCAAATGGAAAAGCCTCCCCATTGTCTTTTCCTTCACAAATCCTGTCTTAAGGGTATGTCTGTGTATGAATAGGGTGAACCTGTGACTTGGCTCAGAAACTAAGTATTTATCATTACAAAAGACTGGCCAGGCTCCCCAGGGTATCAATCCGGTAAACATTAACAGGTAACTTGCCAGACAGGTGGTAAACAACCTACTCAGATTATGAGGTAAACAACCCACTCAGACTTCTGCTTTAGCCCGCCCTTTCTGTGATGTAAGTATGATGTGTCTGGGGGGGTGGTCTTAAACTACACCCCTTCTGTGATGTATGTATGATGTTTCTGGGGGTGGGCTTGGACTCCAGGGCTGGCAATTTAAAATGACTATATAAGGGCAGACACACCTTGGTTCTGGGTCCTTCTCCTTCTCCTGTGTGTGAAGGGGGCACCCTGTTGCAACAGTTCAATAAAGATCAGGCTTAGTAGCTGCTTTGCTTCTCAATATTCTCTGGTTGGCCTCTGTTCTTTCCTCTGACCGATGGAGAACCTACAAAGGACTCTATAAGGGCTCTCTTATGGGGGAATAAGGGCAGATTTTCGTTTATTACACTAGTGTTGGGAAAGATTGAGGGCGTAAGGAGAAGGGGACGACAGAGGATGAGATGGTTGGACAGTGTTCTTGAAGCTACCAACATGAGTTTGACCAAAGTGCGGGAGGAGTGAAACACAGGAGTGCCTGGCGTGCTCTGGTCCATGGGGTCACAAAGAGACGGAGACAACTAAATGACTAAACAACTACAAAAACTTTTTTCTACAGTTGTCCCTCCCTTCCTTCCTTCCTTCCTTCCTTCCTTCCTATATAAGAATTAGAGATCCAGGGTGTATATTTTTTATTTTAAAAATATTCCAATATTAATTGTATTGAACCTTTGGCTAGAATGTATTAGGCTTGCATTTGTGTGCTTGGATTTTACGACTCTTATGCGGTATTGCTTTCCTATCTGCCCCTGAAAGTGGCATAAATGGTCATTCAGGATAGTTTGCTATGTCTGTTTTGAGTTAGCACCAGGGTGAAATCCGTTATCTCCAGAGGTTCCAAGGAGCAGATAGGGACATCTGGAATGTCAATAACCCTGTCAAAGGCCTGGTTGCTAAGGAAACAGTGATAAAAAAGACATTTGAGACCCAAATGGCCTGTGGCAGTTAGGGGCATCTCACGGTAATTGTGGGGGTGGAGTTATCAGTATGGAGCCATGCATGTTTCGCTTCTCATGACCTGTAACCTTTATTGATGTATGTAGAAGAATGTTTGATGTTTTATGACTCTTTGTGTACTGTATTTGAAATTGAAATCCTATGTAAGCTTTGTTACAAATTTGCTCTGGGCAGTCTTTTCTAACTAGGTCTGCTGAGCAATTGGATGCAAGACCATCCTGTTGCAATAGTTAATAAAACGGGTCCCTAACTGGATCTGCTGATGCCTCTAGTTCTCTTGGTTCCATATTTTATTGAGAAGCTGTTCCCTCACCTGGGTAACAAACAGGTGGTATAGAAATAAATTATTTCCTTCCTTCCTGTGACAAATTTCATATTGCTATAAATTTAAGGAGGGGGCCTCTAAACTCTAGAAATGAATAAATACTAGGATTTTGATTAATTGAGATATGGATTAAAGTACAAACTGCATAGCTGTGCCCGACAGAATTCCTGGGCTATCTTATGCAAACCAACCTGGTTGGCTTAGTAAAGAGCAAACTTGTTAACATGACAAAAACAGTATGTATATTTGTGCCAACCCCTCTTGTATCAAAATAATTCAGTTCAGGCCCAGTATTGAAGATTGTCTTTGCTGGGGACCTGCTAAATGCCTATAGCTGCTGATGTTCCATCTCTTCTTCTCTACCACCTTGACCACCAGCTTCTTCTTTGGTTGGTTGGTTGGTTGGTTGGTTGGTTGGTTGGTTGGCTAGTTGCTTCCTCTTTATCTGGGCCCAACAAACTGGCAAACAAGAGCAGCAGTCATTGCTGCTGCCACTTCTGATCTCACCATTCACCCAGTGCACTCTCTCCCTTCACTCTGAATTGTGCTGCATGGTCCTTTTACGTAGCATGTGCCTTTTATAGTGGGTGCAACCTAATGCTCATTTAAGTGACACGTGGCACAATTCTAAGCGTGTTTAACTCAGAAGGAACATTATACCGAGTTAGACCATTTGTCCATATGGCTTAGTATCATTGACACGGGCAGCATCTTTCCAGGATTTCAGATGGTCATTCCTTCCCAGCCCTATCTAGACACTCCAGGACTGAACCTGGGACCTTTTGCATGCTAGCATCTGCTCTACCACTGAGCTTCTCTCCTTACCCTGAATCAATCATACTTCAGTGGGCTCCCATCTTTCATAAGAACTTCTGGAATCAGAGGGATCCTTTTTTATATAAAAAAAATATACTTTTCAGGTTTATACATTTCACTGATTTTACAATCCTTTTGACTTGACTTCCTCCCCCCCCCCTTTCTGTGGTTCCTTAAATTTATTTTTAATATCTTATGCATATCCAAATTAACTTAATTTGATCATTTACTCATCAAATATATACTCTTATGAAACTGCAAGTTATTACAATAATCCTGCCAATGTTCGTATCTGTTTACAATTTATCTGTAAATATTCAATAAACCATTTCTATTATTTTATAAAAAGTTTGTTATCTTGATTTCTTATTCTTCCTTTAAGTTTTGCCATTTCTGCATACAGTGGTGCCTCGCAAGACGAAATTAATTCGTTCCGCGAGTTTTTTCGTCTAGCGAAATTTTCGTCTTGCGAATCAAGAATTCCCATAGGAATGCATTGAAAATCAATTAATGCGTTCCTATGGTCAAAAAAAGTCCAAACAAAGCCAAATTTGGTACAACAACCTCCCCAACTGTTGCAAACCCCTCCCCAACTGTTCCCCCAGCCCCTCCCCAACTGTTGCAAACCCCTCCCCAACTGTTCCCCCAGTCACCCAGCACACAGAAATTCAAATCCAGAATTTTTTTTAAAAAACAGCAGAGTGGCCCAGTGGTCACAGAAAATCATAAAAATGCAGAAAAAAACACACAAGCTTCCAGATTCCTGCAAACCCTCCCCAACTGTTCCCCCAGCCACCCAGCACACAGAAATTCAAATCCAGAATTTTTTTTAAAAAACAGCAGAGTGGCCCAATGGTCACAGAAAATCATAAAAATGCAGAAAAAAACCACACAAGCTTCCAGATTCTTGCAAACCCCTCCCCAACTGTTCCCCCAGCCACCCAGCACACAGAAATTCAAATCCAGAATTTTTTTTAAAAACAGCAGAGTGGCCCAATGGTCACAGAAAATCATAAAAAATGCAGAAAAAAGACACACAAGCTTCCAGATTCTTGCAAACCCCTCCCCAACACCAAGTCCTTGAATTCCAAACACCCCAACCCAAAATCCAAAACCCCCCAAAAAAGTTTTAAAAGCTTAACTTGGCTGCAAAAGAAGTTTTGGAAAAGCTTCAAAAATCACCAAAGTCTTTAAAAACCTCAAAAAAGGCTACTATGTACACTGCGTTCTATGAGTTGCTCCTCGAAGTCAAGTCGCAACTGTATTAACAGTGTTAAGAAAAAGGAAACAAACTTGCAAGACGTTTTCGTCTAGCGAAGCAAGCCCATAGGGAAATTCGTCTTGCGAAGCAGCTCAAAAAACGGAAAACCCTTTCGTCTAGCGAGTTTTCCGTCTTGCGAGGCATTCGTCTTGCGGGGCACCACAGTATTCCATAAGTTTTTGTATCCATTCTTCCTTTGCTGGGACTTCTGCTTCTTTCCATTTTGGGGCAAGTACAGTGGTGACCCGCAAGACGAATGCCTCGCAAGACGGAAAACCCGCTAGACGAAAGGGTTTTCCGTTTTGGAGGTGCTTCGCAAAACGAATTTCCTATGTGCTTGCTTCGCAAGACGAAAATGTCTTGCGAGTTCCTGCGGGGTTTTTTCCTCCCCCCTTTTCCCAAGCCGCTAAACCGCTTATCAGCTGATGGCTAAGCCGCTTAACAGCTGATGCTAAGCCGCTTATCAGCTGATCCTTAAGCCGCTTATCAGCTGATCCTTAAGCCTCTTATCAGCTTATCGTTAAGCCTCTTATCAGCTTATTGTTAAGCCGCTTATCAGCTGATCCACTAAGCCTGCTAAGCCGCTAATACTGTAACACTAATCCGCTAAACCACTAATGGGCTTGCTTCGCAAGACGAAAAAACCCGCAAGACGAAGAGACTCGTAGAACGGATTCTTTTCGTCTTGCGAGGCACCACTGTAACACTTTTGCCGCTGTAGTAGTATACATGAATAAGTTTCTACACAGTTTAGGTAGTTGTGTCCCTATAATTCCTAAAAGAAAAGCTTCAGGTTTTTTTAAAAAACAAATGTTATTTTAAACATCCTTTTCATTTCATTATAGATCATTTCGGAATAAGAGGAATCCTTGAGGCAAATGTCAGTGGGTGACTAGGTTAATCTGTTCAGTTAAAACCCACCAAGAGAATTCTGACACTTGGATGACTAACCGTTTTATTGTAGCAGAAGCTATTAAGGACCAGAGCCCTTTTCCTCCAGTGCCTGAATCCATAGTCCCTTCCAGAAGTAACTTTGCATGATCCCACTAGTCACGTTTGCCCTTTCTATTCACTCCCTTTATCTAGTATGGTTGTTTTGAAATACAGAGCTGTATTTCAGTTTCAGTCTGTCTCACTATTTGCTCTGGATAAGGCCTCCAACTTTTAATTTTCTTTCCTTATGGGAGTGTTGCAGGACAGTTTTATATGTAGTTAGATTTTTGATGGACATCATAATCACTGTTATTAAAAAAAATACTGCTCTTCACCTGAAGATCCCAAGGTGGTTCACAAAAAAATAAAAATAAAAAAATCTACGTAGATTTTCCAAATCCATGGAGGGTTTCTTGAGTGGTTTTAGCACTGCTTCCTTCAAGCAGGCAGGGACCACCCCCTCTTGCAAGGAGGCATTAATCACCTCCTTGGTCCAGCCAGCTGTCCCCTCCCTGCTAGTTTTATCAGTCCAGAGAGGCAGAAGTCCAAAGTGCAACTCATCTTCCTGACATAAGCCTGTTTTGCTACCCATGAGGCAGCAGAATAGGGCTGAATACAAATTCTAGTATATACATATATACATCACAAATCTTTCCTACTGTTGAGTACCTCATGTTCCATCTTGCTGGGTGCTGACCTCAAAGAATAGCAAAACAGCTGCCATGGAAGATCAGCAATCTGACATGCCTTCTCCATTCCCAATTCTGAATAATTCCCACGCTGAAATCATTCAGTTTCAAGACATGTACCTGCTTTGACAGGCTTCTTAATGTGGCTGTGTGACATGCTTGCAAATTAGCCCAACCTCAGACTCTGGCCGTGCGTTGGTAAGTAGGCTAAAATCTAGATATAGCATCTTGCCTTTCTCTTTTGCTTTCTGAGATCTTGAGCCAGAAGTGGTAAGAATTCTATATTTATGCACCCCGGTTTGTTCTTGATGTACATATTCCATGCATTAAGCTACAGGGAATAAGATGGTGTTTTCTGTATGTGTTCCGCCTGGAAAGAAACGTTATGTACAGACCATGATTGGCCTCAGAGAATTCAAATGAAGCAGCTCTTCCCCATCTGTTTCAAGAACTATTTAAAAACCTGCATGTACTGAGAAGAAAAGAGAGAAGCCCAAACCATTGAACTTGCACCATGACCTCCTGAAGAGACCTCCAACATCGGCTAAGAGAGCTCTGTTCAAAATAGATTTTGTTTGGTTGGTTTTGGTATTTTAAACTGTCATTGAACAATGTTAATTTTTATTAAACTATTTATATTGGCTCTTAGAAAAGCAACACTCTGCAGACTATGTGAGTAGACTTAACTGAGCTGTATTGGGTAAGCCACCAGGATGAGAACTCTAACAGTGTCATAGCCTCCCTACCTGAGTCCTACCCTTGAAGTGATCTCACCCTGGAGCCACACAGCTCCATGTCCAGCCTCAGAGGTGCACACTGAGCACTAGCACCCTTTCCAGCTGCAAGTAATGTTCACCACCAGCAGCTTTGTGCTGGCTGCAGTAAAGGCTTTTTAGATGTGTTTGGTGTGTCAAACTACATGGATTTTTGGCCTGATCTACAAAGGCAAACTTCACATTTATCTGGACAAAGAAAATAAGTTAGTGGTATAAAGAGAAGGTGACAGAACAGTTAATGGCACAAGAAACTTTGAAGGATCAGATAATCCCCTCCCAAAGTCTTGTAAAAGTCCTTGCCTTTCCCAACCAATCAAGATTGTTGGAGCAGAACAAAAACATAAATCATCTAATAATGGGAGAAAGTTGGGCTGTGCATACCAAACTTTTGAACTGGAAAAGCGAGACAAGACCATAAATTAGGACCCTAGAAAAAGGAGTCGGAAGGATAATATCCTGCTTGTTTATGGCTTGGATCAAGCAACCTGAGTGTGCACTCATGTGCTTCCATGTGTGTACTGAGTTTGTCCAGCTTCCTGTTATAGCTCGATTGTAAGAAAACCCTGAAGGCTGCACGCCAGAGAGGTGGCTAGGGTGTCTTCACCCAAGACATAGGGCCAGTTTTGTTTATCCTGTGCCTGCAACCGCCCTGAACTCCTGTTCAATGAAGTTGCTGTCTGTGCACACACTGTCATCTGCACATGTGCAAAGGCTGTCTGAACTACATACCTCAGTTTAACTGAAGCTTGTGTTTAACTGAAACTTGTGTTTTCAAATCAGTTGGAAGGTAGTTTGAGGGGAAATGCCTGCCCCCTCCCTCAATAAACTCTGGGATACATATGGATTGTGCCTAATGTTATGTGTACTCAGCTTGAAACACTATTAGTGGAAGTACAAGTGGAGCTGTGCATTGCCAGGCTGTGCAATGAATGCCTCTTTATGGGAACTAATTGTTAGAACTGATTTATTGATAAAGATATCATTTTGGAATGTTTGGAATGACAAGTGCAGACTGTTTTTTACATAAACTGTTTGGGGACAATACCAACAAAGGCACCTTAGTCTTTAAGAAGGGTATTGTAAGATCTTAAACTACCACAAATCTTTAAGCTTTTATTGTAGCTTAAGGTCTTATCATGCCCTTCTGAAGGCCAAATGAAACTCTACTTTCCTTTAAGGAGCCATTTACTGTCCTCATCCACTGGACAAAATATCATTTGGCTGCAAAGACCTATTTCTTTCTGAGCCCTGTGCTATTTACCTTTGCAGACAAGGTTTGAAGAACTTGAAATATAAAGTGTTGTGTCAATGCCAAAACTGTATGTTATTTCAACTGAGTGATATTTCCCAGCCTGACTTTATGGAAATCATATATTCTAAAATGTTTTCTCTGTGATTGGACCAGGCAATTATTCCATAGCAACCAGCATGCGGAATAGCAAGTGAACTCTATAGGCTGTGTTCTTCTCAAAGCCACTGAGCCAAATGATGGAATGAATTTCAGCTTCCTATTTAGAATAGCACAGTCAGTATTGTACCCACTGCTATTATTACATGAATAGGGGGGAAACCCCCCAAAAGGTTTAAGGCACCATAGTAATTTATCAGCTTTACTTCACTGTCAAAAGAGTAAGTATGTGCTAGAGACATGATTTAGGTTTTGTTGTTTAATTTACAAAACCAA